AAAAAAAAAAAAAAAAAAAAAACAAATAAAATAAAATCAGAATCAGAATCAGAATAAAAATAAAAATAAAAATAAAAAGCACTGGCCAAGATGAACATTCATACCGCTATCAATTCGGGAAATACATACATACACAGAGTCACAAACACATTAATTAGCCACACCAGATGAAGATCATTATCCCTCACGGGCCATCATATGATGGCTGTGTTGAACATCAGACCTTGCCACTCTGAATAAGCTTGAGTTCTTACACAATGAAAGGCTGTGATCTTAATATGATTGGCGTGGATGAAAGGCAATATACTTCGCTACTAGTAAGGGTGCATAGAAAAGTCATGAATGGAATAAATAGCAAATAGGATTACTTCCTATTGGTCTAGGGGGTACCTTTTTAGTCGGAAACTTCAGGCAAATCATGTACATCTTAAGGAGTTCGCCTTGATAGCGAACGCTGTCTTTAGAAAACAACAGAGATTCGGATAATAAATTAATAGAGGCCGCTTTGGAGCGACTGTCAAGACGATTCTAGCTCAGCTCCTTATACTCCGTCCGTGTATAGGTGTGCGATATTCCCACGCCCGATAATAACAACCCTTGGAGACTTAATACTGTAAATACAGACAACAATTGAGAGAAAGGCATAGTCAACTCAAAGGAAATTCCTCGAAGCAAAAATAAAGAGGTTCTATAGCAAAGGTTTCTTTGCGCCACAGAATCATCAAGTTTGAAGATGAGTTCATATTTCTCCTTCCAGTTACGGCACCTGGTCCCAAGGCCATGGATGGACACATTACCCATGCGCGCACCAGAAAAGAAATTTGGGACGAACGATTATTCACCTGTCTGCACGAATAGCCACTATATACTTTAACCAAGGTCTGCTGATCGGCGGATATCCCGCTCGACTATAAAGTACATAAAAATTAATTATCATTATCGTCATTATCATTTCATTTCCTTTTTTATTTTATTTTATTCTTTTTGATCCCTCCGATCACAAAACTCTCGAGGATCTGCCGAACGAAGACCTCTCAATTAGCATCAAGCATCTCGGTGGAAAATTGGGTTTCATTGCTTCCCGTGGTACTTATATGGTCAGTACAGTTAGTAGATCGGGGATATCCCCTTTTAAGAGGATGCCGATGAGGAAATACCCCTATACTGATAGCAGGTAGTTACTTAAAAGTTAAGACTTTCATCATATGTACATTGTCAACATGTATCGAATGAATAAAAGGAAAAAGACAAAAGCAAAAAGGGCACCTGCATATGACATTTTGCCACACCATCATTCGCTGTCCGCCCTCCTTCATACCCGCGATGAGGAAGAACGCGATATTATTCGACTGTCAGACACGGTCACCGCATTCATACCCGTTTAGGCAGAAGAGTTTGATTCCGGAAAGAGTACGTGCTGTATTATTAGAGTGACCTGAATCGCCATCCCGTTCCTCATGCATCTTCCTGTAGTATTGGGGATATGGTTTATATTGCAGGATCTTCGAGCTACCAAATGCAAGTACAAAAGAGATAGCGGTATTGCTGCTAGCATACATCTACTCAGTAGTAGGGTTCGTTCTCGCTTGCGGCGTTAGATATATATACTAGTCGGCATGAATAAGGCGTTATCAACCTAGACGAACAACTTAAGTTACGAAAACGATCGCTTACACATACCTACGACAGATGTGAGAAAAGCCATCCATATCTCTCCCTCTACTTCCCGGACGAAAGAGTACGGATCTCTTCATGCCCACCACGGTTGTAAAAGGTCGATACTACCTACCGGTATCTACGTCAAGCATACCAATGAACTGCTAGCTCTACAGCAGAGGGGAGCTTAATCAGATCGAGGATTGACCAATCATCTCAGGAAAGAACCTAGACGCCATGGCTGGTACTAGAAGTACTTATATACCTTGAGGGATGTACTAGGTACTTTTGTTGACGAAGTACTTCCGGAAGTACCTAAGTAACCAATACATAAAACGGAGGAGAGGTACGACTGAATAATAAGTTTGACCCACGGCCTCGGGATCTGAATCTTGTCGCCACAACAGGGACTACGCCGTGATTGGTGCCGACCCACCCCACTTGACTGATTTTGAATTGCGTTGTATGTATTTTTGCCGACGAATCATTTCTTCATATCGGGAAACGGCAGGAGTTCCATGATTATCTGTGGGCTAGAGAGTACGGTATGGTTTGTTCTTGGGGAGATTGAATGATCAACCCATTCGTTTTCCCGTCCTTCTTTTAGTCTCGCTCATACCGATTGTTCTCTCATTCTCAATTTTCCTCAGTCATTGGTGTCTTTTTAGTAGTGGATCTAAGTCGATGTGTGGTATATCGTTGCGATGGCCCAACCGCACACGTCATTTTCGCCAGGGTCCTGTAGATATATAGTTACTGCTTTTTAACACAGAGATCATATAGGCGTGAGATCTGGATACGGTATGTATCAGTGGCAGACGTGGTATTATGTGAAGATATCTATGGATCAGCCGTCTGGCCAACTATCAATTATGTTCCTCGGAATTATTCCAGGATGAACTGCCGGTGATTCTAAGTCCCGCTTAACTCATGGCATACATAATGTCAATGATGCGCCTTCATCGATTTTCCTTAGGGCGAGTCGCGGAAGGAAAAAAGGGACAACACCACAACTCCCGAGCACTGTCACCCGTACTCCCGGGCGCCGGAAAAATATGCGGTATTCATGGGACTCAATGGCACTCTGAACGATAGGTTGTCTATCGAAGAGAAATCGCTCGATGGGTGTAGCTGAAGAAAACTAATCAAAAGAAACTCGGGGACTGACCCTGTACTGTTTTGTCCTGAGGGAGAGTTGCCCAAGCACAAACAAGATATAGGACCCTTGAACCTGAAGCTGTAGGGAGCATTGGATGGAGCTTCTCTTTCCGGGACTCAGAGGGAACCAAATGTCCCTCAGACGCTCTAGTATGGAGGAGGGACAGCCGGCGTAAAGCCAGGAGTGTTTCAACTAACTGCAGGCCTTTCGTCCATATCCTGCTGTTGAGATAATGGAGGCGTGGAATATTAATATAGTTTTAGTGCATAATGATTAATGAAAATCCATCAATCCAGGATCCGCAGGATCCTGAGATGCCGGCTATTTTATAGCCAAGAGGTGGAATCAATGTGTGCCTGTGAATGGCCATATTAGCATGAATTTCATCCCGCAAAGGCAAGACTAGGTTGGTGGATTGCGTACCCTGAGCCGCCATGAGCATTGCCAAAAATACCAGACTTCCTCCCCTGGCTGGTTAGAATCTCTATTCCGTCGATCCAAGCTCCCGCTCGAATATAAAAGCCGAGTAGAATTTCCCCGCGTCGAGTGTCTGGAGATTATCAGCCACTTTTGCCTGGGAGTTTAGGGACAGGCTCAACTAGACTGTTCTCTTTTTCATGAAGACTTACCAAGAACAAATTCATCCCCACCCAGCTTTCCTCCTCGCTTTCCAAAGAGCTGACTAGTAGCATCTTCATAGAAGAACTCCAACCCATCCACGGCTGCGCCATGATAGACCCTAACCGAGGTCAAAAGTTTGGTTGATGCGAAGGCACAGTCCAACAGGAGCTGTTCTGGTTGACTGCCTTCCATCTGTGAAAATCCTAGCTTACCGCCCTTGTAACCGGTATGACCCTTCGGAAGTTTCACCAGAGACAGTTTCGACTTTAGATTACTGATGGAATCAACAGTGTGGCTGCCAAGTGCACCGGAGAAAATCGTCATTTTGACATTCTTTTTCTTCTCTTTATCGTTGCCGAACACGCGTTGTCGCAGCTCAGTCTCCGTCACAGTGATCTGCCTCGGGAGTCCATTGCTGCTTGATTCTGTATTCACGTACTCGATGAAATTGTGGCAAACCTGGTCACCCTCTGCATATAACTCCAGGAATGCGATACCGGTGGTTGCGGTAATTAGGATTTTGCCATTCTCGACAGGCCAAACCTGAACACTATCATCCGAGTTCACAGGAGCGTCACCAGGAAGCCGGAAAGATGGATGGAATCGGAACCGTAGCGCATCCAGTCGGTGCCAGCCACATTCATCCTGAGGTAGGCATAGCTTGAGTCCCTGAGTCTTTGTACGGGTCGAGAAGGGTTCGCGAGTCATGAATGACCGATTAAAACGGACGTAATCGCGGAGCATGATGCCCGACTCCTGGTGTGGACATCCAAAGAGATGTCCAACTTCATGGAGGTGAGCTCCAATGCCGATATTGGCCGACTCCCAACGGGAACCGGCCTCGCCGCAGTCGTTCGCAACGAAATCCGTATCCGTCCGGGTGCAGTCCGAGAAGGCATCTACGACCTCTTCTAGGCTTGAGGGATAGCTGTGAAGGCTATGTGATCCAAATATGGCCATTTTAACATCGTCCCCGCCTGACCCAAGGGCCGCGTGACCCGTGATAGTCTGGGAGCCCGTGTCCCAGTGCGAATCCAGAAGTAAAACTGATACATACTGCTTCTGGCCTGGCTGAAGATGAAGATAGTTCTTCACAGCATCTTTGGCGATCCTGAATAATTCGTCCTTGTTAGTAGCGGGGCCATGTTGCTGGGCGATATCGTGATCCCGCAGTTCTGCGACCGTTTTATCGGTACGAATAACATGGACCTTGGCCTCATTTCGCATCTGCCCATTGACTGCATCGCGACGGCTTAGAGTTCCACTCTGCCACTCTTCCTCGAAGCGGAAACATCGTCTGCCGAAGTTGTTCCGAAACATTTGCTCACCAGTAAAGGCCTGCCACAGATATGCGGCCATTCGGTACTTTCGAATAGCAGTTTCCAGACCGTTCCCTTCTCGCTGGATTTCTGCCGGGGTTGCATCAAATGTCCCGTCGGAATCCTTTCCTAGCAAAACCACCAGGTGCAAGGGGGGGGCGTTCACCAATGGAAGATAGTTGATACAAATCCAGGAGGAGTGCGCGGCCGGATATGAGCTGCCCGCCGACAGCTTGGTCGAAACGAAGTCGAGGCGAAGACGATTGGGCCCTGGAGTGAGGTGTACTAGAAGCTTAAAATGAGACGACGTGACAGGCCAGCTGACCGATGGGAACCCATCCTGGTGATGGTAGACCGTTACGCTTCCGTCCAGCGGATGTTGCCTCGGATCTCCAATCTGACCGTAGACGAGGAGTACTTTTTGATGTACCTGATTATCGTGGAGCCTGATTAGCTTCGGACTCCTTTGTGTTTGTGTTAAGATACCTCGCCAAATATGGACCAACACCTACCCATGAGTTATCTGCGATGGAAATAATTCTGGGCGCATAGGGAGAGGAAGGGGTTGGCGACCGAACCCCGCCATTGACACTGCCCTGTAATAAAAGTGTGTTAGTATAGGTGGAGGTAGGACAAAACGGCCCGCCGGTGCAAGGGACAGATAGTATCACGTACAACAACGCTACTGCGCTGAGATGGGGACGAGTGAGGAGCTGGCCGCTGAGGGGGCACCGACAGCGTTGAATTGTTAGCATTAGCATTGCCGTTGATTTCGCTCAACGAGGGCAGATTCGGCGACGACGCGGTGGGTTTTATGGAGGAAGGTGGGGTGACGGAGCTGTACGAAGCCGTATCGAGAGTGGAAGAAGACTTCCCCGACGTCATTTCACCGTTAGATTGCGATTCATTGGATTTGGTGGTGCGAAAACTAGGTCTGGAGCGGCGACGAAGCTGCGAAAAGAACGGCATGATGAGCGAGGGGGTGCTTGTGACTGCCGATATTGTGGACTGTATATCAGCGACAAGGGAAAAGGAAAGACGAGCAAAAGGACGACGACGGTATGCCTTCCTCCTGAATTGCTACAGCTCCTTCTCTCCAAAACGAGGGACGAACCAGCCCAGCCCGACTGGGAGAAAAAAAGAAAAAGGAAAATGGAAGGAGAGAAAGAGTGGCGAGGAGCGAACGAGAGTAGGAGAGGTGGGAAGGATTAACAGCGACCGTTTGCAGTTGCGATTGACGAACGAACGGAATGATAGCCAAAAAACAACACAGGTTCACCCCGCATGAATGGATTATACACGTAAGAGAAGAATGAAAAAAAAAAAGTAGCCTAGAAATACGCGAGAGAAAAGAGGGAAGGGAAGTAGAGGAGAAGAAGAAAAAGAAGAAAAAGGGAAGAGGGCGACAAAAGGAAAAAAAATGAGAAACAATCAATGGACTAGTAGTTCTCACTAATCTCACTTACCACTGGGGAGTATGAGGCTAACTTGTCGTTCCGTTACCTAGCAAGTAAGTAGTACTCCGTAGATATTAAATTATTGATTGGGGCAATGGTAGCGGAAGGAGGAATCCAATTTTTCCCTTTCTTTCTTACTCTCGCTTTTTCTATCATTACTTCTAATAATAATGATAATTATAGTAAGTAGATAATTGTCATGGTTCTCCTCAATTGTCCCCCCCCTCCTTTGCAGGCTTTAGGATGCAGCTATCAGACAGACTTCCAGGTTTTTCCCCCCCTCTTGCGAGTGCAACAGTCGAGCTAACAAAACCATGTAAAAGGCAGATAAATGACCCACTGCGACGCTGTTGCGAATAGACAAGGAGGTGTTACGTCGGTGGTATCCCACTGGCCAACCATAAGGGATCTCAAGTTTCACCCACTCATTCATGGGTGGATCAGATCGTCTGCTAAATTCGACTTTTGCTGTATGATTAGGCATTCTTAAGATTGTAACATTTTGTCCATATTTGCTAGAGGTTGAGTTGACGACACATTCTCCCATTCTTGGTGAAGCTTCTTCAAAACTCAATTATTTAAAAAGAAACGTTCTTGATCCGTGTCCAATTGTTTTTCCTTTCCCGCCTGTTGGTTTCAGATCCATCTCTCTCTCTCGTTTCGAAGACTTATCCCTGATTTGTCCTTCCTTCCCTTGGCGGTTAGATTTATAGCTCCCGTTGGCTATAATTCTTTATTATTTTTTTTTTCCAAGTTCCAGCTCGTTCGAAGCCTAAAATAGACTGGGATCCATTCCATTGCAGGGTGTTTATCTGTCTTGTCTGTGTCTCTTTTTCTCTTCACACCTGATTCCACATACGGTCCCGTTTTCTTTTTAATGATATGATATAATACCGTTGATATCCGTATCTATTTCAAGGATGACGGGCCCCCTTGTCTATTTCAATGCTCTACCGCTCCAGAATTATATGTTGACTTGAGGATGGGATGCGATAATCCAACATACTTGCTACTTCTTATTGTTATTCATACATATAGGTCCACGTCATTCCCCATTTCTAGTCCAAGGTTTACTTTACTATGCCTTCCAATGACCCGTCAAATGTCTACCATTATCTGAAGGTTTCTGCTGCTTTCTATCCTCTGGTTACAATCATTGCAGGATTATCGCAACCCCACCCACCTGAAGTTGCTTAATGCTTCTTGGCAGCGAACAACAGAGTGAGCACTAGCGAAGGCGAGAAAAAAAAAGATAAGGGGTGGGGGGCCTCTTGGTGAAAATGTCCAATGTCCTGCCTTAGGCAGGCTCACCTAGCAAACAATGCAATACAATGTCTTACTTTTGCACTATCGCAATGCTACCGACGCCATCTAGCCGTTGTGTTTCCTCACAATGCAGGGATGCGTGTCTCAGACAGGGACTATTGTTCACTGTCTCATTATTGATGGATCTACGAAACAAATAAATAATAAAGCTAAAAGGAAATCGATCGGTGGTGGGTAGAAGCGGGAAAGAAGGGAGAAAGGGAGGGAGGAAGAGAGAACAGGTATGTAATATCGATGTGTGGCTTTCAAGCCAGGCCAGTTCAGTTCGCATGGCTTCCCGCTGGCACGGCAACGTTTCTTGTTGAATGAGTCCTCTTAACCAAACGAATATCGTTACCTCCTTCGTCTTTGCGGATTGGATGGCAGAAGGAGATGTCGGGGAAGAAGGGGCCGATGAATGCCCAGACCAAGGGAGGGAATTGGAATGGCTCGGAGATATTGCTCTCATACCTCCTGGGACATTCCAACCCGATTTAGTAGTACTTGAGGATCTGAGGTACCGATCTGTCTGATGTTTTCGTGAAGACGCACTAGGTTGAGAAACGACGTGCATTGGTAGAGGTTGCGAGTGTTGTGGATATTTATTTAGAGAAAGAAAAGCTTGAAGAACTATTTTTATGTCTCCTCAATTTTTTTTTATTTTTATTTTTGCTTGAAATAGGGCAGGAATAGAAGTGGGTTGGATGTAAGGGGAATGGAGGGCTATTTTTTACTTATTAGGGAGTGTTGGATGCACTTACCAAGTATCTCTCTGGTATAATCTACCATTGAATCACCTACATTTCTTCATTCAGAGTACATCCATGGAGACCAGATCTACCAAATCAGTAGGGAAAGGCAGAAAGCCGGGAGCGATTGGATGTTTTGGGGAATTGGCACGTAGCAGGTACCTCTACTGCTACCTAGGTTCACACAGTTCGGTTTTTTGACCTCCCTTCATAGGAAACATACCGGCTTCAAAAAGGGACCCTGTCGTCTTTAACTAGTCGATTTCTTCCTTTTCTTTCTCTTTTACTTTAAAAAAAAGTCCCTAATAATAATGCTAAATTAATCTTAGATCCATTTTCCCCCGGAGTTCCTTTTCTCTTTAGTCTACTGACCTAAACCAACTTAAGCCACAACTTCCGTTTCTCCAATTGGGTTGGTTTCCATTTTCACTTTCGTTATTCGTTCTTTTCCCTTCATCCCTCTCCACCCTCCAGCCGCTCTTCACTTCTCTGTGACTTCACAAGCCGCTTTTTCACTGGGGTCCGGACCTTGCATTGACCGACCGTGGATTCATGATTACGATCCATTTCAGTTTCATTGTGTGAATACCTAGCTCTCCTGTGGTTCACAAAATCAATGGCTCCCCCTCAGCCTTCCAAATCGGAGAAGACGATCCGCAAAATTGACGTTGCCCAGGTATGTATGCCTTCCTTCTTTTGGGGCCTCAAATACTGTACCGTATTCTTCCTTTCTGGCTTGTGTGGATCAGGATAATAAAAAAAGCACTCACTGACCTATTTCCGCGGTAGGTATCTCTCAGCCTTCAGGATCGATTGGGCCTAGCGAAGGTCAAGTACCAGAATGGTCGTCTTCACGCTTTGGACCAGAATGGTGGTCGAAACACCCTGTCAGGAAGCGACAAACCTTCGGACTCCTCTTCCGATATTTCCCACAGTCGATGCGAGACCCCAATGACTTCTCCTCCATTACGAACCGCGACGTACTCGAAGGAACTGCCCCGGTCATCTCGCAATAGACATGCTGTCACCTTCGATTCCAAAGCGATGCAGCCGATGCTGTCCGCCAGCCGAAAACGACTCCGATCGGATTCCATAGCAGACCACCCTGCCAAAATACCTCGGTCTTCATGGAAAAGCTCCTATCAGCTGCCTGAATCATCTCCGGGCTTCAATCGTCACCTGATCAATCGCCATCTGCCCTTCGTTAGTGAAACGGCTACAATCCCCGAGTTATCCTCTCCGGCATATCATCACCAGTCAGACGATGACAACGATCCGGATCTTCCAATCCACAGCTTTCAAAATGTCAGTTCTATGGTGAGCTCATCGCCTCCCCGGACGCCGCCGCCAAAGCACGCCCGGTTATCACGAAATGATCGAACCGCACGACATGAAGATGGTGCCGATCTGCTGTTGTATTTGGCCAATTCCCCTACTCCGGCCAGTGTCACTGCTAAGGCTCACTCTCGAGAGTTTCCTCCATCTACCCCGCCCAGTCAGCATGCTGTCCTGCCTTCATTAACCCCAACTCCTGGGGGTGGCGGCGTCTTCCCAAACTTCAGTACACCGAACCAGCAGTTCAATTTCGCTGATTTTGTTAACGTGACACCTAGTCCAGCACAGCCTGCGTGGGGTGGCCGCACGCCTGGAGGTCTCTCCAAGACACCACTTACAACTAGAGACAGAAGAAGGTCTCACTTAGAGAACCTGTTGCCTCCCGGCGCAGATAGTCCCAAGACCCGAGCGAAGCAGGCTGGTGTTGTCTTGCAGCTTGGTGGAGAGCTGCGACCTTGAAGCGATGGCTTCCTGAACATTAAAACCCTTTTTCTTCTTGTTTATGCATTTCACGACTACTTATGACTCATGTACGCACATTTTGGGATCCATGCACATTTATCGGATGTTTCGGCCAATGTGTTGATCGTCGGTCTTCACCGTCTGTTCTTTTTTCTCTCCCCCTTCCCTTACCAATTCTTCAAACTGCCTTTCAAAAGCAAACCCGTGTTGACTGGTCCCCCAAATCATGCATTGTTGTCCATATACATACCCTTTCATATGTCTCGTTTAATAAATTTCGCAAGCAATCTCCCTTTGTATTCTCCGACTGATCTCTTTCAGTTAATAGCCAAACGCTCTTTACCAGTTCTTGATTATTTTTAGTGATTACTGGACGAAACCTATCTCCGGAACTTTACTACCCTAAATGCCCTTTTCAACTTTGCTGTACATACATTTGACATGTCAATAGCCATTGTTTGGAACCTGCATCTATCCCGTGGATTTGGGAACAAAAAATCCCGAAGATGACCCCACTCGGAAAATCACACAAAAAACCAGGCAAAACAACACGCGACAGCCAACGCGTCAAACTCAAAATCCCGTGTCTATTTCGCGCTCGAACCACACCGTGAAAAGTCTAGCGCCATGCATGTGATCGGAGCTACCCGAGTCAGGGTTAGTCAAAAATCTTAGTAACCTTGGCTGCTTCAGTAACACGTGATTATGATTCCAATGGATTCGTTTTAAGATTTAAGTATTTTAGTAGACTGCGTATTTCACCCCCATGTGATGTACGATGGGTAAAGTGCGTAAGTTTTGTTGCCGCTGTGTACTTATATTAAAAGCGGACTGCTATGCTAATAAAGGGTGATTATGTAACATGCCAAATAGTTTGCCAATATCGCCGAACTGAAGCATACGCGCCAGCTCTCATTCCTCCTGCCAATCTAACTCCGCTTCTGGGGCAGGACGTTCTGATTCCTCTTTCTGAGATCGCTCGGATTGTTTTCTCCAGAGCAAGGCTAGATAATCTGACGTGGTAGCCTCGTCAATGGATTTGTCCTCCCGGACTCGAAGGAACCGGGGAAACCGAAGGCTGAGGCCTCGCTCATCACTCACCAGCCCGATGGCAGCTGTGTAAGTCGGGCTGAGCGTAATATCTGCGAACGCCATTTCCCATACTTCCTGCGGCTCGAACCAGACATCTGGCTCGCCGTAGTATTCCACATAGCTGGGCCGTGAGATGACGTTAGGGCTACCCTCGGTGTATTTATCTTTGTTAGCTTGGTAAAATTTATCCGTGAAGCCGGACATGCATTTCGTGACGGCTTCGAGACCACCAGTCTCCGGGTTGCGCACAGCTAACAGAATGGGTGACCACCACTTGGCTTTCCGGCCGTTTCCGTGCCAGCCTCCAACGGGAATTAGGTCGATGGTCTCAGAGGAAGTGCTGTAGTCCTTTTTGACCTTAAGCCAGGATTCGAGCCTCTTGTCGGGTTCATATGTGGAGAGTAATGCCTTTCGGCGATTTCCTTTCGTCGGTTTTGGATCCGATTTGTCTATGCCGTTGGTGTTGTTGGTCGTGGTCTCCGAGGGTTCTGGAAGACTTGGCTTCAACTCATTGTCGAGCACTTTGACCATGATACCTTCGCACTTGGTATCAGTTGCACTCCTGAAAAACTCCAGGACAGCTTCGGAATCGGTAGATGTGGCATCGAAGCTCTTGACCGACGTGAACCGGTTGGGGATTTCCACGAATAGGCTTCGCAGAAGCTCTCTACGTTCGCGGAAAGATCGATCCAACAGCGGGGTCCCATTCAGGTACATCAAGTCGAATGCAAACAGGCAAACGTTGATCTTGATAGTCCCTATATCGACGTTCTTTTTAGCTCGATTAGTTAGGACTTGAAAGGTTTGGAGTTCTCCAGTTTCCTGGTCCACTGCGACCACTTCCCCTTCTAGGATGAAACTCGACACGCTTTCACCCCTGATCTGAGGGACTAGAGACACAAGATCTGGGTATTTCTCCGTCATATTTTCCAGATGACGAGAGAATATGGATACTTTACCTTTTCCATCACAGTGTACTTGGGCACGCTGTCCGTCGTATTTATATTCGCAGGCGAAATCCCGCCCTTGCAGCTTCGTCAGCATTTCTGAAAGGTCTCGAGTGATACTGCCTAACATCGGTCTCAATGGTATGTGTAGCTGCAGACCGCATCGTACGAGGAGTTCTTCTGTGACCCCTATCTCGAGCAAACAGGGAACTAGATCATTATAGTCTGGGTGTCTAGCATATGAGGCCTTGACAATCTCTTCCGCATTGCTGTAGGCCTCGGTCAGATCTTCCTTTTTGAGACGAGCCAGTTCTTGTTGGGAACGGACAGTAAAGCTGGCGCCATTCGGTTTAGAGTACAGAAAAGCGCGCGCGAGTGCAACAAGCATGGTGGTCTTGACGGCTCCTATTCGGAGGTTCTGGACGAGTGTCCTCACGATATACCGACTCTCTTCCGCACCTCTAGTATCTTGTAACAGTTTCTCGACAATCCTCTGTTTTGTTTCCTGGCTCCCAGTGCCTTTGCTCATAGCAATCTTTTGTAGCGATTGATACACTCCTTTAATTGTTAATGGCTTGGGTTTCATTAATGTGAAACTCTGTCTCTTCTTAGCTTCAAACGCCACATCACCGGCGTCTCCATGCCTGTCATAAAGCGACTTGAGTCCTTGGCTATTAAGGCCATATATCTTCTTCAAAGCTTTTGAGATAGAGGATCCGCCAAGTCCTAGCTCTAACTCGTCATATGGTGGACAGATTGAGTTTGTTGCTAGCCATACCGCGGGGAGGACACTTGAAGGGTCGGCTTCGATGAGGACTCGGAGGAAGTTGACTAATGTATCCACAATCTTGATACGGCTTGTCGTGGTGTTCGCAAGGACAAAAGCCCGGGTCAAGAGAGCATATGACGCATTGCCACCCTCGGAGGTCCAGTGCCTTTTTAACTCTTCTGCACGTTTCGCCGAGTCGAACGTTAAGGGACTCTGATCGAAAGGAACGGCAAGAGAAATGGTGTCTTCCGTACCGGCAGAAGACTGTAATGATAGTGTATGCTTTTTCTTTGCTTTGTACGGCGGTTCTAGATTGTCGTCTTTGGGGCTCGACGGCGCCAGAACAGGCTCACCGATTGGAGTCCCAGTTTCCGAAGTTGGGGCAGCATCTTGTTGATTCCATTCCTCTTGGAGCCTACGAGCGAGTGCTTCATCGGAGAGCGTTTGGTCTGTATCGTCAGACACCGTTGCTGGTGTCTGCTCCGTCTTCTCAGCTCGCTTGGCCGCTTGGCCTTTGAAGAATGACGCTATACTTCGATTGCGCTGAGGAGATGACACTGAAACATCCCTCTTGCGCTTCTTGGCCGGGCTTGGCATATTGGATTGAGTTCAATAAGTTCTTTGACGTTATAATTATTGTATGCGCCCACGTAATGGGCCCCATGGCGGCCTATTCGTTGGTGGTGGAAACGTTGTCATAGGGCGCGGGGCGGTCGCCAGGAAGGTGAAGCTGAGCTCCGCTTTCATTCGTCCGGAGGCGGGAGTTGTTCGCGACACCTTACAATCCATTCCCCTCACCAGCACGGCCTAACAATGGCGACTCCAACGTCTGTGCTATCACCGCATGAGAAAACAAGAGTCGAAGACTATCTGAATGACAAGGTCCAGGTGTCTGCCGATTTTGAAAGCCTTGATTCTTTGCTGTCCAGCCTACGCGCCCAGCATGAGCTTCAACGAAAGCAGGTACCGTCATCTCTCCATGACCATGGATAAATCGACCTACTCAGAACAATATCTGACGGTCATTATATAGCTAGCAGAAGCTCAGGAAGCTCTCTCCAATGCGACCAAAGCCTCTAACGACCATGCCGAAGCGACTCGCAAGCGCGCCGAAACGTTCAATGAGCAGCAGGCAGATATCGATAGGCGGTTGAATGCCCTCACGGGGTCGGATGCGAGTGACGAAGCCGCAAAACGATTTGAAGCGAGTATAGAAAAGCTTAGGAGGCTCGAGTTGTCAAAAGGCTATGTGTCTTTACTGAAGGAAGCAGAGGGATTGAGGTATTTGAAACACCGATAATGCTTAAACAGAGTATGGGTCGCTGAGAGGATATACAGCAAGGAAGCCTTAACGAACATACGATCCTCACACAAATCGGCCATAACACCCTACGCCCGGCTGCGAACCATTGTTCAGGCTTTGAAAGAGGCCCAGCCTGCAGCAGAAGGAGCCGCCCCTCACCTGGTTGACTATGTGGGAAAGCTAGCATCTACACTGAGAGACCACATGAAAACCGACTTCACAAAGAGGCTACAAGGGACATTGGAGCAAATGAAGTGGCCGTCGAAGGATCTATATCTTCCGGATAGTATAAAGGCACAGTGGAAGGACCATGTAGGGCTACTGCTCGACCTTCAGACACCGTATGTATCAATCTATCGTTTTCTACATCGTATACTAACTTGTTTGGGCCAGTGAACTCCAAAGCCGCGATGCTTCGAAAGAGGAATTTATCAAGCCTCCGATATTGCTACCTCTGGAAGTGATGGTCCATCCACTAGAGCTTCGTTTTAAATACCATTTCAGCGGAGACAAGCCAACGAATAGGCTTGACAAGGTACCGACTGCCATCCGATAGAAGAAGAAACATTGTTTTAACTGAGTTATAGCCGGAGTACTTTCTTGCCCATGTAATGGACTTGATCAATAATTTCGGCGGCTTTTTTGCTTCATCCTTGCAGCCTATCTTTGATGAAAAGGCTCAGGCCGTCGGGTCTGACATGGAGTGGAACTTCTGTAATGCCTCGCATGCTTACATTACGGCCCTTTTGCCGATTCTGAGACATAAAATAACTACGTATCTTCCCCAGATCTCGAACCATCCGCAGCTGCTGAGCCATTTTGTCCATGAATTGATGAATTTCGACATAGAAATCCGCGAGACATGGAATTACATACCGGATCCCTATACTGATGATAATTGGAAGGGCATGACGTGGGAGGTACTGACCGAGCGAGGTTGGTTTGACCGTTGGCTTCAGGTCGAAAAGGACTTTGCCCTGGCACGATACAAAGAGATTGTAGATGCCCCGGATAGCGGTCATATCGATTATGAAGGCGTTGATAGCTCAGCAACAAAACCGACCAAGGCAGCAATTCGTGTCAATGACCTCCTTGAGACAATAACCGAGCGTTACCAACCTCTATCGTCATTCAGCCAAAAGTTGCGTTTTCTTATCGACATTCAAATCACGATATTTGACCAATTCCATGAACGCTTACATTCGGCGCTGGAAGCCTACCTCGCAATGACATCGACAATTGGCCGCACAGTGCAAGGTGCGGATGGGGCGAGCGTGGAAGGCGTTGCAGGATTAGAGCGGCTCTCCAGAGTCTTCGGAAGTGCCGAATTTCTCGAAAAGAAAATGGAAGACTGGAGCAACGAAGTGTTTTTCGTAGAGCTTTGGTCTGAGCTCCAAGAAAGAATTCGGCAGAACAAGGACGGCGGCAAGAATGTGGCTGGCTCGATGTCTGTTGCGGACGTGGCATCGCGAACGTCTCAATCCGTCGCCAACGGCAGTGGCCGTGGAGAGGCCTCCGAAGGCGCCCTGTTTGATGAGACAGCATCTGCATACCGTCGTCTGAGACTCCGATCCGAATCAGTCATCACCTCGACTTTGACTTCAAACGTGCGCACTGCCCTTAAAACCTACTCTCGCGTCTCGACATGGGCAACCATTTCTGCTACTTTGGCTTCTCCTTTGCCCCCAACTTCTGATCTTGCGCCCGCAATGCGAACTCTATCCACTGAAATCTCATTCCTCTCTCGTACATTGGGTATTGCGCCCTTGCGCCGTATCATTCGACAAGTACTTCTTTCCATCCAAACCTACATCTGGAACAACGTCCTCATGAGGAACAAGTTCTCCGCTGCGGGAGCGACGCAGCTGATTAGCGATGTTGAACATCTTTGCAATGTCACTGACGTAGCTCTCGGTCCAGCGGCCCAAGTGGGCAGCTCGGCGAACGTGCTCAGGAGGCTCAACGAGGGCCTCACGCTCCTCGGATTGAGTATCAGTGCGTCGAAGGCAACAGATGACGAGTCTGCATCCCAGGCCAAAGACCAGCGAGGAGCGACACAGCTAGGGCTGTGGGAGGTAGAGAAGAGGCTGTTCAAGGACAACGAGAGCGCGAGGGACCTTCTTACTGAACTAAACATCGAGACTCTCTCCGGAGCGGAGGCAAGAAGTGTCCTAGAGAGGCGAGTCGAGATTGGTAGTTGAATTCTTGGCGATCTTGCATCACGTTGGTTATTACTGGGCTTTGACGGGGCTAAGATGCTTTTAACTTTAGCGTGCATGAAATATGTAGATATGAACCTACTGTATCTATTAATTTGAGCCTTGCGCTTTTATTTTCTTCATTGTGCTATTATCTCTAACGATGATATAGAAATCTATAAGAAGGGCGTTATATAGTGCTTTTGGGTAGCCATGCCAATCACATGATAAACAGATTGCTGTTGAAAGTGTCCTGTCTGCACAGTTGTCTCCACTCGACTCGTAGAACTTCACGAAAGGACGGAAAGGCTCAAGGGTGATGAACAACTGGGCCGTGGCCTCTTTCTCCTGGCCTATTGAAACTCCTCGGAGCATTCTGCACCTTCATATTCCCAAGAATACCTGGGCCAACCTCTTCAATTGCCTGGACAAGTCCCTCGACGGTCTCTTTGGCGGTTTGCACATTAACCACACAGCGGAAGAACTTCCCGTTCCCGATAGCATCCTCATCGCCACTGGGTGGTGCAAAATCTACCATGAAGCCCTTGTGCACAATCGCATGTGTTATCTGCTCGGTGACCTTGCTGTTTGCATTGCCGCGCTCGGCTTCATCCGAGACGATGCCCCGAGGATGGAGAAGTTGTCCGCCCGGTGCATAGTAGAAGCACACTTGCAAACAGGGAGGCGGGGTCTCACTGACAAGGATGAAGTTCGGGTTCTCGGCGACAAGAGACGCGAGATACGCGGCGATGTCACAGGCAGCGTCGATCTGTTTCTCGTACCCGGCTGTTCCGTAATAAGTCCAGCCGAGGAAGAGCTTGAGAGAATCGGCGCGTCGACCGCATTGGAGTGTCAGGTCAGCCAGGTCCCATACTTCGGGCGAATCGACGGCGAGTTCAGACTCAACTGCGCCGTTATCGCTGTCGGCTTCTGGGAGCTCTGTGTCTTCGTTGTGGAACAGGTAGCCAGCAGGAAGGGTGTTTGCACGGTGGAAGCGACGCAAGTCAGCTGCGAGAAGGAACGAACAGGTCACTGGCACGCCGAGCATTTTGTGGGGATTAATAGCGATACTGTCTGCCTTTTCTGCACCGGCGAGTTTCTGCCGTTGACGCTTGGAGAAAGCAAACGAGCCACCCCAGGAGCCGTCAACATGGAACCATAGGTTGTACTTCTTGCAGATGGCGGCGATTTCGTCGAACGGGTCAAAAGATCCCATGACAGTTGTTCCTGCTGTCGCGTTGACGTAGAATGGGGTACGGTTCTCCTTCAGCGCCTTTTGAACTAGATTTTCCAGTTCTGTGTGAATCATGCGTCCTTGCTTGTCGACAGGCACAGACCAAACCGAGCTACTCCCGAGACCTAGCATCTGCGCTGCCTTCTCAATGCTGTAATGGCCGTGAGCGCTGGTAAAAAGCACGAATCGGTAATCGCCGTTTCCGTCTGTCTTGGTAGTAGGGAAAAGATTATTGCGTGCAATGACGATTGATGTGGTATTCGATGCAGAACCACCCTGTACCGATATTCCTCCCGCACGTGAGCCATTGAGCCCAAAAAGCGAAGCGAGCTGTTTCCCGGTGAATTTCTCAATGACAGTCAAAGCGGGCGAGACTTGGTAGACGTGGACATTCGTGTTCAAAGCGGCCAAAATAAGTTCAGAAGCCACACCTGGGGCATTGGTCGATGCGTACAACTTGTCAAGGAAGCCCTGGTGCCAAGTGTTGACGGAGTACTGCAAGACCTTGTGCAGCACCTCGATCAGGCCGTCCTGACCGGTCCCTTGCTCCGGAAGATCCAATTGGAGTATATTTTGCAACTCTTCTGGTTTCTTGTGGTCCACTAATGATGTACCCGATTGTTTGAGGTCGCTACGAGCGCCGTTCGTTCCATTGATACCGTTTTCCAGTGCTTTTTGGCCTAGGGGATCCTCATCTGCAGATTGGATGAAGGGAATTAGGATGTCTCGGACCGCATTGAGAAGCTATTATGAGGATAAATCCATTAGTACGACGGGGAATTTCTTGAATAAACCTGGAAGATTGCAAGCGCATTCTGACTCACATTTCGCACCTCTTCCGCGCGGTGGGATGGTGGGGACATAGCCATCTATAATTGACTGTAATTTTTAGGGAGAATATAGAATGGGGCAAACAAACTTAGATATAATTGTATATGTACGTACATGAAAATCGGCAAAGAGTATGGTGTTCAAGAAAATTGAAGTCTCATAGAACTTACAATTAAATGCCAGACCTATTCTGACACCGGCGGATCCGCTGGAGAAAATGGATCAAATAAAATGGCGACAAATCCGGAGACTCTGACATCATGGTTCCAGAGACAAATGAATGGCTCTGAGACTTGGTTCTCTCAAACTCAAAGGATTTAGAAGCATTTTAGGGTCCTTTTTTTTTGACAGTGGGTGGAGAGAAAAAAGAGAGAGAATTCCTTGGTTAACATAGTAAGCAAGTTGCCCACCACCCACTATACCACTCTATGAAAAATTAAAATGATCAACTCATCATCAATTCAGACTTCTATATAAAAATAAATGATTCTATCGATTCGGACAGTGCGTAATTTTATGATCTTGTATACCACAGCCAGAGCACTTAAAGAGTGCGCGTTTAGGGCCTGATTCAGCAGGGTGAAGCCCTATCTGCCTGTATAGTCTCATCTGTATGATTTCTGCGCTCTATAAGGATTCGGGCTTCAGATACTAATGTGCCTTCCTTAAAAGTGATCTGCTTAGTAGAGCGCTTCTGCTTTTTGGCCTGCTTTTCATATGCGGCTTGATATTGCTCAATTTGATGCATTAGAATAGTCACATCATTTAAGGCTGCCTGCCATATCAGGCAGTCAAGTTTTCTTATGTAGACCCTAATTAATTTGATTCTCACCAATACCCCCGAACTTAAATCTCTGTTTACAGCTTCCATTGTACTCCATGCATGTTAACTGGCATCGCAACCCCTTGGAGATACTCAGCAATTACGCCGATCATTTGCGAGATTAATTTCACACTAATGCAACCTGTATCGCGTGCTTTTGATATCCACATCGCCAATTCCGTGACCCGTATATACATACATACTTTTTGTTTAAGAATCTCCTTCAAGGATCGCTATTTATCAGGTGAAAATAAATTGATTATGAACTGGCAGCTCCGCCCTTCTGCGCACCTTTCTTTGCTTCCTCCTCTGCCTTGGCAGCAAACTTAGCCCGAGCCAGCTCGATCTTGGACTTGGGCCGTTCTCCAGAGCCATTGATGTCATCCATACCTTTGGCTTTTCCAGCCCACTCACCCCGTCGTCGCTTGTAGAGATCCATTGCCCAATTCCTCCAGACAGCGCGACCGACGAAAGAGTCTCGAAGCGTCATCTCATTCTGTGCCAGTTCCTGCGCCATTCGCTCCTTGATGAAAAAGATGTCCTTGGTGGCGGGCCAGAGTGCATCGACCACGTGAGAGCCACTGCTGTCCAGGGCAAGCTCCTGTAGATGACTAGTAAAGCGGGGAGCAAACTGTCGACGGAATTGAGGGGTAGATGTCGGAAGCGTGAGAGCCTGCTGTAGGACACGAGATGCAGTGGGATCCTTAGAGAGCTTTAGGAGCGACTCCGATGATTGTGCTAGCAGACTCGAGTAAATCAGACCGCTTACCGGCCCAGGGGCTGTGAGCATTGTCTGTGCAAGTAGCGAACCATGCAGTTTTTCTCCCGTTGATGCTTGGCTGGAAGCAGCATCAGCGTCCTTCGGTTTTTGCTTCGATTTCTCAGCTTCTTCCTGGACTGTGCCCTCAAGCCGCAGAATTTGATATAGCCTTTTGGCAGGGTCTTTGTCGTAAGCACCTTCCAGAGCTGGAGCGAGGGGTGCCGTGTTAACTCCACGGATCAAGCAGCGCTCGACCAGCACTTTGGGGATGATCATTCTGGACCGTTCGAGCAGGCTGGGAATCTGAGGAATAATTCGCTCCAAGGCTTCTTGGAGATCATCCTTTCCGAGTCTCTCTAGTACCCGAAGCACAACATACCCGGCGGTGATATTACGAGCAAGCGAAGTGATTTGTTCGCGAACAAAGTTCTTGTAAAGACCCTTGAATGCCTTTCCGGGCATATAGCGCACAATTGTCTCAAGTAAGCGAGATCCTACTGGATCATAGAGTAACCCACGAACAAATGTTGTGGTCTCAGAACCCTCCTCAAAGGTCTCATCCGGAATCAGCCGTCTTGTTATAGAATTAGGATCCTTGGCGCTCGACTTTCCAAAATGAGAGAGTTCCAGAGACACCAACACTTGAAGCACTGGATTGCCGACAGGATGAGTCGCAAGCGCTCTCAAATAAGTGTCGTCAAGCACAGAGACCATGTCTTTCATGATCTTCTTCAAAGTAGCCCCGAAAATATCCGGTACATTCCTTTTCTTCGCAGAAGTATCTCCATCTTGTGCCTCCCCTTGAAGGATACCTAATCTCTCCTTCTTACGGCTTGCGACTATCGAGTCGTTCGCCGAACCGTCCACGGGCTCTCCCGCCAGCACAAGAAGCAAAACTCTGATTGTATGCGACGCAAATCGTTCTGTCAGGAGGAAGCCCCAGTTTCCCTCTAATTCTTCGACCACCTTGATAAACATCTCCACCAGCGACAGCTCCGGCTCCTGCTCCTCTTCCTCCCCATCTACTTCCATTTTATCGCTTCTCGACTTTGAAATTTTCTGCGTTACACCGGGCGCAGCATTGGTGAATAGTGTCTCGCAGCAATGACTAGCAAAGCGATGCTGCACAAGGGGCAGAAAGTGGCCAATGAACTTGCTGAACAGTCTCCGGATCTGACGCATATCCGACATCGATATCAACTTCTCCATGAGCCGTGAGCATGACTGACTGCAAGCGATTTTCAATTCCTTCCCATCGGCTTCTCTGTAGACACTGTCGACGAATAGTCGCTTCTCCTCTGCATCCTGAAATTGGTTCATTTCCAACATCTCATTCGCTCGAGAGAAATATTCCTGCTCTTCGGGGTCGAGGAGACCATAAAAGGGCATATCTACTGCTGGCGCTTCATCTTGGGCCTTATCGTAGTTTCCATTATAATTTTCATCATCAAAAGGTATGTAGTCGGCTCCTTCGCCGATCTCGTTGGACTCGTCGATCGAGGGCTTCATCCGTTTTGGCATAGAGTCTTCGGGCGCTTCCTCACGCTTTCGTTTCGTGGCATCCTTTTGGGCCTTCTCGGCCGCTCGGCGACCTCTTTTTTGGTTTTCACGAGGCATGATGTGATTGTTGAGGGTATTAGGTGGTTAAGTGAAGGAAGTTCTTATCCGGCCTTTTGCGCTGGAAATTTTTGGGATAAGCGGTGGTCCAAGCGCCTTCTGCGTATCAAACTAAAGCATGTGTTTGTTCTGTTTGCTTGGACTACTTTCCATCCATTTTCGGATAAATGTTTGCATCAAGTTCATTAGGTGTGGTAGATAATGTACAGTAGTTGGCCATTCATTTTAGTAATTATAGCAGTCATGATAATACATCAAAGAATGCAAAATATGAAGAACCATATTATACAGAGGAGTAGATTGCAGATATATGTCTTCCGCACTCCACACGCTGCTCCATTTTCACACAGCGGGAACCAACCTTGCCCTTGTGACGAGGCATGATCTGAAGCCGTGCCTCCGGCTCTGCATTCTCTCCTTTACCTTCCGGAGGCGCATTGATGTGTGTTGGCTTGGACTGATTACTTCTCTTGCCCGTGCCAAGTTGATAATGTTCATTTCCTCCCCACATGAGCACATCAAAGCCCCAATTGGAGGTATCGTTCAAAGAATTGTGAGGCAATGAATCGACGTGAACGTTGTTGTCCATTACTGCTGAAACGTGCGTCGTCCCGACGGACAGCTTGCGCAATCGAATAGGTGCCAGCTTCTTTGAACGTTCGTCGTACTCAAATAGTCCGCTCAAGGCTTTGACCTTGGTGGGAGCGTCTTGCATGTGAGTCCATTTACCTGTGCCAAGAGCACCCCAAATTCCTCTCCCGCAAGCCCAGGTATCAGCCGTAACGCGGTCCAGATCGTGAACAGTCGAGGGTTTTTCACCAGGACCAACGATCCGCTTTGCATCCACCATGAAGAAGCTGTTGGCCCCACCAGCTGCAATTCCAGTTACCTTTGGAAACCAGATATTACCTTTGTAAAGGTTCTTGATGGGAATGGGAATAGGCGAGTCACTAACAGGCAGCGAGGGGTCAAGTTCCACGCCCAATTGCCCAAAAGAGTTGTCGCCAAAAGTAAACAAGCTGCCATCCTTGCTTAGAGCCAGTGAATGATAATCTCCCGTAGCAATTTGAATAATTTTGGAGCCCTTAAGTGCCTCAACCTCATGACACATGTCGACTGGCCCCTTGGGGCGGGTTGCCCAAGTCAGCCCTGGGATACCAAGTTGTCCAAAAGAAGGATAGCTCTCTGTAGAGGATGCGACAGAAAAGACACGACCATAATTCGTCAATAGAAGGGCATGCTCCAACCCACCAGAGAGTGCGGTTACCTTTTCGCCTAGTTTTAAGCTTGGCTGGAGCACCCGGTAGCTTACTTCAGATTTTCCAAACCAGAAAGGCACCCAGGAGCTTTCTTTAGGCTTTCGACCGGAGCTCTGATCATCCTTTGCAATTGGAAGAGAATAAATATTGCCATCCGATGACAATGCGAGTATTCGGTCATTAGACATGCATAGGGAAGTTAAATTCTTCCCAATTAAGGTCTTTGCGGGCTTAAAGTCTGACTCTGAAAAGCCCTTACCCCATTGGATTAGATCTCCATTTTCAGCAATTGCAGCGCCGGATTTGTCAGAAAGCTTCAGGTCCCTCAGCACCTGGTCGTCAAAATAAGAAAATCTTCGAGGGGTTTTGATAACGGTCTCTTTGGACTTGGGGTCCACAACACGGTAGGAATTCGTGCCCCATACGTATACACCTGGGCTTTTTAAGCTTCTCTTATGTTGAACAAATTGGGAGCCTAGTTGCTCAGTCGCCTGAGAGAGGTCTAGGGCCTTTCTGTCTGTCTGGCTTCCAGCTGGGGTTTTATCCGTTGTCATATATGAATAGGCAAGAAACGCAGCGGCGCCTGTTCCTGCAAGACCTATAGAAGTTTTGATCCAATGTGAAGAGGATCCGGACCGTTCAGAAACGGAGCCATTGCTAGCATAGCGTCTTCCACAAGGTATGACGGCAGGTCGAACACTTCTTCTGGGAAGGCGACAAGAGACGGCGACGAGCTTCGTCACGGGCTGTCGCGCTCGGGATGTCCACATGGTATGCTAACGCTTTCTTCAACAAGCGCGCATTATCTGTCTAAGTAACGTAGAAAGGTATGTTATGTTTCTGATCAGATTTTATCAGTAGCCTCCAATTGGTTTATCTCTTGCGTCGAGTAGCGGAAGCGGAATACCGTGGCAGAATAGCACATCAAAGCGGCAACGGGGAAAGCAACCACTATTTCAGTCACTATATCTCAAGGTTGCCTTTTGCTGTATGAGCTTGATTATGGAAGTCCGTTCTCTCCTATAGAAGCATAGGCGATTTTCTGCATTTATCTCTTTATCCTTTGCCTTAGACCTCACAATGCGTCAACAGAATGCGGGACAACGATCTCGTCGGCAAACTGTCCCTTCCCGTCCGCCTCTCGAGCTAGCTCGAGAGAAGACCAGGGAGGCAGTACCCGATGGCTTGTATTCAATTGGGGACATCCAGAATGAGCTTGAATTTACCCAATGGTACAATGAAGTGGAAGACAGTTTGCTCGAGGCTAGCTACGACGAGTACCAGTAAGCGCCATGCTGCGAAATCATTCGGGGGAACCAAAAACACTGTGATGCCTGACACGTTTTGTAATTAGAGCCTGCCTTCATGAGCTTCAAATGTCAAAATCACACCTTGATACCCTGCTATCGGATACCTCTTCTACTCTCAACCTATTGTCAACCCTGTCCAAAGACTTTCAAGCAGTAGAATCGCAAACGTCCAATTTTCAGAAACAGTGCGAAGGGCTCCTCTCTGCTCAGAACCGTGACTTGGAACTAGCTACAGATATCCAGGATAATCTTCAATACTATGACTTCCTGGATCCTGCTTCTAGGAGACTTAATGCTCCGGGTGCTGGTAATACGGTTCGCGGCCAAGACTTCTCAGATATGCTACGGCGGCTTGACGAATGCTTGGACTATATGGAAATACATGTCAGTATTTTATGGGAGCGTAAAAGCAACGTATTGACTAATTTTGTCTTCCGCAGGCGGACCAAAAAGAGGCGAGTGTATATCGCTCCAGATATCGACTCCTTATGACACGTGCCCTCACGCTCATTCGAGGACACTTCGTTTCTGCACTCCGAGATGTATATATCAGTGTGGCCAAGAAGATAGCAGACAAACAGCTCAATGACACTACGATGTCTGCTCTACTTTATGCGAAGTTCAGAGTCGGCGCGCCTGAGCTCAAACAGATTGGCCTAGAGATCCAAAAGAGAGCAGTTCCTCCGCTGGATCCGGATCAGGGGACCGAGGCTGAATACCAAAGCCTTCTTAATGAACTCCATGCCAACTACGCAGCTATACGTAGTAAACTGATCTTGCCACTCGTGCGCAAGAAGCTCAATGACATTGCGCAGGCCCCAAGTACGTCAACAGATCTGGTCGCTTTCGCTCGTGGTAGTATCAGCTACATTCGCGGGTTATGTTTGGACGAGTTTGATCTGTGGGGCGAATGGTTTCACGGACAGGGAGGCGTGTATGATTTCCTGGAGACATTATGTGAGCCTCTTTACGATCACCTTCGACCGAGAATTATACATGAAGACAAGATTGTCCGGCTCTGCCAACTTTGTGCTCTTCTTCAAACCCGTTATCTATTCGACCAGGAGGAAGAGACAGAGCCCACGGATGTTAATCAACTCGACTTCTCTACATTAATTCAACCTGCACTGGAGGACGTTCAAACTCGGCTTGTATTCCGAGCCCAAGCCTTCCTTCGGGACGAAATCGAACGATACAAACCTCACCCTGAAGATCTTGATTACCCTGCGCGCAATCGACAGGCTTCGATATCAGTTACAGAAGGCCAGATCTCGGGCAGAAGGGTTGCATCTACTGATGCACTGACGAACCTTCCCAAACCAGCAAAGCAACCCGAAGACAGCGTTGAATCACCTTCAGAACAAGACTCAAAATGGGATTTTGAGTCTCAAGTCTCCCCAGGCAATTGGTACCCTACATTGCGGAAAGCCATCTGGCTTCTGAGCAGGATCTACCGCCTTGTTAATGTACGCACCAACCCACCATGCCAATCACATATTCTACGGATGCTGACCACCTGAGCCTAGTCCACTGTATTCGACGACTTAGCGCATCAAATTGTCCACCAAACCAGCCTTTCTCTCCACCATGCAAACTCCCTGATATCCAGCAAATCCGTCATAGACGGGCAACTGTTCCTAATGAGCCACTTACTCATCTTAAAGCAACAAATCGTTGCTTTTGACATCGAATACGTCGCCCCAGAAGTCTCACTCGACTTCTCAGGCGTCACGAACACATTCTGGGAATTACGTGAGAGAGGCGGCCTTTTCAACCCCCGTAACCTGATGCGCCTCGTCGGCCATGGCCTACTACCCCGAGTCGTGGAGAACATGTTAGACGCAAAGGTAGAATTAGATGGGCGCCTTAGAACCGTTATTAACGACTTTATCAACGGATTCGCCACTACAGTGACGGCCTCCCTTCCAGCCAAGTTCGTCGATACCCGGAACCTGCAGCGCGGGGAGCTGATCTACCCCACATGTCGAAATATAGAGAAAGAAGTTCCGAATCTCCGGAAGATTCTCGGCGACTACCTCGATGATGCTCGCATGGAGGAGACACTAGTAGGCGCCGTGCAGGAACGCGTTATCCAGATATATGAAGAATTCTATGACAAGTACACCTCTTCGGAGAAGAGCAAGGGGCATTCCGTGAGCACAAAGGGCAAGGGGCGCGAAGATGCTGTGTGGGATGTAGATACCTTTGCAGAGTGGTGTGAGAGTGTCTTTCGAGTTGGCATCTCCGGAGATGACGATGATGCAGCTACGAGCCGAAGTAGGAGCGGCAGTCTAGAGTCTTAGAACCGGTAGCCGGGTCCGTCCTTTGGACAGCTACCGAGATACTAATTGTATATACGAAGGCCTCTTTATACAGGAGAGATGCTCTTAATACAATGTCTATATTAGCAGTACTGAGCCATGTACTAGATCATAATTATCCATAAATTTTTTATGAGATCTATCATACATTTGTTAGACAAGGAGGAGCCATAATACGGCCACTTCTAGTGCGACGACCTATCAATGTATCATAAGGTTAGGAGTGTACTTCTTCTCTCGACGAGTGGTAGGATATTTTGCTAGAAACACCTTTTTAAACCATGTAGCGAGAAAAGGACCAATTTCCTATAGTATGAGGTTCATGCACTAGGCATCGCTCCCGTCGATGTCCTGCCATGCTTTCCAGTCATTTCTCAATTTACAACCCACGTAGAGTTGACCGACAGGTAAGATCAAATAGAGATATCAAGTAGATCTAAGATTCCTAATATTATGGCCTCTTAAATTACTTATCATAAAAATGGTGTAGCTCTTAGTGCAAGAAAACATCACAAAGATGATGTAAATAACATGGAATAGATTAAATACCGTCTATATTGCTGTGATCGTAGGGCTTTAATCGAAAATACATACATACATACACACACAACATTGCAAAGAGATACTGAATTGGGTATGATCAACGAAGAACATGACAGCCGAGAAAAATATATATGCGCTCAATGACTATGCTTCAAGAGAAATGCGATCTAGAGAACATGACGGATCTTGGCATAAAGTTCAGTGTCGAGAAAATTGTACTTCAGATCTGGTTCACAGAAGGGATGACGGGTGAGGAGAGTCTCGGCGGTCGGGCGATCGAGTGAATCACTAATTGAGTCTTTTGTCAGTACCTAATGTCCATTTCAAAGAGGTGGATAGGAGAAAGCACTAACATAGTAAAGCAGTCATACATGAACGCAAGCGCCGCTGGGCTGATATTCATGGAGACATCTTCAGGGATAGGAGGCGCTTGACTAAGGCTACCGAGCTTGAATATAGCACCGATAGCCTCTTCTCTGCTCCATGGTCGTCGGCCTGCGAACATCTCCAACACCACGCATCCAAGAGACCAAATATCCACTTTAGCGCTGTAACCCTGTCCCTGAGACTGGATGACTTCTGGCGCCATCCAGAATACTGAACCTTGCATGGAATTTGTCGAGTCGTTCCCATAGATGTTGTCCGACTTCTTAGAGATGCCGAAATCAGATATCTTGCACGTCCCATCCAGATCAAGAAGAATATTGTCCGCCTTCAGGTCGCGATGTAGGATACCCTGATCGTGAAGGTAGGCCAGTCCGCTCAAGGTTTGCCGTGTAAGAGATTTCACGACACTCTCCTCAAACTTACCATGTTTGCGGAGACAGCTGCCGATGGAGCCACCGGAAATGTACTCGAGATAGATTGAAATAGACAACTCTCCTCGCTCACATCCCAGATACTGCACGATATTTGGATGTTCAAGGTGCTGCATTGTGTCAATTTCTTGGTCCATAGCAGCGACCATGTCCTTCATCTTATCCTTGTCTTGCCCGGCAATTCTAGGATTGATTTCCACCTGCTTAACAGCCAAGACTTCACCATTATCCGCATTCATACCTAGATAGACTCGGCCGTATGTCCCTTTGCCGATGAGCTGACCGCGAATGATGCGGAAAGTGGGCTGCCTCTGGGGTACATTTGCAGAAGGAGCATTGTTTTGAGGAATAGGATCAAGCTGGCTGAGTCGGCTTCCAGGTTTAGGGCTGATTTGCATGATCCTTGCTCCGAACATCTTCGTACTTTTACGACGGAGAATATCGCCAGATTTCTGATTCCCGGTAGAAGATGTAACACTCCGATTTCTGCTGGCTTGATTGGCCCCCCTGGCAACTTCACGGATTGATTTCATTCGGGTAAGTCCGCCGGAGCGGTTGACGTTACGTCGAGCAACGATATTGGGATCTTGTGCCTTGATAGTCGGCTCGCTCGACCCTAATGTGTTGTCAGGAGGATTAGGAGGGGGCTGTGGTTTTTCCTTCTGAATCAGCTCATTCTCATGCGCAACTCGACTAGCTGGTGACGAGGGAGGAGATGCTCCCTGCCCGTCAAGATAAGGCGCATCAAGATCAATATTAGGGAAGAAGTCATCCAGGTATTCAATGACGCCTTCTACAGGAGGCCTGCTTGCCCAGACATCCCCTCGAGCGAATGAATCTCTCCTAGGGGGTTTCTCTTCCTCAGGCGAAGTGGTCATATCGGAAACTGACCCTGTTCGAGGGTCTGGATCGCCGCCTGAGGCAAAGGTTTCGCGGGTGGCACTAGGTGACCTGAAGCTCACGGACAGTCCCTTTCTCAACCTATTCTCGGTGTTTACAGTAAGGGATGGTTTTGCTGATAACTTTTGACTAGCCGAAAAACTAGCCATAGAACCTTTCTCCTTTATCGGTGATTTGCTATTTGCTAATGGAATTGCGAAAAGACCATCATCTGAATCGTCTTCGGATTCCTCCCGTGGCATAGGTGAACGTTGGAAGGACACGTTGGTTTCCTCGAAATCAAACTCGGGCCCAAAAGATTTGCGAGATTGTATCGTTGGCCGGGGTTCCTCAGGCGTAGCAGTCTTAGGTGATTGACTGATATGCGATGTTGGAGTCTCTTGGCTGTCTTGTCCCGCAGGCGACTGTGAGGTGTTTCTTGACTCGTCTAGCGTCATAATTAGGTATAACCGTATTAAGGAACGATACATCTCACTAGCAACAGAAGGATGGAATATATGGGTTGGCTGAGGAAGTAAATATAGGACTTACCTGGGATACTAGTATCGGTTGGCTGTCCGGTGTTGACAGGGTGACTTGCATCTCCCTGTGATGTAGATACTGAAGGCGCTGGTGTTCCTATAGCACTAGTCATCCTACCAACACTAGCTAGAACCGCTCCAAGGCCATGAGTTTGAACGGGCGGTTGAACGCGAGGGCGGTCGGCATCTTTCTTCCGTAGAGAATTAACCTTGGTGAGAGTATGGGATTCATGAGGCGCAGTGGGAGGTTTTCGTAGCGGCACCAGAGGCTCTGCCTTTTTGTCTTCATAAGGAGATATACGTGGCGAATCAAAGTCAATCACCCCCTCTCGTCTATAGCCAGTCTCACCATAGGCATCCTTTCTCGGTTGCGGTACCGATGAGACTTTGGAGATCCGGTAGGCCTTCTGTTTCCTTTCGACTTCCCGCTGGTGTTCCTCATGGCGAGCTAGTAGATCTGCTTTATCTGGATCAAGGAGATTCCCTGCGTCCTGGCCACCATCCACTGGTGATGCCGCAAGTGAAGCTTGAGATACATCACGAGTGGGGAGTTTAACGGCGGGGGTTCGTAACTGTTGGCGTGAAGCTATCTGTGGAGAAGTGGGTTTTGCGATCCTATTCAAAGCTTCGTCATCCAGTGGTTTACGGTGGAGCTGATGTGTGCTTGTGGGCGATGCCGTAAGCTTTTCAGGGAATGAAACTCCAAGGCCAGCGACTTGCGGGGAACTGTTAGCGCCTGTAGGCGTATTTGATGATCCTCGCACAAAGAGTTTCAGAGAACCAAATGAATCCGACTTTGTTCTCCTACAAAGAGTCAAGTTGGCGTCATTCAAGGGCTCGTCATGGTCTGTCTGCCCCGGCTCGGTCAAGAAAATTTGGGAACCGACCCAATCAGATATCCCAAGGTTCTGGCAGATAGCAGCACGCAAGTTCTCCGCGGATTCCATGTCGGTGATGTCCACTAAACGATAGTTCCATCCATCTAAGGTCACAAAGGCCCACCTTTTCCCTTTTTGTGCAGACTTCGCACGGGCTAGTCGCTCGTGGTCTGATACGGACGAAGATGACGGGCGTTCACCTAGGGACATGTCACTGCTGCTGAAATTAGGGCGAGTGTAAGGAAGATGCGAAGCATTCTGACGCATGTTCACTGGACTAGTGGGGGACTCCAGAAACTGCTCCTCTGGAGATGGGTGATTAGAATCACCGGTTTTTGACCTCTTTTTGAAGAAATGCAAAAGACGATTACTATGGTCCTTTGAATAAGACGAGGGGTTATCCCCCCCCAACTGACGATTGTAGGAATCCTGAGGGGACGGTCGGGAATTATCCTGCCGTACTGATTCATAATATCGGCGGCCGGTGATGGAGTCGGAGCTGTTGCCACGAGAGTGCTCAAATTTAACCCCCAAGTCACCAGTAGATGACGAAGCACCCTGGTGGGCAAGAGTGGCATGCTGTGTAGCCGGGCTGCCACTCTTAGGGCTATCTTCGTATGGTCGAACAGGGGGGAAGAAATGCCCACCCTCACTAGAAACCGAAGGACTCTGCCTTCGGTGGTCACCACCGATAGTCGATAGAGCAGCTCGGGAGAAGTCCGATCGAGGACAGTTTGTACTATCGTTCAAGCTGGGGTCTGACGCCTGATGGTCATAGGTAGTGGGGATTGGCGTGGTGAAAGAACGTGTTTGCACGCTTTGTCGTTGAGTATAGACAGGCTGTAATGTTTTGAGGTTGGGACTATTCGCTGCGGTCCCCGAACTAGGACCGGCAGATGCAGGTTCATGTGCAAAATTGGGAGAAGCCTCTAGGACCCCCTCAGGAACACCGCCAGGTAGCGCTTGCGATTCACGTTGCTTTGGGATGGGTATCCCGGCATCATACCCACCATCCTCCTGTATTTGGCGGATTAACTTGCGCATACGCTTTCCCTCCTCCCGTTCGCGAGCCTGATCCCACCCGGTTCCGCTGTTTTCGCACTCTTTCGCGAGTTGAGGATATACAACATTGTGCAATTTACCTAAGTTCGGCCGGCCATTTAAACCATGGCCTAGTTCAATGAAATCAGCTCCTTGAAGCTCCAGGGCCTTGAAAGTTTCTTGCCAGTCGTTGGAAAAACCGTTCTTCGCAAGCCACATCAGGACCCTTTCGAGCGGCCATTGAGCAGCAGCCTCGCTAGGTGACATGCCACCGGGTAAGGTGTTGCTGTTATTATGGCGGTGGCTCGAGGACTTAGTAAGTTCTGTAGGTTGCCCTTGGCTCGGTAGTTGCTCATGGGCGCCGTCAATAGCTGCTGGAGCCGACGGCATGGTGCGCGCTGACGGTGTAGCTGGAACGGTTCCATCTCGTTTGTATGCAGAATCCGGGCTAGAATATTCGTATAGTTGACTAACTTGGGGCCGTTGTCGATCGCTACCCACTAGCGTTCCTTGGTTCTCATATGTAGGGAGAGAGTGCGCGTCGAATGCAGGTATTCCAACACCTGGCCCAAAGGTACCCGGTTGTGGGACATACGTTGCTGATGTCCGACCTTCGCCAGAGGGGATTGATAGTGGTGTACGGTTGTAGAGTTGTTGGTTCGCGGGGACCAATGGGGGGGGAGGCGGGGGAGGAAGATAGCCTTGGGACAGCGCTTGCCTTGCTGCCCAGTTCTGCTGCCATCCAAGAGTGTTTTGAGGCTGCACTTGTGGATTGGTTAACTTTGCGGCCCCAAACACTGTTCCTGGAGGGGGCCCAGGAGGTGGTGGGGGCACTACGCCCTGAGCTTGTGCTGGCTGATATCGTGGAGGTGGGGGAGGAAGTAGTATGTGCGACTGGGAGGCTTGCGCTGAGGGAGGCGGTTGAACTGGTATATACTGTTGTTGTCGCTGACCATCCATGGTGTCAGTCTTCGGCGTACACCTTCGCAATAGGTGGATATTTTCCACGGTTGCTTGATCCTCTTCCTGTGCACGGTTCCCAAGGCCCTGACAATCGCAATCCTAGAGCTTTATAGTATTTAAGCGACACTCATCATCGATAATCCGATGGGCAGCAGTGTTCTGACTGAGGATTCGCGGTAGGCGCGCGGTACTCGAGGAACAGGTCTTGTTTTTATTAGAAGGATAATATTGGGCAATAATAAAACATTTCCGTGTATATCAATCAAGAGTCTATGTGCTGAACAGTACCCAATTCCTTCAGCCAATTATGCACAGACGGGGTTACAGGTAATAGATTGTCCCTGCTGACTTCGAAATTTACTCTCGAATGCGCGGATGGCGGATAAGAATCAATCCAGGGAGATCCAAAGGTGCGATGGGAACGAAAGGAAGCATTTATTGGCAGAGAAATTAAAAAATTTTTGTCTTCAGGCAACTAGGGTCCAATAAGTAAGCAATAACCTTGAGAGAGTGCGTTGACCAACCCCTGATCGTAGTAGGTATGCTAGTCTCGTCGAAGGGGAGAGGGGGGGTGGGAAGATAAAACATACCACAGCCACTTAATAACGTTGGGATGAGATAGTTTAGTCAGTTTGCCGACCAGACTGGATCAATGACAGCTGGTCAGATCTTGGCACCACGATAAGTGAGTAGTATTAGCTTCTCTCACCAGGTTGGGGTAATCACCATTCATTCGAGACCCGGCCGAATGTTTAATTGAGGAGTTCAAACTGAATCGAGGGAGCACCGATGAAATCACGTGGGCCCGGCCGATAAGCACCCTTTATGAATACCATTGACTTTTGTTTATTTCCCAGGGTCAGGACCCCCCATTCAGGTCGCCTTTTCTGAAACATCTCTTTATTAAACTGTCAATAGTCCTTCCGCTCAATAATCCTACCACACCCTCTCCCCTCGAGAAATTGTAGGATGTGATAGGCAAACACAATGAGACATTGTCCAGTAAATCTCGCTTAGTTACAGACTAGCAATGTTTAGGATCTATAGCGCATAAGAACACCTCACCAGAACTACTCCTTTTCTCCACTTTTGACCATTGAACGTTCCTTTCAGCCCTACAACGGTCCCTTAGCACAGCTAGCCACACTTTCTAGTGGGCTTGAACAAAGCTTCCAGTCAAACTACATCCGAGACCTCTTTTTTCTTTCTTCTCTTTTCTTATTTCCCCCTATTTTTTTCTTAAACCCGTTTGTTCCGTTCATTGTTAGTATAGTCAAATTCAACTAGGGTGCTTATAAAGTAAAAGAAAGAGGAAGGAGAAAAAAAAGGGCGGAAAGAAAAATGAAAAAATTAATTCCTAACTATCACATATGAACATAAACTCTAATTCATGTGTCATGATCAAACTAAAAGATACCGTTAAGCTCAGGGCAGCACACAACCTGAATCTTATTCCCGAACATAGTCTAACGAAAGAAATGAAAATCGGTCTATGCCGTCAAGAAATTAAAGGGACCGGTTCCGCTCAGCCGCCGATTCGGCTGTCAGTTTTAAACTTGCTGGGCAATCATCGCGTGGCATGTGGAGCTCAACCAACTAGTACTTTGGTTAGCATCAATGGGCCCTTTGAGATAGGGGTGGACGGGCAATGACCTACCTGCAAACAAGGCGCCGAAGCAAATTCTTCATTTGCGAAGAGCTCCCTTAGCTCGTCCCGAGTTGTGACCTTGTAGCCCTTATACTTGTCCTTCGCGCCAAATGCCACAGGGATGCTCAAGAAGTCCCAGGGCTGAATGTCGTTGTAAACAGCATCCCATCCATGAATATACCGCTCGATGGTATATCCTTCGTTGCAAATGACAAAGCTACATACAATGTTAGCCGAGTATGAAATAATATATCTTTCGCAAGCCAGACTTACATGATAGGATTGAGCTCGTTTCTGATCATGGTGCTGATCTCCTGGAGAGTGAGCTGGAAACTTCCGTCACCTACAAAAAGGACGGTCCGCCGGCCTTGCTCCTTGGCAGCCAATGCAGCCCCTTGACAGGCTCCGACGGAATAGCCGATACTGCCCCAAAGCACCTGACTGATAGCTGTAACATTTGCCGGGAAGCGAGTGTCCCAGATACCGAAGTTCGCAGTGCCAGTTTCCGTGATAACCACATCCCTTTCTTTCAGCCACTGCCCAACGGTAGGCCAGAGCCACGCATGGGTAATCGCCGTCTCAGTTGATGACTTCTCGTTGTCTGGAAGCAAATTCGAAGGCGGCGAAACAGGTCCAACATTGAGAGTGCCCATTCTTTGAACGATCTTCTGCAAAACACCCTTCATGTTGATCTCAGGGTATTCGGAATATCTGACGCGTACGTATGTGCTGTGGAAATCAATGGTGTTAAGCTGACCGATACGGTAGGAAAATCCAGTCGTGTTGAAATCAGACTTGATACCACCGATGCTCAGAATCAAATCCGATGATTCGACTTGCTCACGGACACCGGGGTTCGACCCAGTACCAGCGTAGACACCGCCATAGTTTTTGTGAGTCTCGTCTACTGCTCCTTTGCCCATTGGAGCCACGAAAGTGGGCAATCCAGACTTTTCCACGAATTCATGGACTTCATCGAGTACCCGATGACGGATAGCGCAGGCGTCGACAAGGATAACAGGTTTCTTTGCGGCGTGCAGATACTTGAGAACAACATCGACCACATAATCTTCCTTCTCAGGGTCGTTTGGTGGCAGATTAAGATCAAGTGGGGTATCCAGTCGTGCCCCCTCAATCTTCCGCGTTACCATATCAGTAGGGAGAGAAATGTAGACCGGTCGACTACGAATCCAGCATTCTCGGATGGCGTTATCGATGAGAGTCGCCACTTCATGGGTCTGGTTCAAGCAACCGAGAGTGCAAGAGATGTCAGCGCTCATTCTGGTGAACACGTTGAAGTCGCCATTGCCCAAGGTATGGTGGAGTAGCATTCCATCCTTCTGTGATCTCGTATGTGGTTGACCAACAATGTGGACAATGGGCACAAATTCGGAGTAGGCACCTGCAATGGCATTGAGTGCTGAGAGCTCGCCCACGCCAAAAGTGGTGACCAGGGCGGCCATTCCGTTGATCCGAGCATATCCATCAGCGGCGTATCCTGTATTCGACCATCGTTAGACATGAACACCTTTCCTTTTGCCATTCCCCGAATTTAGCAATGATCATTCCATGAAATATTCTTACCAGCGTTAAGCTCATTACAGTTTCCTACCCAATGAAGGTCGCATTTTGGCAAGTAATCCAAAGCCGCGAGGTTGTAATCCCCTGTGTAGATCGATATTGTCAGCAATTGCAGATAAGGTCAGTGCCGTGGTTACTTACCAGGAACACCGTGGACCGCACGAACACCAACCTCACGAAGTCGTCGGAAGAGGTACTCGGCAACATCTATGGGTTTGTGAAGGTCCCGTGTAGCGATATCCGTAGCCATTGTAAGGGCTCAGGAAGAGAGTTAAAGGCAAAGTAGATGATAAGATCTTGATTATTGGATTGTTGGATACAGAGTTTACTGGGCGACAAGGACAAGGGGGGAAGGTTATATAGTAGTAGTGAATATAGAAGATCCTGTACTCCGTACAACTCAATGTGCGACAAAGACCATGCCATACGTCATGATAACGTGATGTCATGGACTTCTAGGCCGCAGGGCGGCAAAGAAATAGTACATCGAAGTTACAAGCTTACAATACCGTCAGCCACAATTGCCGTGGTTGAGATCCCAATGCAGTAAGACACTGCGGTAAAAGAAATACAAGATATCTAGACTATCCCTAGGGTAGTTCACGGTGAAGAACACCTGCGACCCAACACAATGGAGAATGGGCCGATGGCTGCAAGATAGTGTATATATCGGGATCTTTAGAATTGGTACTCCATGCCGACGAACCCGACGTTCCGAGTCGCTGGCGTGACTGTCAGCCCACCCCACCTGATACGGATGGGATGATACTCTTCCGCTAAACCGAATACGGACTTCTGGACTCCCCGCGGCGTTGCCGTAATGCCAATGATAATCGAGAATTTCCAGGGAAAGACCACACAGCGGCGAAAAAGACATCAGATACTAACATATTGATATGTTTATTTGACCAAACTCGTGCAAACATACAGCAACCTTACTTTTTTTAGAAATAATCCCGGCGAGGAAATATAAGGTCTGTACCTAAATTTGACTGAGACTACATCCGTGAATGGCTGGATCAGAAAAAAGGAGCATGCCGGACAACTCATCTGAGTCCTCCAAAAAAAGAAAGGTTGGCCTACTTTTGCTTTACCGTGCGGCAACTTATCGCCGTCATCACTCGATTTTTCCCTCCCTCCCATCAATCAGGAGATCTAATCGGTGCTACAGGGAGGCAGCATTTGGCATAAGCGCAATGCCAAAACTAATATTGAAAGTGGGGATTGGGGTGTTTTCGTAACTTGCGACATGGGAAAGGAAGGGAAATGTATCTCAGAGGCGCTTGACCTATTTTCTCAGGTTAGTACGGAGGAAATTTGACCACAAAGATGCTGTGCTTTGCTGCAAAGTTTCGAATTCCTCATTCGTGCAGCTGACATACGGTGTATGCCAGAGCATCGAAAAACCGGATGCTGGAGATCGAGGCGAAGAGTCCAGTTCGGAAGAAGATGATATTGAAGCCCAAATAAGAAAGGAAGTTGAAGGCCTGAAACCTGGCTCTGCCAAAGCCCTCCAATTCCAAGCGATCAGACTGGACATTCCGTGTGGTTCGTAAATGCTTTTAACGCTACCTGATCATGAAGACATGACGAAGACTGACAATCAGTTAGTTTCGTTTGTACGATTCGATAAATCGATCGACCCCGAGAAGCTGGTTCATCAGATTTGCGTCGATGCGCATGCCAACCCAGAGAAGAAGAGAAGCCGATACATCCAACGAATGACCCCAGTAAGGTCCATCCGGAAAACCCTCAGCGTTGATTTAGAGGTTTTCGCGGGCGAAATCCTAAAGCCTCACTTTCACTCTGGCGGAGACCCCAAGAAGGTATGTCGCGCAACACATTAAGCTTTACATCCCCTAGTATGTGTTCCTTACCGATCAAATTTGCAGTTTGCTATCCGGACCGCGATAAGGAGCAATGCAAAGTTTGACAGGGACAGCGTTATCAAAACAGTAGCCAGCGTCGTGGGACCTGGGCATTCTGTTGATCTTAAAAATTACGATCTCATCATCCTCGTGGATATCATCAAAGTACGTTTTACATTTCACACTGTTCTCTCGCAATATAATGTTCGCGGCTTACGTGGCTGACTTTTGTATCTAGAACGTCATTGGAATGAGTGTTGCTGGAAGTGACTACGAGAAGCTGAAAAGGTACAATATTGCTGAGCTGTACAAACCAGCAACAGGCTCGCAAGATGTCGAGTCAAGACAGTCAACTGAATGAATTTCACTTTGAAACGAGTGGGGCAAACTATTTCCTGGAGACTTCGCATCATATGAGACAATCGGTTTGAGCGGTGAAAATAGGAGATAAATAAATATCAACATTGAATGCTTACAGCGCAGTATTACAAAGAAAATCAACTATCAAAAATAGTGCACGGAGAAGCAGCAAGTAATGCCGGTATTAGAATGGTCCCAAACTCCACAGCGCCCAGTGGTATAGAGAACTTAATCTGGCCGGTGAGCACAGTGTGCGATAACGACTAATTTGCGCTTGATCATACCGAATTTGGCATTTGCCTCGTATTGAGAAGGAGTATAGGATTGTGGAAAGCGAAGGAAACACTACTAAATCAGGGTCTTAAACTTTAAGGAGTAGTAAACTACACGCAATGAACGACGACACGAGCGGCATAATTTTTCGATCCGTGGTAGACACCAAATAATATTACCGGTAAGATCTGGTCTGTCAAAAGCTATATCTTACATACAAACCACCCTTTCCTTCGGAAAATATGGTTGCCTTAAGGCGGTACGTAAGTTGTTACGACCTATATAAAAAACACTACTATGCATTGTTGCTATTCAGGATATACGGGCAGTATCTGTAGGTAAGGGGTAGTAGATCTCATGTAATTACCAGAAGTGGCTTTGGAAAGATAGTAAAGCAGCAATAAAATATGGCCCAACATCCTTTCCGCATGTAAGCATAAGAGAAAGAGGTTGTCATTGCAAACATGTATCCGTTTCTGCTTCCTAACTAGAATCTATAGCTGCTTACAGTAAAAGGAGGCCGTCCAAAGTGTCTGTGCGGGTTATAGCTTAGCTTTCTACGCTGCCTTCCGTGGTCCTGGCTTGATGTGTTGGTGCCCTATATAACAGTATAACCTGTATATCTATTTTTTTGGAACTCTTTATAGTGTTTTTAACTTTCAGGCCACACATGATCAAGGAAGTTGCGATTTCGTGAACATAGCGCTACCTAATTTCTGTTACTACAAGATGTCATGAATCTAAAGGTTCACGTAAAAGTCAACCCTCTCTCAGATAGGATACAATTGTGTTTAGTGGAGCGCTGGAGACTTAAGAAACTTCGAAACTTCTCCGCTAGTCTGTGTTCAAATATCTAGACTAACCAATGTCTACGTATTCGCAGATTCTGGATGACAAAGACTATTTTCGAGCAATTGTACATTCCGTAAGCTAATGCCAATATAGTTAAGGAAGGATAACCACCCAGTGGTCTCAGGACCAAAGCCATGGCTCCGAACTAGATTTTCTGCCTCTTTGGTGGCTATACCTATTTTTGAACGGTTTTTTAAATGGTGTATATTCACGCTAGGTCTCTTCGCATATACTCATGACGGTTGGTTGAGCATTTGATGGAACCATGGAAGAAGTTGCACTCCGCACTACAACAGAAATACAGTTAAAATAGAAAGAATAGTAGGGCACTAAAGAAGCAACATATCATACCGACCTCGGCTGTTTGCTTAAAAACTTGGTCATTCCTCGATCCGCATAGAGCATTGCAAATAAATTATAGAGGGCGTAATTTGTTAGCCGTTATTGTGTTGAGCACTTGCTAATTTTCCTCAAAGAGCATCAAAGCTGTTGTCTATGCAGGGGATAGAAATTTCTTTTTGAACTTACCTACCCCTTAGGACAATTTCGTACTTTGGAGCAGCTTTGTACTGTACTAGCACTATCTCACTACCAATCACTCGCCAGCTCACCCTATACTAGCGTTACAGAATCACCTTCCATGTCACCAATCCCGCTGTAATGCACGGCGAAATCCCTCATGATTTTGAATATTTAAAATGCAAAAGATTGTTTAGATAACCACATCCGTCCACGCAGGATGGAACCAGACTCAAAATTGAGGTCCCGTTGTACATACGGACCCCAACGCAGTTTTGTATCATATCCTATCAAGACCACAGATTACGTAGTTAAAGCTACGATCGGGTTCTGGTATTAGACATGGGATGATCCCGATCTTGTAGGGGATTGTTGTGTGTAGTTATGATAAGAGCTATATAACTCAATATGTCCTATTTGCCAGGAAGGCGTCAGAATTGACCACCCCATCGCGATTGGACATCAACAGGCTCCCAGGTAATGTCAGGAAGGATTGTATTATCTACCTTGATATATCGACCTCTAATATAGACCCTTTATGGTCTAGGTCTCTTCGTCTCTCAAGTTATCCACTACGAAACCCCATATCCACCGCCTAGGGTAGAGATAGAAGTTGGTCCGACAACCGACGGCATTATTTTACTCGAAATAGTAATGATACTCGAGTGAGGCGGCCTTGCTGTTTTGGCTGTCTAGGACAGTTAGTAGTGCACTGGCGTATAACCAAATGATATTCCTTTATTTCGAATCCCAAACTCTAGTTAAAGAAGAACAGGCACCCACCATGGGTCTGACACCCCTTGACACGTGCAGGAGGACTACGTGCCCAAATTGCTTGGGGGGAAAGATAACAAACAAACCCCTTTCCTTTCAGATGGCATTCCTCAAGTTGACGACCCTAAGGAATTCCTTACTACAGTGTGTTGATAGGTGTCACTCTTGAATTTGTATCCCTGAAATTAAAATCGGTTGCATTGGTATAGTACTGTGTAGTACATACATAGCTAGGGCCCAACCTCTCATTAAGTGATGCAATTACCAGGGGTAGTTCAGCGAAGATATTACACTTCGTGATCGTATTTCTATAGCTCACCAAGAGACTCATCAGATTCTAACTAGTGATTACTTTTAACTACAGTTCACTATGTTGCGTTGGTACTACTATATCGCCGAATATTTTTAACTTATTTGGGGGACCTAAATTCCAGAAGAGATACATGATATGTAACAACTAGTATTGAGATCCACTCCTTGAAACTACTGCAGGCGCACAGATGTAAATACATTGTACCAGGACTGAAGACAAGCGTACTTGAAATGGGTCCATATAGGAGTACAGGGAATGGAGTCCAAGTATGAGAAAACACTGAGGACGGGATCCATGCTTCGTTGTCTTCGGCAAGGTCGACGTCTGATTGGGTCGATCGCATCACGCCTTTCTAAGAGCGGGAGCCTTAGGCGAAGGCCCCATTTCTTACTAGTATTGGCCTCATCAATGTCCGCATAACTCCGCTAAATGCAGTCGGCTCGCTCTTCTATCGAATTAGTCAGAGAACACGCTCGCTTGGGTCTAGAGTCAATCACAATGTCATTGAATCTTATGCGGTTTACTTTAGCGATTTCGGGAGAGAGCCAGTGGTTTATATGCCGGTGTTGGAATGGTCTGGCAGATTGAGACCATAGCGTCGCCTATAGCCGAAATGTAGGATACATGGACGAAAGAAGCAGGACTCCATGGTGTGGATCCTCGTTTAGACGATCCAATTTAACACTTTTGATACTATCTTAGCCTTCGCTTCGTTGCGTTGTAGGGTAGTATCACAAGATTTATGTATGAACCGTGTCCTTTCCATCTACGTTCCACCAGGCGTTGGTTTTCTTTATAAATCTCGGTGATAGTCGGTTTGGCTCTGATCTTCCTTGCTTTTCATACAATACTTCACAATGAGAAAGCCAAATTGGATAGCCTGGCCTTAAAATTCGAACGTTAAACCATGTCTCCCTCTTTAAGTGATCATTCCTTTCTTGATGTTGACGCGCCCGATAAACTGTGTAAAGTTATCCAGCGTATCTTTACTTCCGCTATCCATGTCAGCAGCGTTTCTCCTCTTAACGGTCACCTACACCCACTTTGCCTTATATCACTATCTAATGGAGCTCGTCTCCTCTTGAAGTGTTCACCGACCCCGATGACGCCGTTACTACGGCGGGAGAAATTGATACTAGATACAGAAGCTCGTGCACTGGCTTTACTCAAACAAAGTGGGATCCCTGATATTCCACCGATCTTATATTACAATTCTCGTGGTAGATTGTGCGAGCCCACCTTTCTAATGCGACATTATGTTACCGGGTCAACACTACATGAGATGGAGCCCTGGCTTACGCTACAGAATCGAAAAGATATCGACCGACGCTTGGGAGTCCTTGCCTACAGGATCGGACAACATGTATCCGACTCCTTTGGAACTCTGGAACAGGTAGCTAGCGGAGCTGGAAGACGATCCTGGCGAGAGGCGTTTGTTATTCTGTTTGAAAGCATCCTTCGTGACTCGGAAGACGTCTTTGTCAACCTTCCTTATGCTGAGATTAGGCACCAGCTCAGTCGATTATCACCAGCACTTGAGGAGGTTACTCGACCACAGCTAGTGACCATTGACTTTGGCCGACCTGCGCAAGTGCTAGTGGATCCCGAATCCAAACAGCTGTCTGGGATTGTAGATTTGGGTAAAGCAATATGGGGTGACGTCTACATGGCCGAAATCTTTGAAGAACCATCGTCTTCCGTGCTGGATGGCTTTGGAACGCGGCGGGTGAAAAGTAAGATGGAGAGGATACGGCAGCTTCTGTATGTGCTTCTGCTCCGCGAGGTATCTAAACTATGTAAAGCTGACTTCTTTCTGTTTTGCCTTCGTTGAATAGGTATGCTTGTTATCGTTCTGTTGAAAGAGTCACCGTGCAATACTATCGGAATAGAGACATGATCGCGGAGAACGATGCGAGGAGGCGGTTAACGACGATATTGACGGAGATGGCAGCTATGTAATGCCACCGTCCGACGTTCAGTTTCAACAAGGAGAGATTCTTATGCTCGATTCAATGCGTTGCACAGTACCGGCGTTTGGGTGTCTTTTCATCAAGCCATGGGGATTTCAATGGGCCTAGATCTATCTAGAGAGATGATGGGCATGGTGCCATAGAATAAAGTCTATTTAATTTGAGAATTGGTGGAAAGTTTGATGAATGTATTACTTTGTAGGTTGGTACTATTACTTACTACTAGTACTAGTCCACACTCAGGGCCACCTAGAAATGTTCGATTGTTGTTGCCTAGTAGATCTGGCGATCAAAGAGCGTGATACTAACTACTAGAAGTAGGTAGTACAGATACCTGTAAATCAATGCATGTGATTGGATGAAGCTACATTCTAGTTCCTACCTAGTACCTAGTATGTACTGAGTACAGCCTGTACTAGCTACCTTGTACTATACCTCGATTATTAAATTTTTTCCAACTGTTTATAGCCCCCCTTTTTTTATCTGCTACAAGAGCTTCCAGATAGTCACTGTGATTTTTAACACTGGGTTGGTATGGGACATTAGTACTTAAACACCAAGAACTACTAACAAGGCGGGGGAGACTGATCTACCGCCCTGCAACAGATTCCGCGGCATGACGCTTCAAAGGCCTTAAAATATGTGGGGTCTCCGCTCCGCACCCTTTCAACACCGCTCAATACAGCTCATCTCTCCCTCCTCTTTCTCCCATAGACTTGCTGCCTTTCGGCAGACCTTCAAATTTGCGGGAAATGGCGCATTTCCTGAGAGGAAAGCAAGCTGGTATTCAAAAGGACTTGTCTGACGGCTTGTCGCCGGACTTGTTCGCCCTCGATGATGTATGTCTTGGCACCCAAGGCAACATTTTTCCCATGGCTAACTCACCTGTTCGCAGTTCGCTCGATATGGCGTAAATTCTCAGATCAGCGCTATCGCTTACGATCCAGTTCAATCTCTTATTGCAGTTGGTACCAGCGACACTCAGTTTGGGAGCGGCCAGATCTATGTCTTCGGCCAGCGTCGGGTATCCGTTGTGTTCTCATTGCCCCGGAAAGCGTCCGCCAAGTTCCTACAATTTTGTGCCGACAAGCTTGTCAGCGTTGATTCGAAAAGCGAAGTTTGTGTTTTCTCTCTCGAGACGAGACAGACGCTCTTCTCCTACGCCCCTCCCAACCATGTCAGCGCGCTATTGACAGATCCTAGTCTTGACTATGCTTTTATTGGCCTACAAAACGGTGATTGAGCAATGCTTGCGGAACGAGGCTATGTAGAATGCGCTAATAGAGTTTATAGGAGATATCATCGCGTACGACCTCGACCGTGAATCTTTAACGCCTTTTAAAGTTCCTAATCTCTGGGCCCAGCGTAACCCGCGGGCACGGTTTTGCCCTATCATCACACTCTCCTTTTCACCCCGCGATATTGGAAAGATCTTAGTGGGGTACCCTGAAGGCGCCGTGGTATACTCATTTAAGCAAAATCTCGCACAGAAATACTTCGAGTATGAAGTTCCCCCGGGTGCCTTGGGTGGGAATTGCGATGTCCCATTCCAAGAGCCGCGCAGGCCACGGCTGACCAGAGCTCTCTGGCACCCTAACGGGATCTTCATATTGACAGCCCATGATGACAATAGCTTAGTCTTTTGGGACTCTAAGGATGGCCGCAAGATAATGGCTAGGTCAATTACCACTCCTAATGTTGACCAGCCAGGTACTAGCCTCGAGAGACCCCTGTCATCAGAAAGCGCTGTCGGTCTCAGGGACCCCATTACTCAGATTGCATGGTGTGTCAAGGATAATGGTGATGATAGTGGGCTGTTAATAGCTGGTGGCCAGCCAAAAGCTGAGGCCAACAAAGGGCTTACATTCATTGACCTGGGGCCAACTCCCAACTATCAAACGTCCTCCTGGGCCATGATTTCGAACTACCTCGAATCTCCGAGACGGATAACAAATATACCGACCCCCCAAGGCGCCGAAGTTGTTGATTTCTGCCTTATTCCGCGTACCTCGCCATACTACGCTGGCGGACATGATCCGATTGCCTTGATCGCTGTGCTTTCTTCGGGAGAGCTGATAACTATGAGCTTCCCAAGCGGTCATCCGATTACCCCCACCAATATGATTCATCCTTCTCTTACTTTTGTACACCCGTTCGTGAACAAGATGACTCTTACCCCAGTCGACCGTTCGGCTTGGCTTGGTCTTAGGGAACGAAGGTCGCAAGGGCCAAAGTTTCTGTTAGGTGGTGCGGAGGGAAAGAAGGTGCTGAAACGCTTTGAAGATCGTAACATAGTTACAACTGCACACGCCGATGGCACAATTCGTCTCTGGGATGTAGGCCATGATGATGAGGTCGAGAATGGTGATGTCATCCAGGTCGATTTGGCTCGTGCTGTGGGTCGCGTCGGTAATGTTGAGGTTAGTGAGATGGCCTTAAGCGGGTCAACCGGTGAGCTTTCAGTTGGCCTTCGGAGTGGTGAAGTAGTAGTATTTCGATGGGGCAGCAATGGAAATTTTGGTCAAGAAGAGCTCGCTGGCGCTAATGAAGGACCGGGGAAATTGACCAAGATCGCTCATAGAACCGACCCTGGATTGAAGCAGGGCCTTCTTCCCCTTACTCTGTTGGATATGCAGCAAGGACCAGTCACTGCATTGCAACATAGCCAAGTTGGCTTTGTCGCAGCCGGTTTCGAAGGCGGCAGTCTAGCAATCATCGATTTGCGTGGGCCAGCTGTGATCCATACAGCACGGTTGTCGGAATTAACCAAACCTAGCAAGCGAAGTAGCTTTTTGAGACATCGTTCTTCTGATGACGCTCCTCCAGAATGGCCAACGAGCATTGAATTTGGCGTATTGACTTTGGAAGGGGAAGGTAAGAAGAGACAATGAGAACTATATGTGAGTTAATGTATGCTGATATGTGGTTTTATGCAGATTATTCGAGTATTTGCTGCTTTGTGGGCACTAATCGAGGTAATCTCGCCACCTTCAAGATACTTCCAGGGGAATCTGGGGGTTATATGGCTTCGTTCGCTGGGGCAACTTTGCTAGACGATAAAGTCATAAGCATTATCCCTATCAATGCTGACAATGGCGACCTTGCCTTGGCCACTCCGAATAGCGTCGGAGGATTGAGAAACGGGGCTCGGATTCACGGTGTTGTCATTGCTGTGACTGTTTCTGGCTGCAGGATTTTCAAGCCCGCAACCTCTAAAGGCGCACACAAATCGTGGGAGGATTATCTGTGCGATTCTGCTGCAGTGGTCAAAGTCGAAGGCCGAGGCTACAGTCTTGTTGGTCTCTTTGGAGACGGCAACGTGCGGGCTTTCTCCATCCCAGGCCTCAAAGAGATTGGGTGCAAGGAGATCAATTACATGGCTGATATGAAACGCCTCTCGGAGTCCACAGTTTGCTCTAACGGGACAGTTCTTACTTGGACAGGGCCTTCTGAAGTCGGACTATTTAATGTTTGGGGAGCTGGAACTGGGCTGTATGTGAATCCCATTCCAACACGCTGTCCTGACATCAATGAAATGCTAAGACATCTACAGGCGACGTTCAGAAGATCAACTTTATAATGTACAAGCAGCTAACCCCCCACGCCCTACTATTACAAACATCCAGTGGATTTCCGGCACCCAATATATCTCTCCTGCTGACATGGACATTCTCAGTTCGTATACCCGCTTTCGCTTTTCTATTACACTTTGCCATATTTTTGTAAGGGGTGTTTGCTGACGATGGTTCTTGGACAGTTGGAGGCCCTGATCGCCCCCCATCTAAGAAGATGCAAGAGCAGATGCGGCTTGAAGACCAAGAGCGCCGGAAACTTGCTAGGGAGGGGAGAACCATGACAAACCAATCCCAGCAAGGCAGCGACGAAGGATATTGGTCGTATATGCAACGCCAGGTACAGGAGCGCACGGAAAAACTTAATCTAGCCGGCGACCAGATGGAACGATTAGAAGAAAATAGCAGTAACTGGGCTCGGGACGTCAACAAGTACGTTCAAAATCAGAAGAAGAAGGCTGTGCTGGGTGGTAAGTTCATAGCACCTTCTTACCTATATCATACCCCTGCTAATGGAAAATTCAGCCCTAGGGTCGAAGTTTGGGTTCTAAAAATGCTTGAGACTGGTATTTATGACGAACGACTCCTTGATAAACGTGGGGCAAATGTACAGTTCTTATTAAACCTAGTGGTCTGCCTATGGAGTATAGCTAGTTACATACCCTACGTTGTTGTTGGGATTGATGTGCTTCTGTTCTGCATATCTCTCATTTATTCATTGATCTTTCTTCAGTATTGAGTACATGCGTATGTCCTATCGAGGATACGTGAATCGATTGCACAGGTTTCATTGACTGAAGTCGTTGTCTAGATATGTATGTGATCAGATCAGTCTTAAGGGAAAGAATGCATATTATAGTGTTAGAGGTATTCACTCCTTCATTGATAGCTTCTATTCATAATGAGTATAGTGACTTCTCTCCGACCATCGATTCAAGTCCTACACCACTCCTGCTATATTACAATGGACGATTACAGTTGTCACAAAGAAACAATCCGTGTTAGATATTTTCCTACAATTATTGTAGCTAGTATAACCGAGACATTACCAGACTTCCGCAATACTCTTCAAAGACGTAGAATGACAATAGCAAGCTGGCCACTCCCTAGAATCCAACATGTTTCCATTTCCCAATTCCTTTTCATCCTCGATCCCGGTGACCTCTCGGCGAGCCTTGATTTGCTCAATGTGATACAAGATACGTTCTTCTGCCAAAAGGCCCTTCCATCGATATGTCTCCACAATCGCACTGTGCTAAAAACTCTGATCGATATCTGGTCCTCTTACTCCTTTTGTCTGATGTTTGTACATCTCCGAGTAGCTGTATCCAGGTATCCCTGAACAGATCGACTCTGGCATGTCGAATCCTTGCAAGCCCAAAACGACTAGGAAGCTGTCATTACATGTCTAGCGGCCATATTTTCTTGTTCTGAGCGCCTTTGTGCATAGTTTCTTTTCTACCTGGTGATGCGTGAGGGTTATACCATATCACATGATCTGAACTGCATACGAACTCGGGAGATTAGCTTTTCGGAATCAATATGTTTCATCTCTCGATGCTAGGATTGTAAGAAGGTAGTACTGGACCAGTAGACACCATGTGTAATGAAGGTTCAATTCCTAGAAAGGGGTGTCGATCCATTCTTACGGGGTCCATTGAATGCGCTATGTCTAGAGACTTCCTCATAAGGTAGACCCACAGACTCCATAGGGGACTGTATTATTGCTTTGCCGCAACTAGCGGTGTCCGAATAGTCGGACGTCGAGGAGTCGTACATTTTTAGAATGGGTTGGAAATGCAGAAAGGCAGTAGCGATCAATAGCCAGAATAATGTTCACCAGGCCTTCACCGTATCTAGAAAACATAATTTTGTGACGCCGCGAGTTTTAATTACTTAACCACCTTGCATTCATCTGCTAGGGATGGACTAGCCACAACAATGCCAGGAAGTCAGCTAGCAAGTGGCGGATCTGTACGGAGTACATGGCCACGTGTGCTTGCTTGTTACGCTCAAAATTGACAATGAGAAAATGAAGATAGCATTCAAGCCTAGCAACTATTCAATCGTTAGATTATGTTGGTTCTATATCATAAACTAAAGGCTGGGATTTTGTAAGACGATAGTAGGGTTGATAGGGTGTAAGAGGGTGTAGGGTTGTCATAAACGTTGCAACTGAATCATAAGATCATTTAAAAAGAGAACCGTTGAATGAAACAGCGAAAGGGGAAACCCCTGAGGCGGTATTTCGAAAGAGATTCAACTTAGTGAACCATAACCTCCGACTGGTGGGGATGTTGACTTGTAGGATCAGCCTTGGAGCCATCATCTTTCTGTTCGGAGTCGTCGCCCATCTCGACATCTTCATCGCCGTCGCCGGCCTCTTCTTCATCAAGGTCCTCATCGTCGTCGTCACTTTCATCTTCAATATCTTCACTCTCAGCATCGGAGATGTCCTCTTCTTCATCTTCCTTGCCGGTGGTGGGCTCAGCACCCTCCATTTCATGGTCGTCACCCTTAACATCACTCTCTGCATCTGCTAGTTCTCTCACTAGGGCAGCTTCGAGCTCCGTCTCCTCGGCGCCGTAGGCAGCACTGTCATCTTCCAAAATGTCGGCTTCTGGCTGATCTGGGGGATATTCGGCTGGTGCAGATTCCTCCGAATCCCTGAGCAGAGGGGCTAATGTTAGCTACATTCAACGCCAGTATGATGAATATCAAGCGACTGTACCATTTGATTGCGAATCTAGTCACCCTTGGCTTCTCCGCAAGAATGTTTCGACGGATTCTCTCGATAATAGGCTTCGCAGGAGGCTCGGCGCTAAGGTCCTCCGAGTCGTACTCATTGTTCACGTAGTATCCGACACGGACGAACTCCCTGCCATCATAGCTACAGGTGAGAAGAATCACGGTGACGCCAAGAATTTCGGACGTGGGAATCCGCTTGAGGTCTGGTGCTTCAGCTTCGAAAATGAACTTATTGACACCGACAGGGATAGGGCCGACAAAAAGGGAGTCCAGTTCTTGATCATATTCGGACCTGTTTAAGTTAGTTGCCGACATGCTATCTCCGTTTCGAGCCCTGCTTACGATGTCGCCGAGCCAACGTAGGTGAGCTTCCATTCCAAGTCTAGAATACAGTTAGCGAATGACTGCTGCTGGGACTATGGTTTGTGTAATGCCTTTTTGCAGTTGTTCAAGACACTCAAAAGTAATTTCGAATTGATAGGAAGCGAGGAAAGGGGCCGGGTTGTTAAGGATCTTGACCCCGAGAAGAGAAACAACCGACATGGCGATAGATTAAATTAAATTGTAGGGTGACCGTGAAGGATCGATGCGGGATTATGCGAGCGAAAAGAGAGATCGTAAACAAGGTAATCGGAGTCACTCAGAGGACAATGTTACAGTAAAAAGGAGGAAGGAGGGAGAAACTAGAGACTTAAATCGAGGGGAGGGACGCAGCGAGCAAGCCTTAATTAAAGACTTAAGAAGGATCGACGACGCGCCGCGTGCACTTCGCGCTCACCGCCTTCATCACGTGCCGATTCTGCGTGATAGCTGCAGCTTCAGCCACAGCTTGTGAGACGGCATCATCCATCACGGGCATCTCATTGACCTACTAAATCTTACTCTACCCCGGCTTCTGCTTGAGGCGGATATCTCCCAAGAGTGATTGGGCGCCTTCCGGCTTCTCATCTCACAGCCTAGGGGTCTTAATACTCATTGTACGTTGCCTAGGTAGCAGAAAAATCGGATCGTCCGTCCCCCTCGGCGAGAGTCCATCGCTAACCTGACTTGAACACCCAGTCTTTCCACGACATCTCCATTGCAACCTACATCACGCTCTTGTCATGGCTGAAGAAGATGCTGAGATGGCCTTCTTCCAGGCCCAGGCAATGAATGCGGACCCCATGGATTATAAGGCTGTGGAAGAAGAGCAGGGCGCTAGTTCGGATTCAGATGATTATGATCCTTCGAAAACATTGCAAGATCAATATCCCGCCTCTTTACCGGATTCCAAGCAAAACGAAAATGCCTCTTCAAATGCTTCTCCTTCAGATTCCAATTCCCCTACTCAACCTCTTCCCCCTGACACGGATCCCAGTCAGCCAGCGGACAGTGCCTATCCTTCCCAGACACCATCTCGAGCTGAATCCCAGGCATCAGCATCGGCGCCTGCGTCGGGTACTTCTGTACCACTGAAGACAAGGACTATTGGGGGCTTTGTGGTTGAGGATGAAGATGAGGATGACGCGGGTGATGCGGATTATGAGCCACCAGCTGTACTAGGTGTCGAGGACATGAATACTATATCTATGAATGTGCCTCAGCAGCCCATTTCAGGAAATGCAAATGAAGATACTCCTACCCCTGATGTATCAGTGGATGATGCTATGCAGGCATCTGCCAACGCAAAGAATATCTCCAATAGCTCTTATACCCCTGCTTCTGGTACAGCTTCTAAAAACGAGGCGCCTGCGCCTGTGAACCAGAATATGTACAACTCACGTACTTTGCAGTCTGAAAATATTCAAGATAGCGCTGCAGCTACGCCCACTCCTGATTCTCCCTCGACCTCGAAGGGTCGGTTGCCTCACGACCGCATTGGTATCTTGGAGGACAGGATACAAGAAGACCCACGAGGTGACATCCCGGCATGGCTCGAGTTGATTAATGAGCACAAAGGTCGCAATAGAATCGACGGTGCCCGTGAAGTGTATGAGCGCTTCTTGAAAGCGTTTCCCTTCTCTGTAAGTATCTCGGGCATCGTTTCGGAGAAAGCAAGGACTGACCCATCATAGGCTGAACAGTGGGTGGCATATGCAAACATGGAGTCTGAGCTCAACGAGCTGTATCGTCTGGAGCAGATATTTAATAGAACCCTTTTAACAATTCCTGACGTCCAGCTCTGGACTGTATATCTGGACTACGTTCGTCGGCGTAACCCTTTGACAACTGATACTACTGGTCAATCAAGGAGGATAATTTCATCCGCCTACGATTTAGCACTTCAGTATGTCGGAGTAGATAAGGACTCCGGATCCATTTGGACGGATTATGTCCAGTTCATTCGCTCTGGCCCAGGAAATGTTGGTGGTTCCGGGTGGCAGGACCAGCAAAAGATGGATTTGCTGCGCAAGGCTTATCAGAAAGCTATTTGCGTACCCACTCAAGCTGTCAATAATTTGTGGAAAGAATATGACCAATTCGAGATGGGTCTAAACAAACTTACGGTAATTTTGGTTCCCTGCTTATGTCTTATTGCATCCACACGCTGATGTTACTATTTATATGTATAGGGAAGGAAGTTTCTCCAAGAGCAGTCACCCGCATATATGACCGCTCGCAGCTCTTATACAGAACTGCAGAATATCACAAGGGATCTGAATCGGACGACCTTGCCTAGGCTGCCTCCTGTTTTAGGTTCAGATGGTGATATTGAATTTGGGCAGCAGGTCGATATCTGGAAACGCTGGATCAAGTGGGAGAAAGGGGACCCACTTGTTTTAAAAGAGGAAGACCAGACAGCTTTCAAGGCCCGTGTAATTTACGTGTATAAGCAGGCCCTCATGGCTCTCAGGTTTCTTCCAGAGATATGGTTTGAAGCGGCTGAATTCTGCTTCCTAAACGACATGGAGGAAGAAGGGAATAAGTTCCTAAAAAACGGCATAGACGCTAACCCGGAGAGCTGTCTTCTTGCGTTCAAACGTGCTGACCGACTAGAAATTACCTCAGAGTCCGAGCAAGATCCAATAAAGCGAGGTGCCGAGGTCAGAGAACCTTATGACAAGCTTCTTAATGCGCTTTACGACTTAATTGCTAAGGCACGCACGCGAGAATCTCAAGATGTCGCGCGGCTTGAGGAAGCTTTTGCGAAAATAAATTCTGATACTCAGCTGCCCAGGGCAGACGATGATGACGACGACCAAAGTGATTCGAAAGCAAGGGAGTCTGTGAAGAATGCCCAGGTCGAAGCGCTGCGCAATGCACATGCCATGCAGATTGGTATTCTTTCTAAAACAGTCTCTTTCGCTTGGATTGCCCTCATGCGCGCAATGCGTCGTATACAAGGCAAGGGTAAGCCTGGTGAAATGCCTGGCTCAAGACAGGTGTTCGCGGACGCTCGCAAAAGAGGACGCATCACGAGTGATGTCTATATTGCAAGTGCACTCATTGAATATCATTGTTATAAGGACCCGGCAGCGACAAAGATCTTCGAGCGTGGTGCAAAGCTATTCCCTGAGGACGAAAACTTCGCGCTCGAATACCTGAAGCACTTGATTGATATTAATGATGTCATCAGTAGGTTGATCCCAATATAGTTTCACGTTCCCTCCCCGGCCCCGGCCTAAGATAGAGGAGGAGAGGCTAATACATCTTTCTTTCAGATGCTCGTGCAGTCTTCGAGATGACGGTAAGGAAACTGGCGTCTAATCCTGAAAATGTGCACAAGACGAAACCCATTTTTGCTTTTCTTCATGAATATGAATCTCGATATGGCGATTTGGTCCAAGTCATAAACCTGGAGAATCGTATGCGCGAATTGTTCCCTGAGGACCCAACATTAGAGCAGTTTGCCCATCGATACTCTAGCCCTGCTTTCGACCCTACAGCGGTGCGGCCGATTATCTCTCCCTCCCAGACAAGGCCCAAGACAGCTTTTTCAACGGACCAACCCGTGTCTCGTCATGGTACTCCATCTTCGAGATACCCTGATGCGTCGGTAACGAACTCGCCGAAAAGACCGTTGGAAGACTTTGATGACGATCTGAATCGACCACGCAAGTTTATTCGGGCCGACTCCCCGCTGAAAACAACCCAAAGGCGACAGCTGGATACTCAAAAGCGTACCCAGCAAGTCATCAGTAGTCAAACTGGATCTCAATTCCGGTCCCAAGGCTCACCTGCTCCACTACCTCGTGATATCGTTTATCTCTTGAGCATAATTCCTTCGGCGACGGCCTACAACGCTGGTCGATTTTCCCCAGAAAAGATGGTCGAACTCATTCGGAGGATAGACATGCCCACCTCCATCTCTCAGATTCCGCTTCCGCAGTCTGCCCGCGGGCTTGGATTTCCTGGTACGGCCTCATTTTCTTAGATCCTTTCGGATCCCAACTCTCCCTCGCGTGAGTGGCGGAACTAATGCTTGCCTTCTCCGACAGGTATCTATCGTCCACAGTAATTTCTCAACGAACATAGTCACGGCTCCTAGCATTGCTTGATGATAATGCGCAGCATCCGAACATCTTGATCTCGTATGGCAGACTTTGCCTGGCGTCTCGCATCGATTTTAACCACATCTCATCGACCTGGCTTGTTTTAGATCTGTACTCATTGTTTAATGTCGCTTACATCTGACGAACGGCGTTATCTTTTGGTTTGGCAAATTGTCATGAAACCCCTAGTAGCTGGGAACTACAAGCGGATATCACTCGTTGACCTTCTTTTGGGTTGGATATATTATCCGCTCCAAGTCGGGTTTGTACAGTTTTCCTTTTATATTCCTTGGCGGCCTCCAATGCCAGTTTGAAAACGATAACTAGGAAGATATGGTGGGTTGACGGAGGGGAGATTTTGTTTCTTTCTAGGGCACGAACCGTGTGATCTACTCAATTCTCAGGATACCTCTCGAGTCAAAAATGTCTTCCTTCTACATTTTTAACGGCTTTTGGATGTATTCTTTAAATGGCGAAGTTCCTCGCCTAAGTAGAAGCCGTGTGGATGTACATACTGCCGAGCCGCTGCCTTCATATAGTATCTATGAAATGTGCCACAACGGTTCGGGGCACAAGGTTGGAGACACCAATAGGATATGATTTCGCCTGAGAATGAACTCTCCTGCAGTTCCACAACATTGTTTACCTTCCATACGTACATGTCTGACTTCCAGTGAAAGTAGTATTGTATTGTCTTGGTATACAAAGTGCTCTAATCCTCTGGTACTTGTGTGTACAGCATGTGACCCTGGAGAGGTCCAACATCGAGCAGTCCCAAAGAGGCAAGACCTTCCAACGTGATATTGACCGTGACCGTGAGATGCTGTCAACTCCTGTCACTCCTTGTTGTCTCTGACCATTTCTTCTTCGTCAACTCCCACCAACTCTCTCGATTTCGACCCTGGTGAGAAACCATCATCAATCAATTCCTGTTTGTTAACCGTAATCTTTGGATTGAGGAGCAAGTGCTGAATCTTCCTCGTCTGACCTTCTGCCCATTCCGCCACTCTCAGTCAGTTCTGTATGTCCTTGTCAACCAAAGCTCATCACTCTAGGCAACGGCCTCATCCAGTCAAACAAGCCTCACCTACAGACTTGTGTTTCTCCCTGGAACATCTCACCTTCCACACCTTCCACACCTAGCAACACCTCACCACGTCTCTCACATCTAACTGATCACACCCTAACCATCTTCCACTTTCTGGTACCTACCCTGCTTCAACCTCTTCCGTTGTCTTTCAACATCCTTCCTTCCTCTTCCAACCTTTACCTTTCTCGCCAAACCTTTCGCAACCTCTCCCAATCTCACTTCCAGGGGCCCTCGTTTCTTTTCATCTTCTTTCCCATCAAACCTCCAACCCTCGTACACCAGTCTCAGCTTCAAGGAACAACCGCTTGTATAATAGCGCTCAGTGACCCGGCCTTGGACAGGCCAGGACTCATGACCGACGCGTGCAAGAACATAGATCTGCCCATGGGGGCATTTTCGATCCATCACCGGGTAGGTTCAAATTCCCTATATCCTATAAGCGTTTTTCTTTAATTCCTTTCTTTATTACAAGAATACCCTTTCCTGCACTCTATCTCTATCCGCCCCTGCCATTTTACTATGCAGTTTACTTCCCATCCCCGTTTTCATTCCCGTGTACTCAAACGGCATATCCATGTTATCACGTTGATTCACAGTCTGAAGACTGTCCATCAATGTGGGAAGCCGGTATTCATCGCATTGTCTTCCATTACCTGTATCAAGTGTAAACGCTTCACAGGATGGCTTTTTCCCAGTATAAAAAGCGCTCTCTTTTTCCCGGATCGAACTTGTTCTCCCTCTTCTCTCGCCTCTCCCATACCCCTAAAAACTTGCTTCCCCATTCCGTTCTCTTTGATATTACCGCTCTCCTGGTCTCATTGCCAGTGACACGTCTGCTTTTCTTCCATCATGGAGGAGTTCGAAGTCGTCAACAAGCTTACCGGCGGTCTCCGCCACCTTCGGGTTCGTGAAGCTGACGAAGTCGCCAAGTATTCCGTTCCGGTTGAGACCGTACCTCGCCCAGGCTTCAACACTACAGGTAAAGAGATAGCCATTTCTCTAAATGCATACCCTATTACCAAGTTCCCTAGTAGGAACGTCTACCAATATGATGTGAGTTTAACGAATAGGCTGGGCGTCTTGGCCGTCCCCACCAACGGTTCCATTTAAGCCCGCATAACGAGACGTGAGCTAATTTGGGCTACAGGTCAACATTGGCAACGGTGACGAGAAAAACATCGTTTGCAAGAAAGTCTGGAATTCAAACGCCAGAAAAGCCGTTTTGAAGCAGATCATCTATGATGGTCGCAAGCTCGCTTGGTATGTCCTACAGCGGTTAGCCCTTAGGAATAGAAACTACTAACGGACATAGGTCTATGAACAACTACGCGAATGGACTAAACATCATCGTTGACCTTGACGCCGAACAAGGCCGCACCGGAGGTCGCACTTCCAATGCTTTCCGTCTAGTAGTGCGCTCTACTAAGACCGTAAACCTGGCTGTCTTGAATGCATGGCTCCAGGGACGTGCTACGTTTTCTGAGACTGTTTTGGAAGCTCTTAGTATGTGGTCGCCTTCCCCTTTCCTTCACTTAACAGCATGATCTTTCTCAGAAGAAAACTGACTATCGTAGACTTCCTTGACCATGTCATTCGAGAATGGCCCAGCGGTAAGTTTGTAGCAATCCGCCGTTCCTTCTTCGACGAAAACGGAGAGAATAAGGACTTGGGCAACGGTGTATTGGCTTTCAAGGGTGTCTATGAGGCCATCAGACCCGCCATTGTAAGATGACACCCGCTTTGCATTCATTATCTATACTGACAGTTCCATTAGAATCGCGGACTTATTGTCAACGTCGATGTTTCAAGCACATGCTTCTGGGCTCGCACTTCATTTTTGGGTGCTGCGATGGCCATCATGGACTGCCGGGACCACCAGCATCTCATGCATGAGCTAAGACCTGTCGCGGACGGCCATGGCGGCACGACTGAATCAAACGCATTCTACGAAGTCCACCGCCGGCTTAGAAAGCTTGTGGTTCAACCTCACTACCGGGGCTGTCCCTGTCTAGGTGTGAATTTCACCGTCAAGGGCCTTATCAATGCCCCTGCGAGCAAGTATACGATCGAGCTGAAGGACAAGGCAACTGGGGCGATCGAGAAGATAACCGTGGAGCAATACTTCAAGAGGAAGTACAACCTTCTTTTGACTTACCCTGATCTGCCCATGGTTGAAATGACGAAGAAAGGGGTTGTGTACCCCATGGAATATTTGACTATCCATGGACTTCACAAATATCCTTGGAAACTGAATGAATACCAGACTTCGCATATGATTAAATACGCGGCTGCGCACCCTGCTGATCGTCTTCATTCGATTCATAAGTCGAAGAAGATGCTCGATCATTCCAAGGATCCGGTTTTGCAGACTTTTGGACTCCAGATCGACGAAAACATGATCCGCACCAAGGCTCGCTTGCTCCCAAACCCTGATATCCAGTTTGGTGGCAACCAACGCCACAATCCAGGTACCAGCGGCCGCTGGGATCTTCGTGGAAAGAAGTTCTATCAGGCTAATAGAGTACCTGTCACCAGCTGGGGAGTTGGGTTTATCCCCGGCAAACGCAACGCCATCAATAAGACCCAAGTGGAAAACTTTGTTGACGGATTCATGAAGACCTACGCTGGACATGGTGGAACAATTACCCAACGTCCCATGGTTATCGAGCTGAAGGAGGACATCGGTGAAGCTATGAAGAGACTCTTCAATTCAACTGGCAACAAGTTTCAAAGGGAACCTCAGCTTCTCTTGATCATTGTCCCTGACAAAAATTCGTTTTCTTACCTCCGGATTAAGAAATCTTGTGACTGTCGTTGGGGCGTGCCTTCTCAAGTCTTGCAGTCTGCACATGCTGTTAAGGCAAACCCGCAATATATCTCGAATGTCTTGATGAAAGTCAATGCAAAGCTCGGTGGTACGACAGCTCGCATTGCGCCGAAGGTCGTCGATGCTGGCCTTAGGCCCATGTCAATGATTATTGGCGCAGATGTGACTCACCCTACACTAGGTGTTTGGTCGCCTTCTATGGCCGCTGTGTCTGTCTGCATGGATACATTTGGCGGACGTTACTGGGGTGCGTGCGAGACCAATGGTGACAGGGTGGAAATTATTGCCCGCGCAAATATGGAGCATATGCTTACCCCCCTGGTGCGAGAGTGGATGTCTACAGTTGGTCGAGGACGTGCTCCTGAAAATGTTTACTACTTCCGTGATGGCGTCTCAGATGGGGAAAGAGAAAAGATCTTGAAGCAGGAAGTCCTAGATATGAAGTCTATCTTTACGAAATTAACTCAAGATCAATGGAAAGGGAAGTTTACAGTGGTTGTCGCTAACAAGCGTCATCATATCCGAGCGTTTCCTAATCCAACTGATCGCAATGCAGCTGACAAAAACGGCAATCCTCTGCCCGGACTTCTTATTGAGAAGGATGTTACTAGCCCGCATGATTGGGACTTCTTTTTGTACTCCCATATCGCGCTTCAAGGAACCTCTCGGCCTGTTCACTATCATGTCATTCTGGACCAAATTGGGCATAAGCCTCATCAGCTGGAAAATATGATCTATGATCATTGCTACCAGTACATACGGTCCACGACTTCGGTCTCACTGTGTAAGTACTAGCTTTGCTTCCCACTGTTCAATATTCCGTCTCACTAGCATAAAAATCATAGTCCCCGCGGTCTACTATGCGCATCTTATTGCGGCCCGCGCGCGTCACCATGAGGATGTCCCTGCCAGTTCTGGCCCGCGGAGCGGGCGTGAGGTTCCATTGACCAACCCTAAACCAAAGGACAGGCCTGTCGACCCTAGGCTCTTGCCGATTCACGGCACATCGAATAGACTACCCTTCGCGGTCTGGTATATCTAGGGGCTGGCGATACGAACGTTTGAATGTCACGTCACGCAAGCTGTAAAAGGCTTTCTTTTACAACCATTTTAGTTTTCCCCCGGCCATGTCTGGCATGTGGACTGGGCTATCTCTTCTGTTTTGACTTTGTTTACGTCGTTGGCTCATTTTACCAAGGTCTTCCATAACTCAAGGCTATGCATTTTGAGGCTCAGGTTAACGACAACTGAATCATCGGGGCTATCGGCCTCTAGGAAGGGCGGATGGATCTGGGAATACGGTAGTTGCGGACTAGAATCTCAATGTATACATTAGAACAGTTGAAATCTAACAATCCCATGTCAATGCGTCTCCGCCTTTCCATTACTAGACGTCCATAAAACATAAGGGAATAGCCACGATGCATCTCGTATACTACATTTTGCGGTGTTATTGCTAAACGAGCCGAGGACGGTGTCAAATCTTCCCCAGAAGAAGTAGTACATGACTGTTAGTTGTTCCAACAAGCTTGGTTTTATCGTGCGGCTTGGTCAAGCATATAAGATATTGAGGTCTTTATTCCAGGTAAAGTTATGTACCGTGCGAGTATTGATCTCTGTATAGAGGAACAGGATAAGGAGGCGGATAATACATCAGTGATGAATGGAACCAGTAAAGCAGAACAGCAAGAGAGAAACAGAGACATGGCATGAACGAGCAAGCAGGTGAAAGAGAAGAGGAATGAGAATGGACTCCAAATAAAAAGGCAGAAACACTGCGCACACATATATCAGCACACGAGTACATGGTATAGAGGTTAGCAAGAATAGAAGACGGGTCACCAAAAGTACAAATAAAAAAAGGAGACAAACAGAGATGGCCAGATAGATATGAACGATTTGGTAAAAACTAATTGACTGCCGCTCTGGGTGCACCCGTTGTCTCAAAATGAAAGAAGGGAAGATGTGACAAAAATTAGGTCCAGCTGGTACAGAAAATGCGTGAGTTGCTGTGCTGTTTTGTTATTCCCTCCAAAACCCATGCTATGCTGCGCCGTTCCATAAAATCGCCTGATCTCTTTTCTTTTCGGAGGGGCTTTTTTTTTTCTTTCTTTGTTGCAGCTCCGGTCCCAAATGCAGATAGATCAAGGATGGGACTGGGGAAAGGAAACGGAGGAAACACTGCCGATGGGAGTCCTCCAAAACCTCGAAAACTCATCTTTGGCGCAAAGTCGTGTCATTGTCTATTTCATGCCTAAGAAAGTGATTTCACCTGTCCAATCAGAAATGCCGGGTATTCATGCACTAAAGAATTTAGATAAAAGCGAAACATGAAGAATAGGGTGTGACAAAGGGATTGTAGAATACTTGAAAGAGAATAAACATAGCTCCAGAAACACAGCGGATAGGGCCGGCGCGGCGCTTCATGACGCTTCACCCGCGGTTCCGTTTGTCAGGGCCGTACTGGTGCCGCTTTTATTCAGGTCAACGTTAGAATCACCGCGTTCCCTTACGGCAGCAATGTCTGACATGACCGAACTATCTAGTCCGTTCTTAACGTTGCTAGACTCGGTAGTGGCAGAGTCCCTGGAGTTCAGAGCAGCCAATGCCGGGTCATCAGAAGACTTGGTACCATCCAAGTTCGCTGTAGCTTCGTCCCCGTCGGCAATCGAGCCAGGAGCTTCCAGGGCCACGCCACTGTTCTTCTTGGCCTTCTTTTTGCTGGGTTCGGAGGTACCAGGCTTAACAGCGTTTATTTGTTGACCAGGGGCTGTCTGAGGAAGTGGTCGCTTTTGGGGACTGGTAGTCGGCCCCGACGGGGCAGAGGGTGGCGGAATCTTGCCAGAGGCTGGAAGACGAGGCTTGGCAGCCATTGGCCTTTGCTTCGGTGGTAATTCGAGGTCTTCAACCAAGCCCTCATTGTTGCTTGCTTGCAACTTAGTACCGAAAAACTCTTGGACCAACCCGATTTGTGACGGCAACGTTTCTGATGTGATGCGTGGGTATGAAGGGGGGGGCGGGAAAAGAGTGACGGCCTGAGTAGCACTGAAAGATAATGAGTATCAACGATCCATCCGAGAACGGACTGACGTACCTTGTATTTTGAGCCTGGGCGGCGTTGTACATCCTGTTTTGGAGGAGATGGAGAGGTACACTAAGAGTAGCCAAGCCGAATTCTTTATCCAAACCGAGCTCCTTGAACCCGAAGAAATCTTCGTCAATATCCTCAGCGAAGTCACCGCCGACGAACTGTTCACTTCCATCTGCGAATGCATTAGACCCATCTTCGCCCCCATCGGCAAGAGCAGGTCGCAGAAGCTCTGAGAGCAAAGACCTCAGGCGGTCATGAACAGTAGCAAGCTTCGTTCCCAGTCGTTCCACGTCATCTTTAATATAGGACTCAATATCCTCAACGCCAATACCGACAGAGTTCAAAGTGTGGAGCACAATTTCCGGTTCCGTATATGCCTTTTTCCACTGATTGTTTGAACATGTAAGCTCAGTCGAATCGCCAGTAGGGACTTTGGGGGCTTCAATATAGGATTTGAAAGTTTCTCCTATCTTCTGAAAGAAATCAGAGGCGATATCAGTAACAGCATCGAGAGCTGACGGCTGATACTCCTCAAACCCGGTATGATAGAAGATTTTTGCAACGGAGCGCTGCAAAGCTGCCTTGCAAACCCATGGAGAAACAATAGGCCCTCCATCATTCATCACATGAGGCGGGACATCTTGCTCAACAAATGGTTCCGGTTGATATTTTTGGAACTGGTTCTGGTACATCTACAGAATGCGTTAGAATACCAGCAACCGCTGACAAAGAGCAAGAAAAACATACCTGAGACTGCAACTGCATCTGCTTGACAATGCCAATTTTAGAGCAAATCTTGCGAGTTTCCTGCATTTGCCGCATGTTCGCATCCATTTTCCGAGAGAGTTTGCTATCTGGTTGAGTGAATGAACCTTTCGACAGAACCCTCAAGAACTCTTCGGAAGCATCAACGATATTGCCATCAGAATCTTCCCTCCACAATAGTTGTCCAGGTAGATCAGGAACACCTGACATAACATCATAATAATCAGGAATGACTTTATCCTCGTCAACCTCAATGCCTTCGGCAAGAGTTCCACCGGCAGGGCCAGGCTCCATGGCTTGCGTACTTGACTCGTTAAACTTGCCATCTTCCGCATTGATTTGTTTTTGATTTCTTAGCCATCTTCTCATACCAGCTTTAGTCCGTAATAAAGCTGGTTCGTCCGAGTTTAGCCTGTCGCCTTTGAACAAGCGGTGCCTCTCTGCGGCGATCAGAGCCCGATCTTTTTTTGTAACTTGCTTCCAGACCTTATATTCAGGATCCTCAGCCTCCACGCCTGGGACTGATAAAGCACTAAGTGCATTGGTCGATGGCGCTAACCCATCGATCTCCATTGAGTCACCATTGCTTCCAGAGACACCGGCTGCAGCACCGGCAGGATCTGAAGGTGTCTGTGTCCCGGGCGGTGGTGTCGCGAAACCGTTTTGGGCCCCGTCAGCAGGAACATCAGAGTCCGCGCGTGCGGGCGCGGGCGGTTGGGAGGATGAACCTGCAGGGGGTTCGGATCCGCTGGGAGTATTTCGAGCTGGAGCAGCACCCTTCTTGGACGACGATTTTCCAGGGGCTTTCCTGCCTCTTGACGACATAATAGGCTCGTCATCACTCTCTTCAGCACCGTCCATCTCCGCAAGCTGAAGTCTACGCTCCTCTGCTTCAACTTCGGCACGATCTCTGATTACAATCTCTGGGATAAGAGGAACAAGCTTCTCCGTCTCCTTTTTCATGTACAAGGCATGCTTGCGCAGAAAGTGGTCCGGATTTGTGTTATACTTGAAACAGTTGGACCAGATCAAGATAAGATCATCAACAAATTCCTGCTTCGACTTATATTGCAGAGCTTTCAGCTTTTTTGTCATTGTTCCCAGGTCCATGGGATGCTTGATGACTGCAGAATAAATTAGTACAGGGGCGCGCCTTGATGCAAAGGGTGTATCATACTGGTATAATAATCAGGAGCATCTCGTTTATTCACGCGAGTCAAGAATGCACTTGAATGCTCCGTCATCGCTTTAAGCTCGCTGAGGACTTTCTCCGCAGCTTCGTAAAGCTCTTCCTGTCCAATTTTATCCTCGCTGGCCCATTTACTGCGGTTCTTTCGGACCTCGCTCATCAAGCTTCGAAGTTCCGCATCTGAGGCTTGCACCATTGTCCGCTTCATATCGATCCTCGCAATAAGGTTCTTCAATGTCAGACTCGAAGCGCCAAGATTCGCATTGCTCAAAGAGCCGTAACCGTTTGACGCTGAAGTCGCATTATTGCCAGAATTGGCCTGGCTTGACATTTCAGCCTCGACCTGGCGTTCAGATTCTTCTAGGCGCTGCTGATCCAGCATGGCATCTCGGTCATTTTCTAATGTATAGAATATGGTATGAAAGCTTCTCTTCGCAGCTTCCTCCGTTGCCTTCTTATCTTCCTCCAACTTCTTCCGGATATCTTCCAATGACTCCTTCTTCGTCTCTTTCGGGACATCACCTCCCACCGAAGTCGTACCGCTCGTATAGCGACTCAAGGGAGGGGCAGCATTAGATTCCTGGGAAGGGGTGAGAGGCTTGGGTTTTGGCGCGTCTCCAGCATCCTCCTCATCATCGTCGTCATAGTCGTCGTAGTCATCATCATCTAGCTTTCTCGCGGGTTTCTTAGCGTGGGCCGGAGGCGGTGCGGGTTGATCAGCGCGGTCATTCTTAGTGTCGGACTCATCAGCGTCCGCGACAGCGGCGCTGATGAGGTCTTCCACATTTTTCTGACCGGAAAATAGACTGTTGATTTTCGCCTCGCTGCTTCTGTATAGGTCGCGAAATATAGCAATGCGTGGGTCTTCCTCCGTCGCCATATCAGCCTCCGATATCAGATTGCCCGCGTGAGAACCATCGGCATCAACCGAGGCGCGCATTTGGGGCGTCCTGGGGACGGAATATGATTTCGAGTAGCCATTGATTGACCGTGAATCGTGATGATCATCGGGAGGCCGAAGATGTCCCGGTGGCAGCCAGGCGTGGTGGTGTCCGAGCGACATACTCGCTCCAAAACCCCGGTTCTGGGGCGGGCGAGGGGGCTTGTTTCTCCACGGTTAAAATCAGGTGCGGAGAGGTAGCAATGGGGCGGCTTGAGTGACGGAAAAAAACATAGAGACAAACTCAGAGGTTCAAAGAAGCGAGAGAAGATAATCTCCGGCCCAAAAACGATGGAACGGGCGGAGACTTTGATGAGGAAGTGAACAGCTTCTGTATGAGGGTCTTTGCGCGAACGGATGAGGTGAAGTCGATCCCGTGAAGGCGGAACGGCCGCCGCAGTCTTCAGACCAACCGCGCAGTTCTAGACAAGAGAAGGCATTTAAGTAAATGTACTTGTTCTTGACAGTCCGTGTATGATTTTGAATATATTATTTTTATGAAAAGAATTAATATTGTAGTCTGTGAACACACCACAGGCTTGGGACTATAGATGGGGATTAAATGTCGGGGACAATGAATTTCAAAAGAAAGTACTAGGATTCAATCTATTGTACCTGATCCGATGGTCTTCCTAGTTAAAGCACATGACGCACCCGGAATCATCATCACCACTCTTTTTCTCTGCGACAACTTCTCTTCCCACGCTTCCCCACCCACCACAATTCCATCATGCGGATCCGCTATCCTTTTGCGGGTATGTCAACTCCCTTGGTGTCTGTTTCACTGACAAGAATACTATCTACTTCCCCGTTCTTAAGCAACGCCAAATCGAATGTCATCATACATCACCACCTACTGACTTATCTAACTCCGCAGGCGCCTTCATCTTCCTCTTAATATTGGCTGCCTATATCGGCCTGTTACCCCACAGTGCATCCCCAAGCGTTCCATCGCAACTACAACCCAATGACAAGTTTCTCCATGTCGTGACATTCTTCTTGCTATCTCTCATCTTCTACTGGATCCCCGATACCACCCGCCGACGCACGCTGCAATTGACCCTAATCGTCTGCACCGTCGTCCTGGGAATTGGCTCCGAGATCGTCCAAGGAATCCTCCCCAATGGTCGTTCGTTCGACCCGTTTGACCTCCTCGCCAACATCGTCGGCAGTCTCGGCGCAGTCGGCTTGTGCAGTTGGTACCACCGGCGGATGCTAGACCGGCGGCGTAAAGCTCGCTTTGGAGCCCTTGGAGATGGTGCCGACGACGATGTTGAGCTGGGCGTCGGCCCGGGACATGCTGAGACCGACCATGACCATGAGTGTTTAGGGCCTCAGGAAACAGGAGTCACGAATCTGGAACGGGAGGTCGACAATTGGGATGAGAATGCCGTCGATAACTGGGACTCGGACGACGGCGCGGATGAGCCTGCTGCTTTAACGGGGGAGGGCCCGAAAACTTCCCCTCCTGCCCTCCAAGGTGCCAAAGGAGAGGGGAAGAAACGAAATGACTGATTCGATCCACATCGGGGATCTAATCTATTCGCCACAAAATATAACCTCATCCCTCTGACGGAGGGAAAAGAAACTGAACGCCATTGTTATCTTACCAATATCACCCGCATCACTATTTTATCCCTTCTCCCTCATGGCTGACCTGTTCTACCCAAATCACCCGTCACATTTAACGTTGCCCTCTACACAATATCCTAAGCCTGATTGCTATGTTGCTTAGCTTGTTTGATGACTGCTCTGCAGAATATAACCTTCTTTACGATTTTAAACTCGACTACTCCGTTTTTGTGTATTTGTTATCCCTCTTCATACACTACGGTCTGGCTTTCTGGCGTGTTCTTTTCAGGGACTTCCGGCGTTGTTAATAAGGGGGGAAAGGTTTGCGCTCTCTAGCATATGAAGCAAAATATCGTTTAAAACAGAATCCTGTTATTCTTACACTTGCACCATTTTCATGCGAAATCCGTACAACCGGGTAGAACCCATACAAGGAAAGAAAATAGTGAGAAACACAAGCTGGAAGCATTTGATGTAGGATTCTCAGGACCTTGTAAAATGGAACTGAACAGTGATAGCAATACCCCCAGGTAGGAGAGTATTACAGGACTCCTAGCAAACACACAAGGAAAACCATAAGTATCGTAAAGTTGATATTCAAACATGGTAAAATGTCATGCGATAGAGCATAAAAAAGGCGCGAAGCCGAATGCAAATCAGGTCCTCATGGTTCGTCGTGAATGATGCAACTCGTGGAACAGATGACAAAGCTATTAAGAGAACTATATATATGGTGATAAAAATAAGAGCGGAAAAAAAAAGTAAGGGCTCTGCCGTGCTCTGATAGCTTGTCCGCAATGCGACGGAACTAAAGAAAGGAAAGCCGTTATTCATTATCAGAGACTTCTGGGGTCCCCGACCAGCTTCTAGTTGGTGTGAAGGTACGATCAGGAACAGGCTCTAACTCTGGTTTGGAGGAGGGCAGGTAATCGATCTCGGTAGATAATTTGGCCATTTTCGATGACCGCTCATCGGATTTGCGCCCGATAGTTTCAGGGGCCTTTCCAAGCTTCCGATCAGTCTGCTCGCGCAAGACTTCGTAAATAAATTGAAGCTGCATCTCATTATACACCATCATCATTCTCTGCTCGCGCATTTGATTGACCGTTTCAAAGACCGGGTCAACATCTGGGCCAGTCACTTGCAATAATTGGCCTGACTGTAGCTCCAGGAGAAGGTGATCGAGGGCAATGAAAGTGCCTGTTCGGCCAACACCAGCACTACAATGCACGATGCGTGGGTTATCTGGGGAGCTCTTGGCACCTGACTGCTCAATCAAATGAAGAAGTGCGCTACGGTCGTCGCCTTCGGGCTTGGAATAATCCGCCCAACCAGCAAAGAGGTAATGCCAAACTACCTTTGACTCCATACCCAGAGTGAGTCGCAATTTGCGGATTTCGGAGCGAGAGCTCTCGTCAAAAGTGGTCTCTAACAGCGCAACCTGACCCACAATGTTTTCTTCCCTGATTTGGTGGTTCTCGTTGCTCACAAATGGGTCACTCTCGTTTTCTCGCAGAAGTATCAAAGGATTATCGGCGTTGAGTGGGAAATACTGGGAGCATTTTTCTCGACCGGACTCGAACGTTTGCGTCAGCATTACGATGACACCGACTTCCTTCGTTTCATGGAAAACCATATGCCAGAAGTGAGAGATATTCCCTACTTTCGGTCCCTGGAATAGAAATGTTAGAGAGCGTCCCTAGCTGCGATAACGCACCATGCTTACCTGTGTCGCGATATACCTTCTCTCCTCCTGGGATACGGAATCCGTCAGAGCGATCGGCGAGGCATTAATGAAATCACACTCGCCATCATTTACTCGGAGATGAACACGAGAGTTCGCCCACGCCTGCACATTCAGATATCGGTTTCTTGCCTTAACCTCCGGCTCGACCTCCAACGCCCAACGATGCGAAGGATCATTGGCTAACATCCCTTCCGCGAGACGTGCTCGTTGCATCCATTCTAGTTCCTCGAATTTTTGGTGGATTTCTAGAGAACGAAACAACCCATGCATTAGCTCTACGTGAACATGACCAACGGGCAACCGGAGTAGAGGTAACAACATACCTAAGACCGACTGGCAAAGAAAGGGTGGTACAGATTCCGTATCTCCAGCTTCCAGGCCCGGGTCATCCTGATCGGGGCCATCCAAAATCTCGAAGCTTTCGTTGTCCTCGGGGAGAGCGCGCTTGGTCGCTTGGACGCTTGTGTCAATCTTGATGGTGGGATGTGCCATTTTGGCCGCAGCGATCCTTTGGAAGGCCCGAACCTTGCCTAGGACGCCGCGCGCCTTTCTTGAGACCCGCTTCTTAGTCGACACAAGCTTTCGGGATCCAGAGCGGAGGCTCAAGGCGTCGGGCGAGGTAGAGCGGGAAGGTGGTGCAGTAACAAGTTTCCCCTCAATGCTGGACGGATCGTCGTTCGCGGGTTGTGGCAGGGATGATATCTGTAGCGTGGACAGATCGGGACAGCTGTGGAAGCTGCCCCTCGTTGTAATTTGCTTGGCCAGATTTTTGGATCTCACCGGAACAAATCGCTGCCAAATCTTAGTGGGTGGAAGCCGGCGAAGTCGGTGGCCAACAGCGTTGAAACTCAAAAGGAAAATAAACGGATGAAGACAGAAAGAATAACACCGTGGGCGCAATCGAATAGAATTCAACCGCAAGATGTCACAGCACGTTAATATAGCAGGAGGGGGAGGGAGAAAAAAAATTAACAAAGATATTAAATGTGTCAAGTTGTATAAAGGAGACCCAAAAAAAAATACCCCCCGCACTTCTATACTTTGGAAGGACGTGCCAGCAGTCCAGTATTATTTAAGAGAAGAAGAAGAATAGACGGGAATAGAGAAGATCAATCAATACAACCAGTTCGGTGAATGATTAGAGCAGTTGAAGAATGAAAAGAAAAAAGGGATCATGGGCAGGGGTTCAACAAGAATGGAATCGTACAGACTGTGATGCAATAAATTAATTGGAAAGAAGTTGAAACTGAAACAAGGTAAGAATCTTGGAATTCAAGGAAAGATAGAAAGAAAACAAAAAAAAAATGAAATACAATAAAAGGAAAATATAGGAAACCACGATCAAATTAAAATTTAATAGATGTATAGGAGTATGGAATTTTCTAAAAAAAAAAAAAAAAAAAAAAAAATTTCTTTACAAGACGATCAGGCCCATATATCTATCCAAGGGAAGTAATGATAACACATTCGCGACATATTCCACTCTTCATAATTAGATAATTCAACGACTCCTGGTATTTTATTTGCTAGAAAATTAATTGGCTGGTGGACTGAAATGGTCTTGTCTGACTGGCTGGACGTCATCTGTTGCGGCACAGCTCAAGGCTTGTCTGGTCTTTCTTTTCTTTTCCCCTCTGACAGCACAAAAGCCTCGCCTTCCTTCCTCGTCCCACTCCTTGTATGTTTTTCCATCAGCTCCCGAGGCCTAGAGTCTCGCTGCCCATTGCCTACCATTAGCATTCTCCACGCATTTGCGTACTACGCTTGATGACTAGGTACTAGTAGCCCAGTCGCGAGATGGTGTTTCGGCGGTTCTGCCTTCAAACCTTTGAGGTACGTAATCGCCTAGTTCCAGAACAGCTTTCCTTCTATTGCCATCTTCGAAGACTAACTCATGCTCCGCCGATCAGGTTTGGCTTACTACTCGGGTATGCACCTCCACACAACCGTCTACATTCGAATCTCTCTGATATATCTTCGTATAGCTGCTGGCCAGTCCGACGTTTCACAGACTAGTCGGACGAGTCCATCAAAAGGTCCAACATCTGAGACATGGGATACCTCCCGAAGAAACTGGAGGTACCAAGATAGACAATCACGGTATGGCACTCATACGCTTCCATGGACAAGCTGTTTGTGGGTTGAGTTGGTGCTGATGGTATCTTTCTAGGAAACGGTTTAAACAAGTTTATTGCATACTTCAAGGAAGAGATCAAAGACCAACTCAAAGGAAAGCCCCCGAATAAGCTTTGATGATAGGCTCAATTCGATGATTCCACAAGCTCCACATACGATTATGACTACAATGATACCCAATTCAACCTCTCCCTCTCCCTCGGCTTTTCTCCTCTTGATAGCACACCATCATTAGAGTTCAAGGGCATGTGTGACCGGATGCAAATTGGAATGCAATTCTACTGCATCGTGAGTTGCATCCGTTATTCCATCCGGAGAAAAACGTCAACCGCTCCAACCGCTCCATCCGCTTTGCCCATCTGGTTCTGTCAGCGGTCTGGCTGGGCTTTGAAATTGGGAGCATACATACACAGTTGCTAAGAGGCTGGTACTGTCGAAGATGCCATTGTCTTGATGCTGAATGCCATCGCTTATCTGGTGCAAGAGCTATATAAACTGAGCGCTTTCATGAGAATCGTTTCCAATATGCATAGGCGAAGGTGCAGCTACTTGCACCTAAAGGAATAGCTGACAAGCTTGCGCGGACATGCGCTTGCCGTGACTCTTAAGGCAAATTGCTTCTTTCATTCCTGGGCTGTGGATGATTAAAAACATGTTACCAGATCCTTATGTCTTGTGGTTAATGATAGTATTAACAGAAGGGTCGGGTTTCGTCTTTTTGCCTAATAGTCAGAACAACGTCTAGGGTTTACCAGATCAACGAGAGTATATCCGGACCTATTCCCAATAGCCCATTGTTTTTGTCGCCGGGGGTACGCAGTCTTCCGGGTTTCCGAAATATACTCTCCACTTAGATGTATTACTAGTCGTAAGAACCACATAGTTCTCACTCCCTACGAACGATACCGTCAAGCTCCTTTTCGAACAAAAGCACATCGTCAACGTCGTGTCTCGGGCCGGGAGCATTGCAAGAACCAAGCGAGACGTTTCCCTCACTCCTACGGTCAGCGTACTGCAAGGGAGCCGAGGTGGCATTTTGAAAGTCGTAGAAAAGTGAAACAAGGCATTGACATCTATCAAAGGCGCGCCTTCGTTTATGCATCATGCGTCTGTTGCGCATTTGCTTGTCCCAGGAATAGTTGTGGAGTACGTCCATTGTAAATCCATTGTTCCTCTCGTGTCATTTGTTTTGTCCCCTGGATGGACAGAGAGCACTTCGGAGCCAGCTCAGCCGGAGACTACCGGACCAGGGATAGTTCCGGGCATAAAACTGGACACACTAGTATACCTGTACAGTATAAAACTAGAGAGAGAGAGAGAGAGAGAGAGAGAACCTCAGTGGTCAAGCTCGTTGGAAGGTTACATAAACAGGAGCAACAATTGGAATACTGTTGATGATGCTCAAGTATCACGCAGCAATATGAGAGAAAAATGATGAACCCTGCTGACCCTCAACTCACTACACTATTGATTGAGTCATGTGGATGATACCCACGAGGATACATTACTAATTAATGCACGCTAGCGCCAGGTAAATGTTAGTACGTACCGTGAACTTTGAAAGATTATGAATATGACGCACAGCAAAGTGCTCCGTATTTAGTTACAAATATAATGATGATGGTGGTCGTGGCCCAGAACTTCAGAATCTCAAACCCATCACCTGCTACTAGCGTTGTGGGAAAAGTTGTTGGACGATGCAGTTGTGCACAGCCCTACAGAGAGGCGATGAAGCCCTACATCGTGATTTTACGAGACCAGGCAATCCAGCAAAATGATATCCTTGAGTTGTTGACAGACCGACAATTAATTCGTAAGATTTGCTAAGGCTTGAATGTCTCAAATGAAGACGATCGGCGTTTGCCTGTTCGGCAGTCCCGGCACAGCGAAGGTATTTAAATGAGCCTGAAGGGCGACGGAGAACGAAGTACGGAGTAGAAATCCCGAGGATGTTCCGTCAAGAAAAAAATGTCCTTCAATTTTATTACTGACTGGAACCATCGGGAAGCGAGAATTTCACGAGACAAAAAAATAAAAATAAAATAATAGCAATAACATCAAGATGGACTATGTCGCATTACATAAGAACCATCCAATGCACAGTTACAGCGGTTCAATACAACTCAGCAGACAGATGTCCTGTGGTTTCTGGGCATTTGTACCGTGGAACGTTCCTTAAAATAGCACACTTTTTCCAACGTGTTAATGTTTATATTAATCTATCAAATTAATGTTCACGGTCATCTCACCCCCGATCGTCCAGTTATGTAGGGCCAATTTGGGTGGTCTCTTGGGGAAAAATACCCCATCGACGGCCTAATAGTGACAGGTGACGGAGGGAACAGTTGTATTGGGACGAATGGATGATAGCAAATAATAGGCTGAATCAAGCAGAGTTAGTTTTCTGGTCTGAGGCCAGGCACACCCCCAGCGCCCCATTTTTTTTCTCTTTTCTCTCTCAGGAGACCCATCCAGTATGTTGACGGACCGTCTCCTGGCTAGAATGTCTCACACTTCACAAACTGACTGGCCAGTTTCCAACACTAGCGTTAAACCCACATCAGGCATCTTTGCTGGTATTGGTGCGTTGATCCGCCTGTTCGGTAAAATCCTAGCCGTGTGTGGTATGGAACAAAGGCAAAAAAGACCAGAAAAAGAGGGATCGGAAAATGAGGACTAGCGCCCTTCGCACAGTATGATTACTATTGATTAGCCAAAGGAGCCAGTCACAGTGGGACCGCCGCTCTTCCCTTTCTTCACTCTCGTCTCCAGTCCTTTTTCATTTCTATCCCGCCTCCTTACACTCGTTTTTTCTCCTTGTACCTACATCGTGCCTCCCATACGTATAACTATCGAGTCTTTCGTTAACCCCTCCTGCATCTGCAGTTTTCCCCCCCTTCTTGATACGTACGGTCGTTTTATCCCTCCTGCCACCTCCTATCTATCTATCCTCGAGCTCGCCTAGGAAGTCTCCGGAGCATCCGTCAGTCATAGGAGTCACGAGTTCGCATCGCCCTTTCTCTCGCTTCGTCTCCCCTCTGGACTCTCGGATCGAGACAACTCTCATAGATTTCGTCCTTATCTTACTCGCCCACCATGCGAGTCTCTAGTCTTTCGTTCCTCTTGTACTCTTTGTCCCTTTTGGCTGTGACCTCCGGCCAAAGCGTAGAGCCCACAGCCGGAAATGCCGTGACCTCTGGTAACGCCGCTAATACCAAAACGGAGGCGACCACGAGCTCTACTTCGTCGTCGACATCCACAACCTCGTCTTCTTCTTCTTCAGAGACTACCGAAAGCTCTTCGACGACGAGTGACACCAAACCAACCAATACTAAAGCTAACCCCACGACAACTTCAGACTCGTCATCGTCCACAACAGACCCTCCTAAAACCACGGCTGAGGACCCATCGAAAACTACGAGCTCAACAAACAGTGGTCCGACAACGAATAGTAACAACAACAACAACAACAATAACAATAACAACAACGATTCCAAAACTACGGCGGACAGTTCCTCGAAACCCTCCCAAACCCCCGTTGTGAAGACCCTTACGACTATTCAGACTATTAGTGGAACACCCGTGCATACCACGCTTACGACGACTTCATCCGCTCCTATAGGCGCGACCGACTCTCCTTCACTGAACGGGGAGGACAAGGGCTCTAAGAGCTCGGGGCTTTCCTCTAGTTCGAAGAAGACTATCATTGGTGTCGTCGTCGGTGTTGGTGGTGCAATCCTGGTTGGTGCTCTTGGTGTGGTTGCCTGGAGGCTCCACGTACGCAAGCGTAACGCCCACGATAATGATGAGGCTACAGACCTCATGAGCGGTACTGCTGTTGGTTCAGGCGCTCGCGAGAAGGCACCCAGTCCCGGTGCTGGTGGAACTCCTTTCAAGAGCACTCTGGACCAGTATCATAACCCTGGTCCTGTCAATGCCGCATCTAATTTCTAAAAGTGCTAGGTGCTTCTGTCAATCCTTGGTGGTTTTTTAACTTGTAAAACCTCCCTTGATCGTACCTGGTCCTCACCACTTGAATGTGGGTATGGTATACGATGATCCAGTGACTTTGACACTATAAAGTTTGTACGATTATTACGCAGTTATCATTGGCGCTTGTGGGTGAAGATATATCGGGTCTTTTTTCTTGCTGTATGCTTTTGTTTTTGTATGCAGCATCCAATGCCCTTGCTCGTTGCATTGCTGTTCATATAGAACGTCTTTCATTCCTTTCCGAGATCACGCTCCTTACTACGTACAGCGATTTTTATTTAGCATTCATGGTTGGCTTGCTGTCTTTGATTCCCCCGCTCGAAGCACTGATTCTGCATAGAGATAGTGCGAGATACGTCTCACGCTCTCTTTTTCTATTCGATAGCTTGGTTGGAGAATGGTCTCAGGATCCAACTAAACGGAAAAGCTTTCTTTTTCTCTGATATATGTATGTATTTAATTGCCACAGAAAGTAGCTCGAATGTGTCTGATTTAGTACCGCTCAGAACTGAAGCACTAGGTGTAGGACCCTGGGTGGATATAGTAGAAAAGATGAAACGGCATGGGCTCCTGTTAATATAACACTGTTGCCGTTGTCACTCCCTTATGGGCAAGGATTCACCCGGCGACGAAAAGAAAATCCAATCTAATCCCCTCGGGTGCTGGACACGGAACATTATGGGAATGTGGGCTCTGGTCCTATCGATATAATTACACGACAGTCACCATGTTTGGTATCTAAGTGAATATAGCCACACACAAGAGTCACAATCCGCGACATGGCACATCCTATACTACTGTTGATCAACTTCCCTCTGCTGATCTTTGGCGCTCTCGCGCTCAACTTGGATCCAGTCGGACTGGTTTATGCGCCAGCTTCTCTTGGCAAGCGACAGGTAGTTACTCAACTACTCTTCTTATCGTGGTTGATGCGAGAATCTCATACCTGGAATATCCGGTCAGGCATTTAGTGGAACATTAGGAGGCTCTGCACCCGTTGTGAGTTCCCTCGCTGCGACGTCTCAGATGTACTGATGTGTGTATGTGCAATGGCTTAGGTTACGTATACGGGCGATGCTGAAAGGCCATACGGTGTGGATGGCGATACATTCGTACGTCTTACTACCAACTCACCTTTTTTCCCTATTTGTTATCACTCCTACGCTTGAATGATAACCTGTTTATCTTTGGTAGACGGAATATGAATCAGCTGCCGCGAGAAGGTAATGAATGAATGCATAGACTGTACCACGTGGAATCCTTATCTAACACGAGTCCATACACCAGTTACAACAACAAATTCAACTCTTGTCAGAAGGTTGGTGTTGTACCTGATCGGTAGTCAAGTAGCAGAGGCTTGTTAACTCAAGCTAAGACGGCCAATGCGAACAAGTCATCGGCCTTCACCCTTCAGGATTGTCAGGATCAATTAAGTACATTCGCTTTTCCAAAGATAGCGACTGACAACGTTTCTGACTATATGCCAATAGACAATTGCATGTCGACAATATCATCTACGAGCGTAGCGCCACAAGCTGTTACCATGGCCTCTGAAACGACAGCAAGCGCCTCGACATCCGATGAGAACAATATAGCTCCACAATTCGCCCAGACCACAATTCCGTACGACTCGGAGTTCGACCTTGTTTGCGATCTTCCGGAAGGTGACATTTAATATGCACCTAACCAAGGGATGTAATACGATATGTTCGATATTGATGGATTTATGTACATACATACACTACTGCTCCATATATCCCATTCATACAGGACAGCCTTGCAGCCTCAGGAATGTAATATAACCCCATCGGGACTGGTGCCATGTGATCCCGTGTTGGAGACGCGCTCGCGGATCGACAAATAGTTCCCAGCCCACCTCTTCTTACATTACGAGATGGCTGGGCGTTCGAGAACCCGGGCGCTCGAATACATTGGAAGCAGAGAACCTCGAAATCCCCACATAAATTCCCATCAACTAACCTTTTTACCTCACGACAAGTCCCGAAAGCCACCTCCATTGACACCATATCTGAATTGTATCCATCAAACGCGTACCGCCACCTCCATATCCACTATCTTCGAACCGAGGAACCACCCAATACTCCGAACCTCCGTACACACTAACTGCATCTTACGCGCAAACCGCTCCCCATCAACATCACCATGTTCGCTGCACTTCCCCCCGTGCAGCAATTCAGTCTCTCTCAGTGCGCAACCGCGCCCCTACGCTCGTCCCCACTATCCCCTCGCAGTTCGACGCGCCCGATGAACTCATTCTCCTCCCCGGTACCCTTCTCCCCAGCATCGGAGCACGAACCCAACACACCCGTCACCTCACGCACAGAGACTGGAAACATCTTCTTCGGGTCTCCGGTCTCTCCTTCACCTTCACGGGGTGCGAGCGCGTCCTTCAGCTCCAAGACCTCGCCGACCTATGCTCAACGCTACGCGAGCACTGTCTCTAATCCGCTGAGCAACGCGTCCAGATCGTACACCACTTCGTCTTCGCCCTCGGCGCGCGAAGCGAGACGCAATGTCTTCCTAAATCGGATTAAACAAGGGCGTGACGAGGCGCGATTTGCGAGCAGGGGCGAGCAGTTGGTGATGATGGAGCATGTAGCCGAACAGAAGAAGTGGGGCGAGTCGATGAGGAGGAGAACAGACGGGATTTTGCAGGGATATATGAGGGACTTGGAAGAAGGTACTGATGATATGCTTGGTAAGTAATTTTTTTTTTCTTCTCATTTTCTAGTCGGCTTTGATATTTGATAACACGTTGTGGGTGGCAAATGGATGACTGACTTGATAATTGATTAGACGAGGCGGATATCCAGGCCCTGGATGAGTATCTCTCGCAGGAACAGGCAATGGAGACCGAATTGCTTGAGAATATGGATGTAGAGATGCCGTCGCAGCAACAAAGTGAGACCATGTCACAGGAACCAGGTTCATCGTTCAGTGATGATGAGTACGAGGGTCTATTCATGAATTTGGCGGATCAGAGAGCTCTAAGTCAGGATATGGATATGTCGAGTTGAACATTGCACCAGATTGTGACAACTCGACACAACCTGGGAGGATCCATAGGGTACAGGGTAATACATATGGGGGTAGGCTACTTTTACGGCGTTCGGGCTGGTCGCTGGCGGCTCAGATTTGACTAATTTTCGGGGCAACGGCTTTTGTATTTGTCAATGGTATGGTGTACATGTAGGAATAGTTAGTGTTGTATTATTTCAACTAGTACATATATTGCATGTCCACATTGTGAAAATTGAGTGTTGGATCTTTCATGCCTACTTCATGAGTTAAATTGTCATCTTACCACAAGAGTCTTTGAGCCCTAGGCCATTCTAATTGAGAAGCGTAGCATGCGGCGCTGGCTTAGCTCCAGGCCGATATCTTGTGGATTGATTAACTAATCCTCATAGAACGTACAGTATGGCTACCCTCACTTATGGTCTTGCTTCTTATACATACTGACACTCGGCGGAATTTGCAATTTTCTGTGATATGAATGTAGCGAAAGATGATAGCCTTGTGACATTTCGGCTGATAAATAGGGTATCGAAATGATATAAGTACAAAAGATGCCAACACCAGATGCAGTCGATGTACCACCACAATGAATGAATAGACGGAGATGCTACTGTAAGATCTCTTTATTGCTGGGGGCATTCCGGGACACCACCGGGCCCGCCACCGAGCTCATCCCCGAATGGGTTCGTAACGAGTTCTTCTGGCGGACTTCCCGCAGCTTGCATCTGCACCGAATCAGTAAACATGTAACTCCAATAGATCATGGCAGAAAACACATACCTCCTGCATCTTCTCCCACACATACTCCCGACACTTCGGATCCTCATCCGTATACCCCTTCTCCTCAAACTTGGCCACAATCTGCGACACGATACCCGCCTGCTTCTCATACCGCTCCATATCCTCGGCGGAAATCGTCCCTTTGCCCTTATTCTCCAGTAACCAGGGCCCAAACTTCCCATCCAGCTCCTTCATCGGCTCATACAGCATCTCCTTATTCGACAACTGCTCCATCATGCCCATAAACATCTTCGACAGGTCCCCATCGTCGCCAGCCCCACCCGCACCCGCCTCAATCGCCTTCAACAGCTGCGCCACCAAATCATCCGCATCATCCTCCGAAGCCGCCGCGGTCGCCTTATCCCCAGACTCCTTCATCCGATTAATCGTCTGCTGAATCGCATCATTAAACGACTCCGGTGCCGGGGACGCCGCCGCAGGCGTAGCCCCATTACCACCCGCCGAAGAGCCACCACCACCGCCACCACTGCCGCTGCTGCTGCGAGCGGGCCCATCCCCACCCGCCTCCTCAGCCATGACATCAGCCAACAGCTGCTTGATAAAGTCACCGGGCGGAATGCCGCTCTCCTCCAGCTGCTTGGTGAAGGCGTCCGCACCCTGGTTGATGGTATCCTCGAAGCCCTTATCGTCGGAGGTGCCGGACTCCTTGGCGGCGTGGCCCATCATGTTCGCCATGTCCTTCTCGAGTTGCTTCATGAAGGCATCTTCGTCGAAATCGGTGGGGACTGGTGCGGTCGCGGGTTGGGATGCGCTACTGGGTTTGCTGGGTGGGGGTGGTGCGGGGGTGGGCTTGAAGTCGTCGAGAACGTCTGTTGAGGTTTCATTTAGTTTAATTTGGAGAGGAAATGGTTAGATGGATAGAGGATGTGGTGGGCTCTACCGTCTAATTCATCCAGGTCTGATTCGTCGTCGTCGGAGTCAATTGCTTGTTTTGATTGCTGGGCTGGTGTCTCTGTGAACGGCGCATGTTCTGTGGTTGTGGTTGTGGTTGTCTTTGCGCTTTCAGTTGGGGTGGTGGTTGCGGGCGCAGGGTTGTTCTCGCCCGATGGGGTGGACATGATTCCGAAAGGCGGGGGAGGGGGAGGAAGGGCAATGATTAGATTGCTTTCAATGAGAGGGTCGGGGAATTGAAGGAAATCGAATTCGTATGCAGATGACAGGTTCGAGAAAAGAGTCAAGCAGAAGGGAGAGGGAGGGAAAGAGAATGAGAAAGAGCCGAACGAGTGGGTAACTAGAACAAGAGCATGTGAATGAATAATCAGTTGATCTCGACTCGATCTTAAATAAATTCCGTATTTCAATTTATGCCGAAATGCCGATTTCCCCGCGGCTTCTTTTCTTCTTTTCTTCTTTTCCTTCTTCTACAACTCAATCTATTTAATGCAGCTCTCTCGTGAATCTCATGCGTCTAAAATGATAGATCATAATATTACAGCTAAGCTAACTACGACAATTATTAGAAAACAAATTGACGTCCAGTTTATTTCTAGAAGTATGTATCAAATTTTTTATACTCTTTATGTCCATCCATATGCCGTGACAACATCCACAGGAGTCTAGAATATCCCACATCGACAGAGCCCTAGTCCATAACGATGACATTTGTCCCAGTGCTCGGGCCCGACAAATACTGTTGCTTCATCTGCTCCGCTTTCTCCAATCTCCACTCCGTGGTTTCAACATAAAGCTTGTTCCGATGAGAACAACCGGATGAACTCGTGCGCAGTATCAGCCCCCAAGGTCCCAACCAATCGAATATCCTTATAGATAAACTGTATGATAAGACGTGGTAATCCTCTTCTCAGGCTGACCCAAGAGCACCATCTTTCCTATGCTTCCTCGTAAGAGCCGCCGCCAACTAAAACACCGCCGGATGATCAGTAGCAAGGGCCTATCGCAAGAAATCGCGCCATTTGCCTGTACCGTATTATACTGTTCAGGAATCAAACAAGGGGGAAACGATCGGCTAAGTCTCACCACAGACACTATCAAAGTTGATACAGCCCACCCGGTCGCCTCTCTTGAAGCCCCGTAACCTTCGCGCTGACTTCTTCAATGATCTCGGCGGGCTCGTGCGATCTGATAAAGGGCAACTTCATGTTGAATTCATTATTCAGGGCCATCAAGTCTGTGTGACAGAACCCGGTGGCCTTGACGCGGACCAACACTTGGTATGGCTCGGGGTTGGGGACGGGGTCAAGGGATACATGGTAGGGTTTGTTGAATCGTTGGATCTGGATGGCTTTCATGGTTGTGGGGGACATGATGTTGTAGGAATGATATCTGTTCTGTGTCTTTTTAGGGAAATTGATACAAGTTCTATAAGAACAAAAAAATAAAGAAAGAAGGAAGATATAAATGGCAGATCAAAGTATACAAGAACTTACCCCAAAATACAACCCGGGAGAACCTTCCCCCATAAAAATCCCTCTTATTCCTAGAAATGCGAATATTTTCCTAGAGAGCAAGCTTATGTTGGGGTATTTGTTATCCGTATGTATACTCCAAATACATCTAGTACATATGCCTCTCACTCTGGATTTCAATTTGATCGCGCTAGTCCAGTGTGAGACTATGTACACTTGAACCACTAGAAAAGCCACATGGCTCAACTTACGTGAGCGTGTATATAAGGAAAGAGAGTGTGGCCTGTCAGCTGAAATTCTCAGAGCTGAACAGTTTGTTGAGTACGGATCGGTAGCATTTCCTCGCCTGCATCTACAGCCCTCGATGCTTCCGCCTCCCAGGCGACCGTTATTAGAGGCGTCTTCGTCTCAAACCAATGGGGGTTTCGGCCCTGCGCCGAAATATCCAGCTTTTGCATACGCGCAAGATGATACATCTTAGTTGGGTGCTCCCCGTCGGAATTACTTCCCTCTGTATATCTCTTGCCCATGCGCAGATAATGCCAACATTGGCCGTTATGTCGGTCTTCCGAAGTTAGGAGAAGATTGGCACGGAGAGTCTCGGCCAGCGCTAGAGGCCGGGGGCGTGAGACGGAGAGAGGGTCGACGATGTGCTCATTAATTTCTTCATTGTCTTCCATCTGAGTGTCCAGCTCGACAGTCACACTTGGTATCGTCTTGGCCGGTATCACAGGGGGCAGCAGTAAGCACTCCTGATCGCGGACTTTGGCCAAGGTGCAATGAACCCCAAGCGCTGCGGTAAAAAACATCTCAATCTCCGGAGATAGGAAGACGCTCACTGTTATCGTCCTCTCTCGGGAGTCGTCCCAGACACCGACATCATTCCTTGGAAAGCATTCTTTGCACTTGTCCGAATTGTCTATTGGCACCGTAATGTCTCCTTGTAACGTAGGACAGATCTTCAGTGAGCGATGTAAGCTGACTTTCAGTGTTCCCTCTTTTGCATCGATTTCAGGATGAACCAGCACCAGACATGGGGCTTTCTTTTGCGTCAAGACCCTCCTATCTTGAAGATCAACTAAGCACCATTGTCGATCCCACTGCAAGCCGGCAGCTGTGACGTTCCACGGCTCCTTGTCCTTGACATAGTAGGCTCCGCATCCCTGGATGGGGTAAATTAGAATGTTCGCAACGTGCAGAGTACTTGGCAAGGACGGAAGAGCTTCTGGTAAACTCTTACATGGACCCGAAGCGTATGTTTGTTTCAAAAAGCCCATGAATGCTTCTAGATCCCCCATTGTACTCATGGCGCCAAAGCTGGCTCGCACGATCCCAGACGGTTTGGAATCCACAATGATACCCTTACATCCACACCGGATTCCAGCGGCGTAGTTTCTGAGGAGTTCCCATGGCTCCAATCTTAGGGCCATGGCGATACCCCCGGGGTTGCAGACGTCGCCTGTGCGGATGTGAATGCGATGCTCATTGGCTGCTTGCTGGAGCTCAGGCAGCCCGACCCAATTGCCTTCATCCGTTCTCAGGTTGAAGGCAATAGTTGGGCCATAGCGTGCAGCTGGATCTCGATAGACTTCACAGACGTTGGTCCCATTGGGATGGCGCAGGGACAAGAGAAAGTCATGACAGATAGCTGCTAGGGATGAGGTGTGTCGGGATACACTCTCTTGCGACCCGTATAACTGCCGGTGAGCAGTTAGGGCATTTCCCAGAGCAATGATATCATGGAAAGGCACGGTACCGTCTTCGAGAGCCTCGTGGGCCTGGCCTAACTTTTTTGAATGCCATGAGCCGCCAGCAGCGACCACCATCTCCACAGTTCCTCCACCAAAGTATGGCCGTTCGGTCAAAACTCTTGCGGAAGCTTTGCGCACAATCAGACCTCCCAGATCCGGGAAGCCAAATATCTTGTAGAAGCTTACGACTGTGAAGTCAGGGGATTCCGCCAGGTCACTGAAATCTAGCGGTGACGTAGACGCCAGCGCGGCAGCGTCCCAGAGACTATATATCTTCTGATGAGCAGATAGTCGAGACCGCCGGAGACGGCCTGGCCAGTCCAATGGGAGTCTGTGTCCATTCATGTTCGATTGCCCAGGATAGGAGAAAAGGCCCACCTGGAAGGTCTTCGATGATTGAGATGGCACCCGGTCTACATCTTCGTGGGCAGACCTCGAGTTGAGCCAATTATATACTTCTTCCTCCGTCGTGAAGCAATGGCTACCGGCGTCGGCCAGCTCTCTGATGCCAATGATACTGGTATGTGACTCGACGTGGTAGCCAACCCAAAGTCTTGGGCCCATGAACGTCTTCTTCGGGGTAGTGGTCATGGGCCTATCCTTCAGGGCTTGAACAACAAGTTTGACCGCGTTGGTAGCGTTTTGCACAAAAACAATGTCAAAGTGTTCGGGGTCTGCATGAAAGAAATCCAAAGTCTGTCTTCGGATCTCGTCAATCCTCCTGGTGCATAGACTGGATGACCGAGATTCTGAGTGCGGATTCCCATAGAGATTGTACTTCAGCTCATCGGCAAAGGCTCTGATTGAGGATTGCGGGTATACTGTCGCACCGGTGTGGTCTAGATAGACCTCTTCTACAGTGAATGATCGCACTGTCAGCTCACTTGCCTTCTCCCCATGAAGGTTTCGATGTATTTAGCATAGTACCTTTGAGCATTGGGTATTCTGTCTCCCGGATGGCATCGACATCATAGTCGGGTAGATACGAGAGACCTGCCATGGATGCTTTTTTTTTTATTTCTATGTGGTTGTTGATGAGCCGCATATACATCTTTGACAGCCATACCTATCGGTGGCCTCCAGGGGAGAATGGCATCCAATATACTGCATATATGGTCCGGTGTGTATGGCTGTCTGCTTCCGTGATAGGCAATAGAAGGTGGCTTAGAGTTTATTTAACATTTTACAGAAGTCACTCCGGCTCTTTAACTGGCTTTTGTTCAATATTCCCAGTCCTTGATCCGAGTGTTTTGCGTCTCTCAATTCCATACGTGGTTTCCTGCATCATGCACACGCCATCACTTGGATGTCACGCGACCATGTGTAGCAGCAGGGTAGTTATTGTTTGATAGCGTTATCCATAGATACGATGCGCAATAAATAATCGGCTATTCGGATTGACAGCAGCCCTTTACTTGACGTTTTGGACGTACACGTCATACACGTCATCTTGTGAGTCTCGGGGACGCTTCATACGGCGACCAAGCGCTAGAAGTCTCGCTTGGGGAGGAGAGGAAAGGGCATGGCTCGTTAGGATAAGCCCTGCTCGACTGTATTATAATCTTCAAGCAACGCTGAAGCTGGGTGTCGCCAGACACTCATCTTCTCACACCCTTGCTTCACAACCTAAAGGAGAAATCTTATTAGCTATGGCATCCCCACAGGTAGCTCCCTTCAATGAAGAGACCCGTAACCGACTAAAAGAGCATTTCAGCGGTGACGGCCCTTCACAGAATACGCGCTGGGCTGCGTTGTGGGATGAAGGCGATTTCCTTCCATGGGATCAGGGTGTCCCCAATCCTGCATTGGTCGACACACTTGCCGACCGCAAAGATCTTCTGGGAGCATCCGTGCTTGTTGAAGAGGGTGGGAACCAGCGACGTAAGCGGGCTCTCGTGCCAGGCTGTGGTCGTGGGTATGATGTTCTCCTCCTGGCGAGTGTGGGATACGATGCGTATGGGTTAGAGGTATCGGCAGAGGCAGTCCGCCAGGCTGAAAACTGGGCCCAGGAGCACTTGGATGACTATCCAGTGTCTAGCGAGGCGATTGGAGCCGGTAAGGTTCGATTCGTACTCGGCGACTTCTTCGACGACCATTGGTTTAGTGGAGTGGATGGGCTGGGCAAATTTGAACTGATTTACGATTACACGGTAAGCTTTAACAGCGCTAGAATAGCGATGTGCAAGTTGTCGATGGCATGGCTAATGGTATGAAATTCCTCTTTTTTCTTTCTAGTTCTTCTGTGCGCTACCACCTTCTCTGCGTCCGGCGTGGGCAGCTCGTTCCGTAGAGTTGCTCTCGACGCACCCTGACAGCATATTGATCTGTATCGAATTCCCAACGTACAAGGAATTGTCGACTGGTGGACCGCCGTGGGGAGCTTCTCCAGTCATGTATATGGCTCACCTCAGCTACCCCGGTGTTGAACTGCGGTACGATCAGGAAGGGGCTCCCATCATCCCGTTGGAGGTAGATGGGGCTAAGGGCTTGATGAGAACCGAGCACTGGAAGCCAAAGCGATCCCATAAGATGGGACAAGGGACCGACTGGGTCAGTGTGTGGAAGAGGTCCGCATAACAAGATGTTACCTGTCTCCGACGAGGGAAATGGATTGAAGAGGTGGCTAAATGGTCAAAGCCAGGGATACCACATGGGTGTTCTCAGATTGATGTACTGAACTCTATGTTCTATGGAAGCGTAGATACATGCAAAAAGTGACATCAGTGAACTCGTCGAACAGTATGTGGTATCATTGATTAGTTATCACTGCCCTGAGGCAATGGAGAGAGGCACCAAGCAACTCATCATACGGCGATAGCGAGGAGTTCTGGTTATGCTTTATCGCCCTTGCCTTCATAGACAGTGGACCAAGAAGAGCACACCGATCCCCAGTAGACGCGTCGTGGTGTCCTCAGCATCCTAGATGGCCAGTGCATCTAGACCTGTGCATAGGATTATGGCAACGTAGTATACAATCCAAGACAGAACGGTCATTTTCGTCATCATAAGCCAGAATCAGCCAGTCCAAGCGTTCGCGTTTTCACGCTTATCCCCCGTATTCATGAGTTTCAGAAGCCCATCAACAGCATCTCCCCTTTGAGTCGGTGTTACAGCCTGTTTCTCCGGTAGGTTTCCTTCGCCAACATCTTGCTCGTCGACCTCTCCGACCATCCTGTCACGGCCGGTCCGCGATATGGTAGCTGGAGGACTGCTGAGCTGCATTGGGGAGCCTGCTGTCCCAGTCCGACGATGACTCCTCTGTGTAGGCGTCTTCATATGATCCTGGGAACCGTCATTGCCTGTCGATAGGGGAGGTGATGATAATCCGAGAGGAATAGATGATGATTCGGCACTGGACTTGAACTCTAGAGCAGATTGAAAAGGACGGGGCGTGGTAGAGGGTATGGCTTCCTCATCTTGTCGGCGCGGTGTCACAGCCTCCTTCTGGTGGCTGGGCGCGACTGTCCCAGGGAGTGATAGACGCGGAAATTTGCGACTGTGAGCCTCTAGTTCAGACAAACGACGATCAAATTGGGGGTCTCTAACGTGGCGCATGGCGCTTTGGATTCGGTTACGAAGAAGGCTTGCTTTCTGTTTGGTGGGGTTAGATCAGGGTATGTCCATAGACAATCAAAGATACTCACTTCTTGGATAAATAGTTTGCGCGTTTCGGGATCTTCAGGAACGGGTCGCACTGGGCCTGTCTCACTTTTTTGGGCAGAGCATTCAGCAAGTCCCGTGGTCTGTGTCGGTGATTGTGGCTGCTGTGATTGTTGTTTATTTGACTCCCGAGATTGATCTACATCGGGCCCCGTCGCGTCTGCTTGTTGATGGCATGGCTACCCATTATTATCAGCCCCAATTCCACTTTGCAAGTCTCCAGGTGCCACAAAAAGTCTGTCCCTCTGCTTACCCAATCATCTTTTTGAGTTGTAGAGTGCATGCGAGCTTCCTCGTACACGTCATGCACTGTCTGTGTTTCCGCCCGAGACTCGCCATGTTGAGCCTGCGCGTTGCCATTGTTCCCTTGGCCATCGTCCACCTGGTCAATTGTGCGTTTCTGGCCGACAAATAAGGGAGAGGGGAGGAGCTTTTTGGGTGAAGACGCTTCGAGAAGCGAGCGTTTGCTGGGTGAGACATCGTGCCGATGGTGTGCGGGTGACAGACACGCGTTGGCGGTCTTTTCGCCGAGAATACGCCTGCCGTCTTTGACGGGGCTAGGGTGTAACGTAGTCGAGTACATTCCGGAAATTATTAGGAGGTTACGGAGAGGGTAAGAGGAATAGAGGGAGGTTGGATAGGAGGAATTGGAGGTTCAAGAGGAACGAACCCGCACGAAGAACGGAAGACAGGTTAGGGTTCCAAAAGCAGGTTTGGGAAGAGCAGGAGTATTTGGCGTTGGTTGAGATACAAAATAAATAGAGTAAGAATGGAAAGAGCAAAACCATTCGAACGAGAAGAGATGTTTTCGTTTGTTGTGAGGCAAGGTGGTTGAGTAGTCGCGTGGGAGATTCAATCGCGTTGTAGTTTGGTGTATCTCGCGCTATTCCCAAGCCGTTTGGAGGGAGACGTGACTTAGTCCACTCCCCGCGACGTGTGATATCCACTTCTCGCACATATCCCCCATGCAACCCCTCTGGATTTCTACCCGGTGTTCCTTCTCAGGTTCCAATCTACTAAGTCTTACGGGGGTACATACATGGCACTTCTTTCAAAAGTGTTTGTCCAAGTTCTAGGAATCGACCGACAGAGCTGAAAACTATGGGAAAACCACCTCCGCGGAGACGCCATGCAAGCCACAACACACATCTGCAGGCTTCCCCGTAGCCTTCGACAATCCTCCTATATTCAATTGCATAATGTAAAAGAGAACTGGGTCAATTAAGTCAACATGCGTTGCTCAGACATAATTGGAATGCGCAGCATGTGGTCCTTGTGACTACAGGAATTCAACTGATGTGGAGCACCCCCGAGATCGCAACGTGATCCTCGTTCAAAGTCTAGCAGGCACATAAAAATCGGGACTAGAAGCATGATAGAATGAATATAGATATCGATTAGCAAAGTGCTCACAAGAGTCGCTACTCGCGCGACTCTTTCCAGCCATCAGTTGTAAACAAATGTTGTCTAGTTTTCGATTTAGTCTTAGCAACTGCCCGCTTGAGTCTAGACTGCTGTGCACGTGCCACCCGAGCATGTCGCCCCACCCAGGGGAAGAGAGATGAAGTTGTCCTGTTGGTAGTAAGGTACAAGTAACTAGTCGGAGAATCTAGAGGGTATGCTCTGAAAGATAGCTCAAGGAATATATATTGAATACTAGAAATTGGGTGAGGACAAAATACGACTGGATTTATTGCGGAGTAGAAAGGTCGCGAGAATATTCCGTATATATAAACATGTACAGAGAAGTACAGAGTACTACACATTCTTTAACATCACTCTAGCACGTATATCGTAGAAGATATTGTAATATTGTTATAAGATACGATGTCAAAATGATTAGACCTATAATCTTATAGAACTTTCAAGAAGGTAAATTTAATTGGAAATCATGAGCGCTTTTATATGTGGCCTGATTCCACAAGATAGAAATGCTATAAAATTGATAGTGGTACCACAGAATGCAAGCTAGCATATATTCTCCCAGACTACAGATCAACCAGGTATTGAAAATGCTAACGTATTGAATCCATGGAGACGACTGGATTTCTATAGCAAAAGGGAAAAGCTGTTGTATTCAAGGCGCAGTTAACGGTCATATATTGTGGTATCAAATGGATGTTATAGTTCCTTCTTCATCCTATCTTCCTTTCTACTATACTTCATCAACCCCCCCTCCCAGAGCATAACATCTTCGCTCTAGAAGGAAGGTCAAAGTGGGATTGTACTACCTAGGTTAATTGGAAATTATGCAATTGTTTACTTTCCTGGATAGATTTCCCCGAGGCCTTCTCCCTGATCATTGGTCCCCAGGGCTCTCCCCTCCCCGTGACAGCTTAAGTCATCCAACAGTGGAAAGCTTTCCCCGCATTTTTGAGGTTCCAAAGAAATCCGTCCATCCATTAAAACCAACCGCTTTGCTAATGCCATTGAACGGACACGGAATCTTTCTCTATCGGCTTTTTGTGTCTCTCTTTCTTATAATTCCCTATATCATATCCAAGGTCGAGTAGCCCTGTCCCCGAGAATGGGATTCAATTGAAGTAGATCATTACTGTTTGGGAACTTCTCCGAAACACTTGATTGCATCACGGGGGTTGCACGTGGTCGGCGCCTGCATACCTTAACCCTCTACGCTCACGCTCACTCCTCCTCCGCCTTCTACCTTGTAGCCTTCATTCAAGCTCTTCCATCACACGTGTGATCGATTCAATCCAACCGTGATGCGTCTATCCTTCGCAGTGCTGACAGCTGCCCTCCAGGCGGCAGTCAGTACGGCATCGTCACTGACTCCGCCCGTCCTGCCGCTGATTGTACGAAATCCCTACCTTAGTACTTGGCTAGGGAACGCCCGTGAAGCGCCATGGTCCAAATGGCCCATGTTCTATACCGGAGAGGAAATAGGTCTCTCCTTGATGGCACACATTCCCAGTACGGGGACCGTGTACCCATTGCTAGGCAAGCCTCATGAATCCTTGCCTTCTGATTTCGAGTAAGTCCGCCGTGTGCATGGCATTACCGTTGAAAATAACTTCTAACAAGAGCTTAGCTCACCGAAAGTTAGATTCCCAACTTACCTTGGATCTAACTACGACGCATCCACCACTAATCTAACTTATCGCATTGACTCGGATACCACATCGGCCTCTACTCCTCTTGAGATCACTGTCTCTTTCTTGTCTCCCATAACGCCTACTTCGACTCTGCGGCAGTCGATTCCGGCTTCATATGTAACAATTCATGTCCATGGTGATGTAGGTCTCAACATTTATATGGATGTCAATGGCCACTGGGTAAGCGGAGATGAGGGGAGCAAAATCACCTGGCAATACGACGGCTTCGATGCCAAACATAGTAAGCCTACTCTTCAGAGATGGCGATTCAAGAGAGAAACAGAGCTGCTACTATCAGAGATCGGTGACCGGGCCGAATGGGGTACCCTTCACTTTACTGGTCCTGCTGTTCGTATTCCTTGGACAAGTGTCGCCATCAGTCTTAGGTGCCACGGCTAACACTTAGTTAGGATGTCCAATACCAATCTGGAGAAGCCTTGGCTGTGCGGCGTGGGTTTGCTGCCGAAGGAGCCTTGCGTAATGAGATTGATGACGCTTTCCGTGCCGTCGGTGACCGAGAACCGGTCTTTGCGTTCTCCAAATCTTTCGCCCCCTCAAAGCAAGCAGGCCCTGCTAGCGACAGCGTGACCTTCACTCTTGCTCTCATTCAAGATCCAGTCGTTCAGTATGCCTCTTCTCGTGGGCTAACTTTGATGCGACCTCTCTGGAGGTCTTGGTTCACCAATGAGGAGGCCCTGCTAAGCTTCCATTACGATGATTTGACTAATGCGGGCTCGTTGGCCTCTGAGTATTCAGAACGATTGGCTAAGGATGCCTACCAGTCGGGAGCTTACGACTATGTGGACATCGTGGCCCTTACGGCCCGACAGGTTATGGGAGCAACCACCTTTGCTGGGACACCCGAGGACCCGATTTTGTTCCTGAAGGAGATTTCTTCGAACGGTAATTTCCAGACGATAGACGTCATCTTTCCCTCATTTCCGTTCTTCCTGTACACCAATCCACGATGGTTGGCTTATCTTCTCGAGCCACTGATCGAGCATATGCTGAGTGGACAATACCCGAACAAATATGCTATGCACGACCTGGGAACACATTTCCCCAACGCAACGGGGCATCCAGATGGCAACGATGAATACATGCCTGTGGAGGAGTGTGGTAACATCCTCATTATGGGCCTGGCCGTAGTGAATTCCTTGCGTTATTCTGAGGATTCGGCCGCGTCCTCTGTTTGGTCTACTCGGGGTACGGCTTCTCAAACATATGAGAAGAATCCTGGCTACTTCCCCCTCGATAACCTTCAAGCGCTGGGAGGGATTGACAAGCAAGACGGAAGGTGGGGCGGCGGCGCCGCAGGCGAACATTTGGCAGAGAAGTGGGTTCAACGTAGTTACAAACTCTGGAGCCAGTGGACTAGTTACCTGGTGGAATACTCCTTGGAGCCTGCTAACCAGCGTAAGGACCCCTTGTCTTGCGAAAAAGAACAGAAAGCTGACGAAAGTAGTTTCCACGGATGATTTTGCTGGCTGGCTTGCTCTTCAGACGAACCTTGCACTCAAAGGCATCATCGGTATAAATGCTATGAGCAAGCTAGCTGAAGTGGCTGGACACCGGGCAGATGCTTCCCATTATAAGGTTCGTATACCCCACGAGACCTGAGGCCGCAAATCCGTTGACTCGGGAACAGAATATTTCCGAAACCTACATCGGTAAGTGGGAAGAATTTGGCATGTCTCGAGATGAAACGCATGCCAAACTTGCTTATGACTGGTATGGATCTTGGACTACGATTTACAACTTGTATGCGGATGCCCAGCTTTGCTTCCACCTGGAGGGCACGGATATTTCCCCTGCACACACTGGCCAAAAGCCACTCCGCTTACAAGCCAAGAAGTCCGGATTTGTTCCACACCACATCTATCAGAAGCAGTCTATTTGGTACCACTATGTACGTCAAAAGTACGGCCTTCCCCTGGATAGCCGTCACCTGTATACCAAGACGGACTGGGAGTTTTTCTCCATGGCTGTCGCCAGCAAGGACGTGCGTAGCGAGATTCTCGAGTCCGTGGCTAGATGGGTGAACGAGACGGTGACCGACCGTCCCTTCACCGATCTGCATAATACAGAGGGCAACGGTGAATTCCCAGGGCCGAATTTCTTCGCTCGGCCGGTGATTGGGGGTCATTTCGCCTTTTTAGCTCTGCAGCGAGCCTGTGGGGGTCGGGCCATGGAGGGACTGGCTTTCCTCGACGGCAAGCCTGGCCTTGGAGATAACTCGGTAGCATCCGCTGAGACACTTGCTCACTGGGACGCTATGGCTGCTAAAGCCGCAGAAAGCTTCAAGTCTGACGAGTATGGACCCGGGAGGGTAGAGCTGTAATATTTTGCAGTTCATATGTTGTCATCTCATCGCTGTAGGTGAAATATCGGAACGGACTAGTAACGTTTGGAGTTAGATAGTACATATTGAATGGGAATCTCATGAGGTAGAAGTTATAGTGTTTGGAATTAACCTGGCTACGGATATAAAGATGAAGGACTTATTGTTATGCCACCCGTATACTGCTCCTGCATTTAAGGAAATTTATTTATGTAATGGTCTCGACTAAATGAGTGTAGAATTACATGTGATATAGAGTAGGCCATCCTAATTAACCTACAACACCAGTTCATGACATGGTAATGGCAAGTGGCTATACTTCGACAAAGAGAAAGGAAGTTCACTTCAGGACTGTATTCCTCCTACATATGGCCCACACCATAATTGGACGATAGGATGACCTACACAGGTTTCACTCGGGCAACGAGACTCGGATGATTGGCGGCCTCTTGGACATAAGAGTTAAACTTTCGACGAGATCTCGGCGCACTCGGGCTATCAAACTATGATAGAGGACCGGAGCCGAGCCCAGCTGCTTAAAGTGTTGTTTCAGGTATCTGCACTAATCCTTTTGTCTAGCCATTGTGTGTCAACCACAACTTAATCGGTGATATATGCGCCATTGACAGAAACATTGGCTCCCATGGTGGCGTGAATTTCCTTCGTGGCAACTAGAAGAGTTAATGCCAATGTTTGCAACTAGGGTATGACCTCTGAGGGGATACACTGACGTCGTTGTACATAGGTAAGGGATTCGAGGGTTGAAGAGTGAGTGACGAAATAGAAGAGATATCACTGACTGGATCATGTATCACAGATCACGAGATATCATATGTTCCCGACCATATAAGATAAACAACTTCTCAGAAAAATTGATGTCAGACACTCAGCCAGAGCAGGGTTTTCTCCAATCACTATTGCTTTCAACCCCTACATCCAACAAATGCTGCCATGCCAGCGTCGATGATAGGGTGAGCAACCATTCACCTGAAACCCAACTTACTAGCCATGTAACAAATGGCTAATACGGCTCCATAAACGCCCCATAATGAGTCCAGACTGGAGTGTACTCGCACAGTCCGTGTCTGTGCAAGTCGATTGAAGGCGAACAACAAAGAAAACCATGCCGGCAGGATTGGCTCGCCCTACCGAAGCTTTGCGCTCAAGCGAGGATCCCTGCACGCAATGGCCCATATGCACAGGACCAGAAGCATCCAAACCGGCAAAATCGTCCCTCTCCAGTCCTGATTCGTCGTGAGTCTCAATCTAGACGGTCCCTATCCGTGAGGCGTGGGTATCATTGCACGTTTCAACACCCATGCGCGGCTCATTCTCAACCTTATAAGTGGGCATGCTTTACCACCCTCCCTCGGACCAGATAGAATTATAATCAAACATAAACTTTCTACCCTAGGTTAGACTACTACTTCCCCCGGGTTCTAATTTTTTTGCGTTTTGCCTAGCGCTATATACTGGCACGCAACGATGGCTCATCATTTAAGCTTTGAAACTGACGGGCTCTACGTTCTGCTTTCTGACCGTGGCACTCCAGATACCTTCCACTGGGGGCCTGTATCTGGCTAAATCGCCCACGACGGGTGTCAAGTATCGCCTCACGAATAAAGAGAACAGGACTGTGTGAACGCTAGAGACAGCACATACCTACAACATGGCTAGTCCCAGCAAACTCAAAGCTGCGCTGAAAGTGGGTGTCCTAGACAACGTTCTTCATGTTTCCCTAGGTGATCGGCTGCGAGAGATTCCGACCACGCACTCGACCCCCTTCCCCGAGGTAATCTCCTGTCGGATTTGGCTCAAGGAGGTACTCACCACCCTTGACGAGCTAGGCTATATCAAGCCGATCACAGCGCGGGGCAATAGAGAAGGAGGCGAGTAGATTAGCCAGGATGGCCGTGGGCTGGTGCAGTCGAGTCATTAGCAAGAGTGCCGACAAGGAAGCATAGATGGAAAGAGTGCGTCTGTCTTTCCTCCCCTAAGGCTGATTAGCTGCTCTGTTGTCGATCGTAGTGTTGTTGGCTCGGCCCGTCTGCTGATAAACCCTAAGAGGGTGATACTCATGAGATTCTTTACTAGGGTCCATATGGCTCCTTTGAGCAGGTATAGTGTTGGTGGCTTTTGGAGAGGACTATTTCCTGAGGCTACTGGTTTCCCTCTGTTTCCATCTCATGACCCCCTTTATGAGTATATCGTAGCCAAACAAAGAAGGACGAGACGAATGTAGCAGGGTCTGGACTCTGCCCTTCATCGTCCACACATCACTTCCCCCCAAGAAGTCAGAATGCACACACAAGTGTCGATATGACCAACAGGCCTCGATTGTAAAACCACCAGTCTAGGCCCTCTACGCCGCCGTCCTTCCCAGAAATGAAGAACAAAACAAACCAATGAACAGAGGACGATATATAAACTCCCAACACCCATAAGCGCCTTACTAACCATATAAAAAAAAAACCAAATTTCGCAATTCCTCGCCATGCATTCTTCCCTAAATTACACACTCCTTCCTCAACAACACACATACGCCAACCTACTACCCAGTTCATCCTCCAACCCAAACCCTACTTACATCCACCAAAACAAAGGGCCCAAACCGAGAACAAAAATAAAGAAAGAAATGAACACCCTAACCCCCTCAACCCTCTACATACTCCTCCAATCCCGCTCCTCCCCCTCCACATTCCACTGGTCCCTCTACCTAACCAACACCCACCCACCCTTCACAACCGGCACGAAGCACGACCTAACCCACCCTCCCTCCCCCTCTCCTGATCTCGATCCCCGAACCTGGACTTACAGCAGCTTCCCCATCGACCTCCTCTCACCAAACGCTGCGAGCCCGGCCATCGCGGCCGTCAAGGTGGACGTCATGGACGATGCGGAGATGCTCCGGGAGGCGATGGAGGAGTGTCTGGGGAACGTGCCGCGGGGATCGTACTCGTCACGGTTTCGGGAGGAGATGAGCTGCAGGGTGTGGGTGATGGAGGCCCTGTGGGAGTTGGATCAGGGGGGGTTTATTGATCTTGGGGGACGGGTGAATGTATTGGGGATTCAGGGGTTGGAGAGGGAGGTGGTTAGGGCTGGGTTGGTGGCGATGTGGAGGGGAGATTTTGGGGTTTACGAGTTAGGGGAGGAAGGGGTTGGGCTGAGGGAGGTTGGATGAATAGATTGGATTTGGATTGAAACTATTTTGGAGGTATTGAGTTTTGTTGTTTGTTGGTGAGGGTTGGGAGCAGTTGATATCGGTTACTACATCCGGAAATTGAAGAATGACACTACGCCTACCACCACTTTTCCTTTTCCTTTTTTTTTTTTTTTAAAAAAAAAAATAAAAAGACGAAGACAACTACAGGTTTTTAACACCTGTAGTCCTCCAAGGGAACTTTTTTTTTTGGTTTTGAATTCTCACTTTCCTATTTTTTGACATTCAAATCAAATTACATCGGGGCCTTTTAAACCTAAATGCGAGGACCGAATGATTTCGTCTCGTGTCATTTCCCGCAATCCATATCACGTCACTTTCCAGGATGAGGCATCGTAAGGGTTTCTTTTAAGACTCTTTTCCGTTTTCAACCTTTCAAGAGACCAGCGTAAGAGGTGCGCCGGTAGATTACCCCTCCTTTACTATCAGACTGACAGTACTTATTTGCCGCCAAGGGTGGGGAAGTTCTTCTCGTCCACGGTGACAGGAGCGGCGCGCTCACCGCGAGGACCGTTGCCACGGCCACCACGGCCACCACGTCCGCCACGGCCTCCACGGCCGCGAGGGCCGCTGGTGCCACGAGGAGACTCGACGAAGCGCATGTCGACGTCAAGGTAGTTCTTCTCCTTGCGAGCCTTCTCGCGCTTAGCCTTGTCAGTGCTGGCCTTGATATACTCCTCGTCTTCCTCGTCACGCTTGAATTCCTTAGCGGCGGCCCACTTGGAATCAGCCTTGGTGCCCTCGTTGGCGGCACGGACGGGCTTGGCGCTGAAGTCGCCAGCGGCGGCCTTCTCAGCAAGGTAGTCATTGTACGACTTGGCCTTGTCAGCAGGCTCCTGGGCCTCCTCAGCGGGAGTCTGGGGCTCGTTCTCGTCGGTCTGGGCGATCTTCTCACCGGCGCGCTCATCGGCCCATTCCTTCTCGCCGCTCTGGCCACCCCAGCCCTGGTTCACCTTCTTTCCAGTATCGCTACAGAAGAAGACAAAATGTCAGTAAGGATGATACTCAGCTGAGCCCTAGCACTTCAAGGGAGCCTTACGTCTGGCCGGTGCGGGACTGGCGGTCATGACGGGGGGCACGTCCACCACGGCGAGAGCCCTGGTTACCCTCCTCAGTGGGCTTCTCACGGTTCTGGTTGCGACCAGCGTTGCGGTCACGGAAAGCTACATGGGAGCCGGAATTAGCCCGAAGCCCAGTCACGCAGAAATATAACAAAAGACGATCACATACCGGCCTCATTGCCAGAGACGTTGTTACCACGGCGAGAGTTCTGGCCGGCACGGGGCTGAGTGCTGGGAGCCTCCTTGGGAGCGTCCCTCTTACCGACACGCTGCGCGGGCTTATCGATCGCTTTCGTGGGAGGAGCGGGGGGTCTGTTGGGGTCTAACTCGGGATCATTGCCTGCAGCGAATCGCGAAAAGAGCGTTAGATGATGTAATTATTGACAGCGGAGATCCTGAGACTAATCGAAGGTTGGAAAAACCAAGAAAAATCACGGGATGCAACTCAAGAGTGGGTAAGAATTACCAAGAAGCTCGTAAAGGTTCTAGATATGAGATATTCGTCAGCTCTGCTTTTTTTCCTTTTCTTTTTCTTCCTTTCTTTTCTTTTATTTTATTTTTTTCCTTCTTTCATTAAATCAAACATCCGGGCACTTCTGAGCCTGCCAATTGATTTCCAATCGATCTGATTCCGAAATACCACAGGCTAGGGACTGAAGCAGCTCCAGGACCCGATTTAACGGCAGTTGAAAGCTCTCTCGCACGCACCTTGGACCGGACGTCGGCCATGACGCCTGGTTTTATGAGGGGCCTTCCGGGGAAGGCTCTCCGTTATCGCAGCAATTCGGTGCGAAAAAAGGGCGGAAGGCGACGAGCAAGGCAGAAACCTATACGATGTAGGTATTCGGCCTCTCCTAAATGGATGGGATGGTGATGAGGAAGGGGTGACGGTGGATGACTTGGATTGGAGACTACGGTTTGGGTTGTGGTTGCACCGTCCGAATCCGGTAAGGTGTGGTTGCTCGCTAAGCGAATTCGGGTATGCGGCCTATGATTGGTAGATGTCTAGGGCTTTAGCCCGGCTATGGCGTCACGCGGGGCTTCCCTATGGCATCATGGACTGTATGAGCAGCAGTGAAGTACCGGGTACTTGGGAATGGTAATACAAAGTTATAGGAGAGGCGGTGGTAGATACGTCACTCACTCTCTCTCTCACACTCTTTTACACGAAGCTATGTCATGAAACCTCATGCTCTCCCATGGGAAGTTTCCCATTCCTCCAATCACATCACTCTCAACTTTCCATTATAGCCGCAAACCTTGTACGTACATACCTTAATAGTAGGAGAAGGCACCGGAGAAAAACAGAGACAGAGAAATGATTTGTTTCTCTCTCCTTCTTTCCTTGACTCGAAATACATAATAGAGGGAAAAAAAACAGAAAAAGTAAAAGTATATCCAGCCAAGACATCATCGTAGAAAAACAATAACAAAAAGCAACCGTGCCACCACGTAAATCAACATAATAACAATATGTCCAGAGAATCGAGAGGACGACCCGAAGGATCTGCTCGGCAGTCTCCTTTGGTAGGCATCACATCACGTATGCTCATCATATACACCAACAACCAGCCTTGAAAAACCTCGCAAGCATTTCTTTTTTGAATCAACAACAACACAAGCAAATGGTATCAACCGCAAACGCCGGGTAATGCTTGAAATCACTTTTGTCTTCCGATGCCATGCCGAGGGATGCCAGAATGAAGCCGGATGTGAAACAGAGTAAGTCAGTTCTTATCCCTGTCTTCTTTATTTTTTTCGCCAAAAATTTTTTTTCTTTTGCCTTAACTTTTTTTCCTTATGGGTATAATTCCTCGACGGATCGTAGACGACCATAACAAAAGAGGGGGAGATAATATTAACACTGGGTAGCCGGAAGTATTCGACCGGGAGTGGAGAGGGAAAGACAGAGTTTAGTGACGTGTATTATTCTGTTCGTAGCTGAACGGAGTCTGGAAATGCATGCTCGCACTGAGCCCAAATGGGTCGGCATCGAGCATGGGTTCGTAGTTGCCCAAGAGCTGGTTCGTGTTGTTATATGCTCCGTTAGACCCCTCTCCCGAATGTGGATTGAATTGGGAGAGGCCATGGGGCCCCAAGGAGTGAGAATTAGGGACTGATGCGCTAGCGTTAAAGCCAGATACGTACGGCGAGGCACCCACCGACGATTCATGCTCCTCATCGATTAGATCTGCCTGAGCGTCATACTCTTGTTCTTAAAGACATCGTTAGTTACCGATAGTGGATAAGAGAGCTGTCGGAGAGAGACAACCTACCAAGTTGATCATAGTGCTTTTGAAATGGTGATGGATAGTATGCTGAAGCGACGCGAGGGCCTCTGGGACCCGCACCCCCCGGCATCGCGGACTTAGGGTCAGCTGTGTCGGACTGGGCGACGCTCATGGGGGGCGAGGTTTGACTAAGGTTTCTCGAGTGCGACAAGCGTGATTGCTGCGCAGCCTGTTGAGGATCGACTCCCGCCGGGGACATGACTCCTTGGAAAGCATACCCCGGGGACTTGGCATGCGACGGCGAGGAGACATGGGACGGGGGCGTAGCCTGGAATTGGGGAGATGGAATGCCGTACGCTCCGTCACGGGTTTGCGGCATTCCGAACGCGTCCCCTTTGGGCGCAATTCCAGGAGGGTGTCTCTGAGTAGAATTTCGATTCATCGCCGCACGCTCCAAGACGGATGGTGGTTTCGCAGCCATGAGGTTGGGCTTCCCTGGGCCAGCCGGACCCCCGGCTTTCAAGCGTAGTTCTGCTTGGACATCGATCCCTATGCATGGTCAGTCCATGTTTGTTTTACTTCCTTTGCTCCATAAAAGGCTAAGACTGGATGACGAACCTTTTTCCAGCAAAATGCGTTCCAATAACGAGTTTTTATAGCGCAGCATCAGACATTCATCGGCGGCAGTACGATGATTCTGCTGCAAGGTCTGCAGAGACTCTTCATTGCGCTTGATAGTTGACTCCAGCTGACGGATGTACTCCGTCCGACGTTCACGGAATGCAGCTTGGGCCTGGCGGTTGCGTTGCTTCCGTTCTTCAGAGGTCGCATAGATCTAAGAAGAAGGTTAACTTAAAAAGAAGCTTAAACAATTAAGCCGGGCGATCATGACGATAAGGACAAGATCAAGACAAGGTCAAGATAAGGTAAGTGGAATACATAAGCGTAAACATAAATATATAAACAAATAAATAAAAAGAGGCCACCAGGGTAGGCAAGAGATAAGAAAGGTGATCGATCGAATCAAACACATAATGTGCGATGATAATGATAACCGTAATGCGGGGCCCCGGATTGATCTCACACACAACCACATGGCGGGTAGGAATAAAAAAAAAAAGTAAAAAAGGGGGGGAAGGGGAATAGATCTTACGTACAGGTTTTCTTCCACCCTTTCGCTTCTGCGTCTGGGCCACATCTTGTGTTAAGATCTCGCCTTCAGCTTCGGGCGTTGATACCGCTGAACTGATAGATCCCTCATGTATAGTAGGCTCTGTTTTAGGGACAACTGTATCCATGGCGGTGTCATTTGGATTGGTATGGGAGGTTTCAACCATAGAGACCATTGGATTCTATTTGGGGGAAGTATATCTGTCCCCTCGGCCTTTCCCAAAAAAAAAAAAAGATTTCCTTTGCGTGTATTGAGATACACCCCGAGCCTTCGGAAACGAAGGAAAAAATATTGTTTAACAAAAATTTCGTAACTGATATTAATCCCAAGTGCCGAACCCGACGACGGCAGACTCTTTTTTTTTTTTTTTTTTTTTTCCTTCCTTGTTCACCAAAAGCCTCAAGACCGATGTGATAGTAGCCGCCGGAAAAAAAAATAAAAATTCAAGGATTTTTTCCGGCGGGGTGATTGATAACTTCAAGCGCAAGAAACGCGCGGCTAGTGAGTTAGGAGGGACGTGCGAATAAGGCCAGAAGTTAGCAAGAGGGCCAGCGGAAGGAGTGACATAAAGGAAATTGATGATGGATAAAGAGATAACCAGATGGTAGACAAGTAAGAAGGAAGAAGGGGGCTGAGGGTGGGAAGATGTGAGGTAAAATTATTTACTAAAAAAAAGGGCAAAAAGAACAGGATGTTAATAAGAAGGGGAAAAAAAAAAAAAAAAAAAAGACAAGCCGGCGCCCTCGGGAAGGACCAGCCAACTCCAACAAAAAGAAATAAGGAAAAAGTAAAAAGAGGGTCAGACGGTTCGAGCGTAGAAACTTCTCTTTTAGGCCAAGTAAGAAGACAAAAGAAAGACAAGAAAAAAAAAACCCCACTTTTGTTCGGGCGCTGAATGGAGGAAAGAGAGCAAATCAATGGGAGATTCCAATCCAACACTGTCAATAAAATAATGAGATTTGCCCACTCTCCCTCGTTCTTTTGCTTTGCTTTTTTGCTTTGTTTTTCTTCGATTTCTTCTTTTTTAATATAATTGACTTTGATCCGCTCTTTTACCGGGGGGAAATAGTTGCAGAAGATCATACGGATGACATAGGGATCACCTCTACACAGCAAGAGAGATCCTACGACTACAGCGGACGTAGCTTACTGCCACCATCGTCTTCAGGTAAAATAGTTGCGCTGGACGCAGAGGTTGCCTATTCCCTGCTTTCCTTTCTCTTGTTCTTTCATTTTTGCCCCCTTCTTTTCTCTCTCTATTCCTATTTGTCTCGTCTCAAGGCAACGGCACAATGCGCTCCACTCCGAAGTGGTCGGACACTGCCGAAGATCCGCCTCGTCCAGCAACGAGACTCGTCAGTGTCTCCGTCACTGAACGAGTTACCCCATATAGGTAACGGGTGGAGAGCCAGAGGAATGACAATGCATGACCGCGGCGTCCTCCTTGGAACGTGCTTTGATCGCTCGTTTCTGGAAGGCTGGGAACCCAAAAAAATAAAAATAAAAATAAAAATAAAAAATGGATGATGAGGGGTTAACATACCGGAGGAATAATGACGATGTTCAAAAAATCCACCCCCATCCCATGTTTAGCCCTTTTCGATACCTCGTCTAACATCTTGGGGGATCAACTCGAACTAATGCCGACCTCGAAACAAAACTCTGGGGCTGGAGACAATTAGTTGAAAGAGGGGCGTTGGATTTTGGAGTCATGCATCCGAAGTCATGCGATGGATCAGAATTTGCACCTTCCCCTTGAAATGAGCGATGGAGTTACGTCGTATTCTGTGATTCAGAATATTTGGAGCGTCGTCGAATCGAGTCACGTTTTGCCTGCGGAGAAGGGTTCCCTGTCACCTGACCTCCCCCAATCAAGGTTTTCCCACTGGCGTAGTACTTCTCATGTAAGAACTCCCTCAACTATTGACCCTTTCGGTTCTTGGCAAACCTGGAACTTGGGTACTTTTGGAACTGGTCGTTGTTTTGTCTCGTCTCGACCGGACGAACATTTGAGGAACATTTAGTACTCGTTTCTTCCTTTGTCCCGTTCATCTTGGAAAAGAGGGAAAAACGGGATCAGCCGATGGGGGTACCAGAGGGACTCCGTTGGCAACTGACAAGTCAATCATACGATTGTCAACCTCCATTCCCCATAGTAATCACAATAGCCGAAACTTAAAATCCCTTTGGATGCTTTCCCTTATGAACTAAGCCATGGTTTGTTAGTTTCAAGGAGAAGAACGAAGAAGAACCTAAGGGTTCTTCCTTCCCTCAGTCTTGGCGGAATAGTCTAGACTAATACTATAATTACATCACGCATGAGAGAAAAAAAAACATCAGATCATGAATGAGTGGGTGGGTTCACGTGAAATACCACCTTGATGTTAGACTAGTGAATCAACTAGCAGCCCTGGGACCGTTGGAGGCAGGAGGACCGATTGACTCCATCGTAGTATAGACTACTAGCATCTATAGACCTAAATGATGAAAATGATGAAACTCAATAAGCAAACCACTTACAGGGCAGGGCCTAAGTCAATTCAACTAATCAAACGTCGCTGAAGAACAATCATTTCGTGATACAAGAGACCTCATTATACATTTACAAACAATCCACGTCCTATATATGTAAAAGCCTACCGGACCTTTTTCAACTTGTTCCGCTTGCGTCCTAACACGTCTCGGCCCTCCTCAATCTCCCCCGTGGCTTCTCGTTTGGCTTCTCCAACTTCCTTAAGCACGCCGCCGCGTACCACCCGTCCTTCGATACTGACTCCCTCCTCGCTCCATTCCTGCATCTGTTGCCCCACTCGTTCCTCAATTGCAAGAACCAGTTGCACATCACGCTGCCCAACGAGGGTAACCGCCTCACCGTACCGTCCCGCACGGGCGGTTCGACCGACACGGTGAACATAGTCGTCCGGATTCCGTGGTACGTCAAAATTGATCACCAGACTAACGGAGGGGATATCTAGACCACGGGATGCGACATCGGTCGCTACAAGGAGCCGAGCAGCGGAGGCCCGGAAACGCGCTAGGTTAGAGTTACGTTCGGACTGGGGCAGGAGACTATGGAGTGAGGTGACCCGATGAGACAGCCGGCGGAGCATCCGTTCCAGGAGATCGGCGGTCTTAGTGTGGTTGCAGAAAATTATAGCGGGCTTTGTGGCGTTGCTCTCCGTAGATAGAAGCACGTGCAAAAAGGCCTCGCGGTGTGTCATGGGAATCTTAAGATACGTTTGTTTGAGCGTTGGAGGTATAGTGCCCAGATTCTCGGTGGATATCTCAGTGACAAAGACCGGAGGTTTGTTCTCCGATCGAGGCATGGACTTGAGAGCGCGCACTTCGGGAGTCAGTGTCGCGGTGAACAGGAGCGTCTGACGTTCACTGGACGGAGGGAGAGTAGATAGACACGTTTCCACATCGGGAAGCATGCTTCCTGGTCCGGGTGCCAGAAGTCGATCGGCTTCATCAAGGACGACCATGCGGACACGCTTCAATCCGCGCACTGTATCTTCACCAGACGTATTGATGTGGTCCGCTAGTCGACCGGGAGTCGCTATCACAACATGGGGCCGCTGAGAGAGAGCAAGTGCTTGAGCTCGCATATCTGTGCCTCCAGTGATCAGAATCGGCTTCATGCTCTGAGGTGCCGAAATCGCCTTGATTTGTTCGTAGATCTGCAACGCAAGTTCTCTAAGAAGAATGTTCAGTATCGTAGCCCCCTAATGATTTTCAAGTTTAAACGACTGGCGACGTACCTTGTGGGAGTCAACACAACTGCAAAGATTCCAAACGGATCTTCCGCCCATTTCTGCAAGATAGGAACCGCAAAGGCGATCGTTTTTCCTGAACCTGTCCGACTTCCTCCAATACAGTCTCTTCCTTTTAGAATCTCAGGTATACAAGCTTTTTGAATGGCCGTGGGCTTTCTAACCGCCATAGTCGTCAAGGAACCGACCAACCACGGTGCCACTTTGAGTGCTTTGAACGATGACTCCTCATCCTGCAACCCAATCTCAAGAGCATCGCGAATCAAAACAGGGTTGTCATTGTCCGTTGTTGTGGCGGGTTTATCATCCTTTGCTTCCTTCTTTTTGATACGAGAGAGGGTGGGGAGCGGCGCCGGAGCAACATAGGAATCCACTGAAGACTCCGATAGACGTCTTCTTTTGGGGGCACGGTTCTGCAATTCCGTTTGCTCGACGTCTGAAGAGCCCGAGGACTCGTGGGAATCGTCCAATACCGGCTCCGGGGAGCGGGAGAGCGCCATTGTTAGTTGTTCAAATTCGTTGATGATTTTGAATGCTTCATGAAGTTCTTCCAAATTTTGCGGCAGAAAAAGTTGACCGCGTAAAGGCGGTGTATCAACACACCCGGACCAATCAAGTCCTTCTATCTGTATGCGATTGTGTATATTGATGCAGACGGAGACTTGTACACCACATTTGTGGTATTAGCAAAAAAAAAATGCCTTAAATTTTGCCTTAAGTCGTGATAAGGGCGCAAACCCATTCAGGTTTGCGTGTATTTTTCGGCAAACCAGGGTTTTTACATGGACGTTCGGTGAGATTGTTCAACAACATATGAGAGCTACACGAAAACCTGAACAACTTTCACTAAGCCTGAAGATCCACCCTTTTCTCAGCACAATATTTCATAGTCTATGCTTGGGATTGCATTCGAATCTATTCCTGTGAAATCAGATAGAAAACAAACCTCCTATGGCCTCCAAGAGAAGTTCCCCCAAACCAGCCCCAGTAATACGAAAAGCTCAGTGGCTAAGGTCTCGTCATCTATACACAACGCTGAATGTGGCATTCCGAGTTGCTAGGCAAATTGACCAAGATATATGGAGTAAAATGCACTTTTTGTTGTCAGGTATTACTAGTGATGCACGTTTGTGCATTCACAAGGACTCCCAGGTATCGTCTGCTTAGTTCAACTGCCTGTGCCATGGATGGTGCTAGGAGGATTAGCGCAAGGGCCGTACAAATTTCACATAATCCAGACTTTTTTATAATTGACGAGTTCCCTAAGACTCAAGGCCGCATCATTGGCCCTGATTTGCTTTTCGATCGGCATCGCATTAGACATGACTGACTTGATGTGGCTATTTTGAAAAACTGACTACTACAGAATAGACCCTTGACAATAAGAACAAGGTCAGAAGTGGTCTACTAGAGTCCATTTAAAGAACTGACCTTTCTATGAAAGTTCAACATCAATGCTTTTATATAGTGCCTCAGGCACTTCGCCATTATTCTTTCACCTATGATGTCACCTTGGACATTGGATGCATATTCATCTTTATAGCATGTGTACCATGGTTAGATGCTTCGGTCGATGTCTCTACTATCTATCCATGCATGTACGTCGAATGTATTCAATCTAATCAAGTAAAGCCGTGGCTGTGTAGACTCTTCATTTAGTCATACTTGTCCTGGTACATTAAGGAATTATCATAGGAGCTGGTTCTAGTAGCTTGTGAAAGATCCAGCTCTGAATATCGCAGCAAAATTTCTTATGTTAAAAGATCATATGTCACCATACAACCGCGCGAGGGCTGATATTAACGGTCGGTATGATCTTATCTTTGCGCATTTAAGCAAGAGTATAGCGCGAAGCTCAAAAAAAAAAAAAAAAAAAAAAAAAAAATAGCCTGGACTCAGATCCGCGATAGCTAGCGCAGTCTACACAGGTCCCTCCAGCTAAAGCTCGATGTACTTCGGTTTCATATCACTTGCAAGCGACAGCAATTCAATGCCGCGCGATCCTGCCTAAAGCGGCTGGTCGTGCTGTCTATCGTAAAGGTCCAGCATTTTTCAGAATAGAGACTATATTCACTGAGCACGAGTATAGAGAAATCTTTTTGTGGCAAATGCACATCCAACCTGTAAAGCCGGGGAAAACTGCTTAGTTCCATAAACACCTACCCGTGTGCCGTTTGAAAGCTGGGGGTCGACTAAGACAATATAATACACATCAAGGTCTCCCGAGAATTACAAAGCAACCTCAGTTTCTCATAGGAGATAGTTTCGTTATAAAAAGAAATTAAAGTATTCTAGAGGGGCTTTCCGGTGAACAAACGACAAGGAACGATCTTTGGACGCCTGAAGCCCCTCGATTTCGACATGACGAAGATACGGGCATGCCTGGACAAGGCCAAAACGACTGTCCCTGATTGTATTTCCTTTCACAACCAAAATCTTAATCAAGGCAGGTAGAGGTAGGTGATATTATGAAGGATGGATACAGGTAAGGACTCATATAATGAAGTGTCAGTCCTCAGAGACACAGTACCTCCAGATTGGGGAGTGATCCATGCTGCAGGGCATTGATGACAGCCTCTTCCAATCCTGTCGTCTCACCATGTCATACCTTCAGACATCATAAAGACAAAAGCCGTTCAAGGAAAGAGGCAAATTTTGTTTTAAGGTAGTTATGATACGCCTGGAAAGCCCCCGTCTCTAGAACACACCCAACCAGGAGGTTTTGCACGAAGCAGCCATATTCACTTTGACAGAGCTTTTCCAGTGCTCTGAGGTGCTAGATCACAGAAGAAGATCGATATTTCTCTTAGACCTGCATCAAACCGGCGAAATAGAAGACGAGACGCGCTCTGGTAGAATAACTCATTGACTAGTCGAAGGATTTTAAGGCTGCAGCGCATAAAGCAAAATCCGTCAGGCATAGTGTTTCGTAACCTCAATCGATATATCAGCCCTGATATTGTCAATGTCCTTTTAAGACGTACCTCGCCATATAGCTCCAAAGGAAGGGATGTGTTCCCAGAGAACTTGGTATTGTGGGTCATTGTGGACAGCTGATAGTTTTGACAAAGTCTCTGTCAGGGAAAGAGAAGAAAAGGATAAGGAAATGAAGAAGGGTAGAGAGTGTATGGCCAAACTTTGAAGAGACGAACTAAAAGGTATAAGGGATGAATCGCGGAATAGGTTACTCAAAACACGATCATCATTTGGTTCATACGTTTCCTTTCCGGACTAGGATGGACACTGAAAAGAGACAAGAAACATATCCTGCTAGGCTATCCTCATGATTCACTAAATCCCTAAATCTGAAAGCTATGTCGAACGGGAATCTGCGATAGAAGACTCTGTTTTACAGAAAACAATCGATGTAGACTATCTACTATACCCTAAATCTATCCAGGTGGACTTTACCGGAGGGATCTTCAAAGACACAGATTGTCCTCGGTGTATGTCTTCCTGCGCACTGATTCTACTTTACTCGAATTCACACCTGCAGCTCCGAGGATCAGCCACCTCTTTACCTGCTGTACTGGAAAGCACGTTGCAAGGGATTTCCAGCCGATAACAACATACATCTCTAGTGGGACACTGAACGCACATCGTAGCTGGCAAGGAAATAGAAAAAAGAAACATTCCAGACACTTACACGTAAATACGTCTGTGATTAGCAAACTACTAGGTGTCAAGGCGTGAAACCTCGGCAAACTACAGAATACAAAGGTTAGTAAACCGCTCCCTCTGCTCTTTAGCAAATTAAACCACACTCCACATATCCCTCCCCCCTTTTCACCTAGCATCAAACAATAAACGAGGTATGATAGCGCGACTCCTTAAGCAGGAGGGGGAGGAGGAGGTGGTTGATCACTCGGAGGCTATAACAAAGGTTAGCAAGACATTCGCCCAAACCACATGGGTCCTGGAAAACATACAGGAGGAGGTGGTCCGTCACCAGGGGGAGGAGGTGGTGGAGGAGGGCTACCACCGGAGCCGTAGTACATAGGAGGCATTCCTGGGGGAGGAGGAGGCGCTCCCATGCTCGCAGGAGCCCCAGGGGCTCCCATACCCGGAACAGGAGGAGCATATCCACCATAAGAGCCATAACCATACGCAGCCTGTCCGCCTGGGGGCGGGGGTGCGGCTTGTTGCTGCCAGGGTGCAGCACCAGGAGCTCCGTATCCGCCATGCGAACCATATCCATAATCCCCCCCGCGGCTCTGTGCCCATGGGGGTGCACTTCCATGGTCACGCGATCCGTAGTCATCACGGGACCTGTTGTCTCGACCTCTTTGCTGCCAAGGAGCCACATCACTAGGTGGCCCACGCTGCCAAGGCTTCGCATCTCGGTCGTCGTAACCCTGATCGGGGCCGGCTTCGATGCGGCGAGGGACATGGCCATCTTCACCTGGAGCTCCCCCAGATAATTCTTGCATGAGTTGCTATGAGCGGTGTCAGTATGCATAGGGCTGATGAACTCGAGGGTAGAATATGGCGCTTACCTCCATCTCACGATCAACAGCATCACCTCCACCAATAGCTCTACGGCTGCCACCGCCACCGTAACCACCATTGTTACGCCAGTCAGTGCCTCTCTGACGATCAGGACAATCACGAGCCATGTGCCCAGCGTTGCCACATACGCGACAAATGATGTTGGCGGTAAAGTTACGCTGTTCAGGACAGTCATACTTGCGATGTCCGATTTGACCGCCTAAACAAGTCAGGAAAGCCGAACAAGATCCAGTGCAAAAGATGTACTTACAGTTCTGACAAGCCTGATTCTCATCATCACGGAGGGTACCGTTGAGCGCGGCAAGTTCTCGAAGCTGATTCCGCTTGAGCTCGTTCTGACCCTCGGGAATCGAAGCAGCCTGGCAATATTCATTAGCAATCAACCTATTCAAAGGGGGCTGAGGAAAATGTACCGTCTCAATAACATTGTGCACCAGTTTCTTTGCCTTGTTAACTTTTTCTTCAGTGTCTGCCATGATCAAACAATGGAGGTCTTCCTCCTGATTGCTAGCGTGAGCGGCATCAGAACGCCCTTTTCCTTCCTTGACGGAGCCCTTGCCACGAATAGCAATCTTGGCACCGGATTCGGTTTCCATTTTCTTCAAGGTATTACCACGAGGACCTATGAGTAAGCCAACTTTAAAAGGTAGCAAAAAGCTAAGTGTTAGTTCACGCTGATATTAGAAATAAATGGGAGAGCAAAGATAAAATGTTCAACATCACGTAGCAAGGGTTAGCAAGAAGCGAGCCGAAAAGGCACCGACGGGCGATGTCTTTTTCAGAAGCCCGACTCGAGCAAAGAGTCATGGAGTACACAACACAGGAATGGTTAGGAGTTAGAGGGTTAGTTATCATACTGAAGTTAATCTCTGGATAGTCATTCACTGGGACGTAGACCTTCTCCTGGGTCTTGGTAGGACGTCTGTAGTCAGAAGGCGGGTGGTAGTTAGGAATGGTCTTCATGGCCTTCTCGACAAGCTTGTGGCGCTCATCTTCGAGGCGCTTCCGGTAGCGGTATTCTCTAGTGTTTACACGTCTGCCAAAGTTATCGTACTGCGGAGGAGGTGAAGGAGACCTACGTGTGGGATATGTGTTAGCTAAGTTTTAGATTCCGACCGCATTGAGTAGGAGCAAGGCGCGTACCTGTCACCATCCGCGGGAACCACATCGTTGATGCGAAGCTTTTGGCTGATCTCCTCAATACGGAGATGGAGCGTATATGCCTCGAGCTGCTCATTGGTGAAGTTCGCCATGATCATCGTGGGCAAGCCCATAAGACCAGCAGCCTTGTTCTCTTGCGCATCGCCCCAACGGTTGCGCTTTTTGCGCTTCTTGACACCGTCAACTGGAGGGTCAGCTAGAAAAGGTCAGTAAAATCTTCAACATGAACGATCAAGATCAGTATAAATTAGCATACATCGAACCGGACTTCTACCACGCTTGTGGTCTCCAAGAGACGAAGGAGTTGCTGTACGGCTATCCTCTTCCTCGGGATCATCACCACCAAACCGTCTCCGGCCTAGAGGGACATTGTTGGAGCCTGTGACTCCTTGGTTGCGCCAGGCCATCTTTTCTAGACTCACACTGCTAAATGAAGTTAATCTATTAACAGTGGCTATTATTGAAAAATGAAGATAATAATGAAGGTGAAAGTGAGGTGATATTAAAGTAAATTGCAGACGAGGTGGCAAGCTTTTGTATCCACGTGAGCACTAATGACTAAGCTACCGTCCCCCAAAAGAAGAGAGGCTGAGCTTGAACTTGAAAACAAATGAATGATCATTCACGACAAAGTTAACTGAAGTATATAATCATTGTACATGCAAGTCATGTCTTAAAAAAATTGTTCAAAAGCCATTTGGTTTACTGCTTAGCATCGGCCTTCATGCCCTGCAAAATCCAACTCCGGGCCTTGGCCGCCTCCTGCTCTATGAATTCCTTATCCTGCAAACGCTCCTTGATAGTATGACGCTCGGGAACATGGCGACCCTTTTCGACGCCGTCTCTCGCCGCCATACGCTCCTCCCACGCCTTCAAATGCGGGAATTCTCCAATATCAACACCGGCCCATCCAGCAGCCGCAACCCATCCCCAGTGCGAGATATCCGCAATCGTGATGTGGTCACCAACGAGGTATCCTGACTTGGAGCTAGCAAGGTGCTTATCGAGCACGCCGTACAACCGTCTCGTCTCGTTGGTATACCGGTTCACGCCGTACTGAATGTGCTCGGGTGCATAGCGCACGAAGTGGTTTGCCTGGCCTTGCATAGGGCCCACTCCAGCGTTCTGGAAGAACAACCAGCTGATCGTCTCGTAGTACTCACGGGTGCCCTTAGGGTAGGAAATCTTGTAGTCCTTGTCATATTGTTCGGCAAGGTAGGTGAGAATGCTGCCGGACTCGAACAGACGGATCTTCTGGCCATCGGTGAAGGTGTCGGTCAGGGCGGGAATACGGCCATTGGGGTTAATCTCAAGGAACCAGCTTGAGCGGAATTAGCATCCCTCCTTCAAATCCCGACTACGGGATAACATACGGCTCTTTCTGGGTGTTCTTGCTAATATCGATTTTCTCTACCTTGTAGGGAAGACTAAGTTTCACATTAACACCTCTTTGAATACAGTCAAGAGATCATAGCGGAAACGCACCCCAGCTCTTCTAGCGCAATGGAGATCTTGATTCCATTGGGAGTCTGAGTCGTATACAAGGTGATATCGGGTCGGCTCATCTTAGCTGAGTATTGGGAATGAAAACACCGTAGTTGCTGAAGAAGTGGCAAGTGGTATAGGCGACCGTAACGATAAGAAGTAGGAACTAATCGACGAGGAGAAACCGGAGGTCTGGTTGATATAAGAAACATACTCAAAAGAGACAATGACCCCGCGTCTTGATGATTAATAAATTGCGGAATGAATGATGCCACAAGTCCGTGCTGAGATCGAGCCCCACTCGGCCTTGATTTCTAAGCTGTCAGTTAACTCTCCGCTGAAACATTCCACTTGATCTAGCATCTTCTTTTTTTTTGAGGTCAGCGAATTACCAAGCGTTGCCGTGCCGTAATCAGAGAACTCTGTTATTCTAACTGACAAGGATAGCAGTCATGCACTGCGGAAAGCAAGTTACAGTAGAGTATGGATATATGCAAGGGTGGCCATAACCAGATTGTATATACTCTCATCACCACTAAAACATAACCTATAAACGAACCAAGATACATTTTTTGTTTTTATATATATACCCTAATAAAAGAATGCCTCACATACGTCTGCAAAAAGGTAGAGTTGATCGAGGCAGGAGTAAGAATGAACAGAGTTCGAAATTGAAATAGCCAACTCAGCCATCTCGCGCCTTTACCAGGTGAAACTCTCTTCGATGTAGTCGACCTGGGTTTGATACTGTCTCTTGCGGCAGACTCGTCGAACGTCATCACTCAGGCCACCATTTCCACATACATTCACACCCATCGCACCCACTTGATTCTCAACCTCCATTCCGATAAGAGTGTCGATATTTGGTCGGCCGGGGAACATCTGAACCGTGCTGCTTGGGCTCTGGATTTCCTTGGTGTTGCGAGGACGCGTGATAAACAACATGATCCGCAGAACTTCCCGGCGGCGATCCATGGCCAAGATACTGGTCATCCACGGGCGAATCCATTCGAGGTGTTCTGGAGATTGAATTATCCAGACCAAAGTCACGCGGCGAGCTGCAACAGTACCATCTGCGTATCCCTGGACGAGGTGGCGGACGAATGGTACTTGGTGGGTGATTCCGACACCACCGGCAATTAGAACAACCGTACCATAGGAATCCATAGAATGGATACTGCCATAGGGTCCTTCCGCGAAAGCTTGCAGGGTGACTCGGCTGTTCGGAGAGATCAGGGCCCGTTGGAACAGCTTGTTAGTGAAGCCGGTCCGGCGACGAACCAACAGAGACAAGCTAGTGTGCTTTTTACCGAACATGTCTTGCCGGGTCACCGGGAGTCCTTTCTCATCAGTAACCAGCTCTTCCGCTTCGCTCCAACCGACTGAGAATGGGTGTGACGACCAGAGTCCAATTCTAGGAATATACAAATAAATGTGCTGACCAGGCTTGAAAGTCCAAGGCCGCGCCATCTTCAATGTGATTCTCATGGCATCCCCAGGAAGGGCCTCCACCAATGCAGTAGTTGACTTTCTGCCACAGTTCCGGTACAGGAGTATCACAAATCGCGCAGCTCGCTCGAGGGCCCAGAAAACGATAGCAACGAGCAAGTATGTTTGCGCCGGAAGCCCGTTGAGATGGACCCACAGGAAGCCAAATGAGAGCGCGGCCATGATGATGTGCAGATTGAGGAAAGTCTCATAGAATGCATGACGAATGGGAGATGGTGAATGCACCATGAGCCCCACGAATGCGACCGTAGCCTGGAGCTAGGTTAGCATGAGATGTATTAGGGTCAAAATGATAGAATAACGTACAATCAAGCCGACTAAGAGGAAATTGCTACTTCCAAGAGCCTTCCCAACCGCACTCCAGCCAACTAAGCAATGATTAGCACCCCCAATTGACATCCTAGATTACAAAGTGTGGGAGACTTACTCTTCTGCGATTTAGGGATAGCCCAAGCGAAGACATGAGCAAGAGTCTCAAAAACAACGATTCGAGCAAGCCAGCGGTGGATCAGGTTGTAGGTGTCGAAGGGTACCCCGAGCAGTTTGATCAAGGGATTATTTCTCCCAGCCAGCAGCACAAGAGGAATCAAATTCACGGTGGCCATGGTACCAGTGCGGTTGCGGATGACACCAGAAACAGTATTCTCCTCCTTCTTGTATGGAACTGTCACAACGCAAACGACCACATTCATGGCGATGATTCCGATAAGGATAAAGGCATGGAAGCGACTAGGTAAGGTACCCATGTTAACAGCTCGCGACAACTGAAATTCCCGATTATGCCGAGTGCCAAACAATGGTGCATAGATGACATGGTTTTTCAAAAACGAGAGGGTCTCATGGGGTGAGAGGAAGTAACGTTGTCCCTCGTTATTGAAGCTCGCCAATCGTCTCATATGGTGGGAGATCCGGAACGCCATTTTCCAAACATATATGAATGCCGCCATCAGGCCGAGAACCATCAAAGTGATCCGGGCGAGGTCATCGTTAACTAACTCATAGATCGCCCAGTCACCACCACGTTTCTCCAGAACAGTTGCGGAAGAAAGTCCTACCAGGGACAAACAGTAAAGTAGGTGACTCATGGTTACCACAAGCCTTCCCTAAATGGGAGAAATTGCGAAAAGTGAGATGGAAAAAAAATGATGAAAAGGGTCACAGTCAACAAGCGGACTTCCTAGACGACTTGAAGATTGTATGCGAGACCAGCTCAGCCGATACCAGAAACCCGGGAAGAGAGTGATAAAGGAGAAAGCTCCAGCTAACTCGTCATGCAAGCTATTACGTGATGGTCGTACTCAACGAGAGATCCAGGTATTTAAGGTATGATGTTCCCTTTCTATGCTGAGGGAATGTATCAAGACAATGACCTTGTTGCCGGCACGGTATCCTCCCTTTCTGCAAGGTAGGCCGCTGAACAATGAAAGAACGACGTAGCGGAGACAACCCGGCTTTTTTTGAACCCAACGAATGGCGATGCCAGTAGAAGCGGGTATTTGAATGTTTGGATGCGGATCGCAAAGGTCGGCTGGCAACGAAAGGAATGTGAGATTGGGTGAACCAGTCACTTCTTGTTAGATTTTACAGCTGTCAAAAGGGAACAAAAACAGTAGCAAGAAACCCACAGGACTTCTGCCAAGAAGCGAAAAAAAAAAAATTTGGAAGGAAAACGATCAAACTGTTCACGAAAGGAGAGAAGGTAATAAGGAGAAGAAAACAGGTCAAGCCATTTCATTGCTAGGGATGGCGGGGACGGAGGAAAGGGAAATCTTTGGGAGGCATCTCTTGGGGGCCCACTATGGAGACGACATGATATCGATAGACTTCACGGTGCAGAGCAATGTGGTTGAGCCATGACGGTGTCCTTCCCTTTGGTGGGCGCAACGCCGCGACGATACTGTGGCGGCAAGGGCAGGGCGTCTTCTGAGTGGCTCCACGATGAAACAACGGGGTTGTAGGCGACGAGATCTTAGGGCTTGGCAGGCTTGCATTCGTCGGTACCTCTTGTACTAGTGGACCAATGTTAGCTAAGAATTGGTGCTAAATTAAACTTGTACCTGAATAGTCAAAAGTCTCGGTCCAGTTGAGAGGCAAAGGAGAAATAGGGTGGAGAGAGGAAGGGCGAGAGAGAAGAGTGGGTTTGGAGATTTTTTCTTTTTTTTCTTTTTTTCCTTTTTAATTTACTTCATGGTGCACAGCCTTCAAGAATAAAAATACGAAAGTAAAAATAAAAATCAAATCAATACTTACTAACGGGCGGATCGTCTGGTGATCATGAGAAGGAAGGGAGTGTTTGCAACAGTACAGTACTTAGTAAGTAGTCGTTTAAGTCACGGAACCTTATATTCAAACCCATACTATATATGTAGTACTACTATTTTGGACTCCTACCACCATGTCGTATCCCACTCATCCATGGTGACACTCCCACGTCGTACCTGCATCCTCACAGCCCGAATGCATGGAATTCCGTGTTACCTGCCCTATGCAAGTGTTATTGATCCATCACACTGATGAGAACTTAATCTACCGAAACACCTTCTCCGTCTTGGCACGCGGGAAATTGGAAAGGAAATCCCGAAAGTTGGTATATTAGCTCTTATTATTACTGATTACTCTACACACTACATTATTATACCGTTGATCCACTGTGAGACACTCAGGATTCCATAGTCTTGAGACATGCATAAGGAATGATAACTGCTGTGAGTTCAATCTAGGGTTACGGTACCATGGAAGAAAGAGGTACTTTGCTCAGGACCTTGGGTATGGAATGGAATCGGGGAGGTCCGGTACCACAGAATTCAATACCCAAAAAATGGGAGATCTTATCAACTCCCTCAAAGACCAAACAATGCCGTTCATTCTCAAGGAAAGAAAACCTCGATCATTTCTGTCATGAATGTTGAAATACATCAAAATTCAAATGGACACACCGGAGAATTCCCCAATCAGGAAATTGAAAGGAAAACCAGGACGAGTCATATCTCCCCATCTAGTCCCTACCCAACATTGTTAGCACGGAGTCTCTAGTCTTAGACATCATGTCCGAGCCCTTAATATACGGAATGCTCCATCCGCAAGGGCTCCAACGCCAGGTCAACAAGGCTCATCCACTGCGAAATTGTATCAAGTTAATTCATTTCTATCTTTGGCGCCAACTAGTCTAGGCTAATTCAACATCGTGAAATTAAAAAAGCGTACCCAAAACGACCCACCCAAACCAAACATCCCACGAATGCCCGGGTATCATTTACTATCAGATAAAAGCTCCAAAGAAACACCAAAGAAAAAGAGAGACTGAGAAAGGAAAAACCTGAAACGTGTCGTTAAGTTCGGCAGACCAAAAAGAAAGCGTGGTGGAAATGCCAATGACAAAAGGAACGATAACCAAGAAGTGTCTAAAAAAATCGGATTCCTCACACCTCCGGGAGGACTACGGCCAAATCAAAAAGAAATGCTCTCAGAGAAAACTCAGTTCGTCGTCACTATCGTCATCTTGTGAGCAAGGTATGGTGCGTCTGTTGGCAACAGAGGCGATGAATGGCTGTTTGCAAGCCTGGGGATACGCTGAGAAGGATTTTCTGCGACTCGAGCTAACGGTAGGTTGCGGGTGACATCTGCTAGTAGTCATTGAGTCTAAGGCTGAAATGTTCTTATTGACAATGACAACCTCTACCTTGGTGAACCTGTTCGGGACTTTCGGTTGGACCAATTCCTTGAGGGCCCCACGCGCAGCCCTGGTCCGGGCGGCTATCGGTGATTCTTCAAACAGGAGGTCGGGCGCCACCGGCGAATCACTGGTTTGGCTTTCCACAGGACTCGAGCGAAGCCTTTTACTCGGTTTAGAGCCTAAACTAGGGCCCGTGCAAGTTCTTTTATTTGAGACGGATGGCGCAGATGATGTTACACTGGAAGCAGCATCACTCGACGGGCTAGAACTGGCCGATATACAACTCGTCGAGCACGCGATCGTTGCCGGTTGCTGTAACCTCGTGGGATTGGATTTCGAGGTGAAATTCCACTGTGTAGATTTGGCTTTGGCTGCAGGCGTGCTGGCCACCCACTCACCAATGCTTTCTTCCCACCGGTACAACCCAATGCTATCATCCAGGTCTTCCCTACTAGATGTAGGCCACTGTTTCATATCCTGGCCTTGCTGGAAGAGAATCGCTTTCTCTTGGACTTCAACCGCCCAGGTATGATCATCAGCATCCAGGGTAGACTCAGCCAGCCCCATGGCGGTTTCTGCCGCCACCTTCAACAGGAATAAAGAGTATCCATGAAGACTCGTTAATCCAGCAAGCTGTGAGACTATGGACCGGGTCCCTGGGGATATCCTGGTTCGGTCGCTCTTGCGCCTGCGCTCGTAGAACTGAACAACCTGCCGAGCCAGCTCCGCCAATTCTTTGATTGATTCTTGCTGAGAAGCTAATGATATGAAGAAATTCTCCATGTTTCTTCTTGAAATCGAGTTCGACGGACAGACGGGTTCCAACGGCCCTGGCTCGCTGCATTGTAGCATACAGTTACCTACTAAGATAAACCCACGGCGTAATGATTGAAAAGTTATCTTCTCTGTCTGCCACGACCGTCCCAAGCCAGTAGCCCGCTGAGCGGTGCAGGCTAGATGTCTCAGTGTGTTTCTGACTTTCACGCCGACCACCTTGTCGCTATCGCTTGCGGATTGCGATCGTGCGATATACATTCCACACAGCACAGTAATAAGACTTGAAGTGAGATTGTTCAAGGCATCTTGAATTGGCACAGGACACGGTGACTGGCCTTCGAGGGAATTTGGTGTATTCGATGCGGAAGCACGAGTGTCCCTCAGACGGCCACGTAGTGCATTAGTACTGTTCCCACGAGAAACAAGCACGTCTGAGACCCGGTAAATCCCACTCGCTGAAAGTATCACGGCTTCAATCAACCGTGTCGCAGAAGCTGAATTAAGACACTCTGCGGATAGTGATTTGATAGCCCCATCTACACAGCGTTTCCACAAATTAGTAACCATCCATTCTGGAGGCATGGCTCCGCGTAAAAGGAGTTTTGCTACCTCCTCAAAAACGAACGAACAGCTTCCGATGGACTTTGAATAATAGGCGCCAAGAGTACGGATAGGATCATCACAATAAACGGATAACCTGTGCGGATCGAACGCTGTGGGGTTATCATATGTGTTAATGGTTGTGAGCTGTTTAGACAGTAGTAGTTCAAAGGCGTCAAATTCACCATGGCTCACGCATTCCTCCAGAAGTCGACAGGCGGCGAGCTTAGTGATCCACCCCTTGTGTATCATCTCCGAGACTAGATAGATACCCTGAGCACGCACGGCTTCGCGGAGTGGCGACCATCCACTGCCACCCGGTGCGTAATGGGCCTCAAGCTCTGTAAAATATGCATCACACATGTCCACATCACATTCCTCATCCATTTCATCCTGTATCCTTTGTTCTTCTGCTATGAATTCCGGAAGACGTCGCGCGGCCATGGACAACAAAGACCGAGCTCCCTGGCCTTGTTGTTGGTTTTGCGATAATGCTGGAGTTTTCCGCGTCTTACTCAGGAATTTGATGAATATGCGATCCAAAAAGTGTGCGATATCCACAAGACCCGCATCCCCTGAAAGGTGGAGTACCTCCTTCCACGACCCCTGGTAAGCAGAGTAACTACTATTGTTCGTTCGCGTTGCCCTGCGTTGATCGCTCGTTCCAATATTATCTGTGAGTAAAGCATTTCGAAAAAGCTGTTTCCTAATTGAAGTCGATTCCACGGGCTGCTTCATTTTGCCGGTAATGAGGGGAGTCGCAATCTCGATCGCACCGGGTAAAGTTCTCCGTCGTTCAGGGCTGTGAATTGACAGCCTGCTGCGTCTTCGTGTCCCATTCTTTCGTCCTCTACCCGAGTAGTTATGTCGTATTCGTCGTTTGATCGGCCTTCCAGGGACCCAGGCGGGATCGCCAGGTTCTTCGTCCGAGTAGGAGCAGCCTTCCTCAGCACTATTCACCCGAGCGGATCGAATACGCCTAGTAGCTCCTGCATCACCACTTTCCTTGAGTTTCGAATGCGCGACACTCAGAAGGATCTCGTTATGTTTTTCTAGTCGATGATAGATAGAACTTAAAGGCCGCAACAAGCGATTTGCCCATTTCGCGGTCGGTCGTATATCTTCCATGTTGCACCTATGGATCCGCTGAGTACCTAGTTTAACCGTTTGCTTGGAAGTCGATCCAACTATCGATTTATCGAACGGGTCTCATTGTTTATCCATATTGATGTTGTTTGCTTGCAATACAGTTGCTCTAGGACATCAAATTCATCAGGAACAGTCTAAGAAAGGGGTAAATTGGAAAGTCAATGGAATATAATGGGATATGATATAACCAAAATATACAATGAGTAAGTGGCTAAGGGGCCTATGGTCTGGTCGGAGGTGCAGCTATAATGATCAAAAGGCGTAAACGTTGGGATGGGACCGAATTTAAGGGTTCCCAGAGCGGTAAAGTGCCGGTCACTAATGTAGCTACCGGAACAACAATCTTCCCACCTGAATGTCCAATACCTCAATCTAATAACTACAGGAGAACTCAGTGATACAAGCACTGGAAATGCATAATTTCATTATATATGCATGTTTAAGACACTCGTTATCATATATGGTACATAGAACACATCACAGGATAGCATGCAAATCACTCGAGCTTGCTATGTGCTGCTCGGTGAGGGTTGAATCATGCCAGAGAACAAAAGCCATGAAACACCGAACGGTGAAAGAGAGTAGAGAGGTTTCTAAAAAAAAAAAATAATAGTATAATCAAGTATCCCGCTCATCCGACGTTTCCCGCTCCTATAGAATGACGTTCATATATAGTACTCTTAACACAGGTAGGGCATAAAAGTAAAAGGTCAAGAAAGGAACCGGTAGATTTTTTTACCAAAAGAGAAGAATTAAAGAAATGTTCAAGCCGACGACTTCTTCGAGCCACGCAGCTTGGGGTTGCTAGCTGCGGCACGCTTCTTCTGCTTAGACCGCGAAGAAGAGCTGGTATCGCCACCTTCGATAAACTTCAGCAGTTCATCAATGCTCCGAGAGTCCAGCGAAGAGTTGCCTGCAGAGGCTCCAGATGACGAAGGTGCAGCCTGGCCGACCTGAGGCTGGACCTTAGTACCAAGAGTACGGGTGTTCATGTTGATACGGCGCAGTCGGCGAGCCTGAATATCCTTGGCGTGCTTGGCGATAGAAACCGCATTCTGGGTGAGCTGCTCCAGCCATGTCTCCGCTTCCTTAGTATTGCGGTCATCGGGACCCAGTTGGCTGAGGAAAATGTTGTAAGCATCACGCATCTTGCCAACGGCTCCCTTGGAGTCTTGATCAAGTGCAAGCGCCTGTGCCAGCTGGAACAAGATGGTTGCAGTGTTGATAGATTGCTTGCCAAAGAGTGACTCGCACACAGACAATGAAGCCTCGAACCATTTCCGAGAGTCCGAGTATTGCTTGAGGTGCTGGAGCATCACAGCTGCGTTGTTCATGGTGGTGATGGAATCAGGGTGATTTGATCCGTAAATAATCTTCCACAGATCCATAGCGTGCTTGATGTAGACCAAAGCAGTCTTAGTGTTTCCAGAAGCATGCTCGAACAGACTAAGGTTGAGGTAGCTCAAGATGGTGTCAGCCGAATCAACACCGAGGGTGCGCTCAGTGACTATGACGGCCTTCCGAGCCAGTTCCACAGCAGCCTCCTTCTCATCAGTCTGGTAGTAAAGCATGGACAGTTGGTGGTACAGCTTGGCAACTTCTGGGTGGAGGATGCCGTAGATCTGCTCGTGCAGAGACAGGGATTCCAAGATGAGTTCCTGGCCTAACTGCTTCTGGTTCTGCATAAGAGAGATACGTCCGGCTTCCAGTGCCTCTTCGGCAAGGGAACTTCTAGGGGAAGCATCCTTAACCAGAGGTACAATGTTGAGGATATCGTCTGGAACGATAGAAACAGCGGGCTTCTCCTGAGCGGGTGCACGAGCCGGAGAGTTGGAGTTGCCGCCCTTCTTTTTCTTCTTCCTGCCTTCGTCTTGGCTAGAGTCGTTGGCACCATTAGTAGGAGGCACCTTGGCGGGCAGCTGAGACTTAGCAAAAGCATAATCACGGGCGCCAAGCTGGAGACCGAGCTTGATTGAGATATCACGAAGGAGTTGCAGATGTCTCAATGAATTGAACCACTCAGATTCAAGGGTGAAACGATACCGGGTAGCAACTTGCTTCTCAATCTCAGCCCGCAGGGTTGCTGGAGTAACCTTCTCGAAAGAGAAGTCGGCCTCGGGATAAATTTTCCGCAGCGACGCGTCGATGTCAGCTTGAGGGTTAGAGTTGACATCGGCACCAAGGAGGCAGTTCAGCAGGTGGGCAATGCATGAGGCAGTGAACGGGGCCGACACGTTGCGCAAGTACTGGTTTGCAATGTGCTTGAAGCCACGGGCAATCATTTCCTGTACAAGCAGGATGGTTAAAGCATCCAGACGGGCACCCTTCTCTTTAGACATCCGTGCCAACTTGCCGAGGTAGCGGATGTTGATACCACGCTTGTGCAGAAGTTGACCAAGAGACTGTCCGTCCATCGGGAAGCCGACATCTCCATCGTGAAGATCCTGAATCAGCTCAGGCATCACCTTAGACCGCAGGAAGTCGCAAGTCTCTCGAACTTCCTTCTCGTCCTGAGCCCACTGCTCCTTCTCTTCATCAGTCTGAGGGATCTGACCGCTGCAGACATCAGGGTTCAGCGCGAGAGAGAATCCAGAAATGTCAACCCGCTCCTGGTCCGCTGCCTCCTCACTCTTCTCTTCGGAGCCCTGCTCCTTGGATTCAGCATCTTCAGATTTCTCCTTGGAAGCGGCTTCCTCAGCCTTGGCGCTACGGCGACGTTCAACCTCGGCCTTCACGTATTGGCTCATCTTGTGCCTCCAGTAGGACTCAACAAGCTCCAACCTCAAAACTGACATGCGATGGGGGTAGACATCGCTGCCTTCTTCTTCCTGCCAAGTGACATCCAGAGGGGCGACGCGGTAAAGATCAAGCACATATTTCCTGCCATCGGTTCCAAGCAAGCCCTTGGTTTCAACACTGCCTTCAAGATCATGACGTTTTCCGTCTTTATCCCAAACAGCGTGCTTCTTGATCCGAAGGGCCTTGGACAGTTTCTCGAAAACTGGCACAAAGTCGGGGTGGGTGGCCACGACATCCTTGCCTTCAACACCACCGTAATCAATCTGGTGCTCTCCAGGTTCGCGCTGCTTGAAGATACCAGGCACAATACTCTGACCAACAATACGTTTTCCAAGGTAGTCCACAACTACGGTTCCAGGGGTGAACAGACCGTTGATGTCCAGCTGGTTAACTGCCTTGATTCCTACAACATCCTTACCGACAGCTACACGAGCAGCTTCGTCTCCACCCTCGGAGGCAAAGGTGCCGACACCGTCAGCGCCGAAGGAATAGAAGATGTTGTTGTACACAAAGATCTGGGCGTCACGACCCTCTGTGGGGTTGAGGGGAGCCACCTCACCCTTGGCAACCAAAACGGCACCGCGGGCCGCAGCCTCATTATAATCAGCGAACAACTTAGATGTCAGGCGCTCCCGGAAAACTCGGTCCTGAACGGTATCGCGAGGCAACTCCCGCGTGGTCTGGAATTCCTCGTTCCAGTCTCGCAAGGTTTCCGCATTGTCGACACCCGATATCAAATAGTTCTCCTGCGACCGTGTGATATCAGGCTGGTGGGCATTTACATTGGATGAAGGGGGAGCAACGAGCCATGGGCTGTTAGGGATGGCGTTCTGGAAAGGGAAGGTAGTAAGGAGATCCTTCTTGTTATTGGCCTCTTGCAGAGCTTCGAAAGAGGCGTTGAAAGAAGGAGACAGGTAAGAGATCAAGGTAAGAAGAGAGTGGGCGCTTCCTTTCTTAGGCATAGGCTTCGGGAAAGGATCGAACCTGGCATTAGAGCACTTGTTCACGAAGAAGCCAGAAACGTGAGAAGTGATCTGGAATTGCTCGCCCTCGTTGGTAATGACCTGGAGATACAGCAGGTGTCCCTTCTGGCGGAGATGATAAGGGACAGGGTTCCATGGGGATAGCGAAATCGACTTGACAGTCTTAGGGAGAGGAGCCTCTGCTCTGGGGAGGATGGTCTTCAGAGCCGGTGCGCCGGCAATGTCGTATTTGGACAACGAATGGTCCTTATCAGCGGTTTCACCATCAGCCGCCTCGGCGGAGATAGAATCGTGCAGTGAAAGGCCAGCGCTAATACCTTGGAGGTTGTCGACACGGTCGCCTGCAGCTCCGACCAGCTCTCTCATTCGGACAACGTGCATGCGAGATTCCTTCTCGGTGTATGGGTCTTCCACAAGAATAATTTCCGAATCGGCCTTCAAATCGGGGACCTCGGAGAGCTCAACAAAGTCGTTGATGCGCTTGCCGTTGAACTCCAGGTGGAAGCAAGTATACTGGAAGGTGCTGGGAAGCTCGACAATTGACTGTCGGACATCCTGGACTTGCTCCTGGCTTGACACCTGCGGAGGGACAGAACAGTTAGGCAATCCGTGCAGGTCTATCTTTATTTAGACGATAACTGGTCAAACACCCACCATCACCTGAATCTTATAGGGCTCATGAGGAAGCTTAACGGAGATCTGGAAAAGGCCTTTCAATTCAAACGACCAGGGTTAGCCCGAAAGCGATCACCAAAATAAATAAGAAAACACTCCCCAGTGTGGAATAGCATACCTCCGTTCTGCTCCTCTTCCTGAGCTCCCTCGGGGTGGTTTCCATTGGTGAGCTGTTCTGGAGACTCTGTTACAAGCGTTAGTTTAAGACATTCTCCGCACCGTGAATTTTCAATGACACAAATGAACACATGCCTTTCGAGTGCTCCAACTCGCCATTGGTCTGCGCCATTATAATCGATTGATTAGGAGGGAAAGCGAATTTTAAAGGAAGATGAACCTGAAGCTAACTGTCCAGAAGCTCCAGACCCAGTTGGGAAACGGAATTAAGAAAAATGGCGGCGTCGGGGAAGAATGGAGAGTGAAAAAAAAAATCAAAAAAGTTATGATATACAAGTACAAGGGCAATTGAATATAGTAAAAGCAAACCCCGTACCCAGACAAATGAAGGGAAACAGAACAATGCCCCAAATACGGAAAATAATGACAGGATGCAAAAAGGTTGAAGCTGGAGAAAGCAATGGGGAAGCCGGGCAAGAGAAAATTTCGCGAATGCGGAATACCCTCGGAAGTGCTCGGGGCGGAAGAATGGGTATGGTAATAGAATTACATTGGGAAAAGACAGAGCATCAAAATCTCCACACAACCATGTTTTTTAACCCTCAATTGAACGATATCCACTCTTGGTACGGAGTATCTTTCCTTGTCATGAGTAATGCAATTTATCAATTGACTCGACCCCGGATATCGCTTCCCTTGCTACCCTGTTCTGTGCCAATTGTCCTATGCGTATGGAAAGCATCGATATTCGAATGGTATGTTCCGTATCCATGGACCGTTTGTCTTCCACAACTCTCTATCTTGTATACCACAGTATCCATAGATCCTTCTTCTGAGATTTCCCCGGGGTGTCTGAAATAGGTATGAAACGAATGTAATGAAGTTAGACTGTACTACGTATGTATCTAACCATCGCCAGTCCGAGTACCAGAACCCGAGACATGATGGGTCTTGAGTACTAGTATGTACAACTCATATCTACTACAGGTGTCATCACTCGAAGCATGGACGGACTTAAAATACCTTTTCCGGTAGAAATGAGGGCTTACCAGCTCTTCGGCAGAGTTTGCCGTGTCGAGTTCAGCCACACTTCTCAACAAACTGGAGCCCGTGCCAAGCCACAACCGATCTTCATGCGATCGAGGCGCAGCATCGTCGGAGAATATCTTTGTCTGGAAATGGAAGAATTGGGTCTAAGCGTAACACCACACCTTTTTTTTGTCTTGGGCTGTCGTTTCTCTCTTTCTCTGATCCAATTCCCACTGGTTGACACTCCTTAAATCACCATCCTTATCAGGCGCTCGCTAGCGGGGGTGCAACTGGTGTTGATTGTTTACTCGCCACGCCTCCTTTTCATGTATTCACTACGTCATTTTTTCCCCTGCATTATAGTCGACAATTCGCAATTTGGTTTATTTTTTTTATAATATTTTCGGTTCTGATCTTGTTAATTTACTTTAGCCTGGATAAATTCTTTTCATTTTTTTGAGGAGAGGGGAAATTCCGTTGTATTGGTACAATTAGTGCCATTTGTTCAATCTGCGGTACCATGTATCGAAATATTCCACGATCCTTGCCAATATTCTCTTCGGGCCGCATATGCCTGTCGAGGCCGTTGGGGCTTAACCGAGTAGCTCTATATCGGTCAGGATTACATTTTTCACAGGGCTCCTTCCAGGCTGCCCCAAACCCCCTAGAACAAGATGCAGGCGATGAAGGATCTCGAACAAACAACTCGGAACCAAATTTTAGATCAACTATTCTGAAAATGCTAGAGACAGCTGCCACCACTTTTGCTTCAATTGCTGTTCTAGGGTATGTGGCTCTAACGGTCTCCCGTTGTGCGCTTCTTTACTTGCTGACTGATCCCTAGCGCCGCTGGCTACTCATACCATCGGTACTACAAGTACCTCATCTTAGAGAAGATGGAGAACGCCTTCAAACCGGGTGACCCAGCACTCGAAGTTGCCGGGGTAGAAGCAGGCAAGCATCAGTACCATCATGAGGAGCATTGGGTTGTCCGCGATGAACAACCTAGAATTGATCGAATCATCAAGGGTGGCGCGGGAGGTCGTTATTTCTTGCTCATTGGAGAGAAGGGCACTGGAAAGACGTCTATGCTTCTTGAAGCGATGCGTAAAATCGATGGGGAGGGCTGCGCTATGTTTGAAGCCCATGGCGACCTCGAAATCTTTCGGATCAGACTAGGGAAAGCGTTGGATTATGAGTTCCACGAAGAGTAGGTTACTTTTGGGTACTCCATTCCGCAACAGAACTAACAGGTGATGCCAGCTACATTGGAAGTCTTTTCAGCATTAAGGGTCCTCGAGATACCACACCACTCTTAGATATTGAGCGCGCATTTAACAAGTTAGAGAAGGTGGCTCTGACGCGAAGACGCCAGGGCTTGCCCGCTTTGATATTAATCATTAATAGTACCCACTTGGTTCGAGACGACCATGACGGTCAGGATCTGCTGGAAATGATTCAGCAACGGGCGGAGCAATGGGCAGCTAGCAATTTGGTGACGACTGGTAAGCTATACTTTCCCTCTCCATCCGTAATCTATGCTCTAACGTCACATAAAATCAAAGTTCTTAACAGTGATGATTACTGGGTATACGAACGCCTTAAGCGATACGCAACCAGAATGGAAGTTATTCCCGTTTCGGATCTGCCCAAGGGACGGGCGATGGATGCCCTACGGAGGTACCGTAGACAGTACTTTGGTGAGGAACTATCTCACGAAACCCTTGAGGAAATCTATGATAAAGTTGGCGGGCGTTTGTCCTACCTAAACCGGGTTGCAAAGGCCAAAGACTATATGAAACTCTGTGATAGCATATGCGAGGCCGAAAAGAAGTGGTTTCTTAACAAGTGCTGGATCCTTGGGCCGGAAATGGACGACGACGTCATGGATGAGCAGAAGTACTCAGTAAGTACAACAAGTGCCTCGAAATATCATGAACATGTCACTAAGCCAGTAACAGTCTGCCGCTATGGTTCTCGCTAAAGCACTTGTCGACAAGGAAAAAGAAATGGAGAAAATATATGATCCCGAGAGAGGCCATATTCTTCCGGAGATTCCTCTGCATAAGGCACGGGAGATTATGACGAGAGCGGACTTTATCCAAAGTTATGATCATGATAATATCTTTACAATTGACTCTCGGGCTATGGTCCGGGCCGATTCAGTCCCCATGCAGAGAGCTTTCCGAGACATATGCGCATTTGAAAAGTTTGATGAGCATCTGGAGGGCACTCTGGAGCGTATTGGCGATATTGAGAGTCTTGGGCGGACCCGCGAGCTCACGATCAAGGATCTCTGGAATCAGGGTAAATATCAGCTTACCATGCGGGATCAGAAGGGTCATGGCAATGGTGTCGTTGAATTCTCGGCGGTAGAGGGTCAGAAGGAGGAGGATGACGACTGACGTTTAGAGCTCCAGTGGTCAAGTGATTATGAACTATTGAGAAGTACATCTGTATCCATCCCATTCCAGATATAGTAACTAGCCTGTCTGTACAGTCAAGATGAACATATGAAATCATGCACCTGATAGTCAAGATAACCTTACAGTAGTCGGGATGCGAGGGTTCTGATTGGTGGATGCTTCAGAAGTGCGGTGACATCATCACCATCTCACCGCCCACCAGAAATTCCTCCCCAGCCTCCATGAATATAGCATTGATCTCTTCTCCACCTTCATTTCTCATGTTACCTTTCAAGTCCGCCAATATTGCCACCGTTACCGCATAATACATACTCCAGCAATGTCTCCTCGCAAGAAGGAAGTGCTATCAGTTGTAACAGCGACTGCAGATAGCGGCGCAGAAGAGCCTGAGAGCAGGTTGCGCCAGAAGACTCGGTTAGAACGGATTCCCCAGCCAGCGCGGTTTGTCCTCGTCGTTCTCAGTAGCCTGGCACTGAGTGCTGGATTCTTCAGTCTTACGTCTGGAGCTACCCTTGGTGAACTGGGAGGTGTGAGCAGGCATCTTGAAGCATGGTGGGAAGTGGGGGGTCTTACAGTCTGGAAGGGAGTGGAGGTTGGGGTTGCTTGGGTCTTGGGCTTTGATGGTGAGTTAAGTTGGAAATTTTTGAATGGCTTTAGGGTCCTTGTATCCAGGAATATCTGACAAGTCCCTACAGGGCGGGATGTATCATCTTTCATCTTCCTCACTCACCTCCCCACCTACGCACTTCTGGCTTCTTTCTACAACATCCGTCCCACCACGGTGTTGATCTCCTACGCAATCATCTTATTCTCGACTTCAGTCCCCTTCGTACTCCTGCGCAAGCCGAATTCCGTGCACGACCTGTCGCATGCACCCTCCGATGCAGTCAACAACCGCTCGATCCTTCTAGACCGCGCAACAACTCTCTACACCACTATCGCTGCGACCTCCATCCTCACAGTCGTCTTATACATGAGCTACGCAACCTGGCTCCCAACACAGCTAGTCCTTCACTTTCAAAACATCCCCGACATTAGCGCCGTCCACGCTGGCCCCGCGGGTCTCCCAACCCTCTTCCTCGCCCTCCTCCCTGCCGGCTGGGCGGCGAGGGATTTCCTCTTCGTCAGCTCGGCTGGTGCGGCATCAACTAAGAAGGTCGACACGACTGAGAAGAGCGCCTCATCGCACGAAGGCGAGTATCTTGCTTGTGCAATCTATCGAAAGACATGGGGCGCACTGTCACCCAAGATGAAAGTCCTTACCTCGCGAACAGTTCTCCTTGCTGCCATGTTGGTCGCCAATACCGTCGTCCAGTTAGCAGGGACAGTCGAAGGAATCAGCATCGAGGGCGCATCAGCTTGGGGCTCTGTCTGGGCCGTCGGGGTCTTGGCCGTGGGTACAACTTTTGGTTGGATCGAGTCGGTTGACGGCGTATAATTCCTCAACTGGTGGCGCTGAATCAAACGCGTGATGTGTGACCAAGATGAGAAGTACTTTGTTTATTCTCTTCCTTTATGATCTGGTGAGGATGCAGTACTATGTGTTATGACAACTTTTGCCTGTGATGTTTAGCTGGGCGCTTCGGGTTATATCCGAGTCCTGTAATCATGTTTTCTCTTGATCTTGATGGTTCCTGTTTCTAGCTTTGGCCTTGGTCGATCGCCGTTACGTCTCCAGTCGATATCATATTTTCTTCTCTGTTTTTGTAATTGATGGCTTTGTGAAATTTACCTGAAAGTGTGTGCTAAGCAGGTTACCTCTTCCTCCCTTATATATTGAAACATTATCTTTATTACTTTTGAAAATCTAAAATCTAAGATCTAAACGCTAAGGCCAACGAACAGTTCCGACTCCAACAAAATAGAAGAAAAATAGAAGAAAAAAATGAAAAAGAAAAAGAAAGGAGAGATCAGAAAAAAAGCGCGGAAGGAAAAGCAAGACTTCACCGAAGTTCAGTAGCATGGCCATATCCATCCTCCGACATGATCTCCCGATCATACTGCATCGCTTTATTACTAGGCATCAGCCAGCCAGGATGGAAGATATTGAACACGCCAACAGAAGCCACCATCATTGCGCCATCGAGCGCAATGAAGTACTTCTCCCTGGTGATGAGGTATCCGGTCCAGCCCTGCGACAACTCGATGGTACGATAGATACTTCGAACATATATGCAGAGCACGGAGAACACCATGGCACCGAAAAGGGGGGTGATGGACCCGCTCATTGTTTGCAAAAGTCGACGACGGAGAACCCGGCGGACGAAATCGGCGGCGCAAGCGACAAAGACGGTAATCGAGAACATCTGAAAGACAATACCGGCGACCATGATGTGGGTTCCTGGGGCTGTGTCGCCATTTTCCTTGTTCACTTCTATGGAAGCCATGCCGCCGCCGATGGCTTGGATGACGAGCGAGATGACGTCGCAGGTGCAGAAGATCCAGAGGTACATTTTAGGGCTAAGGATGGAGGACTCGCGGCCAAGAAGTTGGATGAACCGGCCAAGGAGGACGTAGATGCCTGCCGTGAAGAATGTGGGAGCTAGATCGACGGTTGATTAGTTCTTTTCCTGAGGATGGTGTAGATTGTTCGCCGGCTCTGCGTTGGTTCCTTACCAATGATCAAGGTAGAAATTTGCATCAGGAAGGCAGTCATGTTGTAGGGACATTCTGCAGACCATGTACGTCCAGCCCAACCCAGGACCTCCGCTGTATTAGAGCAATAATTAGAATGTTAAATTGATTGTATGACAGCCAATAGAGCGCTACATACTCAGACACCCAATACTAAAGACAGCGCACCACCAAACTCTTTTCCAAGTAAACTGAACTGTGTGTATGATCATCGAGAGGCCAAAGAGAACGAGAAATACGACGCCAGCAGCCAGCGACGGCTTATATCCGTACGCAGTGTCCAGGCCATCTATGAGACTATGGCAGCTTCTCGACAGCTGTTGTTTAAATTCAAAGTCTTGATCGGCCGACGGCATATTGAAGATAGGTCCGAGGCTTTTGCAGTTCCAGGGTTAAATGCTAGAGCACCAGTGGTAATCAGGCCTGATTGATATCGGGCAAATGGTAACGGGGGAAGAAAAGATCAATGCAAAAGCCGAGATATCTTATACTGTCAGATCAAGCGATCAGGCAGCGGCCAAGCTATACTTCCGAATACTAGAGAAACAGGTAAAAGAGTGGCTGAGCAAGTCGCTCGTTTAATATGGGCTATGAGGGAACAAGAAGCGAGACAAGTCACACAAGATACATCCCTTGGTGTGAAAATCTTCAAACTCCTACAGGGCCATAGTCTCAAAATCGGGTTTCGGACAGTTCCAAAAGCCCACGCTCTCGCATTTGACGTAAAGGTGGGCCACCCGTTGCGAGGCGGCTTCTGATTGCTCCCCATAGATGGTCTTTTTATTCGGGCCGCTTGTACGAACAACTTCATTCGGTAGACTGGTAGAAAGGCTCCAATATGTTCTGTCGGAGTTCCGCCCTGTGCCTGAAAGTACTCGCAAGGTCCGCCATTTTGGGTTTAGGGTATCTCGTAAGAGTTTCATGGCAACGTCGGAGATAACATCCATTGCCCGTGCTTCTCCAGTACATGCAGTCATATTGTTGGATCGTGGCGCTTGCATCAGATCCTTCAGTTAGATGGAATTTAAAGTCGAATGTGTATTTCGTAACTGAGGCTGAATTACGTAGGCCATAGCTCTGTCTCAACGGCGGCCGTTGACCTTAGTACTAGACTGACCGACGTATCAACCAGCGTGAAGCTGTGCGCTGGATATTGATAAGGAAGCCGGTATCTCATTCTGGCATCGTGTTCATAATCCCCTAATATCAGAAGGGGTAACGGTGGAATAGAAGAGAGGTGAGGTATATCATTGTGATCTCCCGAGCATCTTCTAAGGAATAGTTGAAATCAACTCCCGGCAGTTTCCCGAGCATATCAGCGCTAAGCTAAGCCGTATTTGGGCTGCCAATCACGGAATTACGGAGAAGCTTGCTGTGGGCAGTCGTTTCTTGGCATGCAAACCTTTATCAATCTAACCAGATTAGGAGAACCTTGAGAGAAGCTGAGCTCAGCTTACTAAGAAAGGTATGCACTTAGTTAGGTTGAACTCTGTACAAGTCGGTAAGTTTCTATGCACATCAAGTATCGTATCTATATTTCCCGATTCATATTCAACTTACACCCTTACTGTACCCCATAACAGACAGTCTAGACTGTGCTAGTTTGGAGCGACTCTAGAAAACCAATAGCTCTGCCGCGCTTCTTAAAATAGGTAAGCTTTAGGCAGGCTTTGGCTAATTAGACTTTGTTCAGAGGTCAAAGAACGAGATAGCATAAGCTTGATAATTCTCTACGATACTAATTTCTACCCTGGTAGCATACTGAACTAGTGCCTCAATAGAAGCCTCGCTCTTGTATGCCTATTCTACGAGGCCCGCTGTCAGGCTGCCTTAATATCATTTCTACTATCCTACTATTAAGCAATCCCATCAGACTGCACGGCGACATATATATAAGGAGGGGCAAAGAAGAGCTTCCAGAGTTCGGCCAAATCCTCAATTATTGTAGGTCCCAACTTATCGCTATCCCATATCTAGCCCTTAGAATAGTTCCCATGGTGTCAACTAGCAATAGATGTCACATCAGTCTTAGTATTACATATTTATTGACGCACGAGTAAGAACCAGACAGCTACCAAAGTTGATCAGGATATGCTAACTGTACGAAATACTTATCAAACAATCGGAGATTTATGTCCAGACTACAACCCAAGCCTTCCTGGACAAGGGACATGAAATGAAGTATAGGAATAGGATTAACTTAGTAAAGCGTATATTGACGACCACATCACATCGGAAAAAGAAGCAAAGATAAATTTTAGGTTCTATTGTGTCAAGGCAACACCACATCCATGTGAAACGCCCGCTCCCCTATCTTCTATTTCATCAATCATTTGAATTGTGGCATTTCGTACATGTCATCAGGGTCTTACTTGATCAGCCTCGGACCTTAGGCAATTCATGAAGATGAGGTGGTGGTGACTTACCCTTGCGATTTGCAAAGATGTACTTCCGTGTTTCGACAATGTTGTGTGTTAACTCTGTACTCAACTCTTGCTCATGGAGTTGAACTTTCTCGTTTCGCTTGGCTGCTCCTTTAATAGCAGCCTGCGCCACGTGGAAGCGGGACGTCTTGTTCACAAGCATCATATCGAACGGTGTCGTCGTGCTTCCTTCCTCAATGTACCCAGCGACGCTCACGCGCTCTAGACGAGGTCGGCCGAACAGAAGGCCCTGCAACTCAGTCGGATATCCGTGGTAGTTGAAATGGATTGGTTTGTCAGAGGTGAAAGGGTTATCAAAAGACTCAGTTGTCAGGGCGTGCGGGTGGGCTCCTTCATTCTCCAGGATCATCAGATCCGTCACGTTGATCACACGAACGCGAAGTTCAGGACAGCGCTGGCGCAGAATTGCAGCAGCGTAAATGACTTCAAACATCACCTCAACACCAATTCCAACGAGGACAACATCTGGATCGAGTCCGTCATCCGTACTGCAGAACTTCCAGATCGACGCACCAGCTCTACAGTGGCTTTCTGCTTCTTCGGGTGATAGGTAAACGGGTGTCGGCTGCTTCGAACCGACCATGAGATTAATGTAATTCTTGGACTTCAAACAATGGTGGGCCGTCGTTAAGAAAGTATTAGCGTCTGGCGGTAGGTATACACGCGCGGCATCAGGCTTAAGCTTGAGGACGTTTCCGATGAAGGATGGGTTTTGGTGAGAGAAGCCGTTGTGCTCTTGTCGGGTCCAGGTACTGGTCTCAATGTAGTTGATACTAGCCACATCCTTGTGCCATCCTGTTTCCCGGGCCTGTTGTGTTGTCGCTCTTGTTAGAGAAACTTATTGGACAGGATCTAGTAGCGAGAATGCATACCATCTTCATGAATTTGGCATACTGCACCATCATGGTGTGAACAATACCCAAAAAGCTTTCATACGAGGGGAAGAGGCCCACACGCCCTGTCAAAGTGTAGCCCTGAAGGAAACCCTGGCACATATGTTCGCTCAGCACTTCAATAACGCGGCCGCCTTTCGCGTTTGAGTACTGGTCCCACTGGAAATTCCTACCAGTATGCGCCAGAGCGGCATCCAGCTTATTACTCTCTAGTTCATCTGGGGAGAACAGCCGGACACTGTGGGGGTTTTGGGTGAAGACTCTATCTATAAGCTTTCCGATTGTCTTCATCGAGCTTTCTTGCGAACCCTTTTCCACACAGAACGTCCTCCAATCCGGAAGATCGGGTGGCTCGTATGCTTTATATGCCTCAAAACGTTGACCAAGCTTCTTAGAGTCATCGATGGGAATAATAGACTTGACTTCATCAATAACGTCTCCTGTCTGGGTGAATAGTTCACCCGGGTTGTAGGAAGACAGCCACTTCTGGAGCGCCTGGAGCTCCTCCTTGTCCTTCTTTGCATTGGGCAGAGGAACCTGATGCGAATGGAACGACCCTTCGATAAGTTGACCATGCAGCTCCTTGGGCCCTGACCAGCCCTTTGGCGTGCGTAATACGATCATGGGCCATCTGGGTTTCATGATCGGCTTTCCAGAGCGAGCCGCTTGCTGGATTTTATGGATTTCCCCGATTGCCCAGCTTGTGGAGTAGTGGAGATCGGAGTCAATGTCATCAAGATTCTCAACAATGCGTACTTGATAGCCGTATCCTGTGAAAAGGGAAATCAATTCCTTATTGTCCATGCAACCAAAAATGGTGCGTTCGCTGATCTTAAACCCATTGACATGCAGAATTGGCAAAACTGCTCCTGATTCTGCGGGATCAATGTACTTTATTGCGTGCCAGGAACTGCTTCCGTTAATAAAGGAGTTATATTCTAGTTGACCATTCAACTACTCACGTTGCCGTTGGACCTGTTTCGGCTTCTCCGTCACCGACCACACAGGTGACAATCAAGTCTGGATTATCCATAACTGCACCAAAGGATACAGCTAACGCATAGCCCAACTCACCACCTTCATGGATGGCTCCTGGGGTTTCAGCGTTGATATGACTTAACAGAATAGTCAGCTCAAGCTCAGCATGATTTTCTTTATTGAAAGAAATTGGGAGTACAACCTTGGCAGACCGGCAGAAGTACTAAATGTCGAGATGAGATTCTTGAGACCTTCCTCGTCTCGGGAGTACTGTGGGTAGAACTTTCCCAACGAGCCTTCCAACCACAGAGAGGCTAGCAGACCTGGTGCACCGTGCCCTGGCCCAACTACATACAGCATATCCAGGTTTTGCCTTCTAACGATGTAGTTCAAATGGGAATATACTAGAATTAGGCCGGGACATGTTCCCCAGTGACCTATAATGATGGCATCAAGTATGAGTGGACATGTTTCTGTGTCAGATGATGTATGTAGAGCACGATGGGACCTTACCAAGTAGTCGGGGCTTGATGTCTTCATGTTTTAATTCGCGCTTCAACAACACATTGTCCTGGAGAAAAATCATTGCTGGAGAGCATTAATGGATGTAGAGCAATCTGGTAGAAGTAAATCTCACCTGCCGCAATATAAGCAGCTGCCCGACGAAACTTGAGCAAAGCATCGTAGGTGGATTGATCTAAGGAAGCTTGCTCGAGTTGGACCTGCAGCTGTTGAACGATATCCGGGATGTGCGATGGTTCGGCCTTAGGGTTCGGCCTGTCGATGACTTCTCCTGGCATGATAAATGATGCTTGAAAGATGTGGGGGTTTGTATTTTATTGGTTTGATATTGCTTTTTAGGTATAAAGTTCGATTGGTAGTATGGATCAGCGCCAAGAAATATATGATAGAAGGGAGACGGAGAGCGGGTGTAAATCTTGTGGGACGACGCTCGCGTTCGATTACTTTTCCGTGGTTATTTGAGATGCAGATAATCCCAGCCATAAATCATAAAATCCTTGGATTAAATAAGGGTTCATCGGAGATATATTCAGTTCCAGTTCCAGGTTGTCGGGTCCCCCAACTACATACGTCACCATGGGAAGGCCCTGACATCACCGACTGCACCTCAGCAGGAAATTTTGGCCCACCAACGTGAACAATATAGTAGATTGGTCCTTTTCATGAATATATCAGCAGAAGAGAAGAGCTATAATCCAGTTGCCTATTATTTTCAAGTCCCTGTCAGCCTGTCACCCCGCGGATATAGAATATCTCATCTCAGTTCAACGCTTCAACATGACACGCAAATCGATCCTCTCGGTTAACGCTGGATCGTCCTCGGTGAAGATCACCTTTTATACCTTTGAGACCCCCCCCAAGGTAGTTGCCAATGCACAGATCTCAGGGATCACGGCTCCGCCAGCAAAGTTTAAATACACCCGGGGTTCGACGAACCACAAGGAGCAACTCAAGGAAGATTTGACCACCCCTCAAGATGCATTCAAGTTCCTCCTGAAACGATGCTTGTCGGATCCTAATCTATCCGAAGTCGCCAGCAGTGATGATTTGGCGTTTATTTGTCATCGAGTTGTTCATGGGGGAGACTATGAGCGCTCAGTGGTAATCACCGACGAAACCTATCACCACCTGGAAAGACTGGAAGATCTAGCTCCACTGTATGTAGAGCCCATGTTCCTTCAACCAGAGCGCCCTCCTGACTGGTGACAGACATAATTTCTCAGCTTTGGAGATCATTCGACTCTGTAGAAAGGAACTTCCCTCTGTTAAGAGTATCACGTTCTTCGACTCTGCTTTCCACCAGACCCTACCAGAATATGTAAAGACGTACCCAATCAATCAGGATACCGCGAAAGCAAATGGACTTCGAAAATACGGGTTTCACGGGATTAGCTACTCCTTCATCCTACGTTCAGTAGCTCAATCTCTCGGCAAGCCAGCGGAACAGACTAATGTGATTGCGATGCATATTGGAAGTGGTGCTTCAGTATGCGCTATCAAAGCAGGCAAGTCTATTGATACGTCGTATGGATGGCCTTCACCGGGATTGGAAGATATATGCTGATGGATATTCTTAGAATGGGACTTACTCCCTTGGCCGGCTTACCCGGTGCCACTCGTAGTGGTGACATCGACCCATCGTGAGTATTCCCGAGAAGTTAGCTCTGACCTGTGATGGTTAATATGTGCTTGACAGACTTGTGTTCCATTACACAAGTGAAGCAGGAAAGTTGAGCCCTGCAAGTACTAAAGAAATGCATATTAGCACAGTAAGTTCTTGAGATTGGTCGGGAGAGCAACGAGTTAGCTGACTAAGGCCTATCCAAGGCCGAAGAAATTCTTAACAAGAAATCTGGCTGGAAAGCGCTCACTGGAACCACGGACTTTGCCCAGATAGCTGTTGAGAAACCCCCAAGTTCACAGCATAAGCTTGCTTTCGACATTGTTGTCGACCGCATTGTGGGGTATGTAGGTAACTACTTTGTGAAACTAGAAGGAAAAGTTGACGCTCTTGTCTTCGCTGGTGGGATTGGCGAGAAGAGTGCCCTATTGAGGAGCTCCGTTGTCGAAAAATGCCACTGCCTAGGAGTTGCGATTGATGCATCAGCTAATGACCAAGGGCCCTCCGATAATCAGACTGTGACGGACATCTCCAAGACGGATGCCAGCGGACCACGCGTAATAATTTGTCAGACTGATGAACAGGTAAGTCTAGCTGCTTCTTCACGTCTCGATCACCTTCACTAATATGCCCTCGAAGTTTGAAATGGCATACAATTGTATTTTGAGACACGGCGGCAACAACGGATCATGATGCCTCGGAGAGAAATGAAATACTCAGTGGTCACGTCCCTTTGGTGACACCTAAGGCAGAGTACAATCTTTTATCAATCACGTTATCGGTCCTAGCTTGTATACACATTTTTCCTCGCCATTTAACCTACATCCATAGTTCTCATTGTATGGGTTTACTCATATTTGGCTGCTCCTTCCATAGCTGAACTGGAAAACTCTGTAAGAATGGCTGGAGCCAGGAAAGTAGTGTAGTGCAGTGAATGTTTTATACGGAGTACTAGTAAACTACCGTATGGCCCTACTTTGCATGAGAGTGATCGAACATAAGCGTACCCCGTAGCTGACAACAAGTACAACATCCGACAAGCATAGCCCCAGCACAGCTACAACTCTTACAAATTGTCTTGTGAATTGGAAGCAAACTTCATTGGAATGTGGCGACAGAGAATGCAAGAGAAACTCAATAATTAATGACGCCAGCAGCGAGAGAAAGCTGACTTCCGCATTGCGATGTATCAATTCAAGCTCGATTGAATGATTTGAGAACCTGTATCGGAAAGTATCTTCTACCTAGCAATGAGAGTACAAAAGTACCTTGTGAAGAGTACTAAGAACCTAGAGGATACATACATGCATGCTCACAAGCATAGAAGCTTTATGCTCACAAACACTTGGTGGCATGCTGCCACAAGTGATGGGTCGAATTGATCAACTTACTTTGATCCTCTGTATCGAGAGGTCGGTCGGTGCATACTCTGAAGATACCTCATCTTCGGGGAACCAGAATCCTGGGAAGGGGAAATCAAACAAAAAAAGTTTACCATGATCAGCGGGACACATCCGGACGAATCAAAAGCATTAGTTCCCCCACTAAAGGTAGGGATGGTGCGTTATTGTCAATCATCCATGGGTCTCCTCGCGTCTGAATACATATCCACTACGGAGCTACAGTCCACTCCCCTGCAGCCTATTGGATATCGATTGATAGGTTATCCAGGATTGCAATGAGGACTGTGTTCGATATATTGCCGAGTGAAGCCGTGGAGTTGTCTCTCCCCCTGTCGGCAATATGTTTGCAACATGTCTGTATGTAGGGGGCCCCAGCATTCCAGAGCTGCAGCTGCACGATTATCATCGATCGATACAGCCAAGCCTAGGAACCTTGGTGATCAGGAATCCGGCAACTTTCCGTATGTATTCCGAATAGTCATATCGGAGACGGCTGGGTGTCGTTGACATACTAGTACTTTGATCCGTACTTTTTATTTTATTTTTAGTGCTCAGATCCCACGACCCTCAACTGCCACGCGTGCGTCGGGTCAGCTCATCAAACTCATCACAAACATGTCCAATGACCAGTACCACTCTGTATTATATCAGAGCCGGGATATTGTTGATCGACAGTTCTGGATCGCAATCGTACCGATATCGCGGAAATGGTCCACGGGTGCCTAAGAATAAAAATGTGTCAACCGTAGAATAGCACACCTTCATGACCACCATTCGCCTCATTGACGAAAGGTTGCGATGGTGACTGACAGACAGACGGGAAGCCGTTGATCAGACATCCAATAGTCCGGGTCAAACATCCAGGATGGTAAAGAAGAGGCTGAAGACGCAGACTTTTTTTCCCTTTTTCCCTTTTTCCCTTTTTGCCTCTTTTTTTTTTTTTTTTTTTTTTTTTTTTTTTTTTTTTTTTTGTGATGCAGTAAGACAGGAGAAGCACTGTATGTACGGAGTAAGGTTCTGGCCGAGACGGGGAAGGGAACAGGGGTTCCAGAATGGCGGGTGGGTGCGTTAGCTTGCTTCGCCCTGGACTTACCGAGAATAAACAGCGACTGTACTTTGGTACCTGATCATCATGGTTGGCTTGATCTACATCCTAGAGTGACCAGCTGACTCGGTTTCGATAGAACAATAAGACGATTAATTATTCAAGCGATCTCCAGGAGGCGTGGTAACACTATGGGAACTCTACAGAGAGCGTTCCCTGTAAGGACGGGATTCCAGAACTCCCAAGGACAAGTTGCACATGAGATAGGTAATAATAATATCAAGGCTGGCAAGCTAAATGAAATATTCCTCAGTCCACTATCTGATTGGTAATCGCTACCGATCAGTTCCCCCTTCTAGAATTCCATCCCGTGGCTTCGACGCTAAAATCCCGGCTGCATTTCCGCGGCTCTACTAGTGAACCAAGCCCGGGAAATCCTCTCTGCATGTGAGGCTCCCGAAGGGAAAGGTTATTCATTTCTTGGTAACTTGTACGAACTGGAGAGTGGATCTGTCTGTTGGCCTTGACATTGGATTGTTGGTGATTGCGAAGATGGCTTCTCATTTTTCTCACCTATTGCAGAGCTCCGAGGCCCTACATAGGAACTGGGAGGAAGATTTAGATTTTGGGGGCGAGATGGCGGTTGAGTAAGTGAAATAATATATATGCATGTGAAAAAAGATTTAATATAATGCACAGCACGGGGCTTGGTTTCTCTTTTCTTTTGTCTTTCTGAAAAGAAAAAGAAAATTCCCAATCACCAATGTCTATTTGATAAATTAGAAGGGGAATTTTTTAAATTGTGTGAGTGAAGAATGTGATTGATCTCCAATACATGAAAGCATTGAAAATTGCAGTGCTCTGCTCTACACCAACAAAATATCCCAAACATTATGTTCCAAAAAATAAGAAAGGGAAAAGCCACAAGATTACTTTGCTACATGTTTTGAACCTACTGCAGTAATATGCAAACAATGTACATTCCAATCACTATTCAAACAACAAACTCCCCTGTTTTAATCCCATCCAACCAATAATCAATAGTTCAGCAAGGCAGGGTCTCCTGCATGGCGATCAGACCTCTTCACCCAATTCCTGGCTTCCATTGTTTCACAACGGATCTGTAGATCGCAGGTACATGATTCTTCTACTAAGATGATCGTCTGTAGGAAGAGTTACCGGCAGCCAGACACAGCATACCCGCCCTGCGAGGAGAGTGGCACGGTCCAGACCTAGTCTTTTCAGACATGATTCATGGGGTATCCCAGCAATTTTTCGTGTAAATGCAATGCTCCGGGATAGGGGGTGCGCCGGGTACATTGAATTAGGAATGAATTATGCAGGCATACAGCAACATTCTTTGTTGCTTTTTGTCGTTGTGTTCAGTTCGTTGTGTATGCGTGGACGTGGCTGTTGGACAGGTCACTCTTTGCCTTTGGCTATAATCGGCCGTCATCGGATTGATCCACAAAGAAATCCCCTGCCTATTTATTTGCCCTAACTTGCAGCTAAGGCTCGTCTAACAACCCCAATAATTATCTAATAATCGCTAATAATGTCACGATTATTTAGCTTTAGTAGGAATACCACCATCGACCATGCCTGATTGATGGGCGCGGAAGCGGAACAATCGGCTAACTTCCCACCCTCTCCCTAGAAATGGGCAAGTCCAACGGTTCTTTAGACGGATTCCTTTGTTCTCCCGTCTCTAGTGTCCTCTTAGCTGTATTATCCGAGTCAGTTGATCGACTATAATACCCGAGAAGGCTAGGGTGGGAGGTCTCCAGTTTACGCCCTAAAGCAGAAAAGCGAGACAGCAATCAAGAGGACAAGATACCATTTCCATTGTAGGAAGACCCATAAGCTCATGGCACGATCCGCAATGGAACCATGGTACCGCACTGTCCGGATGGAACTTCCAGAAGGATTCTGGAATCACTCTGTTCGTGTTGGCAACTGCTGGGGCGATGACAAGAGGGTACCATAGGAAAAAGGCAAGTGGTTTTTTTTTCCTTTTCTGTTTGTAGCCTGTTTGGGCTTGATTGTTCACCTTTCACTGTTCCGAACGATGACAAAATGTACACCCATCTGAAGCATTAGCGTCGTCAGATTTACCTGTCACTTCCCTCTCATTGGAACGATGGAACTCTTGGCTGTGTGATTAACTACAAGCCTGTTGTAACGCCTCAACCTCTGATTTGATCGGTTTCTTTGCCAGGTTGTTTCTTTGACAGATGTGTCCAAAGTACAAGATAATCAATTCATGAATCGAGATACAAACGTATTTCTGGCCCCATTTGAAACATGTTGAACGCTAAGACTAGGTAACTAAGCGAATCCTTGTCAAACATTGGGCGTTTCCGTTTCCATCTGGTACAGGCCAGAACAAAGAACCCACAGTTTGCAGTATGAATCAATCCTGTGGCTGGAAGTTGAGCCATCTCGGCACAACTCAACTATTCTGCCGCCCATGCTCCCGTTGGAGATGCTGCCCCATTGTGGCGAACGCTCAGTGGGCGGTCGTTGTGGAGTGGTAAATTACAGTCGGCCAATAACACGGTATGGCTGGCGTAGACATGCGACCTGACGACAGTGTAACAAATATATGTAGGTAAATCGGGGTACATCAGTAGATCAATGCCGTTACCCCAGAAGAAACCCACTGGAACAGGAGGGAAAAGTCTAGAAGGGCCAGAGCCATGGGAGAAAACCCACGTCCTGATTCGTAGGACAAACGGAGAAAATCAATTACTCGCCCTGTTGGTGGTCGCGGGGAGAAACAGACAGACGATACGCTAGAAGGACTAGAAGGTCGTGAGAAGAATGATGGTCGCATATAATACGTAACGGGGCGGGTAACTGTGGGTTTGCTGGGTCATTGATCGCTATTAGAAAGGATCCACACTGTACTCCCCCCTATTGCTAGGTAGCCCAATTTCCCTGGTGGCCGGGAATTAATGAAATAGTCGAAAAAAAAAAGAAAAGACAAGGGTAAAAAATGAAAAAGGAATAAATGAGGTCAAAATTAGCAACAATCTGCTGGACATGTTGGAGCACTATTTCCTTTCATGGAGATGCAAAAATGTAACCCTCCATACATCAAACAGAGATCTAAGTCGGCAAACAACCAATCGCCACCGTATCAGTCAGGAGACCCAGTGGATCGAGCTAGCTGGAAGTATCGAATCAATAAACAATAATTTGGGTCATAATAGTCTCCCGAGACTTAGTAGGTGACTACAGCAGGTACAGGGCAGAAAAAGCTTCTGGATTGGTTCTATGGAGAACCACCATTTACATTACACTTACTAAGGTACAATTACCTACCCTAGTAGATACCCTACAAGTTCTGGGGCCTTAGGCCTTGACGTACTTTTTGCATGCCTTACCTATCAAACATGGCGCCACATACGTTTTACTTAGTACTCATTTGCAGTAGATGTGTACTTACATGTCTCTGCATGGACAGCGCTCTATCAGGTGCTCATACACTACGCATCCGTGTCCAAGACAACTGCCCTTTCATGCCTTTTGAAATGATCTGTACAATACAGTACGATAGGTACTCAGACTTGTAAAAACAAAAAGCTTTGGAAACCGGATTACATCTGGATGATCAAACGGAAAAGGTTAGGCCGAATTGGGTAAACGAATAAAGAAGCCTATCTAAGGGGTTGGAAATAGTATAGAGCTTTGGGGAATCACTAGATAATAAGGTAACTCATCAGGGGCCTCTGACTGTAGCTGTATCTCTAATAAATCACTGAAACCCCATAAGACACCATGCGAGAGCAATCAAGACAAGCCCCATTGGTGTTGGTTCGGATCCATCCGCGGTTCCTGGAAGCGGCTGCTAATTCTCCACCCACACCCTGCAACCAAGCCAGTCCGCTGTGTCCGAGAAATCGGTTCTCAGAAGGTTAGGTAGATTTTAATTAACCAAATAGTAGTACTACCCATATACGGAGCACAGGTGGAGAGCTTAGATTTTCTTCTCTTGTTCCCATTTCCCCATTTGTCGTAGGTCGGTAGCTATGGAAGTATTACGGTCGGTTTCCTCCGTTACCATACTACCCAGGCTAGATTCTATCCGGAACAGACGGGCTTCTACCCTAGTACCTAGGTTATGATGACTCCGAAAGATACCCGTGGCTTTCCTGAAATCAGCTGTCAGCTGGAACGCTGAGTCCCTTGACTCTAGTCGGAGTAAATTGGATAGGACAGAATAAGCCTGAAACCAGCAGGATCATCTCAGGTAAGACGTAGTAAGAACCAGACTAATCAATGAACAAGCGATGGACAAGGAGGGTGGACAAAGGGAAATTACGGTAATTACTGAGTACCTTACTGTACTTTCCAGCTGCCTGGGTATAGCCGTCAGACGCTGGGACTGGAACCTTGGGGGAGGTGCGCAGAACACACCCAGAAAAGAAAAAGAAAGAAAGGGGCGATGGATCGCATCCACAGCTTGTCGCGTACCTTACCCCCGGGACGGGAGGGAGCCGCTATGCTAAACAGAGCTATCCTAATATTCTGGAACTGATTATTCCTGACTTTTGTCCTGTTCCTGTCAGCTCTTAATATTCTTACTATTATTTTTTTTTATTTGTGTTTTTATTTTATTTTATTTTTATTTTTTTATTTTAATTAATCTTGTTTTATTTTCCCCCCTTCCCTTTTTTTTAGGTTGCTGATGATCGGAACCAAACTTTTTTTCTTTTTACTTTTTCCCTTTTTTTTTTAGAAAAAAGGGAAAGAGGAAAAAAAGTGAATAAATGAAGGAAGAAGCCCTGAGGCCATTACTACATATATCAGAAAGCCCCCTTCAGGATCTTGTCTCTGAATTCTTCATTCACTCATTCCTTAATCCTATAATAAACTCTCCCTGTCCTCCCTCCTTCCGTACTTTCGCCCCTGTCCTCTTAGTCTTACGTCCTCTTATCCTTAGTGACGTTACTAACGCCCTGCCTACTCTTACGATACGTCGATTCGAGCTTGATTTTTGTTGATTGCCTATTCGGTTGTTATCAGACAGCTTCACCTCCGTGGCACTTTTCTCCTCGCTAGGATCGTTCTCCTTGCTGGCTGCATTAGTCTTGTCCTCTTTCGGTCACTGGGTCGGGGTTTGATCAGATTGATTCCGAGTTTATCCAGCACGTCCCTGCAACGCGCCAGTTTGTCACGATTTAAAACAATAAGATACCAGGACAATTCAGAATAAACAACGTCGCGAGCACTTGAGCGGAAAACGAAAAGAAAAAATACAAATAAAAATAGGAAATTCGACCTATCGACTGTGATTGGAGCTCCACTATTCCTCATTCTTCCAGTCCAATTACTTGGTCATCTAGCGGCGTCACATTCCTGCCTTACAGATCTACTTGTCGGAGCCGTCTGTGCTGCATTGTCCTGCCTATTTTGCCCAGCGCCAGAGCATTGAGCATTCTTAAAAGGATCACCTTTCCGATCTCAACTGCAGCTGCATCATCTGTTGTCTGCATTAATACCGTCTGCCCTTGTTTGGATTTTTTGGGTACCTCGTTTGTCGCTACAGTTGATCTATAATCAGAACGCACATCAATACTTACCATCGGCCTTTTATTGTTGTCTTGATTGGAAACTCCGGGTCAGTGGCACCCCGAGTGGTTATTTAATCTTTCAGTGAGTTCTCCTGCTTCTCCAACATCTACTTCCATAGTTTCTTTTTATTTTTTCCTGATAAACCGTGGCGACTGACTCGAATTGTTCCCTCAGAATCTGTTATGGTAATTCGGGATCTTTCCGCTTTCAACATGGGACGGGGAGCATACGATACCACCGGTGTTAAGAAGCCTGGCGCACCACCACCGCCGCCCAAATAAATGTCATTTGTCAACCACATCACGTTGTTCTGTTGTTTCGAGCGAAAATTTTGTGGTTTTAATTGGCGCCATGGTCCGCGGAGTTCACGTGTCGATGAAGTCGATCTTCATTGTAAGTGGTTCTTCTGCTCATCCGCAGTTTCATGGCTAACGGGAATGCCTTAGTTTCTGTACCACTATGTTTCATTACTTCTATTCACTTCGTTGTCCACCTTTGGTTTCGGGTCTATAACCTTTTAATACGTTTCTTCCATGTCGACTCTTCGACCCACATGGCTGCCGCCATTTTGATTCTCGACCCGAATCCTTCTTTACATCTTTAATTTCACCATTGACATGAACCAGCGCAGGTCTACGATCTGTTTACCAAAAGTGCTTTTTTTTTTCTTTCCTCGCTATTATCTTCGGGTTTGAATTTGTTCGGCGTTTGGCATAGACGGAACGGCTTTTTTTGGGATACATGGGTTGATACCAACATTAGAACTTGCGACCTCGCGGTCAGACATTTCTGCTATTTTATCTTTCTTTTTTCTCTCTTAATATCACTTTTTTTTTTCCTTTATTCAATTGTCAATGTGGGGCTTTTGTGTGTATTTCTTTTGAGTGCACGTGTATCATATTACAAGCACCTTTCAAGAATGGAAACAGGCGTGCCTTATCCAAGCTCTGCTTTTTTCTCCCTCTGCAAAGGCGGCAAATAACCTTCTGTACAAGCCTCGATTTCATTGTCAACAGCTCACAGACCATGACATCGGCTGTGGATAGATTATCCCCGGGGGTTGGGGGTTGCGGCGACACAGAGTATCAGGCATTTGATTTGCTGGAAATCTTGTAAGCAGTGCATTATCTCGGTGGATCCTGGTGCAAACATCAAGGTGTTCGAGCCCTCCCATTGCATGCGCCAATGATCTTTTTACTCAATGAGGGGGGGTTGGGGTTGGGGTTTTCTGGCTATAATCCTTTTCTTTTAATTTTGGGCAGCTACAGCCTACGGCCCGGGGATCTACACAAATCATGCTGTGCAACGTTGACCGCGCCAGTGGGCTGGGCGTCATTGGAAAGGGTTCCCAACTCCCTGGCGATCACCCTCGTTGGAGGATACTGGCACGTCATGCCTAGCCTGCATGATATGTTGTCATTATTGACAGCGTACCTCATCGACTAGTGTTGGTCAGATTCGTCTTGTGCCAATGACAGGCGATGGTGAGTTGGGTACTGTTTTCGCCAGTTAGAAGTTGATATGTCTCATCATTCCATTGCACTGGACATGAAATCCGTCCGATGAGCTGGAGAGTAAAAATAAAACAGAGGGGAGATAAGCGACACAGACCATGTATCTATCTATTTCACCGTCCGACATCAAAGTATATACTATATCCGTTAAGGCGGGAATATCCCGTGACTGCCACCGTGCTGGAGGGGAATGCGCTAACCCGGATCGGGGCAGTCTCTCCATCTCAAAGTGACGACCGTTAATTCCCTCCGCCTCACTAGGTATCGATCTTTCTCAGTACCTTGCGACGGTGTACTTGTGCCCACCGCTATCTCTCTTGGTATTGGTACATACAAGATTTCCATTTGTCCATTTTTCGTTTAGTGGCCCTTGCCCAGGTGTCCAACTTAGGCTCTCTCGTGTCCCCAGGCTGACGTTTCCTTCAGGCTACCCTGATTACTTACCGCTCTCTAACTTCTTGTCAACCTTACCCGCCCCTGGCGAGCTGAAATCATCGACGAGATTGATAATCACCGTCCGTGCTGGCGTTCCTGCAAATCAACCTAATTGTGTATAGCCACCCGTCCGTTGGGCTCTGCAGCCATGTCTGAGTCAACCAGCACAAATACTCCGAAGCCGAGTAGTAGTGTGAAGCTGGTACTTTTGGGAGAGGCGGCAGTTGGAAAGGTACGGCCTCGGCTGATTCCCTCGCCTCTTGCCGTTGTACACGAGTAACCTGGAAGACTGACAAATGAATCAATGGACGCCCGTTAACAGTCATCGCTGGTTCTACGATTTGTCAACAATGACTTCCAAGAGAACAAAGAACCAACCATTGGAGGTAGGCGATCCAGAGTTGTTCAATTTTGAGTGGCATCGCCTGCAACTCTCTTTCGGTACTGATATCATTCCAGCTGCTTTCCTGACCCAAAAATGCTCCCTCCCGACCCGGACGATCAAATTCGAAATCTGGGATACAGCTGGTCAGGAGCGATTCGCCTCGCTTGCCCCGATGTACTACCGTAACGCTCAGGCGGCGCTGGTAGTCTACGATGTTACCAAGCCATCCTCCCTTACAAAGGCCAAACACTGGGTTGCCGAACTGCAGCGGCAAGCCAGCCCCGGAATTGTGATCGCCCTCGTCGGCAATAAGCTGGACTTGACGAACGACGGGAACGAAGCTTCTGGGGAGTTACAACCGGATGGTGAACGGGAGCCACCTGCCGCGGCTGCTGACGAAGATGACGCGGCCGGTGAGCTCCAGGAGGAGCAAGATGCCACTCCCGGAAATGCCCGAAAGGTCTCAACACGGGAGGCTAGCTCGTATGCGGAGGAAGAGGGTCTGCTGTTTTTCGAGACTAGTGCTAAGACGGGTGTGAATGTTGTCGATGTCTTCACTGCGATTGCCAATGCTATCCCAGAAAGCAGTTTGAAGAGCGGACGTGGGGCTGGTGCTGGTACGGGCCAGACTACATTGGGTGGTGGTCGTCCGGCAGAGGACTCGCGAGTCAACCTGGGAGACCGATCCACCGCCACAGCCAAGGAAGGATGTGCTTGTTGATCTTGGCTACGTGTTGGTTTTACAGTCTGTAATGTTTGTTCTTTCATGCAACAATCTCGATGCCAGGCTGATTACCGAGTAATTGCCTAGGAAGTTCGAGACGGCGCCGCACAAAGGGCGGTTTGAAGGCGTGTGATTATTTTAATTTCTCATATCCAGGCGTCAACTTGTGCTTCTGTTTTTGTGATATTTCACGTGTGTGCACGTGTGTGTGTCTCATGCCAGATCTTCGTGTCTTGCTCATTATTTTCTCTGCTGCTGCCACATTCTTTGATACTCAGCGAGAGGCCCTTTCGACTTCTCCCCCTCTTCTTTTGATTGATAGGTTCCCCCAATGTTGTACTGATAGGAAATAGGGAATCCCCTGTGTGAAGGGGTTTTATTCTTGTTCCTCAGATTTAATTATGCAGTAGATTTTAGATTGCATTGGTTCTATCATTACTTCAAGGGAAGGGACTACTTCCAAGTACACTATGTAAATAAGTAAACTGATAAGTAGATAATGATGTTCCTAATATCGAGGGCAGACCGGTCACGGGACCGGACTTTCCCCGAGAGGGCAACGCGCTAAACATATAGGGACAAGAGCGGTGTCGCTAAGCGAGGCGCCGAGCCTCCGATCCCACACCAAACGGAGCAGAATTGGATGCTGGACGGACCTCTGTTTCAATCCTCGAATTTATTCCCACGACCCCCAACAACCCGCGACAAGGAAAGGCAGCACCAGCAGCACAGCCCGCTACCCGTCGCTCGTCTGCAAAAATGGCTGCTATCAACAAGATCGCCCTCAACTCGCCCTCGAGGCAGAACCCCTCCGAGCTGGAGAACGCGATCGCTGGCGCTCTCTTCGACTTGGAGAGCAACACACAGGACCTGAAGGCCACCCTTCGTCCTCTGCAGTTCGTCTCTGCCCGTGAGGTAAGATCTGCCCGATCTATTTGGCACAGTGCATTGCAGCGTCAGAACTTGTCTCTGGTCATGTGTTGGAAGAAGTGATATCTATCGGGAACGGAAGTGTGTGGTGGAATGAAGATGTGTGTTTGTGCGTCACTTGACGGTACAACTTGGGACGAAGGATCACTGTGCCCATCGATGGACTTTCATGAAAGCAGCGACCAGAGAAACAATTTCTGATTCTACACGTCACACCTGCCAGCGCTTTAAGAAAAAAAAAATTTAAAGATGCGCAATTGAAATTTGTCCCACACAGTTATCTGACGATTTGATATCATTTACAGGTTGAGGTCGGCCATGGCAAGAAGGCTGTCATCATCTTCGTCCCTGTCCCTCTCCTCCAGGGATTCCACAAGATCCAGCAACGGTACGATTACACACCCTGAACCTGGAAATCCTTCTTCCAATAGGGAACACCCCTGAGCTAACATTCCTCGAATTAGCCTGACTCGTGAGCTCGAGAAGAAGTTCTCCGACCGCCACGTCCTCTTCGTTGCTCAGCGCCGCATCCTGCCCAAGCCCAAGCGCTCTGTCAACTCCCGCACCAACCAGAAGCAGAAGCGTCCTCGTTCCCGCACTCTGACCGCTGTCCACGACTCTATCCTTACCGACCTGGTTTACCCCGTTGAGATCGTTGGCAAGCGCATCCGTACCAAGGAGGATGGCAGCAAGACCCTCAAGGTCATCCTGGATGAGAAGGAGCGTGGTGGTGTTGACCACCGTCTCGATGCCTACGGCGAAGTTTACCGCCGTTTGACCGGCCGCAACGTCGTCTTCGAGTTCCCCCAGAGCAGCGCCTCTGACTTCTAGATGCACTTTTTCTCCCTTATGTCCTTTTAAAGTCTTCGATATTTTTTTCCTGTGATTAGGTCAATGAGAGAAAAATAAGTCTGGGATTCGAAACAGCGGGCTTACCTGTTTTTCTTTCTTGAAGTAGGCAAGAAAAAAGCATTTGGGACGAGGAGGAACTGCAAGTCTTGTGTGCATTCCATTAGCATACGTTCCATGGCTGTGCGGTGGGTAGCTTCATGATCTGGTCCTTCGGGTTTTAGGGTTCTCTGAATGAAAAAGGATGTGATGTGATAATATCATTCATGGTCTTTTGGTCCGGGCTTTTCCTTTTGTTCGGCGTGGTTGAAAACAAAAAATAACCTTTTCCCTTTTTTTCCACCTCGTTTATATCTTCCTCTTTGTCCGTGGTTTAGGTTCTTCGTTCCCCGTAGATTTTATGTACTAGTAGATGTCAATGATGCCCCCTATCGCCGCGCACGTGGTCAAGATCTCTCGTTCGGGATAAGCTTATGCTTAGCAGTATTTAGTCTCTTCACTACATACTATCTCCGCAAAGAACATCGTTCCTGAGATATATATTTATCAACGAGGCCTAAGGATGATTAAAAATTCCACTCATCTTGACTAAACAAACAAAAAGGGTATGTACGTGAATAAAGGAAAGAAGACATCTATCAACAACCGATCTCAAACCATTCCATCGACATCGACATTTACAATCCCATCTCAGGGGTAATTCTCCCCACCCCCAATACCATCCAATACGCCAATTCCCTTTTTACCGTGTCAGTAGACTGGCCTTTACCAACGGACTGTTCCTGGTCGATCTGGTTCTCGGAGTCCCACTCCATTCGCACAAAGATAGGGATCTCCAGTACGTCTTCATCTGGCTGTAGCTGTTGACCAGGGCCTTTCGCTTGTCCGCTCCAATCCAAGGTATTCGCATTGATGTCGGAAATGGAATTGTCATCCCCATCGTCGCTGTCATCATCGTCGCCCCGATTTTGGTTAGGTTTTACGCGGGTGTCTCCTGTGCCACCACCGGGTAACGTCCCGGGTACGACTTCCAGGACAACGGTGGTCCAGTTGCGTCCCTTGTCCCACACCTTTCCGGCCTCTGCGACCTTCTCGGTGGAGCCGAAGGTGCCCGATCGGGAGGCGCGCTGGTCACCCGGCGCGGTTGAGCCCTGCAGGGCCTCGTCCCAGACGTCGCTGTTAGCGCCAATGTCGAATTGCGGGCACAGGATGGTGACTTTGGAGGCCACGCGGCCGGGTGTTACTGACGGCGTGGCGAGTGTCACTCGTACAGGGTCAAACATGTGATTTTTCAGTGTGAGCAGGAGTTGGACAGTTTTCAGCGGTGATAGGGCGTCCAGGTTCGGGATGGCCGTGGCGCCGGATATCGTAGGTGTGACCGATGGAAGTCCCGCGAATGGACTGGGGACAAGGGGCTTGAGAGTCGGGAGGGGGATGTAGCTGAGGGCGATCAGGCGGATGCGGAACCGGGTTGATTGTGGTTTGAACTCGGGTTTGACAAGGATATGCTTGCACGACTTGCAACGTTTGGACCGTTTCGTGCGAAGTAGTACCGGCAGCGGAAGGAGGTCTTCCACGAACCGTGCATCGGGAGATTGGAAAGTACGCTGTTCGATGGAAGCCATTCCGTCCCATCCGCAGTCACCGGAGGCCATCCGCCGGATAAGTGCGTTCTCTACATCGGGTGCCGGCACCCTTAGCCCTTCGCTGGTTGTGAGAGCTTCTCGCATTACTGGAGGCTTGGATTTCGGCTTTTTGTTAGCTCCGCCGTAGAGACTGCCGAGCCGCGACGATGAGGTGTAGAGTGACATGATGCGGTTCAGCGCTCCGGGGGAAGAGAATCCGGCCCCGAAGTCAGCTAAAGGGTCTGTAGGTGATGAAGAGGTCGCTGCTATCTGATTTTTGTAGAAACTCTTCAGTGCCTGAAATCTAGCCTCTGGGTTTAACGGCCCAGACTGCTCGTTGGCGGGGTTGAATTCATCTCTGATCTCGCTAGGCGACGGAAACTGATCTTCAATCGAGGAATATGTGGATAACGGAGATTTGAGATCGCTGAAGGTCTTGGACATCTGTCTTCCTCGGGAAGAATCCGTCATCTTGGACAGTTGCGTGCGGATGTTGGTGGGCTTATCGAATTTGACGCCGATGTCTAGAGTCGTCCACATGCAATAGCCGCATGATAGCACCCATGGGCCCTGTTGGCTGCCCCCTCCGATGACATTCTCTAATGTGCTGACTGCGAGAGGAGCGGTGCATATTGGGCAGTTGAAGCAGTTCCTAGCGCATCTGCAATAACCCTCCTTAGCATTCGTTCGGTGAGGGTTACCGAGTACAATCAAAAAGAATAGTAACCTACCGATTCCCCTCGCTCCGAACCATGCTACTCGGTGTCTCAAACAGACAGTTGGGACAGTACCAGCACACAATTTCTTCCGTTATACATCGGGGACACTTGATCTGATGACAGTCCTCGCAGTAAAGAAGTTGCTCCGGGGGATACAAAGAAAAGTTGGATCGAGGAGATCGTGGGTCAAACGTGCGCTCGTCCTCAGAGTCATAGTCCTGAGCAACTGGCGCTTTGATGCCCTCCGGATTGGCCTTGTGGGAAGTCTCTCTTGATCTCCGTTTCCTGACTGGGTCGGGGAGAGGTGTGTCGGCACAAGGACAGGAGACGTAGGCGTAAGGGAACGGGCGCGACATGTTGATAAAGCTAAAACTAATCACATACGGTCAAACCAGTCATGCCCTATACTAGTATACATTAGCCTTGTAGATCTAAAGAAACTGTAGCGCGACCGACCCATTACCCCAATAAGGGGGTAGACTGATCTGTACATACGCGATCACAAGAAGACCTCACAGTTTCTTTATGAAGATGATGGAGATTGTCCCTTAAAAATCACCCATAAATGGATTGAATTTGATAAACAGGCTCAAGCCTGCGGGGACGAAGTTGTTGACAGCGCGCGAAATGCGGAGTTGATGGGAATTAATTCAGGATTTAAATTTAAAGATCCGCCGACGTCACGCCGCAAACTTCCCGCATTTTCATCTTCACCAACTTCTACCTCCCCAACACTACACGCAGACGCAATGCCATTAAGCCCTTTCCCTCAACCCAAAAGAGACAATTGACCTTCCCAAAACATCAGCATGTCTCTCCGCCATATCTTCCGCCCGGCGGTGTTTTCACCCCGATCATTCACATACAGAGCAACAACAACCAGAACCTACGCCAGCCAGACGCCCGGAAGTCCCGTCCTGGAGATCTTCAACCGCAAAGTAAAGCACCTACAGAAAGACCGCGCAGCCCAGAACGTAGACGAGAGCCGGAAGACAGATTACATCAAAGACGAGGTCGCCATCCGGCTATGCGAGCGATTACTGGTGCGTTTCCATTGTTACATCCCATATTCGAAAAGATAACAAGAGACTAAGGGTGCGAATGGCAGGACATCAAACGGGACATTCCGAATGTCCTCGATCTCGGTGCAAACAGTTGCAACATTGCCCGCGCCTTAACAATGCCCGACCTAGACCCCATCAACCCGAATTCTCCGCCCCTCGCGACCCGCATCTCGAACCTCACTTGCGTCGACACCTCGCATGCTCTTCTCCACCGAGATGCGGACGAGCCCTTCAATAAGGAAATTGTCATCACCCGCGAGGTCATCCCCGATCTTGAGACTCTTCCTTATGCGCCGAACACCTTCGACGCCGTCTTGTCTTCCCTCTCAATACACTGGATCAATGATCTGCCCTCGCTGCTGGCGCAGGTGAACTCGATCCTTAAGCCGGATTGTCCGTTTATTGCAGCGATGTTTGGTGGCGATACCTTGTTCGAGCTCCGTACGTCGTTGCAGCTGGCGGACTCTGAACGGCGGGGCGGTGTCAGCCCGCATGTTTCGCCATTGGCGGATGTGCGGGATGTAGGCGGGCTGTTGAATAAGGCTGGGTTCAAGATGCTTACGGTCGATGTGGAGGATATCGTGGTGGAGTACCCGGATACGTTTGCACTCATGCAGGACTTGCAGGCGATGGGCGAGAACAATGCCATTTTGCATCGGGAGCTGGGGCCCATGTCGCGCGATGTGTTACTCGCCAACGAGGCCATCTATCGGCAATTGCACAAGGATGAAGAGTCGAGGGGTATCCCCGCGACGTTCAGGTTGATCTACATGATTGGATGGAAGGAAGGGAAAGATCAGGCCCAGCCTCTGGCTAGGGGTAGTGGAGAGATCAACTTGAAGGATATTCTGGGCGGTGGCGATTTCTCAAATCAGAAATGAGACGGATGGCATTGTAAACTATTTTTGTTCGCAATATGTATACTATACGGTTACAATCTAGGATATCATCCATTTGCGGGGCCGGAGGAAGACAAAAAAGCGAAGACAGCGAAGTATAAAACACAGCACGAACGAAACACATTTCGAATATCAACGATCCTCCCAATCGCCAGTTTATCTATCCCCTACCTCCTCATACCAGTTCTCAGAATATAAGTGCCCAATCAGACCGTCCTCCGATCTGTCATCACACGAACAATCGACCCAGTCCCCGTCAGATCCACCAACTTCTCATGCCAGCTCAGCAGAACACTCATCTGCTGACTACCGCCGCCCTCGCCGGCGTTCCTGGCCTGAATCTGCGAGAACCCGGTGCTCTGTGGCGAGACCGACTTACGAGGCGATTGTGTCCCGCTGCTGGGCCCAGGTGCCGCCATACCCTTATATCTAAGATAACAATCAGCACCAAGATTCATGAGACAATACCACCGAGTAACAGAGCAAGAATTTGTAAGTAAGACAGAACATACAAATACTTCATCAAGCAATCCGCCCTCTCGGAACCACCCGGTCCACTGCACACCCCCTCCAACACTCTTGTCATCTCGCCCTGCCGGATACCCTGTAGCACCTCCACGACGGTAGCCAGATGAACCTCCTTCGCGCGGTCGTCTCCGCCTAGCGGGGCCGTATCGAGGGCAGCCCGCAGAGCTCCCTCGGAGTCTCCGCTGCGGAGTAGCTGGCGCACCTGGGCGGCGACGTTTGCGGCGTCGCTGGATGTGGTCGGGGCTGGGAGGTTAGAAGGGAGGAGGGTTTCCATGGGAAAGTTGGCGGAGGACTCGGGGTCCAGCACGTCGATGTTGATGGTGCGATAATTGAGTTGAGCCATTGCGGGTGGTTTGTTTGTATGGATGGGTTCAGGAGGTTGAGTTGGCTCAGGAGGGGTTAGCTGTTGTAGGAAACTGAGCTATGTGTCTCTTGTAGTACGTAGGAGATATGTTTAAGATATGTTGAGTCCGGGTCTATTTGTCTGTTAGTTGAGCTCAACCAAGGGTCAGGCAGCGCTATTATCCAGTCCGACGTTCATGGAGCGGGGAGAAGATGAGGGACGGATGGGACGAATGACTGCATGTAGCCCCTCCTGTTCGACGGGAAAGAAGGGTAATAGGGAACTGACTATTTTCCTAACTAACTCACAAGTCGAATTGGCCGGAGTAAGGTAGGTATGTCGAAAAGTTGGAGATCTAACCTTGGATGTTCAATGGTGATGATGATGATGATGATGTGGGCGGTGCGGCGGTGCGGAGGTGGGCCTGATAGCCTCAGGCATGATTTCCGTTGTGCGCAGCATATACTCATACACGAGTAACATTCAACGTAGACACCCACCTAATAAAGAGATCTTTAATAACTTTTTTGGATGTTTACTTTAAAGGTGTCCCATTTCACGGACATACAAAATGGTAAATAGTATCAATCATGCAGCGTTACCACATCTATATATATAAACCATAATAGATGATGATATAGAGTGAAAGAGGAGAGATATAGCAAGATATGCATAGGTCGATGTATTTATTGGAAATGTCAAGCTTTTGAAGTAACATGGGTTCGGGATCTAACCATAACCACGACAGAGTATCTCTTCATCCAAACAAAAAACAAAGGATAAAAAAATACTGATTACGCTAATCTATAAGGCAACAAAGTGCAGAACGCCCGCTAATGCAAACATAAACATCATACCACCCAGCCACTCCATGTGTATGTACAATATCCATGTATGTGGCACGTTAATTTAGCTATTATACAGAGTGAGCTGCCCTGCTGCCGTGAAGCCTAGCAGTGACAGTCGTATCGTATGTTGAATTCATCAAGAAGTCGTGATAGTAATTGGAGGCACCGTGACGGAGGTCTTTGGCGCTTCGGGAGTTTGTTGGCGGTTCAGATCCGTCAAAATGGCAGCCTCCTCATCTGGTTTACCGGTGTCTTCTCCCTGACGTTTGTTGAACACTCGCTTGGTAGCCCGTTTTACAGGCCACACAGCAGACTTGGACATCTTGCCAATATACGCCAGAGACTTGTTGATAGGTCGCAGAATGAATGCCATGCTTCTGACAACAAAGTCAAGTGCAATTCCGAACGGCTTGTCGGGAATCATGCGGAGAGCAACGGCCCAAGGGAGACATCCAATGGCGCAGATTATACAAACAGCCCATTGGATGCTGCTTAAAGGTGTCACACCAAAAGCCTGACCCCCTACATAGATGATCATGACTTGGCCGCCGACCATGATACAGTTGATGCCAAGGAACCAGTAGTTCTTGAACATTCCTTCAAAGATATTGAGGTTGTTGTCAAGTCTTCGGTTGTTGAACTCGTTGAAGATCTGCATCCACACGAAAGTGTTGAAGACGATGGTGGCGAGCTCCTTTGCACCATTATCGGCACTGAGATGGTCCTTGAGGATGTGGCTGCCCGCAAAATAGAGCATAAAGGTTACGGCAAGCTGGTAAACTGCCTGTCCGAGGATCATCTTCCACATGACCACTGTGAACAAGGACGCACTCTTTGGGGCAGGTTTGCGATGGAGGATTTTCTCCGTCGGTGCATCAGTTGCAAGAGCGAGGGCCGCAAAGGTATCCATAATCAGATTAACCCAAAGCAGCTGCACCGCGCTCAAGACACTCTGGTTTTGGCCACTGTAGAGAGACGAAACAAAGGTAAGGACGACGGCGGTGATATTGACCGTGATCTGGAACTGGAGGAATTTGGCGACGGCATCATTCACAGCTCTACCCCATGCGATTGCTGTCACAATCGAACTGAAGTTATCGTCGAGGAGAATGATCGAACTAGCCTCCTTGGCAACTTCAGTTCCAGCAATACCCATAGAGAAGCCGACATCAGCGGTTTTCAACGCAGGGCCATCGTTAGTACCGTCTCCGGTCACCGCCACAGTCTCTCCCAGGTGCTTCAGCCGCGCGACTAAGATCCGTTTGTCCTCAGGCGATGAGCGAGCCAGGACTTGAAGGTGTGGGAGCACCTTGTCCATTTCATCATCCGACAGCTGACGAAACTTGGGGCCTTCCATGACAACTCCATCCTCTGTCTTGATACCGCAGGACGATGCGATGGCGGTGGCTGTCGCTATGTTGTCTCCAGTGACCATCTTCACTTGCACACCAGCAGTACGGCACTTCTCAATAGCTGCAGGAACTTCGGGTCGGAGAGGATCTTGTATACCTACAACACCAATCCAAGTCATGTCATGGAAAAGGTCTTCAAACTGGGCCGCAGTCCGGTCGTCTTCTGCGGATTTAATATAGTTTGGAGGCCAGCTGGAAAGGTTTGGGAAGTCGCGGTAAACCAATCCTATCGTCCGTAGAGATTTGTTGGCATAGGATTCGATGATATCTAGAATCTTCCGACCATCCTCCTGGGTGAACTGATTGACGGCAATGCCGGCGGTGCCATCCATATCAGCTGCCTTCGTCGAGCATACGCTGGCCATGATCTCAGCAGCTCCTTTGACGAGAAGTCGGTAGCCCACTGTAGGCTCCCGATATACCACTCCCATGCACTTGCGGGCGGAATCAAAGGGAATCAATTGGACTACCTCCGCGGACCCACGTTCAGCGGTGACATCCATACCAAGGTAGTCTTTAGCCAGTTGTAGCAATGCTACTTCGGTTTTACTCCCGATGAACTCTTTGGAGCCATCCCTTTCCTCTTCAAATGCGGTTGAGTTGAGTGCAATGCTCTTGACGATCAGATCACGCGTCCTGGACGAAAATTGTTTGAAAGTCTCGGTTGCAGTCATCGACGAATTGAAGCCGCAGTCAGTTGTATCTTGACTGAAGCTCTTCGACCCAAGAGTCCCCGCGACTACAGTCATTTTATTTTGGGTCAAAGTTCCAGTTTTGTCAGAGCAAATGACTGTGGCATTTCCCATGGTTTCACAAGCACGAAAGACGCGAACAAGATTGTTCTCTTTGACCATCCGTGTTGTGGCAAAGGCGAGGGCCAAAGTCACAGCCAGGGGGAGACCCTCTATATCTCATTAGTACTCAAACATCATGGAATCCAAGACCGATGTAACTTACCAGGGATAGCGACGACGATAACAGTAACAGCAACGATGAGAATATCTACAAATTCCTTGCCCTTGTGAGCAGGAGAGGCAGGGTTGTCCGGGAGTTGAGCAACGAATCTGAAGAACAACGCGAAGAACAGGATGATTGCGGCACTAAAAATGTCAGCCATATCGCCCCCAAGTAAAGGCACGCTTACTAGTCTTACCCAGAACCTAACCAGCCAATCCAATTGGCAAGCTTCCCTAGCTTGACTTGCAAAGGGGTGGGATCATTGCTCTCCTGTAGCGACAGCAGAATGCGTCCATAGGTCGAGTAACGCCCAACGCTCGTTACTAGGAAAGTCCCTACACCTTCAAGGACCTTCCCGCCGGAAATCATGAAGGGATCGAGCTTTTTCGAGGCAGTGCCGGTTGTAATCTGCATCCAAACTTCATAACCATCGGTTTTTTTCATCTGATCTGATTCTCCAGTAGCAGAGGACTCATCACACTTTATTCCATGACCGGATATCAGAACTCCATCGGCAGGGATAGAGTCACCAGGCTCGAGGTGGAGAACATCCCCGACGGTAATATCAAATATCGATATCATGGACACTTTACCCGAGCGGACGGCTTTAACTTCTCTGTCATTGTTCTAGGGCTGTTAGTTAATATTTACGATAACTGAGATGGTATACTTACCCGTTTGTTCAATTTGGCAAACTGCCTTTCTTTCTGCCAGTCATTGGCGGCTGTTACAACGGTGACAATCAAGATTGCAACGCAGATAGCGACCCCCTCAACCCAGTCGACTCCCGAGCCTTCACTGACGGTCTCATAGATACCTAAGGATAGTGATACGATAGCGGCAATGGTAAGCAGGATGATGATTTTATCATTATATGCCAGCCAAAGCAACTTCAGGAAGCCAGTCGATTTGCGAGCGGGCAGTCTATTTTGGCTGAAGATGCGTACTCGATCCCGGAACTGTGAGTTGGCCTCAATTGCGGGAGTCTCTGTGGTTGAGGAAAATGGTCGTTTGGCGTTGGTCTTTTCAGGCGCTATCGCTTCCTGGAAGCTGATTGTGCCTTCTAAGTGACCTTCATCAACGGACAACCCGGCCGTCAAATCAGTCCGCAAGCCGCGCTCCAGGCCATGTAAGCCGCCAAGCGCTTGAAAGGCAGCCAGAGACTTTGGATTTTGCATCTTGTTGAGCTGGCCAGGTGAGAAGGCAAACTTGTTATCTTCAACGATGAAATCATGTTCATTTCGGGCGTCTGGATTCAAAGCGTCTGCTACTGAGACATCGTCGTAGACAGCTTTGGTGGTGGTGGTGGCTGCTGAGTTTGCTCTTGACCTAATAACAGTATCTGCATTGGAGATAGTTGAGTCTGCTCTTGACCGTAAAGTCTCACCGTCAAGTGAGTGTGATGATCGAGGGGGACCATGCTGGACCGACAGCCGGTTTGGACTGAGAGTCGACGCCATATCTGGTGATAAGGAAGATGGCTGGGCTAACGATGTGTCTGTTCGCCATGACCCAGGAGAAAGGGACGGCTGCTTTTGTATCAATACAAGCACTGATGATATTAGGCGAGAGATTTTGAAGCTTACCTCTCTGACAGCAGAGACCCCTGCGAAGGGGTTCAAGAACCCCTCCTGACGGTCTTCGTTTGGAGTCTGCATTCTGCGACCAACGCACTGAATTGATTCGTTGGTGAGCAAAGCGGAACGGACATTAACATCAATATGTATGGGAGTATCAGAAATCCCTCAATTAAGGGCATGTGCAGAGTACAGGTGATGAGGAAGGATGCGTTCTCTTTATCTAACAAGGAGGCTGTGTAAACGCCGAGACTGGCTAATGATAATTGAGTAAATGGTATATTCATAAATTGGGATAAGATTTATGTTTTAGGTTTGTTTTGCCATATATGACTCTCGCATAGAGGGCGACAAGATTGCCAAGTACCACTCAAGAAAACACGGCAGAAGTACGGCCACGACCAAGCCATCTACAGGAAGACCTGAGCTCGCATTAGATATCTGCAGGCTCAGCAAACTTTCTCATAGTCTTCGGTGGGTGCAAAAGTGCCTAGTCGTGTGAGTGGGCTCCAACCGACATGGATTGGCATCACATTTCCACTTTGCACAGCCTCCTTGAAAATCTCCCAATTCCCGAAAAGCTCCAAAGGGGGGTGCCCTCAACGAGTCACAACGATCGGGCTCTAATCTAAGAGCGGGGTCTGTCACCCATGCCAACGAGCTTCATGATCAAACTGACTTTGCCGAGAACGAGTAAACTAGGGAATATAACCGCCCAAGGAATCTGATATCCTCAACCGTTACGCTCCCTTTTATTTTAAAGGACGCGAATCCGGCATTTGCAATATTTCCCAACCGCAGCCAACCGCGCGGGGTTCGATAGTATCAGTGCATAGCCATCAAACAATTTCAGTGGCTCGCGGTGAGCGTTAAAATTCCTAAAGAAGCGGCGAATAGAGATGCGGAGTCCGGACGGCGCTACCGGCGGAGGAAGAACGATCCAAAAACACGGGCCTGGTTAATTCAAGAGTCCAGATTTGACGCCAAGTTGTGGTTAATGAATACCAGTGGGCTGCGCCTCCTCCGCCAATAGCTGTGAGAAAGCTAATTATCCAAAATTTTTTCCCCTCAGGTTGTTAGACCACATGATTTGCGGGTTAGTGATTGCTTTTGCCTCCTGTGGTCGGAGTACATACTCCGGAGTAGAGTAGAATAAAGTGAGGATCGGTTCTACTACTAGATAGTACTAGTAGTCGCATGACGATGCACGAGGTTCCACATACCAATCAGAGCTGTTGCTGGCGAATTAAGCAACGATGAAGTGCACTCGCCACATGTGTGTGGCTGAGTATGTGGCGGTGCGGCTAGCAGCCGGGTTTCTTGTTTGGAGTTAGATGTCCACCAAATATATCATTCATTGAAATCTGCAACCGTGAGTGGCATTGCATTGTTTACTCATTTCCCACATGTGGTTGAGGCAAACCAGTCAGTATTATAAGACGCGTGGCGGACTCTATAGAGTGGAAGGCGCCGCGTAGGCGCTGTAGTTCTGAGCAACTACTAAGAGCGCTTTTTGTGGGCATAACCCGCGTGATTAGTCGTCTGAAGCTGAATCTGACAGACATTGAGGCTTAGAGTGTTGAGAAAGCTAGGTTGCCTAGAAAAGCCATGAAGATGAGAAGACTATTGAATGAATGAGGTTAGAGCAAGAAGAGAGAAGAGAGAAAGAGAGAGAAAAAGGCAACAAAGGAAGAAGATTGTATGATATCCACTTAGGCAACACCATTCAATTGGATATGTATTGTGTGTGTCTATACAGCGTTTATTACATTGTTCTACCAAAATTTCTGCGGGAAGTAGACACAAAAGCGGATGTATTACCAATACGATGTATCCTACGACAGAGAAGGCTCCATATGAACATTGGAACTTCATCTTGTACAACTCTCATCTATGAGGCTCTGCAAGATCAGAAATGTCAAAACGCTGTTGCTTGATGGAGTCAGCCACAAATCCAAATTACCAATCTACATCAGCTAGCCCAGCATATCGATTTCCCAAGCCACAGAAACACTCTTTTGATCGTTTAGCAGGTGTATCCTCACTCTCCCTCCGCCTCAGCACCTCCTCCATTCCCCACGCAATCCTTTCTGCCCCGAGTCTCGCACCTTCAAGATTAGGAGCTCCCGGGCCTAGACGGAGGGCAGCCAGGCGTCCGGTTACGAACAAAGGTATATTAGCCTTCCACATGAGATCATCTGTAATGCATGGAAGACCCTGCTTGGTCTCAATCGGATACTCGCGGTTCATCCGCTGAAGCAGTGGAAGTTCGCCCACATCCGCCTGCATGCCTGTTGCAAAATAGATGTAGTCGATGCGAGGGAGGTCAGGAATAGGAGGATCGGTGGTGAGATGCCACGTCTGAGACATGGGGCTGTACTCACGGCCACAGATGACTGTGCGCGGGTGGATCGAGACCCGGTGGCGGGCTGCGTGCTGCTTCAGGATTTTCTGATACCGCGGTGTAATGCTGCCTCCATTCCGGGCTGTTTTGATCATCTCGAGCCGCTCTTCGTCGGTGTCTGCGGACCAGAAGGCTGCCTTTTCAAAATTCTTGAATTTGCCCATCCACGTCAGGTCGATATCGAAGTGTTTGACTAGTTACTTCTGTTAGGCACATTGCGCATCGGAAGCTGATGCCTATTACTTACCCTTGAAATCGGACCTCAGCAGGAACCACACTTTGCTCACTCCTTTCCGAATAGCCATATCCACAATCTGTGCTGAGGAGAGTCCTCCCCCAACAACCACCAAGTTTGTCTCCTGACGTTGCTGGATCTTCCTTCTCAAATTAGGACTGGGGAATGATCGGATCTCTGTGCTGTGACAAGCACCATTCTTCTCTTCACCATTTAACTTAAATGGAAAGACCTTCGTCCTCCCCGGCCCAATGGCCATCACAACCGCCCGACTATAAAACAAAGCTCCATCACTTGCAGTGACAGTAAATATCTTCTCGGAAGGCGACAGCTCCGGGTGATAGCCATATTGGATATCATTGATCTCACATTGCTGGATCATACCGGGCGTATTAAGGCCATACCGCGCTACGATGCTCGAGCAATAGTCCTCAAAAAGCCCCGTAGAAGGTGAAAAATAATCCTTACGATCCCGTTCATCGATTTCATTTTGTCCCATAGCCCTATAATCCCATCCACTGATTAACCCCCGAAACGGAGACGGCAGTAAGAGAAAGGGGTAATACTCACACAGGCTTTGACCGCAATTTCTTCTTCTTATGCTTGCTCAACTCCTTGCCTACACACCCAGGGATCTCCCAAAGATCACAGTCCCTCCCTGTCTCCTGCGTATACGCCAACATCCCATCACGATCACTCGGATCGACATGAAAGAACATGGGACTGCGAAGCTGCTGGATCTCCAACGTCTTGAATGCCCGATTCCACCGCTCCATCCATTTATTTCCTGTGCTATCTAAGACAAGGATGGAGGGAGAGGCGTCCTTTACTATCCCGGTTTCCGTCTCTGAAGCAGTCGAGACGGACGAGGACAGCGATGGTGGAGATCCGGCCATAGTCTGCGATTGTGTAAACAAGAAGGACTGACGAGAGGTATATCCGTGCCACTTCTCTGCCTTAACCTTTTTTTGTTTGCCATGGCGGGCTTGTACGAGGGCCATTTGGCCGCTATGTTTGTTGATCCAGTGATAGCGTTGATGTTCGTCGTCTGTGAACATGGCGGAAGGTGTTTCCTCTTTCAGTCTGGCAGCGACGGCGAGTCCGCATGGGCCGGCACCGATGATGATTACATCGAGGAGGTCAGGGAAGGAGGTTGAAGGAGTGGCTGTGAGTGTTTTGGAAACCATCGTGGTGCTATTCGTTGGTTGTCTGTGATTGTCGAGGGGTTGACATTTGAAAATCAAGATATCGCCAGAAGGGTTGAAGTCTTTATATAAAAGGCAGTTACACGAGACAGTCCAGCCCAGCTTCTATTATATTTGCTAGCGGTAAATGATCGCCTCCGGGGTACTTGGATCCCAAGGTCCTTTTGGGCCAAGAATGGCAGCTATGCTGATGGGTTGATCACGATATGCGTCATGAGGACCTTGGGGAATAGGGCTTTGGGAGCTTTTGGACGTTATTGCTCCTATCGATAACAATGCTGTTTATCTAGTGCAACTTGGGCAATATAACCAGAGATTAGGTCGTATCTATTCAGATTCTCCTAAGTTTTATAGAGGAAATAACGAGGACCATTCTGCTCCGTAAGCTTCAAAGAAACAAATTTAATAATTATATTAATAAGACAACAAAATGATCAACATCAGAGAATACACATTAGAATTACGAGGAATAGCCCAGCTTCCTCTTTTTCTTCCCTCCTTTTTTTGAATTTTCCTTTTTTCCTCATTACTTATGCCATTTTTTTGGTTTGCATTCCACACCGGTTACTCGCGAACGTGGAGCTCCTCCCCCCTCGCGGCGATGCCAGGCATCTTGTGGCCAGATCCAGCCTCTCACTCGTTTCGCGTCTCTTTTTTCTCCGATTTGGGGTTCTGGGATCCATTTATCCTTCCCTTCTGGGAGGATGCGCTGCCGGGTCAGGGCTCCCGGCCCGCCAACGTTGAGGTGAGATGACGGCTGGGACGGCAAGGGCACAGATTTAGAGAGCATTAGTAGGAAGTATAAGGCCAGGCTTGTGGTCATCGGTACGTCAAGCTCTTCTGGAGCTGGTGAAGAGTACGTGTCCAACACGGGGGATTGACTGGCTAATGAACTGTCGGTAGACGGTGTAGGGGAATGAGGATGGCTGTAAGGGGCTGAGCAAGATCCCAAGTAGCCTTCGTCCGGACCCGCCGCGAGCTTAGTGGGTATAGGAGCTGAAACCTCAAGGAAGCCAAAGTAAGGCACGTCGTCACCCTCGTCGCACCCTGCTCGCACACAGACAAGCTCAATCTCTGTGATGATGAAGCCGTACCGGCAGGAATGTTCGCGCATGCACCGTTGGAGATGCGCTAGACCATTCAGGTACTCGACCCGGCGATGAGGCGCTTCAGTACGCATACTAGTGTTCCAACGGTCGAAAGTTTTGACAATCCCAACCAGCCGTCCCCGAGGCAGACCTGAGCTCGTTCGCTCCGTATCTGAAGCATAGTTTGCAAGGAAGTGAGGGCCTCCGTAATTCCTATTGGCGTGGATCCGTGGGACAGGGGCAGGATAGAGGGCAAGGTGATCTGGGCCTTGAGAAACGGCCAGGGCTGCATTCACACGTGGCGCATAAATATCTTGGACGAGATCGACCAACGAGAATTCAGAGTCGGGACAAAGACGGGAGCTAGGGACGATAGTAGGTGGAGTCAGATGTGACGGGATTGCTGTCTTCAAGAGCTTTGTGAGGCCATTGATTGAGTGGAATGTGGGCAGAGAGAAAGAGGACCAGTTGCGCAAATTGCGAATATCCCACCAGAAATAGTCATGCATCCCTCGAGTTGGTATTACACTCACGTTACGGACCAAGTTGATAGCTTGTGTTGGTGCAATCAGGTATGAAAGGAGAGTCGTAGATGACGGGCCCATTCTATAAACATCGTGTGCAAAGCCAACCGGGGAGCACTGGGCACTGGATGTGTGGCCAGCCGGGGAAGGCTGAGAATAAGGTGGGTACACAATGATGTTTGGTGTGACTGGGGTGACGGGTGCAGTTGGTGACCCCTGCGGTAGGCTAGAGTACTTCGGAAGCTGCCTATAGGTGGGATAGCCATATCTAGCTAAGGTTGCATCATCGATACTAGACACGGAGCAGGACCGAGAATGTGCACTAGACACCTTGCGCTTGTGCGAGGACGTTATGCTCACGGGAGATGCCAGTGCTGAGTCAACGTACATAGGGGAGATTGGAGATGCAAGAGGGCAGTAATCCACATATTCTGTGCTATGACGCTGAATTGCTGCACGGTTGGGAGGATATGGTAAGAAGCAAGGCGTGTTCCGGGTGTTTGATAAAACCTTGCGATGACGCTGCGGTCCACTGGACGGTGAAGGTTCAATGACCACATCCTGATCTCTAATCTTGGGAAGAAGAGCGGGTCCATGATGGTAACGAGGAGGAGAATCAGTGCTCGGGCTGGTAGCCGAAGTGACTGCGGACCAAGGCGAGGAATCGTTGGAGTATATAGATGAGTCGGATGCATTGCGGCTGTGAGCCATGCGAATGGTTCCCTCATAAGGCAGCCCTGGCGGAGTGCTTGGCCTATAGTATGAGTATTCCAGAGACATGATATCAAATTGTGGTCTCCGAGAAGCAGAAACGGCCTGGTTGGAATCTGCTGCCGTAGCGGGAGGGAAGATCCAGCTTCCACAATGTATCAAAGAGCGATAATCGCCAATGGTTGTTCGAGAAGAAAAATAGAAGGAGGACGAAAACACTTGTTTAATGTTTGGATAAGGTATCACAATGGAATCATGGTCTGGTTGAATGGTCATGCCCATCCAGATGGAAATTGTTTGGATATAAATGCACTTCGGTCAAAGGCCCATATGGTCTGATTTTGATCTTAAAAAAGTAACCGATAGACATGACCAGAATAGTAGCACATGAAACATGGCAAAAGCTCCATACTGACGCCTAAGTCACTAGTCACCGAGAGGGACTGTCCATATTGGTGATGGTGAGGCAATTGACACATGGTCTGCCGGCATGTCTTTGGATAATGCACGAAACAAACGAGCTTAGAGCTCAGGGAGCCGGCAGACGCTGTTTCATCTAACAGTCGCGCGTCAATTTGTTGCTAAAAATTGCATCTGCTCGAGTTCTTCAGATCTAATCGAGATCTTCGCTGATCCTATCTCAGGAACGGTTCGTCATAAACAATAGAAAGCTTCTATATTCGGCAACACTTGTGTTTCGTGCTATTTCTGGATAATTGTAGCTAATTTAATTATCAATTTCACCCAAAGCGTCTCGCCTAGGAAGATTAGTAGTCGGCGGCAAGCAGGAAATTAACGATTGGCATACCTTGATAGGGTGTGCTCCTTGAGGATTGATCACAGCTCCAAGCGCCGGGGGTTGATAACGGGACCTGCAGGATATGGGTGGAACAGTAACAAGAACCGCCGGTTCAGGCCAATCAATGCGGTGGATAGAGCTCCAGAGATACAAGCAATCGGTGTGATGGTTCCATTGTCCGAGTCTTTCTAAGAATACATTCCTTTGACAGTCTTGAATTGGAGCAATGGAGTTTGTTGCAGTAGGCGCCGACTTTCCTTCAGTTCGGCGCCAGGCTCCCTGAGTGGTTCATTCCTCTCGATCACCTGCAGCGTTCCTGGCTTTAATGAAATGGACAAATAACACTGAATCCCAAGGATTTGGTTTGAGCTAATTTATTGGATTGGATGAGAAGAAGGGAAAGCCTCAAACCCCGAAGGAAAAAAGAAGAACCGATGAAGGATGAGACTGCAGGAAGGGCCTGGCGCGAAGGAGTGTAAATGGCTGTCATGCGATTACTTAATTGAGGCGATTCTATTCTTGAAATACAATCTGTTTCAAATTCTTTTTAATAATTTTTTTAATAATTTTTTTTTGCGGAGTTATGATATTTCTATCTTTATCCTCGGAAGGAATCTTTAACATATGTATGTCGTCCCTACTAGGGTTGTGATGCCCGTTTCTGGTTAGGGTTCAGAAGTGTCTTAGTAAGCGAAGTCTGCCTGGCAAACTGTGTCAGGCATCAATCAAGAATAAAGCTACGAGACAGATACTTCGACAGGTATATCTTTTGTACCATATGTAATAAATTGATTAATATGTTAAGTAATAAAATTTTCTCATCAACCCGGAAGCATTCAAGCGACATTTCGGGGTAAAGAGCAGCATCGTCATCATGCTAGCTCTTAAAAAACCGAAAAAATTGCTTTCCTTTCTGGATATCTCCTAAAACCCAGATCAGGCAATATAATAACAATCGACCGATGAGACAGCCGGCAGGTATGACCCAGCTCTCCAGCTCTATCAAGGCAACCAAACACGACAATATGGTGATGAGGGGAATCTAAAGAATCATCTAAAAAAGGAGTAAAATGGAATAAGAAAAAGAAGAGGAAACCGATCATGTCCAAAGAAATGTCAAGCGCTAGCCATTATTCATGCCTTAACCTCATACTTGCGGCGGAACATGTCGTCCACCTCAGTAAGGTAGTAGGTGTTGGGGAAGAGCATCTCCGTGTTACCAGAAGGCTTGAAGTTCTTCTTCAGGTGAGCTTGCTTACGCAGGGCACACATCTAGAAAAATGATAGTTAGTACATGGCACTGCAAGTAAAAGGATGCAAAAATTTCCAGGGGAAAAGTATCGCTTACATCAACATAAGCCTGAGGGGCCAAGACGCTTCTGGCATTGAGGCGGTTGTGGAGGTCGAGCTTCTCAGTCATGTAAGACACGTCACCAACAATCTTCGCACTGAACATAGAAGCAGCGAGACCACTGCCATAGGAGAAGAGTCCAATGCGTTTAGGCTCGCTGGGGTCAAAGGTGACGTTGCTGAGTAAACTGGCCAGACCAGCGTAGACGGTGGCAGTGTACATGTTACCGCAAAGGGTAGCAACGTCAAGGCTGGGCCTCACACGTTCAGCAAAGCGCTTCTTGGTCAGGCCCATGAAAGTCTTCTCCACGTTTTTGTCGGTAAGAGACTTGCTGTAGTCCAAACCGCGCAGCTCAGGGGCGACTTCAGCGAAAGCGGGGTGGGTGGGGTCCTCGAGGAAATCGTTGTAGAGCATACGACCGTAAGATTTCTGAACTAGTTTGCAGGTGGGCGAGTGGAACAAAATATAGTCAAAGCGGTCCAAGGGAGTCTTGGTCACATCGTGGGCCACACCGTTGGTTCCATTCTGGACCTTCTCCTTCAGCGTCTTCTCACGAGCGGCGTAGGCCTTGTAGCAAGCATCAATAGCCTCAGTATAGCACTGAAGGGAAAACTGGCCATCAACGACGGGGTATTCGCTGGTGAGATCGGGCTTGTAGAAATCGTAGGTGTGGGTGACATAAGAAGCGCGGAGACCAGGCTCGAAGACAATAGGAGCATCAGGACCAATAAGCATGGCAACGCAGCCAGCACCACCAGTAGGGCGAGCATTTCCCTCGGCATATAAAGCAATGTCACCGCACACAACCACGGCATCTCTTCCATCCCAGGCAGAAGACTCGAGCCAGTTGATGCTGTTGAAGACAGCGTTGGTACCTCCGTAGCAAGCATTGATGTTGTCGACACCCTCAACGTTGAAGTTTCCGCTTTCTTTAAAAAGCTGCATCAAAACTGACTTGACAGACTTGGACTTGTCCAAGAGAGTCTCAGTACCGACCTCGAGACGACCGATCGATTCGGGGTCGATGCTGTACTTGCGGAGGAGGGAGGAGAGGGTGGTCAGAGCGACAGAGTATATGTCTGTAGTACAGGTTACTTAGCAAGGGGAACAAACGAGATCCGGGATGGCAAGAATAACATACCCTCAAGGTCGTCACAGAAGCTCATTTTCGTCTGTCCCAAACCAATTGTGTACTTGCCCTCACTGACACCATCGAACTTTTCCAATTCGGTTTGTTCAACACACTGTATGCATTGTGAGCAAGGGTTCTTCTTGTTCTCTCAAGAGCCTTTTGCCGATGAACTAGAGTACATACTTGCTTGGGAAAATAGACCTCAATGGCCTTGATACCAATGTTCTGAGGACGAGCAGACATAGTGGTGGCGTAAGGGGTAGGTAGAATCGAAGTCAAAGTGAACAGCGAAGGACTGAATTTTTGTTAGAGAACAGAAGGAAAGAGTAGGCAAAATAGAAATAGGAGAAGAATGGGTAAATTAGAAGAGAGAGAGAGAACAAAAAAAAGGAACGACGAAGAGCAGGAAGCTGCATATATAACAACCCAAGGGCTTTCCGATCAGATTCCCTAGTGGTAAGTAACTTTTTTACACACTGAGAGGCAAAAATGACCGGGGTCCAGTCCCGGATTGGCTGGTGAGCTGAGGGTGGACCCTCCCTTTTGACGCTCGTGGTTGGACTGGGCTGATTTTTCGGCCTGAGGCCTCTAAGCCTTACCAGAAGTAGTTTAGCGGCACTTAGCTTAGTTGTGCATTGTGGTAAGAATGGTAACGGCAAGTACGGATCAGCAGATTAATTTCCCCACTCTGGTGTACTCCTCCATCCAAATCTATCTCCAGGATCTAATGTACACGGTACTCTACATACTAGAACTCCTTTTCACCAGCAAAACTGCGCAACCTATGAAAGAATTTGCAACTTGCATCAACATTGGGCAAAGGGCTTGCCTGATTTCGAATCGCCCCCTCCCTTTTTTTGTTCTCACCGACAATTGTATCACCCGGATTCCCCCTTAACCAACCCACCAATGTACTGACTGTATGACTGTACATCTAAAGTATCACGATGTTATATGGGCGATAAGTAGTGGGCTGCTTTGGAGTATAGTAGTAGCAAAGATCCATTTCAGGCGCCCCTATGTGGGTTCCACCCGTTTGCCCGAATGTTCAAATTTTTATCTTTCTATTTTTCACCCCTTTTCTCTCACTCTGTCTTGTTAGAACCACACATAAGTCCTACTTCTGCGCAGGTGGTTCTCCAATAATTCCTCATACCAACATAGGGTAGGGCAATAGGGTATCAGGTGTGATACTCCTATCAGTATCGATCAAGGAACTTCCCTACATTGATCCACCCACACACCACCACGTATGTAATGCAAAGTACACTTTTTCTTCCTCAACTGGGCAATTGACATTCATCTGTCTTAGTCTTCCTCGCTGACTTCAAAGTACAGCATCTTGTATCCATGCGAATAGTACCTATCCCATGATCCATGTCCTACACCTCAACCCTGTAGATTATCAATTAAGTTTTTACCTAACTTTTCATACCTGTGACAACACCTTCAAAACAATGAAACACACGCGACATAATAAATTAATGAAACTACTTTAACATAATAGCCATGCTCATCCATTCTCACTTGCGTGTACTTACCCAACGGGTCACACCTTTCTATTTTTTCCCTTCTTCTTTTCTTTTCTTTTCTTCTTCTTCTTTTCTTTTCTTTTCTTTTTTTTTTGAAGTCCTTTTCCTCTTGTGATGATGATATCCACTCCATGGTAGTTTCGACCTCGGAAAGGGAAAGCCTCCAAGAACAATCAATCTTATCATGTGGATCCCACCCTATACCAATTACCCAACATACTAGGTCCGGAACCCCAGTATTAACATTACAAAGGTTCCGATGTCGCAAAGGGGAACAATATCATATTTACGAGTAACGTGATTTCTCTCGAGCAAATCTACATGCGACATGTCTCCACTTGCATACTAAAAGAGCTGTTCTTTCGGAGCAGCGATCCCACGGGATTTGATAGCAATCCTCCTTACGGACCGGGGTACCTGGTCTCTCGAGGTAGAATTCAGCCTCCATGCACCAAACTTTTCAAGGAGGCTAGTCATATTTACTAATGTAGCAAGGAAAACCATAGACATCCTGACGGATCCACCAGGTTTTCGCGAGTTTCGGCTAAACCCCCGAACATTTACATACAGTTTTCCTTCGTCGGGTCCATAGATAGTAAAGTGGTCTGGCTTGGCCGGCAGAATGAGTCTTCTAAGGGCGGGATCTTTTAATTATCGTGGCTGGTGGGCTAGTGAGACCGAAAATGCACGGTTGTCCGCAACCACCATACTGAAGGCTTTTGGTACGTTCATGAGATATTAGAGGTTTTCCTTCATCTTCGCTAGCAGCAACCTAGCGAGTTTTATTGGATTTATGGGGTATTAATCAAAATTAACCGCCTTTGTCAGCTCTAATGATATATTTCCGAAACCTTTTATATCTTAACCTGAACATATACCCTGCCCGGAAGGGTCCGTTTATAGCAAGAAGATCCTCCAGTGTATTGACTTTGGAAGCAGAGCGGACACAACATGTGGGCGACAGTTCTGATAGTGGAATCCTTGAAAGCATATCTCATGACTACCTGAATCTTACGGTGCGTGTGACCAACATAAGCATCTACACATGACAGCCACCCTTACCAGTTCGCTTCCTAGTCATTCCTAAAACCGAACAGAAGAGCCGCTTCCATCCCTGAGGCAGAGAGATAGTCTTTGACAATAGCATCTACACCTCCTTGGTCCTCTCTCCCCCTAAGGCTAGGCGCTACCTTGTTTTATCGCAAGGCGAGGTCTTCATTATCTGAATCCATGAGGTCTGTATTGTACCAGTCTAATCCCAGAAGCGTAAAGGGATCTTGCAGAACCGCCACTGGCTTTTCCCGAATAACTGCTGGTGATATGCTTTTAATATGAGTACCGTCAATCGTATTGTTGGCAAGGCGAAGTAGACCTAAGATGAGGGAGTTTTCCCTCTGGATGAAGGAGGTAAATCAGCACACAAGACCTAGGACAGGTTTCTGGTGATATCAAGACAAGTCATACCTATTTGTACGGCTACAGATCCCGATATTTTCACTATGGAAGTCACGAATAAAGACATTCTCCTAGGCAAGGTACCGTGTGTATACCTAATCAAGATGTTACTAAAGGTCGCTATCTGGGCACTCAGGTTTTCTACATACTTGATAGCCGCCTTAATAAAAGTCGGCTGGCCAAAACCTATCATGCCGAGTCTCTCATGGAGACTTCCTCAACACCATCAACATTCAGCCGAAGATTTGAGATTTTTAGGCTCTGTAGGACCCTAATTCATTACTTACCACTATGTCAAGTATCTGAGAAATTTTTAAGAGGAAGAAATTCTTATCTATAGCATTAGAGATATCTTTTCTTTACACCTAGTCCTATATCATTTACTCGACACTTCCTTCAGCTTCCTATGACCATTATCCCTCCATTCCCGTGCCAGTATACCGAAGGTTAACATATCATGCCACTCTCCATCGTACCAGATAGCCTCCCTTTGCCGCCCTTCCAACTGGAAACCCAAGCGTTCATAGAGACGCGATGCGCCCAAGTTATAAGAGAAAGACAGAACTGCGATACGGTGCAACCCAGCTTTTCGGAAGCCCCAGTCTAGTACCCATTCAATCGCTTCGCTCCCGAAACCACAATTCTGATAGGGCTTGGCAATATCAATGCTAACTTCGCTATTGCGATGATGGCTGTGTCCTGGTTCGCCCTTTTTGAGAGCAATAATCCCGACTGAAGTCCAGGCATCCTGACCAATGGCGGCTCTGCTTGTGTTGCGCTCTTCTTTTTCCCGGGGCCCATCCTGTGCCTTATCATTCGGCAGTAAGATAATGACTGCTAGCAGGCTGTCCTTAACCAGATGTTTCTTGTAGCCATTCAATGTATCTTGCTTCGTTTGTGGTTTCAGCAACGTTGAGTTTGAGGTCGCATAAGAGAGTGGATCCGACTGGATGGAATGAATAAAATCGTCGTCTTCTGGTGTATCTTCAATGGCTCGGTAAGCGAGTCGCTTTGATCGGAAAGGGTTGAAGGTTGACATGATGATAGTATATGTTGTAGCAATGCAGGTAGGTAGGTTAACTTCTAGGCATGAATATAGAACGACTGGTAAGGCTTCTACTATACAACTTGGGTGTGGCAGTTGGCTTCAAATAAATCACATCTTGCTGACAAGCCGAGACTTAACCGGAAAGAGTGCCCGCCATTTATTGGATCCTTGGGGGTGATATGGAGGTATAATTATTATTGACTCCCCCCACACACTCGATAGGAATTGCACCAGTCCCTATCGAAAAATCATAACTCGGACGTAATTCATCGAAAGGTGAGTTCTCCTGGTATCAGTTCTAGCTCCTAGTCCAGAAATATTAAGGACTTTAGTTTCGTCAATTGTACCATGAAAACCTCATACATCTATGAGAGAAGTCAGTATTTGGTGTCTTTATTGTAGTGCTTAGGGACAAGTTTACTTTTATAAAACAACTTGAGATATATTAAGCCCCAGTTCGTTAGGGTACATTCTATGATCTATCCTTCTCTCTCCCCTCTAATAACTATACGTCGTGTGTTAACATCCATACAAAATACGCTAGCAAAAGATAGAAAGAGAAAAAGTGTAGAATAAGATAGAAAAATATAGGAGAAGGAAAGAAAAGAAAAGAACACAATAGGAAGGATATTCATGTCAAGAGAATTAGATGAGTGAGAAGGTACATATATTGTATGGGAGGAGTACAGCAACTGTTTATATACTGGTGTGTACTGTATGGTAACTGTACCTGTATGTTGTGTATGTACTATATGTATGTATCTTAGAACGATCTTTAGGTGAATCTTCTCTTCCATCTTTTCTCTCTCTCTCTTCTCCCTGCGAAGAGATATTTTGAATACGGTGAAGTCTCATAAATTCTTTCGATACGTTCATGGGAGATATTTGCAAGAGCCATTTCTGACCATGTGCGACCCTTCGGTTCAATCAAAAGTCCAAAACCCTTCTGCCTGCTTACAGATCGGAGTGCCGAGCGTGGGTCTCGTTCTCGTCTCGCCTGCGCCACGCTTTCGACTGACATTCTGGGGAAAGGACAACGGACGACGCCTCAAACTCTCTATCTATCATTTACTAATTATCGCTCTCTCTCTTTCCCTCTCTCCTTTTCTTCCCCGTGGACCTCCCACCCCTCCCGGTCCCTGAATCCCTTCTTTCCCTTTCTTAATCCTTTTTTGCCTAAATTCCTCTCTTTTAGTCGTTCCTGCCTTCTCTCGGATCTGGGAGCATGTTTGCGACTATCACTCCTTTTCCATCCAGATCATGATCCCGCTTAGTCCGGTATCTGTGACCCGGTCCAACTCGTACGGCTCCCCGGAGCCCCAGATCCTCTATCATGGGCAACGACACTAAGTTCGAATACGAAGCCCTCCCTATTCCCTCCTACGAAGAGGCCGTGGGTGCCCGCCCAAGCTCCTCCCGATCTGACCTCGGTCCCGAAGCGCACGACGATTCCGAGAGGCAAGGTTTGCTTCACAATGTCGACGATGCCACTTCCCGCGATGATCCCAGACCCACACCTCATGGATACCACCCTCCTACGGTCGAGTCTGTTCGAGATAGCCTGGATGGCCTCGACTCCGCGAGCGGCGGCTCGGAAAGGGGCTCACTCGAAGAGTTACAGCGAGAATTAGCGCAGATGGATGTGGAGGATGGTGGTCAACAGTCGTCTCAACGCTCCCGTTTGTTAGGTTCTCGATTCTCCAAGCGGTTCAGTAATTTCACACGGTCCCTATCCGCCATTCGCCTTCCTAGATTCCTACCGACCTTCCGCCTCACCGTTGACCTTAATGGCGCTCGTACAAATCTGCAGACGCACGGGTGCATGATTATGCTGCGCTTATTCGGACTCTTCTTAGTAGTTACCATTGTCTATATCTTCTTTATATCAGACCTCTTCAACATGAACTCGCGATTTATCATGGGCCAGTCCTATAGTGCGACATCTGTGGAGAATTTCGTCCAAAGTCACGTCAACGAAACGAATATTGCGGAGAATTTGAGAAGAGTGACTAAGTTTCCTCATATGGCTGGTACTGAAGGAAGTTTTGTGCTGGCGGAATGGATGGAGCAGGAGTTCAAGACCGCAGGCTTAGATGAGATCGAGATGGAGGAGTTCCAGGTATATTTGAACTATCCCAGAAAGGGTGGAAGGAGAGTCGCTATTGTGGACCCTCCCGATCTATCCTGGGAGGCTAGCCTTGAAGAAAATGACGGGAAAACGCCCGTGTTTTATGGGCATTCCAAATCGGGAAATGTCACTGGCCCAATTGTCTACGCCAATTATGGTTCTCGGGAAGACTTTCAATACCTTGTTGATCAAGGCGTCACTGTGAAGGGCTCTATAGCACTCGTCCGGTATTACGGATCAGAGTCTGATCGTGCATTGAAAATCAAAGCCGCTGAATTAGCAGGTGCAGCGGGGTGCATCATCTACTCAGATCCCTCCGAGGATGGCTTCGTTCGAGGACCAGCCTATCCGGATGGACGCTTCATGCCGGAAGACGGTGTTCAAAGAGGCGGCGTGAGCCTGATGTCTTGGGTAGTGGGAGATGTTCTCTCCCCAGGTTTTGCTTCCACACCGGATGAGAAGAAGAGGCTCAAGCCGGAGGAAAGTCAAGGGTTGACTGGCATTCCTAGCATACCTATCGCCTGGCGCGATGCCCAGAGGCTTTTGCAGGTTATCAAGGGTCATGGCTCTCAGGTGCCTGCCAAATGGGTTGGTGGCGTTCCTCATACTGACCAGTGGTGGACCGGAGACGAAAACTCCCCCAAAGTCAACCTTATGAATATACAGGACGAGGAGGAAAGGCAGCCTATTTACAACGTGCTCGGGAGAATCATCGGCCTAGAACAACCGGAAAAGAAGATCATTGTCGGCAATCATCGAGATTCATGGTGTCTAGGAAGCGCAGATCCGGGTAGCGGCACTGCGGTTTTCCTTGAGGTTGTGCGAGTCTTTGGCGAGCTCCGTACCTTCGGCTGGCGCCCGCTCCGTACTGTTGAGTTTGTCAGCTGGGATGCAGAAGAATACAACATCATCGGATCAACAGAACACGTGGAAAAAGAACTGGAGGCACTCCGTGACAATGCGTACGCTTATATGAACGTTGATGTTGGCGTTAGCGGTAACGAATTCGAAGCTTCGGGATGCCCGGTTTTCGAACGTGTTGTTACTCAGATTCTCGGACGCATATCAGATCCGGTAGCCAATGAGACGCTGAAAGATATTTGGGAAAAGAAACAGAAGAGGCTCGGGCCCCTCGGCTCTGGAAGCGATTATGTAGCGTTCCAAGATATCGCTGGAACATCCAGCGTGGATTTTGGATTTGTTGGGGAACCGTACCCCTACCACAGTTGCTATGAGAACTATGACTGGATGGTACAGTTTGGGGACCCAGGGTTTCAGTATCACAAAGCTCTGGCCCAATTCTGGGGCCTGCTCATTCTTCAGTTCGCGGACACTCCGGTCCTTCCCTTTGATTTGGAAGTATATGCCGACCGTATTGCTTCGTATGTTATTGACTTGGAGAAGTACGCCAAGTCCCAGGATGTTCCGATTACCCACGGCTCTTCCAGTGACCACAGCAGGCGTGAGGTTGCCGTCACATTCAAGCCTTTATATGATGCTGCAACCAAGCTGAAAGATGATACAGCGCAGTTCCAAGAGTGGGCCCGAGTCTGGCATGACACAGTTTTGGGCTCTAGTGGCTTTGAGAACAATGTGATAGCAGTTCAGCGGATGGAGCACAATGCTCGAATGGCTCGCTTCGATACCCATCTTCTGGATGATAGGAAAGATGGCGGCGTAAGGAGCCCTTCGAATCTTGGGATAATAAATACAAGCTAACCATTGCTCAACAGGTGCCGAACCGTACACAATTTAAACACGTCGTTTTCGGGCCTCAGCTATGGTCTGGATATGATGCGACATTTTTCCCTGCCATTCGGGACAGTATCGATTCACGCAATTGGACACTAACTCAGGAGTGGATTCACCAAGTTTCCGACATCCTACGCACTGCAGGTGACAAACTCTTGCATGACTGAGCCATTCTGACTCGCCTTTTCTTTCTCATTCACAAAACGTCGCAATCCTTCGGCATCTTCTCCTTATTCTTCGATATGAACGTTCGGTGAATCTTTTTTTGCATTTAAAACACAATTTAGACTTCCTTCCGCTTATTTTAGCGACTTTTGTATATGTCTATCCGTGTTCTTATCTTGCTTGTTGACCTTTGTGGAGAAATAAGCCATTTTATCACTAACCATAAGCTCTACTGACGCTCATCAAAAGATCTTTCTTGTTGGGTCTGCTATGTCTAGTAGGCATTTACCCTTCTCTGCGCCATATATCCGCTTTCCTTGCATATCTTTCCCTCCATTTGTTATTATCTTACTGTATGTACTTCTTTGGTCTGATGGGGGACCATTTAACTACCCCATCCGGTGTTTCTTTATGGGCAAAAGTCAGAACTCCCTCTGACTTGGAGCTGAGGAGTCGTGGTTTCAAGATCAATACGTGTTCAAATCACTCTCAACGGCATGTCACTTCTCTTATAGGGATGCTACCTCCTATACGTAACATTTCACTTGCTATCTTGCCCAACAGTCTGGTATGATTACACACTAGTCATATATCTCTCAGCCCCAAGGTTAGCATCCTTGCGAAAACTAAAGAATGGCGCAAATACAGATTGTAACACTCCGAATTTTTGCTTCCCTGGAATATCTCTTTTATTCAGTCATTATAAATTTTAAAAGGGTCCACTACTATATACAAAAGAAAGGAACCCAATATCTCATAGATATATTACATAGCGTTGTTATACAACAACTCCGCATGCTATACCGAGCGAACACCAAACCCTCATTGAAAAACAGCACCTGGAAAAGAGGAATGTTGGAGAAATGCAGCAGAAAAGAAAAAAAGATGCGGTATATTTACATATTGCATGGTACCCCTCTCCAGCATATTGACATATTGCTATTATGGCAGCCTGCTGCATTGGCTCATTTTCTGAAGCTTTCAACGCCCAGCGTTGGGGTTTCCACCATCCGATCGCACGGTACGCCCTCATCGCGTCTCCGAGCAAAGAAACTGTCACATTCTGAGACGATCTGCGCCCATTCCGCGAGAGCACGGCCCACGTACTTACTCGCAACAAGTGGGTGGCTCGTTGCAACTTGGGGGGCTGGTTTACTGCAGCCCTTCTCAGATTGAGGGACCGGAGTAGTATTTGTGGAATTCTTCGTCTCATTGGCTGATGGCAAAGTCTCCTGAGCATCGTGCATTTCTGGCCCATCCTCTAGGTCAGTGTCCGATTCACCCGGGTCTGCGGTTCTTCGAAGCTGCAGGTGTAGCTGAGCTGCCACAGGTAGACAGGGAGTGAAAAGACGCTTATTTTTGCTGGGCCACTGGGGCCGATCCATCCACTCCAGTGAAAATTTGAAGGAGTAAGGTTGATGTGCTGTCTTGGGTCGAGAGAGTTCCCCGAAGCTATCATTCGGTCGGGCAAACTCATCCAAGCGTTTCTCGGCAGATGCTGTGCTATCAGACCCAGTCGTGTCCAATGACTCCTCCGAGCTACTGGAAGGAGACGCCTCGCCGTTCGATCTTGAAGAACTACTGAACATAGCCTTCAGGATATTCCATCTCTTCTTAGGAGGTGGCTGGGTCTCAGAAGAAGTAGATTCTGGTTTTGAGGGGCTGCTGGTTACAGATGCCGCGCTCTGCTCGGGTGGCGCCGCAGGGATAACGCGGTCAAAGGAGACAAAAAGACTAGCTGGGGAAAAGTGATTGTCACATCGGATGATGATGATTCTGCGTCCGGGTGCTGGCGTACAGGGCGCTGAAGATAGCGGTGCCGTGAGTTCCTCCTCGGCTTTTGATTGAAAAGCGAGATAATAACCCCAAAGACTCTGTAACCGGCTCCAAAGCACCTCATAAATTGTCCTACAAATACCTAATTAGCATTTGTTTCCCATTGGTGGAGATATTCGTGGTAACTATGCACTTACGAGTCAAGCGGCGACGGGTCGCCGTTAAATCTACCCAGCCTCCAACAAAGAAGACGATGAAAGTAGGCACGAACCATAGGACTCCAATGACAGAAGTAATGGTAAAATAGCGACTCTTTCAGGAGGAACTGTAAGCAAAGGTTCGCTTTTCTCTCTTCCGATGCGGTCCATGTGCTCCAAACGCAGAAGAGAAACGAAAACACGCGAACTTCAGTAAGAGAGTTATGGCTTTGCATCATCCGATCGCAAACCTCGAGCCAGAATCTCCAATCGAATAAGTCCGACTTAACAGACTGGGAATATCGCGTGATTATGGGCATGACCTCTTCAACAAAATCGCAAAGCAAAAAGCAAGCATTATGGTCAAACAGCGAGGTTTTCCCAGCCGCGGTTTTCATAACCATGGAAAATGACTCAGCATATAGTAGTCGAGCATGGTTTGGCTCGATGGAAGATTCAGAAAGAAAATCTCGGAGTAAGATAATCAGACGATTCTCGGCCATCGATCGATGGCTGTTCGCGGCCCCCAAAGGAAGAGCCGAGACCGCTGCATCAGCACCTTCGATGAAATCGTCGAACGTAATCGCAGCAGCAGTGTGTGAGTTTGGCGGCGCCTGCGGGACTGACTGTTTATAGAGTGTGTCCTCCAGCACAACAAGGAGCTGTGCATGGATTGGCAACAAGCCTGGCGCCAAAATCCGCTTTTCTTTCTCAATATCGGTAGGTAACGCATCGGCGTAGAGGATGTGTATATATTTGACGAAGACGAAGAAAAGATCGCTATCACGACCGCTCCATCGTGAAACCCAAGGGCTCTGCCACCGAATCTGAGCCGTGCTTAGAGGAACATCGGGCTTTCGGCGGAGATAGCGAACTAATGGCGTGTGGCCATGGAAAGATAACGAGCGAAGAGCCATCGGGAAGTTCAGGGCCAAGTCCTGGGTGAATGCGCGCGAGCCGATACTGCTGTCAACATTCGATTGGACAAGAACCCGTCGGAAGATGTTTGGCGGCGTGTTCCACAGGCGAACAAGGATATCTGCCACTCCTGGGCAGAAGAAGAACGCATAGGCACATGCCTTTCCGCAAAAAGCTACCAAGCTGGCCGGAGCGTGTCTCATAGACATTCGTTCTACTACGAAAGCCATCTGGGATAGTAAATTTTGCGTGAAAATGTTCCTTATATTATGGTGAATCGATTCAACGAGGAAATCCGAGCTTGACGAGCCATCCGAACTTTCCGAGATTGAAGTTGACGCGTGCTGTAGAGGTTTCGGTGAATTTCGATCGGACGGCGGCGAAGGGAAAGGGATCCTCCATTCAGGCCGAGTCATGATGCCAACAACTGCCTCCAGATAGACCGGCCTATCAGTTCCAGATATAGATTGATTGTGCTTCCCATTGAGCATCTCCAATAATCCTATCCACCACTTGTTAAGGATGTTAATTCGGCGGTCCAGGTCTTCTGGCCTGAGCGATTTATAAGACGGGTGAGAATGATTGCGGTTGAGAAAAGGAAGAAGGGCAGAGCGAATGACATTGGCCTTCAGGGCACTAGACTTGGATTGAAATCTGGGGATAGTTAGTCACCTGGACTTCTTCGAGTTCCCTCTTGGCCAGCATCCCACCAACACTCACTTTTGGAAATCGGCCTCGAGACCACGGAAGACCCCCCAGAGTTCATCCTTCTTGCGTGCGAAATCTATGCCACTAGAAGCAACCGCTGTCTTAGGCATTGGGGGAAGAACCGGCGTTGTGACATTGAACGACGATGTAAGCTTTTCCAGCGAGTTCTTAGCCGTTAGCGTGAAAGGTGACGGAGTATTGCTATTGGGGGTAGTGGGACTATCTGCTTGGCTTTGTGTTACAACCGCTACCATCGGCCGCCGAGGCCGTTTGTTCAGGATTGTCCGCCTGCGCGAAGGAACACCTGTATCCGATTCCGTCACTGTATCTAGCGACGTGAGGTTTTTGGATTGGGGCGCTGGCGAGCTTGATGGAGATTGTTCCTCCGTACGTGATGACCGCCCCCCGGAGCCCTTAGCGGACGGAGAGGGGGATCTAGTAGGAGAGTTTGACATCCACGGCTTGCGGGCAAGGTTGACCAATCTTCCGGACATCGAGCGGGCTTTAGAGGGGCGTGCGACAGGCTCCGGAGCTTTTGTCTCCGGTACTTTCGTCGACTCTGGGACTTTTGGGGGAGCCCCAGAGAGCTCTGCGCTAGGAGAATCGGCCACATCCTCAGTGGAAACACTAAACCGAGAGACAGTAATGGTCGATTTCTCCTTGGACCGAAGAGAAGTTCGTCGTAGAATGTCCTTCCCCGCCGCAACGTCCTCCTTGGAGGGCGATGGGGACGTAGAGTCCTTCGGATAGGTCAGGTCTGAAAACGTCCTGCGGAGGGTGGGAGAAGTAGATTCCGAGGCGACAAGATCTGGAAGGTGGTTATAACTGGCCGAGTGCGGCAGCGACGTATGTTCACCATCTCGATGACTTTTTAGAATATCGCTAGAAGGAGGAGACATGGTCAAAAGTAGCCAATGGTGACTAGAGATCCACGAAAAGGGAGAACCCTGGAGAGATGTACATCTCCCCCAGCTGGGAGTGGATCGTAGCTGCTGTTGGCGCGGGAGACCAGCTCCTCCATATACTGTAGATCCACGTCAAAGGGTATCAGACCATGTGCGAGAAAGCATCCGTGAATCGCATCGAAATGGAGATGTCGCAATCGAGGTGCGGAAGGACTCGACGGTATCGCAGTGCTGCTGTAAATGGTACAAGTCGGCCAGTAGGCAGAAGTATTGCAGATGACCCTGTCGAGCGAATGAGGCGTAAGTCCACCGAAGGAATGGAAGGTGACAATTTCCCTAGAAATCTAGATTGCGCAGTACTTGGAGGGGGGTTCACAGCGTATGTGACTAGGGTCCCTCGTTAGCCAATATTGCAACGAATGGAGAAGGACGCGGGCGGCTGATCGACGGACGGTAGAAATTCCGAATGTAGAGTTGGAGAAGAGCGGAGAATCGATTTGGGAAAGATGTCTGTTTTTTATGTATGAAATGAATGACAAAGTGGGAAGGGTCAAGTCACAATTGTTGATTCTCCTCCCCTCTTTTTCCCTTTCTATAGTATTCAAAGAAAAGTAAAAGAAAAAAGAAATACTGGGAGGACGAAAGAAGGAAAAGGGAGGCAAACAAGAATGACGGGGCGCAAGAAGGAGAACGGAGCCGCAGGAAAGAATTAATGGAATACTAATGGAACCATTTATTACTTAGGTTCCCCTCCCGTATTCAGATCCAGGGACCGAGTTTCGTGCGAAAAAATACCAAGCCTCTTAGCAAACACGGCTCCCTCAATTTGGTCCTTGATAGCAGACACCCGACATTCTTTTTCACTCTTGATATTTTGGTTAATAATTGAAATCTTTAAATTTTCAAATCTTTTCTTTGATTTTCTCCCACGGTTGTCGGTCGTACATACATGTCCGAGTACGTATGCATCCACGTCGGTATGTATGCACGGTGTATGTGTATGTATGTATGTAGAGATTCGTACTGCCAGGTATTGTTCAGACGGAAGTTACAACAGCACTTCCCAGTTTGGTACAGGTACGCTCGGAATCTGAGTGACCCGACCCACGGTTTCAGTTAGAACAAAATCAAATCCTATTGTTAGCTGGACCTTTTTCTTTCTTTTTTCCATTTTCTTTTTCCCATCGTGATTGTGTTTAGTCGTGCCATGGTTATGGTCTAAGCCTCATCTGCAAGGCTGTAGGTAACATTGAATAGTCCATCTTACTATCTATATTTATAACATACTAACAGAGCAAACCATGAGGAGCAGTCTATAGAGGGATGAACTCTCGGTTTTCTACGTAGATACCGGAGGAGGAAGATCGGTAAATTAGATCACCTTTGATCGGCTTCTTAACGCACTGTTGAGGAAGAACGTACTAGTAGCACCTCAGGTTTCCATACAGCTTCAAGGTAATGGAGTGACCATACAATACCGCCGAGAATCAACATGTGTTCCAGCTGTGGCTGCACGTCCAGCGAAGACTTGCAGAAAAAGCAGATTGCGTTGTCCGTCAACCTTCTATTGGCATCTTCTTACGGAATAAGCGGTTCTTCTATTGAGACCATGTGGAGTCGAATTAGAACAAACCCTATTTTTTCTCCTTCCCTTCTCAAACGATAAAGCCCCTTTACCAAGACTATCAGGGTGCGAATTTGACTTACCCATCATTGTTATACAATGTACACAAGAAAAGGGGGGGGAGGAAGACATTATGAAGTAGCAACCCCATTATTGACAGATGATAAGAGTACTGTCTTTGTCTGACAAAATATCTTCTTTTCTTCCGTATCGTGACCGTCGGCTTTCTGATCTATCATTCTTGTAAGATACATGACTGTACATGCAGGTATACTATACCATGAGTACATCTGCTTATACGAAGCAGAGGATACTAGGCCCACCTTTTTTGTTTTACTTTTCTTTCCTTCATGTAGCTGCCAGATCTCTAACTGGGTTACTAAAGTTAATGAAGTAAGAACTATTGAAGGATAAGAGAATTATGAAACTCTCCTGTAGCAAATCGCTTATGATTGCTCCTGGATCGTTGTACAACTAATCACAGTTGTGCAACCTTTGGCTGGAAGAACAACCGCCGCATTCCATTTTGTCCCATACGAGGGTCATTCTTTATGTCATTGTCCGACCAACAACTTATGAAAATCTGGCGATCTCTCGGCACCTCCGTAATCCTTTACTCCGAAAGCCTTTTTCTCGGACCCCGTAGATAGTCCTGGCCTTGATATCAACTAGTCCCACTTCAACTGATCGACTCAGCTGTGTGCACGCAATCTGAACCTATCCCTTGAGGGATAGACTACCGAGCCCACCGTCGTCGGGTCCTAGGTGATTATACACCTGTCCGCCAGATCGATCCGGACACATAAAAGGGAACCAAGGAGAAGGCTGGAGAAGAACAATGGAGCGTCTGGCGGTCTGACGCGATGCGATGCGGAGGTGTCATATCTCGCTTTCCTCCATCCAGCTGGAAGCTCTTCCCAACGCAATAGACACACCCCCTGCGTTTAACGAGCTGTAACCCAAGTGCGATATCTTTCCTCCTTCCTAGCATCGAACACGTTATTGATCGATGTTTGCAGGACATGCTCGGCAATATCCCCTTTAGGAAGAAAAAGGTAGATTTTATATATAGAATAGAGAGGCGAGGTACTCCAGATAGGCCGAACACTCAGACGCGATCACTCATAGCCTGTCAGCCATGGCCCTTGGTGCCTGGCTGGTTGGCTCTTCACAAGTTGCACAATGCAAAATGCCCTAGTATTGACCGAGCGATATCTTGTTTTCAGTCATAGTTGCGTGTTCAACACTGTGATTTTCAACGCATTATCAGTCAAACTTTGAAGGTGCCATTGGATACCTGCACGTAACATTACATCCTGGTCACACGGTCGGCTTGGTGTCCTGAGGCTATCGTCCAGATCAATTTCTCTACACATGCACAAGCTAAGGGAAAATAGGGTTAAAAAGAGACCATCGGTATAGTAATGAGAAGGGAAGATAAGATGATCAAGGCGTTTTATAAAGAAAAAGAAAAATTTCATATGCTCCGCGTAGGTTTAATTTACAAAGTTCATTCAGGACTCTACAACAGGAGGTATATTCTGGCCTCATCCCATTGCCATTCGGCCCCGACGTTCCCAGACCTTGTCATAGAAACGATAAACCTAGTGGGCAGCAGGGGCCTCTTCCTCATCCTCCTCAAACCAGCTCTCCTCAACGGGGGCAGTCTCACCGGCGGCGGCTTGGCCCTCAACCTCAACTTCCTGGCTCTCGTAGGACTTCAATTCATTGGCAAGGTTGGCCTCCTCGGGAGACTGGGGAGCAGCGGGAACGCTGAACTTCTGGACGTGAGCCTCGGCATCGCCGGGCTTGACGGGGGAGGGCTTGAAGGCACGGAGTTCACGGAGGTAGAGCTCCTGAACAGGGTCGGCTGTGCAGTGTCAGATTTTGGCCTATGGCAGACAGCGATTGCATCTCGCCTGTCGTCTCTCCGAGTCGAATTGACCGGTCAAAGAAAAGGGATCACATACCCTGACGGACAGCGGAGGTCAGGAAAGTGCGGCGAGAAGCCGAAGAAACCTGTTGCCGAGAGACGCGGGCGAAGAGAGAGCGCTACCGAAGGGTCAACAACCTCCTGTTGGGGAAAAGTGACGGGCAAAGAGAGAAGTATTGTAGACTTACAGACGCTCTGAGAGACTGGGACATCATCGCGGCGGGGGTGGTAGATGAGGGGGAACCTGGAGTGGGTTTGCGAAGACAGGTGATGACTTTCGTCCGTGAATCCGATGTTGGGAGTTCGATGTTTCTTCGGGAGACATCGGCTTGGCGGCTGACTCAGCCGTGCGGCTCTTCCATCGCTGGCTGCTGACAGCTTTAGTCCGTTACCTCTTTGCCTCTTGCTCCCTCTTTCTTTTCCCTCTTTTCAACGCCTCTACGAAAGTCGCATCACCGTCTTTCGCTTCCCACGGCTCTCTCCACCCCCAGGAGCTCGGTACTCGACGCTGCTCTGCTCGTCTCGATCGAACGATCTCGGTTGCAGCGGCTACCTATCAGGTTCCACGACCCTCTTTCGTGAGACACTTCTCACGGAGACCTTGACTGGTTTATCGCGGTCGGACAAGCCTGGCTTCGAGGCTTCGAGAATTATAGGACGTCAAAGCAGGAGATCGCTCTACCCTGTCTTCCAGTCTGCGAAGGTGCTCTACTCTAGGGACTACTTGCAAAATCAGGAGTGTTGTTGGAACCCCCTGGAAAGGTATAGCATTTAATTTAGAATCTGGTCCCTTTGAGATTTAGGAGAGAATCATGACTGTGGATTTTCAACTATTTATCCTAAATTTCAGTTGGGGGCCCCCAGGCTAACGTGGTTACGAAGGCAGTGACGCAGAAAGTGACTTTCAGACATAGTCCGCGATTTGCGCCCCTGTCATTCTCTCCTTTTCTGGTACATTCGAGATCGAGTGTTTCTCTTTTCCATTTGTTTCCTTTTCTTGAACTGGATACAGTCGCCAATCTGTATTCACCACTCTTCGTTCGCTTTTGTGCTCGCAGGTATAATCTTCCCATTTCTGCCAAAAAGTTAGCGAAACGCCAACGCGAACGTATCGAGTCTGTGAAACAATCCCGCAAAATGGCTACCGTTCCGCCCCAAGCCAGACCTGAACCAGGTCAGTGGAAGAAGAACCTGTCGCATCATCTCGTCTGTCCGGAGTGCAAGGAGGTTCCACCCAATCTGGAATTTCCTGGATCGCACGAAACCGTATGCGGGTCTTGTGGCTTAGTGCTCGCCGATCGAGAAATCGACATGCACTCCGAATGGCGTACTTTCTCCAACGATGACCAGAATAACGACGATCCATCTCGTGTTGGAGATGCCTCGAACCCACTTCTAAATGGTGACCAGCTGGAGACTCAAATTGCTAGTGGGGGTTCGGGCCGTGCTCGCGATCTGTATCGTGCTCAGAACAAGCAGTCGAGTGAAAAAGCTAATAAATCTCTCCTTGCTGCTTACAAAGAGATCGGAGCTTTGTGCGATGGCTTCAGCATTCAGAAGAACGTGGCCGATACAGCCAAGTACCTTTTCAAGATAGTCGATGACGCGAAGGCCTTCAAAGGCAAGTCCCAAGATGTGATCATTGCGGGATGTATTTTTATTGCTTGCCGTCAATGTAAGGTACCTCGTACCTTCACCGAGATTTTCGCCGTCACGAAAGTGTCGAGGAAGGAAATCGGGCGTATCTACAAGGCTTTGGAGAAGTTTTTCACAGCACAAAACCTTGAAAGGAACAATGCTGTTGTGTCAAATGGTGGCGTTGTAGATCCCAACGACACCTACACTGCCACAACATCCACCAAGCCCAGCGATTTATGCAATCGTTTCTGCAATCTACTGGATTTGCCGTTTCAAGTTACCAGTGTATCTTCGGCACTATCTGATCGGGTTACAACCATGGGAGACCTGGCTGGGCGATCCCCTCTGTCCATTGTTGCGGCTTGTATCTACATGGCCTCGTATTTAATGGGCCATGGCAAAACCGCCAAAGAAATCAGCCAGGTTGCGCATGTCAGTGACGGAACTATCCGAGGTGCCTACAAGCAGCTCTACGCTGAAAGAGAGCGTCTGATTGATCCAGAATGGATCAAAGACGGAAAGGGCGATTTGAAGAATCTGCCAGCCAGTTGAATGGGCTTTGATTATCTCCCAACATAGGTCTTGGGAGAGAAGCCTCTGCCTTCTATTAGATGATACCAAGCCCCTAACAATAGCATGATACCCAATAAAAGAACAAGTTATAAAAGAAGGGGGAGGCAGGAAGAAAGAAACCAACCCCCGTCCTATCCACTGTCCACACCATATAATTGTTTTCCTTTTGCTTCGCATGCAATGCCGATGTGATTGCACACGTTCATGTTTCAATTCATACTGCAATAGTAGGATTAAAATTGCAAAGCCACATCCCCCGGTTTGCTTGAGGTATGTTGGTTACCCTTGCTGTGTGCCCTTCTCTGTTACCCCTCTCTTCCTATGCCGGGCTCAATAAAAAGCCACTTGAGCAATCTTTTGCTTGAATCTACTTTGGAATCTCATCTCAACGTCAAGTTTGGATCATATATAGCGTTTGTTTCTAGGGTGACATTGGATATAAATGAGATGATATATTGGAAGTCGAAGTTGCTTTAAACTCGTAACATTGTAATTAACCATATAATTCACTTCTACGATTAGTATACTATGGCATAGATTGCCCGAGGAAGGTACAAGATGTACTCAAACCCAGGGTGGGTTTACGTCCAATGAAGGACTTGCAAAAAATACTAGGTCAGTAAATTCTATGACTGCTACACAGGAGGTAGTGTGCCTTTTACTGGCTGGAAAACTTTAAAAAAAGAAACAGGAGAACAATGACAACGCAAAATGACTACGGTTTGAGCATATTTCCTCAGTCACCCTCCGAGGGCCTCTTTCCATCGGCAGTCGCAGCTGCAACTTCTGCAATATCTTCTACTCCTGACTCAGCCGATGAAGTGCTGGGCTTTTTGCCGGCTTCGACTTCGGTAGATACTGCTTCAGAGGGTACCTCGGGCTCGTCTTGCTTGGCCGTAGGCACTACAGTAGGACCCTGACCATCAGGAGAGCTCGTTACAGAGTGAGTCGTCTCGGTGAATGTCGGCTGGGTCTCGGCTGGGGTTGAACCACTTGATGGTGCAGGATCCTCTTCGGGAGATGCTGTTGGCTGAGGATCAGCCGGTTCTCCGGCAGTATTCTTCGCTATCGGGGGAGCCATGGTGCTGTCCTCCGAGGATGTCGTATCAGGAGCGGCGACTTTCTTTTGGTCCACCGAGTTTTTCTTGCCGACGATCAGATTACCGTCCTCACCAACCTGCCAGACATTCCAAGTTTCAGTGATCCTGACTTCTGGGATTGTCGGCAACTTTGCACCCGTACTGTCAGCGGCTGGCCTCCTCCGTGCAGGGCCACGAGCTCTTCCCTTGCGAGCATCACTTAGAGGGGCTTTTTCTGCCGGGGCCTCTTCTACCTTCTCTTGCGGCTTCGGCGGCGCTTGAGGGCCAAGCTGCAAACGTGAGTTTAGGTCTGACAAGAACCCTGCCTTCAAAGCTGCGATCTTGCTGCCTCCCGGGCGTGCTGGCACCGCTGGCTTCGCTTTTGCTGTAGTATCCTTAGACTCTCCACCATTCCCAGGGAACACAGGCTTCGCTGGCCGGGTCGGAACTTGGGGCTTAGGGCGGTCAGGAATCGAAGGCGGTTGCCGTTTTTCAGTAGGCGAGGTGACTGGCTTCGTAGAAGCATCTACTGGAGGACGCTTCTGAGGCCGAGATGGAATGTTAGGTTTCGTCCCCACATCTGGGCTCTTAATCTCTCCTTCTGACGGTTCTACTGTGGTTACCAGTTTTTGGCTTTCTGGGGCATCTTCCCATATATCCCTGCTAGGGAAACGCTGCTTGGCAATGTCCGGGCGTGAGATAGACTGCACGTTATGGTGTTCTTCTGACTGCAAAATCTGCGACGCAACCTTGTGTGGATCGACACGGCTAGCTTGGCTTCTACGGAATGACTCTTGCTCCGGAGTCTCAAAGTTTTCATGTTTAGGAACATCCGGCGTGGACACCGTAGCCTGTAGTTGTAAGCTATTCGGCGAATCCTCCCAGATGTCTTGGCTAGGGAACCGATGCTTGAGCATATCAGGACGTTGTTTCAAGCGCTCGGCAGTGGGAACAGGCTTTTTCGCCTCGTTGTCGTCTTCGGGGAACAGGGGCTCGTATTCTTCAACATCCTCAAGAGGAGTATGGCTCTCTTCCCGCTCGTCGCGTGAGTTGAGCCTTGCCAGAGTGGGAAGACTGTTGTGATGGCTTGCAGATCTACTGTTCGAACGACTATGATTGACGCTTGGCGTGCGACTCCTGTCGACCTCCGTACTTTCCCTTCTGCCAAATGTGGGGGACACTGCAGGATGCTGGAAAGCAGATTCTGGGCGCACCTCGTCGGCTGCCAGAATAGGCTCAGCATCGTCAACATCACCCTCCCCAGACATGCGAGAAGGGTCTTCCGGGCCTGGGGTTTGGGCAAAGCCGTCAGGATGATGTAGATGGTGATATGGCTCATCAACGTGGATTACCCCTGGCTCTTCTGGCTTGTGGTTGGTCTCTTTAGCGACTGCAGTTTCCTGCTGGTCCTCGACTTGGGCGGAAGGTAGACTTTCCTTGCGCAAGGACGACTCGGCAACGAGACGAGAGCCACGGCGCGATTCAGGCGGTGGCGATTGTAGACGATGAGTGTACTCATCAGAGGCAATGTACCCAACCTCCTCTTCTGGAGTTCCAACTACTGCAGGTGACGTACCTGAGTGTATCTAATGATTAGCTCATGCCGTTTTCGTCGATCCCATCCTCTTAAAGCAACTCACCAAGTCCACTCCCGGTCACCGCAGATCCCCGAACGATCTTGTTCAAATCATCACTACTCATAGCCCAATCTGGTCGCGGCGACCCAACGCCAGGGCCATATTGGCCCTGCTCTTCCTTGACATATTCTTCTGGGTGCTTTTCATACCAGGCTTTCTCAAACCTGTCATTAGGCTGCATACCATGACCATGAAGCCCATAGCTTCCAGGTGGAAGAGAAGCTTCACGACCACTTCGGGTTCGGTTATGGCTGCGGCCAGAGCGCTGGCCTGACTGCTGTTCTAAAACATAGGGACTTGGCGAAGGGGCTTGAACGTCACCCGCATTAGGGTACATTGGAACCCTTTGTCCTATCTCCGGGATTCCATGTTCATCGCCGTTCATAGACAGCGGCCGATCAAAGGACGTTGAGGAGTCCGCACGCGAGTAACTTGTTCTAGATTGTAACGAGCGGGTACGCCGTTCATGGTGCTCATCAGGAGTAGGGGATACCGTTCCACCAAGACCTGCTGCCGCAGCCTGACGAGAATCTGTCCGTGTGACGGCTTGCACCTTGGCCTTGGCGCTGGAAGAAGGCAGAGACGGTCTTGGCGCATGGAGCTTCAGATCGCTGCCCACGTTCCTCATCTCTGCGGGAGTTAGGTGCTGACTTTCCCGACGGCTTTCAGATATATTTGCCACATTCAAATCTTCGTATTCAATACCTTCTTCACCAAGTGAAGGTATCGTCACACTTGGGGGTCGCTGCGGCACGTCTTGGGAAACGGAGCGACTCATACTCGAGCCATTAGGTGGCTCGTTCAAAGGAGACGGTGCATAGCTGTCTCGTAAAGGAGACACGGAGCGGTCGAAGCGCTGAGTGGGACGTGGCGGGATTTTGGGCACATCTGTAGGTGCAAGGCCCTGCTGGTTAGGCGACCTCGACGGTCGAGGGGGAATAGCGGGGGCAGGCTGTGTTGTCATGACGGATGGATCTTATGAAGCTGAACAGGGGTAGACTAGAAGATATACTGAGGATAATGTTAGTCCGATTCGATGCCAGACTGAGAAGGCCTCTCAAATTACAGGGGAGGTTTCAGGGGGAAGAGGGGCAATTGGGTGCAGGTGAAGCTACAGCTGGCAGGATAGCTTGTGCTCTAGACCAATTCAAAGCCAATTGAGAGCGGCGAAGGGAAAGAGTTTTGTTGCGAACCCCGATCCCTGAGAAAATGGGAGAGTTTAGACCGAGAGAGATCCTATTGGGAGGAGGCGAGGCATCTTCAAAGTAAGTCGTAATTTGAGACCGTAACAGATAAGATAGGTGATAGCATTCTTGGCTACTCCACCTAAAACTCTGAAGTCTGCCACGCATTCCTCCGTGGATCATGGCAAGGATGGTGAAATAGTGTGCAGCAATGAGAGAAAGCTAACAGCAGAGTTTGAGTGAAATTACTCACCAATGTTGTGATAACAGGAAGAAGGGGACGGTAGAGGTGGTGGAGCTACCTGTGGATGAAGAAATAGAGGCAATTGACAGGTCGAACGAAGATTAGGATTGTCCAGTCAGGGATTATTGACGAAGGAAATGGTCAAGGAAGAGTATACACAAGCAAAAATGATGATAAATGGAGAGGAAGGGAGGAGAAGCAAAGTCCAAGGATATGAAGAAGCAGCAGGAGCAGAGATGATGTATGAGTACCAGTCATTCTTGCCGCAAAGTGGCCGTAAATCCAGTCTAACCACTTTCTTCCTGCCACGGCCCACCGCCCCGTCGCGTGACGTCCTCTGACGCTATCCTGCTGCTCCCCGAATGGTACGGAAACCGTACGGTAACCGTGTGTGAGCTGTGAGCCAACGAGCATCGTCCGTTGCAATTACAGACTCAGCTTGCTTCCTCGTGGGGTTTAGTTTGGTTCCCGCTTTAAAGGTCTTTTATTTTTTGGTGATTTCTCTACGCTTTTGGTTTCTCTGTTCTTCTTTTTAGATTGGATCCCTTTTCATTATCGGTCCTAGATAACAATACTCAGTCTATTCTGAATAGCGGGATGGCCTTGCAAGTGATCTGATGAAGCAGGTAACATTCAGTGATACCTCCCTACTACTGATCCTTCATCTCCTGGGTTATCTGCCAATAGGAGCTGAAGCTCCTGAGGGGAACGGATATAATGGATGCATGCTGCAGCTGCCACGATCATTTTTTTCCCTCTTTTTTTTGGATAGCATGAGGCATTTTTTGCATTGTTCAACCTTCTAGACAGTGTCATCCTAGCAGGTTCAGTGAACTGTATTTTGGTATTTAGTTTAGTATTTTTAGTGGCTGCAAGTGAACAATCGTTACATGAATCAGGAACTCCCGTGAACGACTTTTAAATCACTCATATTTATGCTCCAAAGATCTTGGTGATGATTTGGGTGATCCATGTTTCGACAGTACCATAGAAAAAAAATTTGGACTCTTACTCAAGCGTCTGTTTTTTTGTTCATTTCCTTTGATCTTCTTCGTCAAAAATCCCTCCACATTTCCAACAACTTCCTCCTTGATTGAAATAGTTGCACATCTTGGGGCCAGACCATGGATCCACATTCAACGTATTAATAGCCACAGCGCCACGGCCCTGGGCTTGATACGGACCCGGTAACAGTTTTAGGTACAGTGTAGCAGCTTCAACATGATTAAAATTCCCCTTGCTGGGAGTGGTCGCAATACCCCTCGTGTGGCTGTGTGCAATGAATTCACATGGTCTTGATTACAGGTCTTGATCGACTCCACGTCTAGGGTTATACAAGGATGCATATATAGTACCAAAGACCTACAGGCATACTAAATAGGCTGCTTCGTGAATCAGGATAGTGAACAGAATATATAGAGTACATAAAGTGTTCGAATAGACCACATCCGTCTACCATCCCTTAGTGTATAGACTGATTAGAGACGGGCCCTTACGGAGTACAACTCATACTACCTAGTACCTACTAGTAGAGGTTGCCTGTATCTCCCTTGCCCGAGGCGGTGAGAGGGTACCTCCACTCTGCATTATCTATCACTCAGTGGTGTTTATACAGGGCTTGACAGCACGGCTTTCTGAGTATAACACCAGTACGCAGCGGAGTCCTCATAAAGGGTATCTCATCTGCACTATGCTGTCATTCGAGGGTCCTCTTGAGCATCTTTGAACAGAAATTCAAACCCCCAACAATCCACATTTCTGAGTTTGGTTTGTTCCTCATCCGGGAGGTCCTACTGCTCTTTCAGAAAGGAGTCTAGTTTTTTCAACGGGTCCACTGTGGGGATGTCCTCCGTTACACTCATGGAGGGTCCACACTACACAACTTTCAGCCTTAATCTGGTCTCGTCATTCTGACCCTATCGCACTAATCGATCGTCTTATATCTACACAGTACTGAAAACTCGATAATCGCCACAAAGTGGGACCTTCTTTACCAGTATCGAAGGATACAGTATACTAGGACATGGCTGATGATATGTCTTGATCGTATGTAGCCTAGAAGCTGTACAGTAGCATATCATAGCATTGGACTTTGCTGATTTGTCTACCTTTACAGCGTATCAATTCCATTTTAAAAGCAACAGACTCAAGTAAACCTTATTCGCATGCAATCCAAAGGATTCTACATAGCTAGGTATTCCTACAGTTAGATACCTTATCCATACCAGAAGGCAGATAAATCAATCCAGTTACGCAGCGCATAATATTACCGAGGGGTCCATATGATATTAGACGGAGAAGCCTAGGATCTAGGCGGATGTGTCAACACGGACACGCAATTCACTAGACGACCATATCAGATTCCTAACATTGGCAGGGAAAATAAAAGTCCAATCGGATCCCCGGCGATTGACGCAACACCTCGGGAACAATCATCTGCCACAGCAGTATCGATTCTGCCTAATAGACTAGGTATGCCTTACTCCCCCCTCCTTTTCCGATCAGCCCTACTTTGGAACTCTTATCCGCATCAACGTCCTTCGACCGAAGGATATGTAGCATGATAATTGAATGTCGTGTTATTCCCTTGGGGTCAACAGGTACAGTCTCCCAAATACACATCATATACGTACTGTATTGGGACCCAGCCTGATCCATGGGAAGAAGCTCACCTTACTTGCTACGGGAGAATTTATGTAGCAGCTAGTGAGACGCATGTACTCCCCAGGTCTGGAAGTAGTACTAGTGATACCTCAGATCCCCTTACGCGCGGCAAACGAGTCTAAGGAGGGGTAATACTAATGACGTAGAGACTTCCTTTGTATGTATGTATGTAATTTATTGTTTTTACAATACTGAATAATTTCCTTCACTGCTCCTTGATAAGGATTAGTCCACATAACTAGAGAATCTACCTACTAGGTACTAACTAACTGTATCCGATTAGAAGAACCACGGGTGAAGCATACTTTGCCCTATTGGTTTACTGGATAGATTTGCGACTTTGGGATCATTTCAGATCACATGGCAATATCCTAAGTGTTTATAGAAAAGAACGACCTGCAGGGCCTAACACAGACCTAATGCACCACAAACCCAGATCCGTTAATAGATCCCTGTACCACTATTGGGTGTGGTTTTAGCACATGTACTGCTATACTGAGAGTAGCACCGCACAGGTTGAGACGATCTCTTCTAACAGTTTTCAATATAAACATATTCAATTTCCCTGATCATCTCTCTACCTAACTGAATTCATGGAACCGCGACAATTAACCTTCACCCCTTCATATCATTTCATTCATCGCCAGGATGCTAAAAGGGTATTCTCGCTAGGTATACTTGTAAGGATACAGGACTCGTCTAAAGCGTGATGTAAGGCAGCAGGATGATCAGCAGGCATAATAAAGGCAAAAATAAAACGACAAAGCAACGAAAAGCACCCTCAATCAGTACAGCGCGAAGGCAACTCGACCAAATTCACTTCCAAAACACACACGACTAAAACCTCATAAGAAGTTGTGGTAGTTTAATATTTTTTTTCTTCCCCTTTCCCTTCCTTTTCTCTTTTTTTTCCCTTTTCTTCTCTTCTTACCCACCCAATATAAAAATAAAAGTACAAAAGACCGGTTAGTAGCGTCGTCGAGGACGATATCAATTCGTGATCATGGCACATTCAACACAAACACTTTCCTCCCATACCCCGCGCGGCTCCTGTTTTATTTACCCATTTCCTCGGCCTGGTTATTATCCCTTGTAAGGTATTACCGTCAGCACCAAGAGCGTTGCTAGTCGGCACAAGTGTGTTGAGACGAGCTATCTAGGGGCCGAACATACCTCAAGGCATCGTCTGCCACTTTTCATATTGGCATCTCTCAGACAATCATTTGCGCAATCCCTTGACCACCCAATGTCTTGCTTCCAACAAACTCCTGGCTCTTCAAGCCCGCCAAAGCATAGAAGAGAGATGCGAGAAGGAGAAGAACAGCTGCTGCGATCAAGCTCGACGCACCGGAGACAAGACTGACCCACTGCAGAGCACTCATAATGGCGTACATGGCGGCGCGCATCCAATTAGTAGTGAAACGTCGAATAAAGGTGTCGAACTTTTCGGAGGTAGGGCATATTCTGAGCAGAAAGGGCACCTCGATGAAGACGAGAATAAATCCGGAAACACTGCGCACATGAGCTTCTGTCACTTTGGAGTTCTCGGGAGACGAAGCTTACAGGCAAATGATGCTAAAGACGATGCGGACCGCGTTAAAAGAAAAGATGTTGGCAATGCCGAGGGCGATGCAGAGGACAATGCACACCACTCCCGTCCTAGTCAGAAACGAGTCAGCATTTATACATAGCAAACCCGATCCGTTGTTCAAAGGTTTATCATAGAAGCTGTGAGGTACGAGTTGCTGTCACCTCCAGCTATCCATTGTCGCGGTTCAAACAAGCGCCAAGCACAGCCGTTGGAAGGCCCAGGCAGCCATCGTTTGTTTCACTTTGTTTTGCGAAGGGAGCGCAATCAACTGAAGGGCAGTAAGGCACGGGTAAAAGTGTAAAGAATAGGTTACAAACCATTGTCCGTAGATACCTAGATGAGTAGTTGTTAGCTATCTTTACCGTTCATTGCGATCGACAAGTAGTAAACACTGGGGTCCATACTGAAGTTTCTCGAGCGGAATTCCTCAGCGAGCGTCATGATCAAAGATGGGGGAACGAAAGGGCGTGTGGTAATAAGTCAAGCGTCTGGTTGTCGTCACTTTAGGTCGAAAGAATACTTGGCTGGCTGGTGTTAGGGTTGTAGAAGCTCGTGGTCGCTGGAGTGTAAGCTGTGGCTAGTGGATAGTTACTAGACATGTACTATGGGCCAACTTGCCAGATCAGGCCGATCACTTCACCGCCCGTGGCAGAATTTAGGGCCCCATATAGATTTGCCGTTATCACCAATAACTACTAGCAATTGTCCTATCCCCTACTATTAAGGTAGTACTTGGGACTGTAATCAGCTCTTACGCTCCTTTAACTGAACCCATTCGATGGATCAGGAATTATAGGATCTGTGTTAGCTTCTCACCAAACTGGACATCTAAAACCCGTTGCAAATATGGACTCTACCGCTTCCAAACACAGCCGCAATATCTCCAGATGTAAGAACAATCCACCAATAAGTTACAATATCATTCTTGTTGACTGACTTTCTCAGCATCACGGCCCCGTAGCTCTACCAAAGGCCCACTAGATGATCCGAATTAGTAAGCTACATTAGGATGCTTCCTAAAGAACCATGCTGATCTCGGTCAGCCCACCGAATGCAAAGGGGACATACCGGATCCAAAGTACAGCCAATGTCGTTAGCTACACCGGCACTTCATTCACCGAGTTAGATCCATTAGCACCGGATGATTTACCACAAACCTTAGGGAAGGATCTCTCGTTCCTCCTCCGATACGACGTCTATCATTCCCTCTCGCAAGTTGATATTCCGCATGCCTTGCGGTCTGAGTTCGTTGGGCTTACCTCAGAAGAGTCACTATCTTCCTGCCTCAGTACCCTTGAAAGGCTACTGGCTGAAGGTCACTTCTTGCTCGCAGCTTATCTCTCGGCAACGATTTTAACCTCATCTCTCCTCTCGTCCACTAACGTCAAGGTGATTTTCTCACTTTTCTACACACGATTAGCATGCCTGGAACTGTCTGGGAATACGATCATTGCAGCACAAGAATCAAAAGCACTAGAAGACTTGAGCTCTACTTTTTACTATGTGGATCAGGTCTCCGAGGGACCAGATACCGAAAACGAACGAAAACAGCCTAGTTATCCCCGTCATATCGTACCGTGGCCACTACGTGTTCTCGCAGTCAGGCTGCAAAGTATTGGATTCGGTGATCCACGCAGGGGCATTGGTGGGCTATACGAGATCGGGCTAGAGGCACGGAGAGAGATCATGCGGCCAGACTTAACTTCAGCGGAACGAAGCGTATGGAAAGAAAGACTCTCGGACCTTGGCATTCGATGTGTAAATGCATTAATTGAAATGGGTGATCTCAGTGCAGCGAGGAGATCTCTGCAAACATTAGGATCAGATGATACCCACAAGCTGAGAAAGGCGCTTCTTCTCCTTTTGATAGGCGATATTGATACAGCAAAGCAAATCTCTGATGGACCGGGAGGAACCAGTATATTCAAGCCACTTCTGAGTATGGCTGAGGGCCGCTACGATGATGCAGTGGCAGAATGGCAAGCCCTTCTAGAGAATAGTCCCAAGGAAACCGATGCAGCCATGATATCCCAAAACATGGCAGTATGCCTATTATACACAGGGCGACTAAATGAGGTACTGTTGTCCTTGCTATGGTTGACAAATTGGCAGAAGGCTAACGGCTACAGGCCCGTGAGACTCTGGAATCATTGGTGCGTGGAGGGCAGTCCTTTGGTAGTTTGATTTTCAACCTGTCCACAGTCTATGAGCTTTGTTCAGATAAGTCCGGACAACTGAAGGCAGGGCTTGTGGATCTTGTTGCCAAGGAACCTGCCACCGGACACACCAATTTGGATCGGTCTAATGCGGATTTTAAATTGTGATCGAACCTTACGCAACACACATCAGTAAAGGTCCCCTCGGCAGAGCAAGGACGCCACTTACAGGATCAGTACGCTATGGTTGGTCTAATGTATTAGCGGTCATCTATTATTTTCTATCTGCATTGAAGGCCAAACGCCTTGCACTCCAAATGCCCTGAACGCAGAGTATAACGATAAAAACAAGAATAAAAGGACATAAGATTCGTTATAGACAGTCATTACGCATTTCCCTTACTTTGATACAGGAACGGTTTGTGGCCTGGGTTTTGGTTTACGGATGATGATCTTGTCACCCTCTCTCTGCCAACCAAGCTTCTCCGTCTCTACTAGTTTATCCCATGTCCAGGACTTGTCTCCAGTGCAACCTTCGGTGATCCATTGCATCCCAACGTTGAGGTAGGCACTACCGACGGCCTTGAGTGCGTGTCTTCGAACTCGATCTTCAGCCCAATTCATCAACGCCCGAATGGAGGAATCCACTTCTTTTCGAACCTGCCAGAATACGACCCAATTGTCATGCGCCAGGGCTGTTAACACACGGTCGACTGTGTGCGACTGAAACGCATGTTTGCGGCGCACCTGCGCGCGCAGCTCAAAAGCTGCAATCAGATCATCCTGTCGACAGGCGTAGTCGAGGATTAGATACGAGGTGAGATCTTTCAACTCCGAATCCGGCAATGGATGAGAAGGGGAGTGTAGTTTCTCAAGTAGGTAGCGAAGAGAAGGGAAGTACGACGGAGGATGCTTGGCTTGGATAGATATCCTGACGGAGAAGACATGGACGCGTTGGGAGAATGAGACAGGTATTGTGGATGCGGTTGCTAGGATCGCTTCACGAAGCTTGCGGAGGGAAAGAAGAAGGGTGGATAGTTCTGCGGATGCCGATGGGCTGTTTGTGGCGGGTTGCTTTTCTTTCGTACGGGGAAGAACGGCCGGGGGGTTCTTCGTGGCATCGCCTGATGCACTGGTCGGGAGAGATAACCACGCGGCGTCTAAGTCTTCGGAATGGCGGGCACAGAAACCCATATATCGTTCAACAATTTGGGAAAAGTAGTCATTCTGGGCTTTATGATCTAATAATCTGCGAAAGGTCAGCCCGAGGTCCCCACGTGCCACGGTGGATACTGCCATCATACTTGCGATCGCCTTTGGATACAAAACCCACCGCTTCCAGAGAGTCCGCGATGGGCTTCAAGCGGCTTCCAGACCACTTCTTCGGGTGGGAGCGATGTGACATGTTGTGGGGATTGAATTGCGAATCCACTTTGAATCCAATTGAATTCCATTCCACATGCACAATGCGGGAAAGACCGGCGGGCTGTTTGCTCGGTTTGTTCAGTCTTCCCCAACGGGCTCCATTTATTTAAATATACCCATAGATCAATCTTCTTTCCATCCCAACGTTGACTGAATTTCAACCCACAACAATCCAGTATCTTTTTCTGAAATCTAGCTGGCGGCGTGTCGTCTATTTCCCTTGCTCTCTTTTGTACCGGAATTGTGGACTTGACTGTCTCTCTCTCTCTCTCTCTCTCTCTCTTGTCTAGAATCTGATTTATCCGTCATTTCTGCATCCTGCATGTGAAATATGCCGAGTCGTCAACGTCGCCCCACTGAGAAGCCTCAGGAGTCAAAGACCGGTATGCCTGCGGTCATGGAACAATCGCCTCAGATCCTCAAGAAACTTTTGCACTGGGATGACTTGCCCCATTGGCAGCGCGACAACCATCACATCCATAGTGGATATCGACCGGCCTCGTTCTCTTACCTGGTCTCCTTCCAATCGTTAACATATATACACAATGAAACGGTTAATATATACACGCATCTATTACCATCGTTACTGGCTGTCCCCGCGGCAGTCTTGCTTCATCGGGCTCTCTCACCTCGGTATGAGACAGCTACCAAGGCTGATATCATCAGCTTCGCTTGCTTTTTCGCAGGAGCTGCTATTTGCTTGGGGATGTCCGCGACGTACCATACCATATCGAATCATTCTCCGACTGTTGCTCGCATAGGAAATACTCTGGATTATGCTGGTATCGTAGCTCTGATTGTGGGCAGTTTTGTCCCTAGTGTATACTATGGGTTCTATTGTGAGCCAGATCTGCAACGGCTATATTGGACAATGATCTGCACCATTGGGATTGGTTGTATCTTTGTTTCTGTCCTGCCCCGGTTTCGGACTCCCCGGTGGCGGCCATTCCGCGCCGCTATGTTTGTCAGCATGGGCCTATCAGCGGTGTTTCCCGTCATCCATGGGCTACATATGTATGGTCTTGAACAGATGACGCGCCAGATAGGGCTCGGGTGGCTGCTACTCCAGGGATTCCTCTATATCCTAGGAGCCGGGATCTATGCCACTCGGGTCCCCGAACGTCTGCGACCGGGCCAGTTCGATCTATGGGGCAGTTCGCATCAGATCTTTCATGTGCTAGTGGTATGTGCCGCTGTGGCTCATCTGACGGGGCTACTGAGGGCATTTGACTACAGACACAGTGGGATTGTAGAGAGCTGCTCTTCCAACTGAGAGTGTGATTCGCCGAGGCAACCACAAGATCACACGAGCAACGAGAGGTTACAGTCAACCATGTAGCAATAATCCAATCCGACGTAATATATGGATGTGATGTGATGCTGACTGCTGGCATGCAAATACGAGATGTGTCTAACCCACCCCCTTGCTGACTAGTACAGCAGCTTTTGTCTTCCCAAGGAAGTGAAAGCGAGCGAGAGGGAAAGGGATAGCTTTTGAGGACAGGAATTAAAAAAAGGGGGAAGTTTTGAGAAAAAGGGCACTGGCACGACGACAGGTTTTCCCACGATACCGTGGATGTTCACCGCTCACTCACCGGCCTTTTTAAATATGGACAGGGCTAATAGAGATGCATTTGTGCTCAATTTACAGCTCACATGGTGTGCTGGCCTGCATACCGCTGAGCACTTGCTCAACAGTAAAAGCTTTTCACCATTGGATGCTACGTCAGACAGGAGTGCTTCGCTCTAGAAAAGACTGTTTCGATGGGTAAACTTATTTGGCCTCATGGCCCCACAGCCTTCTGCCCACAGTGTTGCACCTGAGTTTGCTGCCAGGCTTTACGCCTGGAGCGCAGAGCTAAGTGGTTCTCGCTGACAGTCTCCTATTAGGATCGATTGGTGGCAGCCAAGCATCTGGCATTTGCCTTTTCGGATAAGTAAGATTTGGGGGTCATTTGGACCACTGCGAGCGCCAGCCATCACGGTTGTTGGCATCTCCATGCGAGTGTGGATCAGATGAAGTCGCCAGGTTTCACAACGGCTGACTTCATATGCGGTTCCCGTCGGTTCAAAAATCCTGATACGAATATGGACTCTACCAAGCCCCTTGGGATATATAGCAGCGCTTAGACGATATTTGTCTGATATTGTCACGGTTACTGCTGCTTTTTCCGGCTGAACGGCCTATTACGGAATATCTTCTGATATTTGTACTGTCAGCCAACGGTCCGCAGCCCTCTATTGATTGGTCTACCGGCGTATATCTCTACCGTGAAATCCCACCCTCTCGATCAGGCTACAAATGTTTGCAGAACCTGGCAAATCCCCGGGTAATGGTGGGGACGGCCCCAAACTCCGGGCCGCTTGCGAGAATTGTCGACAATCAAAGGTCAAATGCAATCTAGGGGGAAAGAATACGTGCATCCGTTGTAACCGGCATGGGTTGCAGTGTCGGTACCGGATCGCCAACCGGTCTGGTAAACCGAAGGGCAGCAAAAACCGCGCTACATTGAGGAAACTAGGACAGCTTCAGGAGACAACAGCAATGCGTGCTCCAGGGAGAGGCACCGAGTCGAAACATAGATCTCTCCAGGCCACCGACTTACCTAGCACAGATCAAGAGTTAGATAAAAGTGGGAATGAGGTTTGTGTCTCCCCTTCTTCGTTATTGCCGTTGTTGTGAAAACCGAACTAAGTTCTGTTGGATACAGACGCGAGAACCTAGCCAGCATCTCACAGACAGTCCTCTAAGTCAAACCAGTACAGCCAACACATGCATGCTATTGGGTGAACCTCCGGCGGACTACATAGCGTCGTATAGAGACCCGCTACCCGATCTGACGCATGCGGCTTCCATGTCGCCGACATTCCTCCAGAAAGAGTTTATCACCAAAGGACTGACGAGCTTTCCACTTGCCGTACATATCCCTAATATATTACAACCCGTATGCGACTGTTGCGAGACGATCGAGTTTCACGCAAATCGTCTACAACATATGGCGACAGACGCAATCCATATGCGATTCGACCAGGGTCTGCAGACCGTGAAAGCGGCCCTGTCAGTGTGTCGAGGGTTTTTCCAATGCCGCAGCTGCCACAAGGACAACACGCACGTGCTACTCTGCGTGACGACGGTAGGGCTGGCTCTGCAACTCTTCGACTACTGGATTTCCTACCAATGCGCTACAAGTACCGATGGCGTCGGGTATGGCGAGTATGAACTGGCCCCCGACGAGATGCGACGAGTGCGCCGGGTGCTCATCCGCAGCCGACTACAACAGTGCAAGGAGGTAGTAACATCATTGAAGGAGACAATCGTCATGTTCAGTCACGCAGATCTAGAGGGTAGCTGGCTACAGCAAATCATCCAGGGATACGAAGGGACGGTAGAAGCATATCTCGAACAGATGGGATGCACTTGCACCTAACCCAGCCCCGGAAACTCCAAAAACCACTTCCTGTATTTATCTATTTATTCATTCTTCACACTTCACCCAAGATACCAATTTAATTAACCTCGATATATTCTACATCCCATACACATACGTGGTACATACAAATCGCAACCCCGGCACGGCTTCTCGGTTGCACAACGGGCCTCGGTAACGTAGCCGTCCTCATTAACTCTGTATGCATAAAGAACCTCCCTACATTCTCCCCCTCACCAGTATACATAAATACACCCATCGATCCCCTCAAGACCAACCCCACCATTCAATCCATCCATCAAAAAAAAAAAGAAGAATATAGACATCCAAAATGGCCCACCGCCTCAACCAACTCACCTCCCACCTCAACTACCCCCACGGCCTCCTCGCTAACCAAGTCGCAATCATCACCGGCGGCGGCCAGGGCATCGGCGCCGAAACCGCCAGACTATTCGCTAATGAAGGCGCCAAGGTCGTAATTGCTGATATTGATGCCAGTATATATATCCCTCTTCTTCTTCTTCTCCTGGCCCCCCAACAACCTCACCTTTCCCCCTTCCTCTATGACTTCTACGTACATACATCTATATATATACACGTCGATGGTATCGAGTATATATAACTATGTTTATTGGACATGGCACAAGTATAGGTCAGTGGACTAAGTAAGGGAATAATATACAGGAAAGGCTACGAATACGGCGAATGCAATCAATGCGGTGGCGCCGAATCGGGCGCTCGCTGTGACGGGGGATATACTTGACGACAAGTATATTGAGGAGTTGGTGAGGAAGGCGGCGGAGTTTGGAAATGGAAAGATTCATGTTATTGTGAATAATGCGGGGTTTACATGGGATGGAGTGATCCATAAGGTTTGTTTATTTCTCCTTTTTTTTTATTTTTTATTTATTTATATGCTGATGAGGGTCTAGATCACGGATAAACAATGGGATACCATGTTGGCGGTTCACAATACAGCGCCCTTCAAGTTGGTCCGCGCTGCGGCCAAGTACTTCCGCGTCAAGGATGGGGAACCCCGAGTTATTATTAATATTAGTAGTACGAGTGGGATTCATGGGAATGCGTATGTTTTTTTAATCTTCTTTCTTTCTTCTTTTCTTTCTCTCTCTCTCTCTTCTTTTTACTGATAAAAAATAAACAATTGCAGCGGCCAGGCGAACTACGCCCTCGCCAAAGCCGGGTTGGTTGGACTCACCAAGACCATCGCCAAAGAATGGGGCCCCGCATACGGCGTCCGGGCGAACACGGTGGCCTTTGGCTTTGTGCAAACCCGTCTGACGGCAGCCAAGGAGGACGGTGCGTTTATCACCACGCCGGATGGGACCAAGGTGGCACTGGGAATTCCGGGAAAGCAGTTGGATGCGCGGAAAGCTGGCAATGGCGAGCAGAAGCAGGCGTATCCGGATATCCCGTTGGGACGAGGTGCTACGCCAGAAGAGGCGGCAAAATCTGTCTTGGCCGTTGCCAGTCCCTTGTTTTCGTATGTGACTGGGGAAACGATCCGGGTTACTGGGGGAAGGAATATGTAGGGACAGAACCGATTAGTATCTTGTAGTCACATACTTATCTCATGAACATGAACCAATGAATGTGCTTTCAGCTTTAATCGACTCCGATGGATATGGCGGTAGGTTGTTCGCTGCGGGTGAGTAGAAGATAGATCACCACGACGCTGAGGACAATATGATAATAATACACCGGTATAAGGAATCATATATACATACATATATAAACTAATCCTGTGCCTCAACACGGGTACGTTAGACGCGTCTGATTGAAAAAAAAGAAAAAAGAAAAAATTGCCGCTGGAAAGATCCCAGTCATCAAAGGACCAGGGTATTCTTGGTCCAAACAATCTCTGTTTCAACTATCGTCTGTCTGTAAGCGCCGGGCCCACAGTGAAACTAGGGCTGGAACAGATAACGCATCATCGCTCGCCCACGGAGGCCAGCACACCATGCCATGCAAGTTAATTTGCCAATTTGCATTTGGCGCCCTGGAGTCATACCACTGTGACATGGAAATTGGCTCCGTCTAGCGGGAGGGGGGATCAAAGCAGGCAAAGAAACAGAGGTCTAAGATTGCTGCATAATGGCAGACACCTGATTTCAGGTTTGATACTCAGGTGGAAAGCGAGGAAAAGAAGAGGAAAAGATAGGAAAAAAAGATAGGATAGTCAGGTAGGCTTAGAGAAACAAAAGATTAGAGATTGCGGTCGTGAAATCTCTATTTATAGCACCGTATGGACGCTTCACTTGAGTACTTGAGTTCTGCCCATCGGCCTGTCCTCGGACGGCCTGGGAGGAACTGAGTCTCGTATGACTATCTCAAACCTCCATCGGAGGAACCGAACAGATCTGCGTCCGGACATGGATCCAACAGACCAAAAACTATGTACCAATAGATCGAAAAAAAAATAGATCAGAAAAAGATAGGAAAACAAAAGTTCAAGAGCGGAGAGTGATGGCTCCCCGGCCCTCAGGTATCATCGGAAAGGAAAAAAAGAGTGATGAAAGGGTAACCAAAAATATCCGAACTTCCACCCACAAACTCCGTCCAAACATAAAAGTGATGCAATGCTGTCTTGATCCGGGGGTATTTTCTTTTCTTCTTTCAATGCCAAGGTAAGAGGACAAACAACGAGGAGGACCAAGGGGGAGGGAAACGCCAAACAACCATCGTAAACAGCAAGTGTATCATAAATGCCCACAAATTCCACCCAGCGAGACATAAAAAGAAAAACATATTATTAATAAAACAGATTCCACGTTTCCGATACCCAACTAATCTCGCGGAGCGAGTTGGCGGAAACCTGTCCAAGAAGGCAACTCCTGCGCACCGGCCAAAGATCCAGTGGGCAGTCATACGGGTATTGTCCACAAATCCAGGAAGGGGTCCAAACGAAAGAAATTAAGGCATATGTTCAAAAGAAAAAACCTGTTCTCCGAGGCTTTCTGCGCCGTGGAAATAATACACACTTGTCGCTTCAAAAATGCAAGGCGATGTAACCCAGACAGGATTCGAAGGAATGTGTAGATGTATCCCCTGGGTTATTGAAAGATATTGCCGTCAAATCATAAACCTGCGTAAAAAATTATTGGGAAAGTCGTCCGGCCACGATTAGCAGACGGGGACGGGGATTGATGGTGGGAAGGGAATCACCAGCGGCTCCGTGAAGTCCCCGCACGTAATCGAGTCCGTTTGCGGGAAAACGTTCTTGCAATCGGCCTCACAGTCCAGTCCCACCGAAGACATGGACTCGACGCTGTCTACGTCGGGGTAGCCCTCGGTGAACGAGGACGCGTCCGACACAGCAGACTGCAGCGAGTCAGAGTAATGGGAGGAGCCAGAAGAAACCGAGGACTGCGAGTCGAAGACGTCCGTGGGGATGTGCAAGGGGACCTGCGGGTTATGGACAAAGCCGACCGGCATGGGGGCACCCCATGGAGGTATGGTAAATTGTGTACATTCCAGAATCATGGCGCGCAGTTCCGGGATCGTGATCCTCTTTCTTGGGTCGCACTCAAAGATGCGGCTTAAGATACAAATCATCTCATCGGTCAACGGCAAGATGGTTTTGAGGAAGTAGGGGTCCTTCAGGTAGGCCCGGAATGTAGAGTCCTCAGGGGAGGCACGCTTCCATGGGTTGCGGCCACAGGTCAGGTTGACCAAGATCACGCCCAGACTCCAGACATCATTGGGAGCGGATTCATACCATGACATGGGGCGGGGATTGGGTTGCTGGCATTCTTTACGTCATTGGCATCTCGTTAGCCACTGATCTCAGGCGAGGGAGAAAGCTTTCAAGCAGGGGAGAGGGAAGGGGAAGGGATGGTTGGCGTACCTGGTGACATGTAGAAGGTCGACCCGCAACCGAAATCCGACGTGCAGGGATCCGTAGTCGCCAGTCCAAAGTCAGCTAGTTTGACGGTCAACCCCTGGTCGGTCACCAGGATGTTCTCCGGCTTCAGATCCCGGTGGTAGATCCCTATGGAATGGCAAAATTGAACGGCATCCAGAATTTGAAGGAAAACCCGCTTGACCAAGGGGTCATTGTGCACAAAGTTGCCTTTCTCCGTGATACTAGAGAACAGGTCACCTTCGGGGCAGAACTCAATGACTACGTAGGTGCAGTCGACGGAATCCATAATGCGAACCAAGGAAACCACATTGGGGTGTTGACTGGCCATATGGTGCAATTTGATCTCCCGCTGCTGAAACTTGAGCTGGCGGGGATCCAATCCGGCTTTGTTGAGGGCCTTGACAGCATACATCACATTGGTATGGATGTCAACAGCCGTGTAGACGACTCCGTAAGCACCTACTCCCAGGACTCCAATCAGCTCCAGCCGGTTGGCGAGGAGTAGTCCCAAACGATCTTCCGGAGCATAACAGCGGGTGATGGGCGGAGATGGCGGAGGGGTAGGGAGCATTGGAGGGTACATGCTCAACGGAGGAGATGGAGCAAGCATGAGGGCGGGAAGATAAGGGGTAGATAGACAGTGACAGGAATGATCAAAGTGGATCCAAGTAGACCAGAACGAGAGAACTCTCCGTCCGGGAGGAAGAGAGAGAGAGCTGGAGGCAAGGGGTAAAATGTCGAGATAATCCTTTTTTGAGTCCAATGGTCCTTTTCTTTTATAATCCAGTGGAACAGGGTTTATAAACATCCAAAACCAGCATCTATATAGCACACGGAACACGGAGAGATGTCGCCTTAAGGATCCATGAAGGGAATGGAGACGTCTGTCAACGGAAAGAATAATGCAGGTCCTATGGGGAAATCCAAGTGGCGAAGGTGTGATCCAACTTGTGTGTAGATCTTGATCACAGAGAATTCTATTTTTTTTTCTTTGGCAGAGAGTTGCAGTAAGTAGACTCCGGTAGTTGTGGCAACGTTCAGGATGTGTTGCACAGCCCAGAGACTTAAAACCAAATCCAAAATCCAGAGGGAAGTCCAGTAACTGGGAGGTTGGTAGTAGTGGTAGTAGTAGCAGTAGCAGTGGCAGTGGCCAGAGAGGATATAGATATAATAATATAATGTAGCCGCGAGGTACCGACCGGATATATTATTGTTGCAGAACTGATGGACGGTTGATATGGGGGGTTGAGAGGGGGGTCCGGGATTAATCAGAGAACACGGAAACAAAGACCAAAACGCAAAAGGCAAGCACACAGAGTCACGAATTAAAAAAAGAAACGAATTAAAACGGTGATATAGAGGGAAGGAAGCGGGAGAGGCCGAAGGAGGGAGAGAGAGAGAGAGAGGAGAGAAACGGGTGGGAGAGTAAAGTATAGTATAAGAATCGATGATAAGGAGAGAGATATAATAATCTCATAAAATAATAAGCAATGGACAATAAGAAAGGAAATTAAAATAAAATAAAACAGTTTTTCTAGGAAGGAATAATTAATTTTGGATTATTTATTTATTATTTTATTTTATATTTTGAAAAATAAATAATTTAAATAATAAAAAAAAAAAACAGGCGAATAAGTCAGCAAGACAGAGAGAGGATAAGGAGAGACAGAGTCACCACTTGTGGGGTCATCCGATGGAACAAAAAGTGGCCACCGTAAATTGCCTCAGCGTCAATCCACCTCCATCAAGAATAGCTCGTCGAATCAGAAGATTGGAAACCCACGATCCCTTGCCCCCTTTTATGTAACTTCTCCGTTACATGTTAAGCATGCAAGCGATGTGATTGGGGACCCACCCAATGTATGATGCTTAGACTAGTGAGCAAGTACAAATAGGGAAAAGAGGGGAACTCCACCGTAACTGTAATGACAAGGCCGGGGCCCTTCCAACCCTTCCATGGCTCACTAGTATCGAACCAAATCTCGCCGAACTGTATCTCTCTCCAGACCCAGACCTGACTCAGACAACATCATCATCGTCATGAGTAGTAATATATAAATTGAATTTAAATAAATTTAAATGAATTTTTTTTCTTTTCTGAACGAAAAAAGAAATAAGGGAGACAGAGACTGAAGCAACACCATGAGATTGATATATGTATTTATATTTATTTTCCTGCTGAGTGAAAGTGCAAGAACCTTTTCTTCGTTATCTGAGTCAAACCACACAGGACTTTCCGTCCAATATACATATATGTACATATATGTACATCCCTGTGGGTGGAGGACGGAGGGAACTTCATTGGTGTGATCCTCTATTATTGCCTTTTGACGGTCACAAGGCAAGTGGCAGAAAGGGGAAAAATGGGCAAGGCAAACGATGCTAAGTAATGCCGCCTAGTGGCTCCAGTGGCTGTACTTTGACGCCTGCTTATGGATCGACTGCGGTCGAGCTGTCGAGAAAAGAGGAGCTACGCCCCGGTCTGATTTGCTGCCTGGGGGAGTCTTTACGTAGGAGAGGGCGGTCTTTACCTGTTTTGGTTTAGTGACTACTAAGGTGGGGTGGTTTTTTCCCCTTCTTTTCGTCAGGCCTTCAGGTAGAAGGAGGCGGTGTGGGAAATGCCAGTGTGACAGGACTCAAGATTTAGCCCCACTGTCTCTTCTGGTCTGAGCGCAAACCCGGAAGAGGGATGGAAGATTAATCCGCCTGGGAGGTCCTGATTGGAACCTGAGTTTCCAGGCGGCAATTTCTTCCTCTCTTTTCCTCCAACGCTAGAGAGTTTTTACTTTTTTTGGAGGAAAGCAATGATGGTCGAGATTTCGATCTGATGAGGAGGCTTCCCCCCTCCTTTCTTCTCGGCTCTTCCTTATTCCCCCCAACCCCCTTTTCGGGATAATTCATGATTTCATGGGGACAAACCCAAGAAACTCTGTTCACGGAACCGGTGGTCATAGTGAGAAATGACAATGAGGCTGGGAGGGGCGCTGAGCTTGACCCACCGCCCAGGGGCTCTATTGATGAAATTGGAGGAATTGTCTTTGCCTCACTGACCGACCCAAAGAAGGTCATTCTATGTGCGACCTGAAGTAAAAAAACCCCCTTCCAGATGGGTACCACGCCTACAATAGGGTCGACAGCTGGTCAAGCGAGTCCAACCCTTTCTCTCCCGGTAGTCTGTCTTCCGAAGCATGGGCCCAAAAACAAAAGGGTAAATAGAGAGCGGGGGGTAAATGAAAAGAAACCAGATTGCCAGCTCATCTCTCATGGCTCCACTACAGGAAGTAAGTTGCTCAAGATGGATACTTCCATCTAGACTCTGGAGATTGATCGATAGCCTCAAACACAACAACTCTTTCCACCCTATCCCACCTATCAACCCCCGGGGCGACGACAGAGCCGGCCATCCTGAATCGCTGATGGTTCGCTGATGGTTGGTCAGGGGGAACGTTGGACTAATGATCTGTAATCACCCCGAAACGGTAGTGCTGCCAGCATGGATCAGAGATAGGATGCTGAGTAGGCCTTGTCGTCATGGAGCTGAGAGGCACCAGCACTCCTTCCCTCTCTCTTTCCAAACAAGTCAAAAGTCACCTTGCTACAGTTTGACGGTGACGGTGGAACATTCAAATTCCACGACTCCACCCAAATTGAATCAGTTGTAGGAAGTTCAAATCTCAGTAGACACAACACATCCACACCGCTTCTCATCAACCTGAAGGTGGGGGAGAAAACCTCATCAAAAACCTTATACCTTGATAATTAATGCCCCGTCGACCTAGAAATTAGGGAGAAAACAACTCAAATGTTTAGTAGGTGTACTGTACAAGGTACACACACACACACCACCACCACAACAACAACAACAGCAACAGCAACAGCAACAGCAACACGGACCATGGCAAAGCGAAAAAACAAAAAGCGTGGAACGGGGTTAAAGTGAGGCAAGTCCACCCAACCAATGACGACCCAGAGGTTCATGCGCTTCGAGAACATCGAGTGACAGCCCCAGCGACAGCTGATTGGCCGCTCTGCCTGCCACGTTTGCTGTCCGAAAGTCCCAAGTTCCCAGAAAGCCGTCATTGGCCGGTTGAGATCCAGCGCCATGCATCATTACAAAGTAAGGCGTCCCGTGTTTCCAGTCTTCTGCACGGACCAGGGAAAGCACACGCACTTTGCTTCGATCTATGAGAAAGCAAATGGAATGAGATAATATTCCAGGCTACAGCTGTGAACGACAGCAGCCTTACCCATGAGAAAAGGAAAAAAAAAAAAAAAAAAAAATTTTAAACTAACATGCGTAGTCTAGAGACTAAAATTCCATCATAATCTGATCATTAAGCCCAACCAAAGATGACATATCATTCCTGCCATACCATACTCAATGATCTGCCACGCCTCGATCTCACATGGTTCCTATCCAGACGCAGTCGTAGGATCTGAAAATTCAAAAACTACGGGGAAGGATGTAATCCCTGTTGGCACTAATGGACAATTCGGAGAATTCTTCATTGGCTCAGCTCTGTTGACAATGCCCCTACATATACAGTCCACTGCCGAGAGACGGTAGTAAAGGACTAGTAGTAGTGGGTTCTCGGGTTCGACATACCATACTTAGTAACGGGGACCCAAACCCCCCATTATCTACCCATACCACTAAAAAATGCGATCGATACTAATAATAAACGGAACCCCAACACCAAAAGAAAAATTTAAATTTCCTAGAAAATCCTACTCAACATATCTAATATAAAAAAAGCAATCGCCCCATCAAAAGTGACGCATCAACCAATCCCTTTAAGATTACGATCTTCATCGCTGACTTGCATTCTGCACCCCAGATCCAGTTTCAGTGCAACGAACAACATCTCCATTAGAGCAGTCTTAATCCTAATCAAGGAAGGGTCAATGGTCTCTCCGCAAGGGGGAGAGGCGAAGATAGACAGGGTACAGACAGATAGACAAATAGATAAACAGTGGATAATAATAACAAACATAAAAGATTGTCGCAATCCTGCATTCATGTCTGACACATCTGCAGAAAAAGCAGTCGCTTATCCTTCTGACGTATAGTCCAACTGGCTACAGATAGAGTAGTGGACAAAAAGCCGACACTCATAGAATGATATACTAAGAGAGGGATGATGAAGCCATACATGCAGTGATAGCCCGCCGCTTCTCCTTCGTCCCTCGTCGTACAGTATGTACCTGATCATTATTATTTTGATATGAGAACAGATTCAAGGGATAAGACGTGTAACATGGATGTTACCCTGAATGGATTGTTATTGACATCATGATTCCATGGATGGGGATTGATTGATTCCTTATTCCTTTTTTCTCCGTAGTACACCCCCTGTTTTCCTCGTTGCGCTGAGATGAGAGGTATGGAATCGAGGGGATGATATGATTTGATTGAGGCATTTGATATAACCCTGCCCTACGGTACTATTACGGTACTAATCATTACCGGATATTCACTCCAGATCCTTACCTACGAAATAAGTGTACAGCACACTCTCTCCATCATAACAATGACGATAACAGCAACCAGATGATCATCACTCCCTTGGTCAGATACTATCATGAACCTAGGTCGGGGGATGGCCTTTTACATCATCTAGTGAGTCAGATAACCGATGTTTGCCACTTGAGTGGTCTGGAATACTTCCACAACATCCGAGTTGCCCCCCCCCTGTCAGTGGCAACTTCAAAATAAAAAATAAAAAATAAAAATACAAAATACAAAATAAAGGGAACGGGGGAGCGGTGGTATATTCTCTCGTTGGACTAAGTAGACAGATATTTCTACGATGACATTATACTATATACAAAATGGTTGAAGTGAGGCTCCGCTCCTGGCAACGAACTATGTCTTCGGCCGCGCAATGAACGGATGCTTCAGAGCCTCAGCCGGCGTGCACCGCTTCTCCGGGTTGAGACTCAAACAGCGATCCAACAGATCCACAAACAGGGTCAGCTCCTTGGCCTCGCTGTCCGTCATCCCGCGGGTACCTTTGCCCATCAGCCTCGTTTTCAGATCCCGGGTGGGCTTCTTGAAGTCAACCACCCGCGTGACCAGTCGCCCAGTGATCTTGTCTTCTTCCGTGCTGTGGAAATTCAGCATGCCATCAAAATGCATGTGGGTCAGCGACCCCCGTCGTAGAAGCTTGGGTGGGTATTTGCCCCGGCATTCCATGATCGACCGTAGCATCTGATTGTTGTTCCTCCCCGTAAACAGGATTTTGCCCGTGTACAACTCAAACAGCGTGCAACCAATAGACCACACATCAATGGCGTGATCGTAGGGAATCCCTAGGATGATCTCGGGGGCTCGGTAAAATCGACTCACAAGGTATGGGGTAATCTCGTTGTCGGTAGCAGGGGAGGCAGAGCCCAAATCGCACACCTTAAGGATATTTCGCTGTTCGTTCACCAGCAGATTGTCGGGTTTCAAGTCCGCGTGGAGAATGTTACACTTCCGGAGGAGACTCAGCCCGAGGAAGATCTGCTGTGCATACGCCCGGATCGCTTTTAAATTCAGACCAATATCTCGTCCAAACTTCTTTAAAACCTCACGTAGGTTCATGCTGAGATTCTCAAAAACCATGCAGAGATGCCCCTTGTGGTCGAAGTGGCGGTCGAATTTAATGATGTGCTTTTTATCATCGGGATCGGCTTCGCGAAGCTGCTCCAAAATGCCAATTTCTTTCATGCCCGCCTTCTTCATGGTATCGTTTTGTCGAATGATCTTGACGGCAACCAGCCTACCGGTTTTCGAGTCGGTTGCGCGAACTACCGATGAGAACATCCCTTTTCCAAGGTTCTGCTGCACATGATACCGTCCGTTGATCAACTCACCAAGCCGCACATTGTAGTATCCTTCAGGATCGTCCCAGTTGTCCATCATACTGATATCAAGTTCTTGAGGCTGAGGTACCGCCGGCATGGCTGAAGCATGCGCTGGTTGTGCTGTATCCTGTGTTTCTTCGGCAAACATGTCATCATCATCCTCTGCGAACATATCGTATGGATCCTTCGCTTTGGGCTGTTCCTGTTGCACTGGTGCAGCATCAGGAATTAAGACATCTTGTTTGGTGGTTTGTGTTTCATCGTAGGACGCAGCAGAAACATCTACACTTGTATGCTTTTCCCGCTCGGCTTTCATGTCCAGGGTTGGGTCATAGTCTGCTGCAGAAGGTTCATCTTTATCAGTTCCATCCATGGATGCTCTGTCGTTAAACAAATCAGCGTCGCTGCCGATTTTGAAGTCGGAAAACATCTCTCCAGTGCTGTCATTTGGCGTCTGAGAAGCCGACGGCTGGGATTCTGTAAAGAAGATATCATATTAGCTCAATTGAATAAGGGCCTTCCAGTTAAAAGCAGGATCTCATCCACATACCTGACGCTGTATTATTTGATGCAATTGGCTCGCTATTAGGTGTAGATGATTCCCTATCACCTGCAATATGGAGTGCCTGTAAACGTAAAGGCGTGGCTTGTCCTCTATACTTAGCTCTGATAGCTTCACGCCGTTTCCGACGAGCTTCCATTTGAGCTGCTTCGTCAATCGGTTCGGCCGGTTGAGGCTCTGCCGGGACGTTTTGCGCCGTTGCGTTTGTGCTAACACAGTCAGTACGGCATGATCTGGATGTATATCTAGAAAACGTACCTTTCTTCGGTAAGCGACAAGGCATCTTCAGAACCTTGCTGCACCTGAATCGTTCGAGTTTCAGCATCACCTTTAGAATCTCGAGCGACGGGTGTTTGCCCTCGTTCGCTCACTAACTGTTCAGTAGACGACCCTCTTCTAGCATCCCTGGAGACCATACTAGCTTCCCACTCGTCGCCCGAGTATTGCTTAGGCTTCCGGATTTCGCGGTACGGAGGTGTTCGGCTTCGAGTACGAGGGCGCTTATCCCGACGTCGATCATAGTCATCGCTATATCTAAGACCACCACCATAATCCTCTTCGCGATCATAGTCGTGGTAGGGTCTGGGCCGTCTGTGCGAGGAACCACGATCGTAGTAACGGTCATCGTATGGATATCCGACGCGTCGCGAAGAATCGGGACGGAATCGTCGATCATCATATTCATCATCAAGTCGACGCTTATGGCCTCTATAGCTTCGGTAGGGAGAGCGGGACCGGGAACGCGATCTCGTTCTCGATCTTCGGCGGCGAGGCGATCTGCTGCTTAGAGATGCTGGAGATCTGGACGCCGGTGATATACTGGCTCTGGTGGGACGGTCAACGCTGTTGCCATTAAGAGGAAGTTGCGACGTAGTTGCCTTCGTCTCTGAACCTGATTCGATGATCTCACCCTCAGAAGGGGTCGATGGAGACCTCGACCTGCGTGAAGCCATGACGCAACAGGTTCTCTTCACTTGATGTATACCAAGAAAGACCAGAGGTGATTTGTAGGTAAAACGACCGGCCTTCAGAGCAGCTTTAAAGACAGTTATAATGGTCTTCGGTTAGCAAAATTGCTTCCGATGATGGGTTTAGGGGAGAGTGTATTGAGAAAGTCCAACCGGCTAGAGATGCCACGACCCTTGCCAACTATGACTACCGTCTCGAACTGAACATAAGGTTTCCCCCGGAAGCGAAATTCTTTTGTCAATGGTGGGATAGTAATATCAAACCGGGGTGGAATAGAGAGAGTAAGAGAGAGGGAGAAAACAAAGCCGAACGGCACAATATCCGGATGATAGATTGAGATGACACGAGAGATGTTCACTTTATCAAGAAGTTGGTGAAAGGCGGTGTCAAGGGAGGAGATTTCCCGCCTAACCCAATGCAGCACTAGTGCCACCCCGCAGACAAGATAAGCAAGTGTTTCGTGCAATCAATTTTTCCTTTTTTTTTTTTTTTTCATTTCTTTCTTCCCCTCCTCTTTTTTGTTTCCACATTTGATCAGCACCCGTTGTTTCTTGCATATTTACTACCGTGGTTTATCCCCCTCGTACTATCTTAAAAATCACAGAATGGGCGGCCAAAGCAGAGAAGGTATGTCACCTGTGTCTTGTTCGCATATACCGACATTCGATTAACTCAGAACCTCCAGGCGGCAAGGTCAAGCCCTTGAAGGCTGCGAAGAAGGATAAGAAGGAACTCGATGACGAGGATCTTGCTTTCAAGGAGAGACAGAGAGCCGGTATGATTGTCCAATTCTATTACCGGCATCTTACTATTCCATACTGATCGACTTCCTAACAATCAGAGGCCAAGGCCAAGAAGGATCTGATGGACAAGGCTAAGGGCAAGGGTCCATTGAACACGGGTGCGCAAGGCATCAAGAAGTCAGGAAAGAAATAAATTCAAATGTCTCGAGGACGGTACTGCACTATTTTCACGATATAAAACGAGCTACGAGCCATGAGCGCAAAGGTGGGGGTTGTCAAATGGGCCTCATCGCTATTTTCAATATCTGATATATGTGTTCCAATTCATTACACCTCCATCCCCATTGAAGCACTGTCAAGGGTTCAATGCTACCGCCTTTGCCGATTCAGCACAGGTTCGATAGAGGATCAAGTATCAGTTTCGACCAAAGCGATGAGCTCCTAACCAAGCAAATGGCCTTGTTGATATCCCTAGGATATTGCACAGTAACTCCCTCCGCTTGTGCGACGTCGGTATCATCAGACAAATGTATAAAATGTGGATCTCGTTTTCAACGCTCATTCAGGGTATATGCAACGCTAGAAAGGGGACGGCTTGACCAATAGACTTGAATGACAAAAGCGTAATCTTAAGCGCAAGAAGGGAGAGGAAGAAAAGAAAATCCCAACCAAAATTAAAAAGGATCTAAGGAAAAAAAATTGTTGATGAGGAAGCTGCGGGGAAAAATAAAGTACGGGAAAAGAATGTAGAAGGCCTAGTGAATCGCCCTTCAGCTGGTTATTCGTTTAACCCATAGACCGCTGCCACTGTAGCACTGCTGTTCATCACGCTTCTTCCATGCCCGGAATAGTTTCATGCCAATTTCATGTTCCTCTTTAGTGATATCAGCTAGCTCGTTATTGAAGCTGGCGACGGTTTTCTTCACCTCGTCCCTGGCAGCTATATCGTAAGCAATGGGACTGGGTTGAATGACTTGCGTCAACTCGTAGATCATCGTATTGATGTTTGCTTTGCGGCGTGCGAGGTAGTCTCTACGTGCTTCTAACATCTCGATGCGACTTTGAGCTTGTTGCTCTGGCGGACACGGTGTAGCTTGATCCGGTGCTTGAGATGGGGTAGGTTTTCGCGTTGGTTTCTTTCCCGGGGCTGACGCACTGGGGACGGGACGCTTTCTGGACATGATGGAGGGAAGATTGTCGGTAGACTGGGAAGCAGTGTCGATACTATCTCGCCGGCTTCCCGTCGCAGTTGAACTGCCTGCTTCTGTGGGTTCGTAAGTAGTTGCACTGAAGCGGCTTGAAGTCAAACCCAGGTCATTTTCGTTGGTGAGTTTCAAGTCCGCAAGAGTATCGGTGAAATCAGGCTCCGGTAGATTGACGCGTGGCGGAGCACGTCTGCTTGCGCTAGTCGCAGGAGGGGTCGGGTCCTCAAACACTCCTGTTCGGTGGGTATCCTTGCTTGGCATATATTGCTCCGGACTTTTTATGCTGGCTTCACCACCGGTGATAGTCGTCACGACAGATGGCACAATACCAAGGTATGCCTCACTGGGCGAAGGACTCTCTCGGCCCCTTAATCGACTGGCACTCCTCGACAATTGCATAAGGGACGCAGACCTGGCTCTTGGATTTTCCTGGACGGGTTCCACTATCGGAGATCGTCCACTGGCACCTTTCCATGGTACCCGAGCACTGGGCGGAAGAAAGATGTCGCTTTCACTTGGCCGGCTACGTGCTCCTGAGAGCTTTCTGTTCTGCTCCTTGGCCCAACTGCGAACATCCGAACCACGAGACTCCGAAGGTCTAGAATCGGAGGATATGTGGGTTTCGAACGAGCATCCAGGGGCGGCCTGCGCAAAGGTATCTGTATTATTCGGTTCACGAGATAAAGTATCCCATCCGGTAGCAGGGCGCATCAACGCAGGCGCTGATGATTCTCGTTGGCTATCTGTGTGTTTCCGCAAAACAGGAATCTGGCTGGTGAACGTATTCTCCGGCTTCCCAAAGTGCTGTTCAAAATCATCCTCTATGGATGAGACTCGAGAGCTGCCTAAACTAACGGGCCCACGGCCAAGGAAATCCGGCGAGTCGGGGGGTGAGATTGAGAGACTAGTATTCCGATGATCTTGGTCATGAGGAAAACGTTGCGTCAAACTGATAGAGGGTTTACGGCGGTGGTCGGCCATTGCATCTTGCATGCCACCCGTGTGCGGCCGGCGCGCGGAAAAGGACGAGTCCGAGGTATTCCTAGAACGGGTTAGAGAGCGTATTCGTTGTGCTACTTCCTGGCTGAGTATGTACGTACGCCGGCGGGGTGGGTAAAGTCTTTGAGTTGTACTTGGCATTTTCTTTCTGCACACCAGAAACAAGAGGAAAGGACTGGTATTCATTATCATCCAGGGTCTTGCCGACCAATGTAGGAGTTCCAATTACCGGCTTCTTCGACCGATGGAAATTCGATGAAACCTTTAGCCACATTTTGATCTGAAACTCGGCGATCAAGCTCCCTTCCGGCTAGGGATAGGGGGTGAATAATCAGTCGGTGAACCTACGAGATAAGGACGCCATGACATACCTCGATTCGGTTGAGAATCAACAGATTAAGAGTAGAGAATTAGATTAGAAGGTAAGAAAACTCAGGGATGAAGAAGTGAAAACCACGGATAGTGAAGAGACTGGGTTTAAGGTAGATTCCTGCAACGACATGCCAGCATGTCATCCAACGATTAGGAAATAAAAAAAAAAAAAAAAAAAAAAAAAAAAAAAAAAAA